TCTGTCTGTCTGTCTGTCTGTCTGTCTGTCTGTCTGTCTGTCTGTCTGTCTGTCTGTCTGTCTGTCTGTCTGTCTGTCTGTCTGTCTGTCTGTCTATCTATCTGTCTATCGTCGATCGAACAAAGTGAATGAGTGAGGCTTCCTCCGCCTCACTTATTTTCCTTTCTTTTCTCTCAGCCTTTCTGCCTCTCTTCGTCTCTCTCCAATACAGCCCTCCAACGAGCTCTAAAGGAACGCCATCTCCCCTCTAAAACCCCGTCACGTCATACCTGCCTCACTTTCGGGGACCACCTGGTAAGGGAACTCCATCTCTCGGGTGATAAGTCCCCGGGGTACAAAGGATGCAAGATTGAGGAGCCAGAAACCCAAAAAGGACCGAGCGGGTTCCACTTGCGCACGCTGCTTTAGCTTGTCTCAATTGGCGCGATGCCGATCCCCCTGGCTACTATCAGCATCGCTTCCATTGGCCGCCCGGGGAAAGGGGGATGGGGGGGGGGGGGGGGTTGTATGTGCACAGGCACATTACTTACTGAGTACCAGTACCTTCCAAGTTCCCAACCCAACCCACTGGAAAGGTGTGCAACTCAGTAGGTTAGCCAAGCAATTACAAAGAGCACTACAACAACTAGCCTATATACTAGTTATACTAGGTATAGTCCAGTGATGACCACAAATCATGTTAGTTAACCACACTGTCTTCAATTAGTCACTGGAGGGTTGACATTTCGATAGAACCCCGATGACTTCACCCAGCCTCTTGGGTGGATCGGATCGGCTGTGAGCGCATGGTCCTTCTGTCCAAATGGGAACAATCTCCGTCCGTCAGTTTAATCCTTCAACCTTTCCTGTGGTCAATCCGGGTAGCAGCCGATCCACCTCCCAGATCCCCGGTATCCTTGCGTCCCAGAAAGCGGTTCTTCCCGTGGAACTAATATGTACAGTATTACAGTATTACTACCTTTCTTCTGCTGAGAAAATAAAGGCTGACAGTGACAGCCCATCGCGGATTGAATTCCGTGGGATCGGATCCGGGCTCTATTACCTCACTCTCCATTCTTTCTCCCCTTATTATGGTCCAGGCATACTCTATTGAAATCTTCAGCCCTCGATAAGATCTTTGATATACCGACCAAACTATCGCCCGTGGAACGGACAACCAGGTCAAATGGTTCCTGGAATGATGTGGGTGGTGCATGGACCCAAGACGATCCCCTCCCCCAAAAATAGCGTTTCGGGAGGGCTTAACTCTAAGGGCCTCGGGGAAGTCGGTCCACGGCGGCGGGAAAGAAAGTCAGAATGAATAATGGATCCCTCCTTCTCTAGCGCCAACTACATACTATTTGGAATGACTTGATACGGAAAACGTACTAGTAAGTTGATGGACGCGGCTCAGCAGAAAACAAATGTTAGTGATCAGACTAGTCCCACTGAAACTCTGACAGTCTTGATTGGGCCTGCTACCAGCCTTGGGTGTCTGAATCTGGGCGATTAACCTTATCGGCCACTGGGAAGCGGCGCAGCCATGATGATGGCTGGCTACTACTGCCCACCTGCAAGATCGAGGAGATTCAAAATGGGTCAGTGCTACTAATTACAACTACTATGGAGTAGTACTGGGGGTACTTTCTCTTTCTCGTCTGCTTCTGGATCAATCATTGTTATCATTTCTCACGCAGAAGTCCTAAATAGCCCCGCCTCGTGTCTGAATTATCCCCGTCCCGATCCTCTTTGGGCTGGCAGGGAGCCCACGAATCATACGCCGCCTGGCCCTTTTTTTAATCGGCTCCATTCTTGTTCCTCCCTGGTCCCATGTCATAAATCTGATGGATCGGATTCGACTATCCCTCCTGGGCGTCATCATATCCACTCTGCTTGCCTCCGTCAGCCGCCCTCATGGACCTGCAAGCCTGCAGTACACACGCACTGGACTAACCAGAGTCCCGATAACTTGGTCCACAGAAGAAATGAATGATGATCAGCTGGTAGTCAGCCCGGGTAGTGCGTCTACCGAGCCCATTGTATGCGCCTGTAGCTAGTGTGTACCACTGGCATGGATTTGGGCTTTCTGGGTGGAGTGAGGAAGTGGCTGAGGGTTTCAAGGAGGCTCGATCGATGTTCATCGTGGGTAGTAGATTGGGCTCTCAAGAATCATCTATACGTGACTCCAATAATCCTCGTCATTGCAGGCCCGAAGAGATGTTCGAGAAGACCAGGGAACAGCTACTCCTGATCATTTTTTCTCCCAGATCGAAATTTCATCCTTGCATGCAGTTGATAATAGGCCAGAAAACAGGAGAGTCCCCGGCGGGAAATTAAGAATCTATGGGAGGGAAATGAAATAAAAACCAAATCAACAATAATAATGACAATAATAACTAGGAAGAATAATTATAGGAAAATCTTCCCGAACCTGGATTTTCCCAAAAAGGTGAAATAGTCACCATCATCAGTCCCAGCTAGTATGTTTGATTGATTGATTGATTGATTGATTGCCTGTCTAATTGCTGGATGAAAGATGGATGAATGGCTGTTAGAGACAACAGTCTTGCTCTGTCTCTGTCTCTTATGCTCATCATTTCTTTTTCCCTTGGTTTCCCCCTCTCCTTTCCGTCCAGTGGGTTCGCTATCCCTTCCTTCTTTAGTGGCATTTGATTTTCTTGCTCGTTTCTCGCGCTTCTCGACTCGGTGAGGATGCTCGTCCTTTCCGGCCCTTGGAGGCTGCTTTTTTCTTTTTCCTTCGTCTCGATTTTAATTTCTCTTCTTGGTGTTTTCTTTTTTTTCTTTTTCTTTTTGTCTTTTTGTTTTTGTTTTCTTAATTTTCAATTTATTTTTCTTCTCCTTTCTTTCCAGATTCCAGGCCTTAAATATTTTTTTTCTTTTTACCATCTACCTGGATAGTTCTCTCCGATGATCCTCTCCGCTCCCCACTGCACGCAGGAGAGGAGGAGCCCGAGCAGAAACCTGATACAGGCGCTCGCTTCGCTCGTTTCATTGTTCATGACCTACTACTGCCCTAAATCCGATCTCCTTGATCAATCGGCCCCCAGAGAGGATCTTCGATAGATCCCCAATCGACCGTGAGTGACTGTGTGGTATGGGGCTGGTTCACAGGTTACTCTACTCAGCTACTTGGAACTGTACTATAAGTAATCCGTGCATCCCAGTCCTTCTGCCGCTGGTCCCCCACTCTACAAGCCCCCCTCTTCGTTTCAAGTAGGCTGGATTCCGAAGCAAGCAGCGGAAGCTGACTCCCAATATCTGCCTTTGGGCTGCAAAACCAAGGAGATTTTCAGCTCCCTCTGATTCCATTGGATCTGCATCCACTCTCCCCGACTTATATTTGCCCCTGCATCCTTCCACGCAGACCGTTCCTGCACTGTGAAAACTGCAGCAGCCGCCCAAGGCCTTTCGTTCTTTTTCTCGGGTGATCTTGCACGCTGGCCCATATAGATCCAACCATAAGGTACCTAGCTGGCGGTGTGACTTAGGCATACATGCCCTGCTTCCATTCAACAACGTGGAAAGAGATTTGCCTTCGCAGACAGGTGCGCACGATGATGTTTTAACAGTTCGTACATTTGTGTTAATCATGACTGATTTGTGTGGACAGTCCATCTAGACCGCGTGCGCAGGTTGTACCCGCGTCCTTGTGCGGAAAGTGAAACCGTGAGACCTCCGCGCTCGCTTACCTGCGAGTCTTGTTGGCTTGGATCTCAATTCCCTGCAAGTGAATTGAAGCGACTGTGCACGCAAGTACTAGGCGACCACAAGGTCACCTCAATTCCATAAAAGAAGAAAAGCCACAAAAAAAATAAAAAGAAAGAAAGAAAGAAAGAGATCTTCCTCTCGCCAAGCTGGACTCTTACGCAAGTCCGCCTCTCTCCCCGTCAGCGCATTGGTCCTTGGACCTCGATCCAGTGCGTAGGGGGATGGATGGCGATATCCAACGCATGAAGCAGCATGATCTAAATGCCCGTTTTGCAACCAGAGCCGGGATGACCCGTCGTGGTGCAGCGGACCGGTTCAGACAGGCCGGGCCCCCATCAGTAGCACGTGGAGGTGATGCATCCTCGCACGCCACGGGGCGGCCCCGGATGTCCACCTACCTGGACTATGGATACACAAACAATCCCTTTCAGGACGGTCCGTTGCAGGAGGACGAATTGCAACCATACCCCCCGACGTTGCGCGACCAGCACCAGCGCCAGCAGCACCCGTCAGTGCACCAGCCCTTAGCTCCCTATGACTCCGAGATGGTATACGACATCAGCGGGCAACAAGGCCCAACCCAAGCCACGTACGAGGTGGTGCCACCACCATACTCGGCACGGCAATCTGCAGCGATGGAAGCCCTGTCCAGCCAGTTTGGTGTTCCACAGTATTTCCCTTCAAATGAACCGACAGGCACTGGGGTTCCAGCCGTAGGGCCACCCTACCTGTCATCACCAGTCCCACTGTCCGCTTATAACCAGCCGCTGCCAGGGCCCATGGGACGCTCAAGCGCAGCGCATTTTTATCAAGCAAATATGACCGGACTGACGCCTGTGGGCGCTGGCGGACGATTGGAGCATCAGCAACAGCAACAGCAACAGCCGTCCACTCCTCCGCCGCCACCACCACCGCTGCCGCCGTCGTCGTCATCGCAACAACAGCAACCACTGCAACCGTCGCAACCGCAACAACAGCCGCAACCGATCCAACGGGCCGACTTTGAGTCGGTCAACGTGAGGGAAGTGTATGCGCAGTTTCAACGCGCTGTGCGAGGAACATTTGATGATACGCGCGCTGGCCGATTGGTGGAGGCCAGTCGATCACTCTTGGAAATCTCCGAGTGGCTTGTGACTAATGCGCGGGAGCTCGGTATGTTTTCCTTTAGCGTCCACACCAGCGCGAGTCTCGCCAGTCCCAGACTCCACTTTACTCTCCCCTGATCCGGTCTGTCCACGGCATGCATGTATTGCGGAAGTTTTGACTGTTACCTCGAAACCAAAAGGTACATGGTCGAGTATAGGTAGGGAGTGGGCAAGGTCGAAAAAGGGACTGCCGAAAACATGCGCTTCAATACTACTTCAACGGATCATGAGACTGATGATAGATAAATATAAACATATACATATGTAGGAGTCCTCCGAGATGAACAAACCTTCTATGCCGATCGACTCCAACTTTGGAATGATTTCAATATCTGCTGGCTGGCGCTCTGTCAGAAACAAAAAGACATGGCCGAGGAACTTTTCCAGACAGGACATCAGCCACCGCAGACAAGTCTTCTCAGCGACGATGCGATGGACAACCTCGGTAAAGAGCTGATCCAGCTATGCGATCGAATGGAACAGTATGGACTAGTCGACTACCAGCTAGGCATCTGGGAGGAAGAGATTCTTTCCGGTAAGTCTTGGCTCCAAGAGACATCAATCGGAAACAAGAATTTTGATTAATGGTCCATGCAAAAGTCCTAGGCCAATGTCTCGATATCGTGGAAGACCGTCTCGACTTCTTCCGTTCGCATGCAGTGACTGTAGCCTCACGGTGATCCACTCGGATGTCATCCATCAGCGACACCGACCTGACACCTACTAGTCTAAGACCAGACTCGACTTAGGGCCCGCGTACTTTTGGCAAAGGCCCCTCTACTGCAGGGACTAAATTAGTTAGTTCCTGCCGGAGCGACGCCAGGGCAACGAACTATTGAATGACAGGAATGCCCGACTCTCACGTCCTTCGCTAACTTATCTTGAAATTATCTCTCGGGCTCCATAGAAATGGTCCCCGGATAGGTGATGTACCCGGCCCCCCTGGCTACTCCGAGAGGCTACAACCCAAATCGAGCTCTCGGAAATATCATCCACATGATATCTTGTTAGGTACCAGGACCGCCGACTACATCCGACTAAATCCCGTGGTCCACTTTGTGTCTAGGCTAACAGGATGGCAGAAATGCTGATTCACGAAAGGATGTCAACGCAATCTTATCTGTATTTATTTCTAGTCTTTGGACCTCGTTTCGGTGTTAGGGGCTGCGTAGATACCAATCCGCAGCGCAGGTCTTGTTTTTCTCCGTTTTAATGATGAATGATGATGTTTCAAGTATAGGACGACTGATGGATGGATGAACGTATGGGAGTACGGCGCATTGGAGGGAAGTTCTAGATGATGGATACGTAAACAAATGTACTCTAAGTTACTTCTCTTAATACGGATTTATATAATATCGTATTTTCGATTTCATTCTCCTGCTTTCGGATCCCAGCAAACTCACGTGCTGTAAGTGGTTACTTTGATCCTCACTTCCTCCTCTAAGCTCTTGAGTCGAGGTACTGAGGATGATCTCACTACAATGGCATCCTATCATCCAATTGTGCGATCCCCGTGAAGTTGCATTTCGCTCGGACCGCCAAATACATTGATGGATAATTATATGCTCCCCACCCTTCACTCTACCTAATATCAAGAACTAAAAGCAAAAGCCCACCGAAATACCAATTGATCAAGGAGGAGATTCTAGTACTTTTGTCGTGAAAGAATGTACGTCACGATTGTCGAGATCGAGGAAAGTTGGTTGGTCGATCGACCCAAGTTGATAGCACAGGTGGCTATAGGAGTTTTTACCATGTGGTTTTCCCTCGTCCCGTTCCTGAATAGATGAACGCCACCTACTCCTTGATGGGGCTTGGAGAGTCGCAAATCTGCTGGTGATGGTGATGGAGGTGTGAGAAGTTGTGGCATCTCCTCGCGTTCCTAGATCTCCTTCCGTCCCGCTCCCTCAAGGTCATCCCGGTACTTGGGACTATGCTCTTATTCTTGCTTTTTTCTTTTCTTTTTTTCCCTTTCTATCTCTTTTTTCCCTTTTTTCCCTTTTTTCCCTTTTGCCTCCTTTAGCCCCAGGATGTTAATTTGGCAGGGCTTAGAGCTTTAGCTTGAGGTGCCAAAGTACGGTGTCTGGGTTGGCTGCGCTCGGAGTCAATGGGTACGTATGTCAAGCATTAATTTTGCAGGGCAATCATTCTCTATACTTCCAGGGCAGGCGTTACAGTCTTCCTAATTAGACTCAGCTCTATTCGTTTGCAAGCAGAAACAGCCCTGAGGACTTTAGGCATCTTTCTCCTCCCCCGGGCTTTCAATTGATAGGGATACTAGGGATGTCAGAGTATATCTTCATTAGGGTCTACCCAATGATATCACGGATGGGTGTTTTTGGCTGATTCCCCTTCAGCCCAGCCCAGCCCATCAGTTAAGTAGCTTTGCATGTGCAGTAACTATAAATCATGTGATAACTAGTTCGTATGTAATTAGTTACCTTACCAGCCAAGAGGAGATGACAAATACTGGCTGACATGCATGCATGGCAGGACGCTAGGCCTGAATGGGCGGTGCTGACAGCGGATCTTATCTCCTCCGCTCAATTGAAATTCCCAATTCTCCTTCATATTATATTTTATTACTATTCCGTATTGCTGTTCATTGTCCATTCTCAGCAATCGCCTAGGCGCTAGCATGCAACACATCTATCCGGCGCTGGAGATTTGATGCATGATCTTCCTGACTTTGTGCTGAGTGGCTGGAAGCTACGCGAATCACCATGTCGTCGTCTGCACTATCCCCTGTCCTCCGACATTCCTAGATTGGCGCCAGCTCCCTGGGAGGTCATTTCGTTTATCCTGCCCTGGTCGTAGTTGTTTGCTGGTCAGCCACCACTATCCCCAACTCAATCCAATGGCGCCTTCGGCATTGGGGGAAAGTTCTTCTCGTTTGAACAAATCGGGCAGGGTAAGATTGCAAAAACAGTGGGCCCCAAAAGTCAAGTCTGGTTGCATAACATGCAGGGTATGTCTCGTGCTATCTCAATCGAGCTGGACTTGTCTGGCGTACGGTAAGGACATGCCGATAAAGTGTGACGAGACAAAGCCGAGGTGAGAGGGAGATAACTTAGTTCAAACGAGAGAATTCTATTTGTCCTCTATCGCTCCAACACCGAATCAACCACGGTAGCTGCACGAGATGCACATCGACCGGACGAACCTGTGATGGGTACGGTGGTCATGCTATCAGGCCGTCAATACAGTCACCGCACGTGGTGCAGATGCCATCGGCCTGGGGTCAGGTCTCTGGTAACGCGGTGGAAATCAAGAACTTCGCTTTCTTCCGCTTGGTCACTACCACTGACCTGGCTGGCTTCTTCGATGTTGGTTTCTGGACAGGCAAATTAATCCAACTCGCACACCAATATCCAGTACTCTGGCATGCCATGACTGCTCTAGCATGCGTACACTAGAGTTCATCACGGATAGGACCCCGACCACTGTGACACGGGTGGGCGACACCCCAAATATGCGCTCCGCATTGGTCCACTTCAACAAGCCGATCCAGTCACTTCGCAAGCTACTTTCGGGGCCAACTTTGGCTCGGCTCGACAAATTGGTTGCGCTCAGTACCTGTCTACTGTTCACCTGTATGGTGAGTCTACCGGGTCGTCAATGGCAGGCCTTTATGCATATAGACTCAGGACTCAAAATGGTACATTACTGGAACCTGGGAGTCAGGGATAGAATTGAGTCAGACCATGATCTAGATCTAGATTTGCTCATCGTTGCAATTTCTTAACTCGATACTCAAGCCCGGTCATACCTCCCTAGCGAAAGGAACAAGCTCTAGTGGACGGAGAACCGAATTATTCTGTCGTCCACCAAGGAGCCATTCCATCTCTGTTGGACGCGTATCTCTCTATAGAGCTTCACTTCAACAAGATGATGCGGCTTCTTCTGAGTAAAGACCTCAGCGACCCGACCTTCATTTCCAAGAGTCTGGTCAAGAAGCAGAAATGCATTGACGATTTCCAGCAACGGGATGCCAGATTAAGTTGCTTTCTGTCTACCACGGTTCCTTCTGAGACGAATGACCAAGCCCTCAATCTGCTCCACATCCGTCGCATCTTCGCAGGCGTGTTCCTGTCTCTCGATTCTAGTACAGGCGAGCTATGTCACGACGATTTCATACCAGATTATAGGCAGATGCTTGGGCTGGCAATCAGCCTCTTAGATGAGTTGAAACTCGCCCCCACAGGCAAGGCAGGACGCCTCACATCCCAATACTGCCTCGCAACCACAGTTGCAGAGCCACTGTTTCTCATTGCCGCCCGCTGCCGGAAGGCCACGATTCGTCGCGATGCTCTGCGCTTGCTATAGCAGTACCCTCGCCCTGAAGGGATTTGCGAAGGATTGGTCGCCGCGAAACTAGCTGAAACGATGCTTGAAGGTCGCAAGGGAGGCCGTCAAGATTCATGTACGACAGGACAGTGGGTATGCGGGAATCACCGCCTGGCGGTCTTACACTTTGTCCTGATCGCGGAAAGGCAGATCAAGATCCTGATCCGGACCGTCGAGGACTCGGTATGTGGAAGGGGCGAGAGGGTCTTCGTTACAAGCTATTGGTAGTCGGTTTTGTTCTAGAGAAATAGAGGACCACGTGCTTGCAAGGCCTGGTGGTTCGGAATTCCGTCTTCTCTGCTCAAAAGTGCCACTCCTCCTCTGTTAGCCCCGCAATGTCTGTAAGCATAAATCAATGTGAAACTCGAGAATCTCAAGTGCCACTTCTGCCTGGCACTAAACGGCACGCCTTACTCGTGGCGGGACGCAAGGAAAGAGGGCCGGCCGGGTTGGGGAGTTGAGTGGTTGCCTCGTAGACATACCATCTTTCCTTATGCCGTTGTATGCCATTGATGGATGAGATTCTTGCCTGTTCGTACACCCCTCGATTCCGCCTCACCACGGGTTTCAATTGTGATTCACCTAGACCGCGGGTCCGGCAGAGCAAGGCCGTTTGAGAAAAATGATTCGCTAATATTAACGTATGTAGTCATTCATTCCTATTTACACTCCAGCTCCCCGGGGAGAAACAAGGAGAACAGTCCAACCGCAAAGCATGCAACATATGTCGTCTTACATCGGTGGTGGATCAAGGCTCAGCACAGAAAGGCACACAGATGATCCCACGCGTAATGCGAGCCAAAAATCCCATGAGAATGGGTTTCCGGGCGGGTGGCCGTTATCGCTATTGTAATCATGTCCATGCGAACGGGCGGTAGTGGAGGCGAGGGTCGAGAACCAGCAGGTAGCAGTTGCAGTCGCAGTCGCCATACAGTAGACCGGTAGCAGAAAAGATGTAGGAATAGAGGTCAAGTTTCCATGTCGATTCAAGCAGAAAAATGGCGCAGACGGAAAAGGGAATCATGAATTGTCGTAGCACACACACACACAAGGGCACACAATAACCCACAAAAATCAAATCAGCACGGCAATCTTCACAGCTTCCAGCGCAGTATGTATGAGTATTCGTCGGTCGAGGCAGCATCTAAATTTGATCTATACGACCCCCCTAGAGTTAGGACCACCAAAAACCCAGAAACTAACAATCCAGTAAAGCAACCCTGAAATCAGAGGCATGGAGAAGGGGTAGACATACTCAACGTCATACTCAAACTGACATCCGTGTTCTCCACCATCTCCGTGAACTCCTCGAAACTGATCTTCCCATCGCCGTCCTTATCGGCCTCCATAATCGTTTTGTCGACGATCTGTTGCAGCTGCACATCCTTCAAGTTGTTGCCGACCATCATCTTCAGCACAATGAACAGCTCGCCGTTCGAAATATACCCGTCGCGGTCAATGTCATACACCTTGAATGCAAATCGCAGCTTCTCCTCCTTGTTGCCCTTAGAGCTGAAGGCCGACAGACCGTAGACGAATTCCTGGAAGTCGACATCACCGCCACCGTCCTCGTCGAAAATGGCAATCATTCTGTTTCAAGTCATCGATCAGACTCTGTCATGATTATGCGGGCGGAGCCGGAGAGGCGAGGGGAGGGGTAAACGGCGAAGCACAGGAGGTAGCGAGGATGGAGTAGTATTAATAGGGGATGTGTGAGAACAAAGAAAAACAAAGGGGGGGGGGGAGGGTGGTGAACGGCGTACCTCGTGGCGAGAGGGTTGGATGAAACTTGAGGCAGGGAGAGGAATTCATCGCGATCAATAGTACCAGAGCTGTCCTGTTAAGCCACATAATCTTGTCAGTCGAGAGTCGTGTACGAGATGCTGCACGATCAGACCAACCTTATCGAGCTTCATGAAGCGCTTGCGGAGACGGTCGACTTCGTCGCGATCGACTGCACACACCATTAGTTTAAGCTCTGATCGCTCCCTTGAAAGCACAAACCCACAGTTGGAGGCAGAAACAATGTTGTCGAGAAGCTGGGAGGAACCGACTGAGCCCCTGCGACGGCGCGCATCGTACAGGGCGGCATTGTTGGGCTCACTGGAATGGTCCATGATGTGGTTTTGGTTTCGAACGGAATGTAAAGGGCGGGAACAGAGAAAGAAAAAGAAAAGAACAGGATGGTGAATAATCGTTTTCTTTTCTTCTTTTGTTAGAAAAAAACAATTCAAGAGGATTCAGCCAGGAATCACGATAAGTGAAGTGAACAGAGATGAACGATGTAACAGCTAAGAACTCCGGGCGAGTATAACTAGTAGTAGTTACCAAATGCGGGAGGGCACTGAGGATCCCAAACTTAGAAGTTCCGGCAGCCGATAGAGACTAAAGAAGCACTTTGATATCGACCAGCCCCGCACTAACCTGAAGCAGACAGGCAAGCGAACCCCTGAGGCCGTGCACCGGTCCAAAACAGGCCACTGCCGGGTGACATTGCAACGTCAACTCATCCGCTGGTGCAGAGACCACGAGATTTCCATCGTCCATATCACCCTTCTAACCATCCACTGCCATCACGAAAATACCTCTACGTGTTTTCGCATGATCAGACCTATCCGCTGATACCAATTTTGGGTCCCCCATCCCATGGTCATCGGCCCATCGCGCGCCCCAAAGTTCGTATGACTAGGTACGGGGGTATGGGGAGGACGCGCCCGAAAAAGCTCACCTCCAAGGCCTCCATCCCCATAGTCCGCGAGCATGAAATAGATCTTATTGAGGACGAAATCCAAAATGCCCTGCAACAGATCGAGACCGGTGTCGAGAAGGCGGAGGAGTCGGTAAGTCGTGTTCTTCCTCCGTATCTCACTAGCATCCCTGCATATGTCACGTGACATCATCGCGAACCTCACCCGATGTGAAAATTTTTACACCCACCAGCAAAGGGCCCAAGCACAGTCAACTGACGCCTACGCTCTACAGGAATTCCATTTGCAGGTCGCTATCAGTGCCGCGGCGCAAGGCAAAGTAAAAGATGCCCACATTCCGACCCCGGAGACCGTCCTCAGTAACCTCCGATATGACGAGCTATACCCCCCGGTCTTCTCACAGCCAGCGACATACATTCGCTTCTCCTCCACCGTGGAGGACTGCTGCGGACCTCCGTACTGCATGAACGAAGACGATGATGTGTTCCTAAAGAATTTCAACCAAAAGCGCGATGCCGCCAATCAATGCTCAGAGGACAATTTCGAGGAAGTCATGAGCTTCTTCGAGTTGACGTCAAGGAAAGAGCAGCCGTATGCTTGTGTAGATAACTCTCCGGTCATGAGCTTCGAAGAATTCCAGGAGGCGATGGATGCAGCCGTAGACGACAGCGTAAAGCGTTTCGCCAAGGACATATACGACTACTGGAAGTCGCGACGCGTCAGCGGCGGGAATGAACCCCTGCTTCCGACGCCAAAGGTGAGTTCCTGGCACACACAGCGGCAAAGGCTATCCGATCCGCTAACTGTTCACAGGCTGAAGCTGGTCGGGAAGCTGATGATACCGACCCGTATGTCTGCTTTCGAAGGCGTGAGGTGCGGCAGACCCGCAAGACTCGCGGCAGAGATGCGCAAAGTGCAGATAAATTGCGACGACTCAGAAAGGAACTGGAAGATGCTCGACAATTGGTTGCGCTTGTACGTCAGCGTGAGTTGGCGCGCAAGGAGATGCTTGCCATCGAACGACAGATATTCATGCAGAGATCCGAGGTCAAGGATATGAAGAGGAAACTCAATATCAAAGACGACGACGAGGATCTCATCAACCAGAGGGTAAGCGTAGCTGAGACCTGCTTTCAAGCCACAGTGACTGACCACGCTAGCAGCCGAAGAAGAAACCGGTTGAAGCGCCGGCCGTGCAGCGCCCGGCACCTCCGCAGTTGCGCATGCCTCCCAAGACGGGCACGCAGCCAGCAGAAGACCTGCTGTTGCTGGAAGATGTCCAGACGGAGAAGGAAAACGAAATTATCCGCGACATCAAACAGAATATCACGAAGCACATCAAGTGGAACGAGGGCTATGTGGATTTCACCCGCGCGCCACTGTCCCCATCGCCTGAACGGACTTATGATGCTGCCTTCCGCCCTGCTATCACCACCCAGTTACCAACGCCACCGTCGTCAGAGTCATCCGACAATATGACGGACTCAGCTATAGATACCCGCAGTGCCATTGCCCTCCATAAATTAGGTCCAGATGCCATGGAACTGAGTGAGGATCCGAGCAAAATGCCCTCGTTCCGGAGACGTATAGGACGCGGGGGTCGTTTATTCATCGATCGCCGAAATCTTGCGGCTCGTTGTAGAGTTGAAATGGATCCGTGGAAGGCTGATCGATTCAAGTACGATCAGGAAGATTCAGATGAGGAGCTCGAATATGAGAGAGACCAATTCGATATCCAGATCATGCAACATCGAGCCATCATGGCAGCAAAAGCTCGCGATCAAGCGGCAGCGGCAGCGGTTCAAGCTCATGCGCAGGCGCAGGCGGCCCAAGCCCAAGCTCAGGCCCAACAAGCTCAACGAAGGTTGCAAGCCGAACAACTCACGGCCAACAACAATTCACCAAGCGGGGGACAGGCAGGGGGGTCTAATCCCGGGCCTGGTGCCGCTGTCTCCACGTCTGAGACTTGAGCTGGATCTCTTCTCTCGTCTTCTCCCCTCCCATCTCCTGACCTTCCACCCCTTATTCTTTTAATCTCCTTCAGTCCCACGTTCAGCACCTGGCAGGTGTCATCTGTCATCGTTTCCGTCTTTTACCTCACCTGTACTTTTACTCACGCCATACCCTTATCTCCCACTTTTATTCTTCCTGGGTCGCTGGTCCCGGAAGGCCGGAACGCAAGTGAAGACCAGGGTAATGTTGCCGGATGGATGCGTTTTTCTTTATGACATGACCCCTGATCTTATGCAACTGCCATTGTACATAGCCTGCTCTGTTCCTATTTTCTTCTTCCCTTGAGCAGTCGATAGACTCTGTACGGATAGCGAAGCGATGAAGTCAGTAACGAAGAAAACAAAGAATAATATCAATTAAGACAAAAACAAAGAGTTGAAGACTTTTCTGAGACCCCGATTATAGTCAAATACGCGACACGATTGAGAACCTTCAAGACCTGAAAGGTTTGGCGCGTCTCGAATCGTCGTGGTCGCCGTTGGCAGGGCGCTTGGTCGCGGATTCGTCAGCCCGACTGCTGAGCTCATTGTTGAGCATCGTAAAAAGTCTTTCAAGGATTTCCTTCTCGCCAAGGCGGACCTGCAAAGCCATAGCCTTGCGACGTAAAGAGCTGTCAGCAGCACCAAGAGCGCCGGATTGGCTCAATCGGGCGAGTATTTCAAGGTCTTGAGCGATAGTCGTTGGGTATTGCGCCTGATTCAGCTCCAGTGCTCTACCAAGTATGGTAGCTTCGGCTTCGCCAAAGGTAGGCTTGGGGGGTTTGCCTTTAGATATTTGCTTCTGCAGAAGTTCTGGCGACAGAGATAGGGTCTTGAGCAGCAAGAGCAACTCGTCCTGGAGGATGTCTATCAGTTGATCCTCGGAGGAGGGTCTTGGAATAACATAGCCATCATCAAGGAGTTCCAACTCTTCCAAAAATTGAAGCTATGGATGAATTAGCATAAACATGCTGGAGCAGAACCTAGGGCAGGAGTATACCGGAGGTTGGGACTCGACATCGGCACTTGGGAGACCCGCTGCCTGACATATATGGCTGAGGGACACCTCTATGACATCAAATGGAGCATAGTTATCAGTAACGTATCCGTAGCGTCTCAAGAGGTCAGATCGAGGAATCTCTCCGTAGTCATTGTAAATCTCCTCGCCGGCTCTAATAAACTTGATCGCCTTCATGACGAGAGTCTCTTCCTCATGAAAAAGGCGAGCCTGGAGACTGATTTTAGTTTGCCGTCATAATCGCCGAGGCGCTGGGAAAGTCACTTACATTGTTTCGGTTGGCATCTGCGTTGAGCAGATCGGCCAGAGGAACCATACCCTTAAATGACTGACCCTCCTCCTCGTCTGAGACATAGCCATCTTCTCCATCGCGTTCATCCTCATCTTCAGGCTTCTCAATGTCGAAGGCAGAAGCCATGATAAGCGAACCCATAGTATGAGCTAGCTGAAGGAGGGCTTGTGTACCGACATCCCCCTCGAAAGAAATCAACCCGTCGATAGGAGGGAACAGAGAAGGATTTGCCCGTACAAGAGGGGCTACAGACTCAAGGATAGATTCTTCAGCACCCTGTCGTCCAATCTTGTTCACAATGGCGCTGCCCTGGAGCTCCGCAAGTTCGGAGGGGGACCAGAACATCAGTGTGTCGAAATCCCGAGGAAGGACTCTGAAATACGGTGCCCAAGGCGATTGATCACCACGAAGATATTCGTAAATCATGACGACCATGAGAGAGAGCCATGGTCCGAGTTCTTCCAAATCTTGTGAGATCAGGTCCTTCAACTTCGAATTCTGAGCCGAGAGGACATGGGCGCGGGGAATGGTGAAAAGCTCTTCGCCTTCTTCGAGGTCGAGTCGAGCCACTATTAGAGTGACATGAGAATATTAGAGGGGAAAACAAATTTCAATAAGCAGACATCCCGTGAGACATGATCCCATGCGGGACAAAAATCTCGTTCAGGGAGGGTGGAATACATACCGACACCTCGGCCGGCGCCGCTAGCCCTCAGATCAGCGATCTGGATCTTAGGGTTCACCTTGACCCCGGACAGAGCAGTTAACCATGTGAGAAACTCATCTGACTGCTGCTGAAAGTGAGTTGAGTCTGAAAAATGTGTTGTGGAGGACATGATGTGGAACAAGAAGAGGTAGAGATGTGTGGGTGTGGAATGACCGTCACACCAAGAAAAAGGAAATTGAGCAACCCCCGCTGTCCGTGGCCGCGGAAAATCGAGGGGGACGAGAAAATAAAGCCAAGAAGACGAGGAAGGATAGGCAGCCGGGGAGAAGTATGACGTTGTGGATAAACTGTCAGAACAGGAGAGGAAGGAATATGAAAGAGGATCGAGAAAATGAAGAGGATTTAGCGACGATTCAGTAAGTAGAGAGAGGTAGCGCCAGTACCTACTAGTACTGCACCCTTAGTGATACAGTGACAGTTCTATTCGTAGGTACGGTACTTGGGTACTTGTACCGTCGGATAAACGCTGCGGCGGATTTGCCGTCCCAGACTCAGCCAACCAATCGATAACGTTGCTGATAAACCCGAACCAGTCCCGAAAAATTGCACCAGAACGAATTGAGTGCCCCTCCACCATTGCAGTGAACCGGCTCGAACCTCCATTTTTTTGTGATAGTTTGTTCCCCTCCCGAGAAATCCTAGATACTCGGTAAAACTGTGCATCATGATTGCCATTGGGATTGAGGGTTCTGCCAACAAAGTTGGAGTGGGCATCATCTTCCACCCCGAAGATGGTAGCATCCCGCAGGTGCTCGCCAATGTCCGGCACACCTATGTCACCCCTCCCGGCGAGGGCTTTCTCCCCAAGGACACTGCCCGCCACCATCGCGCCTGGGTGGTAAAATTGGTTAGGCAAGCGCTGCAAGATGCGCGCATTTCCGTCAAAGAGGTTGACTGTATCTGTTACACCAAAGGTCCCGGCATGGGCGCCCCGCTGCAGAGTTGCGCCATTGCCGCGCGCATGTTGAGTCTACTCTGGGGCAAGGAATTGGTGGGAGTTAATCACTGCGTTGGACGTATGTACACTGTCGTCATTTCTGCATGGTTGTTATCAAGATTCCTCCCCAAGGGTTGTGCTATGCTTCGTGAGGAAAGACGCATTGGGCTCCCCCTTAACACTTATCTGCCCCCTTTGTCTTCTATCAAAACCATCCCTTGGAGATATATGATGCATTCCCCCCAGAAAAGGGACTTTGGATCCACCATATAGCTAACTCTAAGTTGGACAGATATCGAAATGGGCCGGGCTATCACCGGTGCACAAAATCCAGTCGTCCTCTACGTCTCCGGCGGGAATACACAGGTCATCGCATATAGTTCTCAGAGGTACCGTATCTTCGGTGAAACTCTTGACATCGCCGTCGGAAACTGTTTGGATCGCTTCGCACGCACACTGCACATTTCTAATGATCCTGCGCCGGGCTACAACATCGAGCAATTGGCCAAGAAGGGTAGGCGACTCGTAGACCTACCTTACACCGTCAAGGGGATGGACATCTCTATGTCTGGCGTGCTGGCGGCGATTGATGCGCTGGCCGTACAGTATGGACTCGATGGGGAATGGGACGAGAAAGAGGAGATCGCGGACCCTGCCCTGGTGGCAGCAGATGACGAGAAGCCGACTCGTGCAGATCTCTGTTTCTCGTTGCAAGAAACAGTCTATGCCATGCTGGTTGAGATCACGGAACGGGCGATGGCACATGTGGGCTCGAAAGATGTGTTGATTGTGGGAGGCGTCGGTTGTAATGAGCGGTTGCAAGAGATGATGGGCATCATGGCCCGGGACCGTGGTGGCACAGTGCATGCTACAGATGAAAGGTACTGCATCGACAACGGCATCATGATCGCTCAGGCCGGTCTCATGGCATACAAGACTGGCTTCCGGACGCCGATCAAGGACGCCACGTGTACGCAACGATTCCGCACGGACGAGGTGTTTGTGAAATGGAGGGATTGATCTGAGAGCCGATTCTTCAAAGAGTTATGAGTTTTATGATATAGTAATAGAGGATAGATAATTGTTTTCAAAAGGCCGCAGGGTCCGGCGCATGAAAGCCAAAGCCCCACTTATATTGTCGCCAAACAGATAATAGCACGACTTCAGGTGAGCAAATATTATTCGACTCGTCGTGCTTTTCTAAAAAGGCTTCAAAGACTGTCAGACAGTGTCGCACTTATCATCAGGGACAATTTGTCTATTGCGGATCAACCTGTCACCCTGTGAAGCTAAGGCAGTAGACAAAAGGTTCCAGTTTTGTGTATATCTCAGACAGCCAAATGTATGGATGGAACCGGAAGCTTCGAGGTAACCACCGTTGGCTGAAACTCCCAAGATCGGACAAAAGGCTTTAAATTGGGGCCCATCCTTATTGCTAGCCATGCATCACCCTGAAACACCCAAAGCAATATTGCGCAGGGAAGCAGACCCTGCACGTCAAGTTTATTTTTCCAAGCAAGTCTGAAATATCGCATGACCCAAGTGTGCTTGGAATTCATGCTCAAATGCATATGGATCTATGGCACTATAGACTCCATAACCATGTAACGCGACCGAAGTCACCTGTTCATGATTCTGAATATCATCTAGTTCATATCGATGCGTTATACAAAGAGCCACTTTTCCGCATAATACAGGTTGCCCGTGCTGGGCTGAATCTTGTGTAGATGCACACTATGATGGCCATACAGCGGAGAGAGCAGTAGGTGGGAATGGTTCTATCTATACTTACTCCAAGATATCTCCGGTTGGCTTGTACAAGATCGTCGTAACATACTGAATGAGTCTGAGTCAGTACCACACTGAGAAAAGGTAATTGCAGCATGCACAGTGAGCTTACTTTCCGCTTGTATCTGGTTGTTACACTGGTAGCCAGAACACCATTCTTGATGCTGCTTGTAGCGAGATGATTCAGCACGGTGTGGTTGGGATAGTTCAATACACTACTATCGTCCTTCATCGGTGTGGTGCCGTTTAGAATGGATTTACCAAGGAAAAGCGGTAGACTTGGCGGCGTTGGAGCATCCCCGACGATATTAACAGCTTGCTGATACTCCGGGGCTTCTTCCTCCTTGTCCAGATCGAGAAGAAATTGTGGGATGATACCGCGGAAATCACCAAGGGGAATCTCCTCCTCTGGCTCTTCTTTGTCGGATTGATCGTCCACAGTAGAACCGCCTTCCTGATCGGGAGTGGCAGGGTCGGGCAGGACCTGAGGCGGACGAACACCCGGGGGAACAGAACCCTTATCGCTCTCTCTCCGCCCCCGACCAATGTCGTCTGTACTGATTTCGATATAGTTGACTAAGTGGTTGGTGAAGTCCACCGCAGTCGGAAGAGTATCCGAAGCACGCATCTCGTTGTCAACGATGAATTTGAGATGGTGGGTACCCGGCCGAAGATTCAACCTAGCAGACATGACACCGGGGTTGTTCTCACTGTCCCAATTATTACCAGTCAGTCGATTGAAGCCGTTTCAACATACAGTAACAATTTAAGAAGTAGAAGCCCGAAGGTTTCTTATCCAAGGCAACACAATAAAACATGCGACCGCTTGCCGCTGACTGACACCCGTGCGGAAGTAGTCACGTACCTTCGGTGTAGACGAAATTTCTTTTCCCAATTGACAAATGTTCCAGTTACGTAGACCTTGTCTCCGGGGCCAGTCCACTCAATGGTTGTTGGTACTGCCCTTCCTATCCCGCTAGGCGTAAAAGGTTGCAGCTCGTCCAGTATCTCGTCATCTTCAACTGTGGTGCTACCGTGACTAGGGTGTCTCTGTTCAATATGTTCGTCTAACAACTGGTCGACGGACAATGACTCCAGATAACCGTCTTCTGGGCCAACAGCTGTAGCATCACCAATCGGTAACGGCATCCGCGGTGGGCGCTGAAGATGAACCGACGCGCTGTAGTAGACGTTGGGGGGCGCCCCAGAGGGCGCCATGGGGTCATTCCCAGCAGCAGCTCGAGGTCCAGGAACTTGTACGGGATTAGTAGGATCTGGCGAGGGGATGTCTCCATCGCGAAAGTCTGCCTTTCTGGGAGATGGGCGATCTGCGTTTCGTGGTGCGGAGTCGGCAACATTGCGAGACTGTAGGCGCTGTTGAACGATGTTTTGGCTTTGAGATGTTGGAAAACCCTTTGCGGTCTCTCTGGTGGCGTAAGGGTCGGCTGCGGAAGCCTTAGGGGTACCCGACGAGGTGTTGACCGAGGGTCGACGATGTACCCTCTTGTCACTCGTAGGTGCCGTTGGGCCCGAGTGACCGGAGGGAGATTGGGCGTCTCCGGCTGGGCCCTTAGAGGGATTGTTACCCATTAGAACAGATTCTGCCGAGACACTTTGAGACTAAAGTGGTAGAAATGGAAGACTATCAAGATGGTGGTGAGATGTTGCACAAAGAATGTTTAAGAAAGGCGCATAGAACAAGATGCCAGCATCCCAAGGACGGCCTCTGAAGGCGGAGGGGTAATTGGAATTCCGAGAATACTAGGAGATCGGCAAATGGGGTGGAGAGTTCTTGGTATTGATTGACAGATACAGCGAAGCAATTGAAAGAAAGACAGCAGCCGAGATATCTTAAATTTGAAAAGATCAGATCACCAGACCGAGCGGATGATTATTGTAATGGGAGTGGGTAGCGATGGGTTGGTTGCTGTTGATGATGTCGATGTCGTTCGACCCCAGACTAGTTTAGTACTAGTCAGAGAAAGAAGCCAAGTCTGGTCCAGAATTGGGTACTAAGGGCTTAGGGCTTTCTGTCCCCGCTTTGCTTCGGCTTTTGCTCCGGTCGCTAGTAATGGTTCGCCGGTAGATAGCAGACTCAATGATTCCGGCCAGCTCTACTGTTGTATTGTACAGCCCACCTCGCATGAGGTCTTCGGATCTCTTCTAAGATCATGCCTTCCACCTCAGCGTATTTCAGGAACATTCCATCATGCTTATATTATGTCATAGTACTGTACTCTCTAACATCGCGGGGAATATCCGCGTTTCTGCCGTCCCAGACCGCTTGATATAAGCAAATGACCAGCCTCTCCCTGTTATGAACCCTCGACGTTCGCGATAATTGCATCATCTTCGAGATACTTGGACTCCTCAAGTAGGGCTCATTGCAACCGCAGAACTCTCAAGTATTATCTGTGCTAATGGCTTGGCTGTCAATTCTGCGAGGAGGATTCAATGCCTTAATCTATCTTACTGTTTACCTAGTGAGCTGGGCATATGGACTGCTACGCATCTTGACTTCGCCATTCGTAGCACTGGGTTATCTTGTGCTTCACATTGCCTTGTTCCCTGTGAAATTCCTGATCAAACTCGAGGTATGTCTATATCAAATGTCCTCAATTCTCATGGATCATCATCCGTATGGGACTCATGAGATGCTCACAGGCCCTATTTGTCTTCCTTGCAACTGCCATACTGGCAGGCATTTGCCTTGGTTTGATCTTATTCGGTACAACAACTTTGACCGTGGAGACGGCAAATCGACTGGTCAACCTCATACTGAGCACCGCTGCTCAGAAATTCTACGGAAATGATGATGACCTCCTGGATAGCACCGGGAAGACAACGCCATCTCCAAGCGACCTCAGTACTGAGGATGATTACTTTACAGCTTGGCATGGAAGGCAAGCTTCGAGGGACTTGAAAAAGGCTGCTCTTCTGGCGGACATAATTGTCGAGGAAGAGGAGGCTAGCCGAAGCTCGAGCCATTCGAGATAAATTCTCGAGGAACATAAATCAAAAGTACAGTACGCGCACAACAAACCATGCGAATATAGAGTAAAGAGAACCCGTCGCCTTCATGCAATGGATGCTCGTTACCGATGCAATTAACGAGGTATGTGGTAGACTCAAATGCCAATTAGCCTGCGATACGGATACCTGCCGAAGGAAAACCTGGGGACCCAATGCTACCTCAGCACCAAATCTGGCCATCGGCCCGCATCAGTACATCGACGCCTGGTAAGAATAGTGACATTACGCACACAAAGATAATGGTGAGCGTCATACCCGACCGTTCCGCGAATCTTGCACTGCAATAGCATCATACACCCTCTTCATGACATTCAGACATGCTTACAATCTCAGAGTGGAGGATCAATCCCACCTTTTCTATCCTCAACATCTACCCATGCTATCGTCATATGGTCGCTTCCCGTCAATGCACATCCGCCTACATGTTCAATTATTTTGGTCGCATTGTGTGTGCTTAACAGTGATTAAGTTCAAATTTGCCTTGACCACTTCGAGCATTGGTCGTTGAAGCATCAAGCCAGCAGACAACACCATCAAACCCAGAGAATCGATCGGGACTATCTCCATTGTGGATCTTACGATCTTACAACCTTTATGCGATAGGGGTGACCAGCTCGCAGTGGAGATCACATTGACAGTGCTCGCTAAACCATAAATACACAGATTCGAGAGTCTCCTGTCCCATGACTCTTGTAAGAGCGATGTTCCCAAGTCGCGCAGGTTTGTGCATACGCACGTTCCTGCTTGCACTGTTCCTTGCACTGTTGCTTTTGTTAACCTACAGCCAACCATTTGTACGCTGGCACAGCCAAAAAGAAGGATCCCATGCCATTTCAAACAGTCATGCGGGATCAGATCAGCAGGTCCACCGTCTCTGGCGCCATGATCTCGCTGGCCACATCGATTTTTGGCGTCAATTCCAACCCTTGCTTACCGCTTACGAGCCGAAATGCTTGCCACCGCTTAGACTGGGAATGGCCCCTTCGATCCGGTTCGAGCAGGCGAACCACGACGACCAAGCTGAGTATCTCGATCTTCTTCCCATGGACGTTGAGGACTTGACCAGATCACATGATGGCTTCGTGAATGCGATTCAATCCAATCCCCCTCAACTAAACTACACTCGCAACACACGCGGCCTCATTTCCACCGCAGGAGGGTCCTACCTCCCAGTGCTGGTCATATCCCTTCGGATGCTCCGACGAACAGGTTCTCAGCTCCCCGTGGAAGTCTTTCTCGCCAGCGAAGAAGAGTACGAGAGCTACATCTGCGACAAGGTCCTCCCATCGCTAAACGCGCAATGCATCGTCCTCTCCGCCATTCTCTCCGCCATTCCGCACGCGACCCAGGTCCAAAAATACCAATTCAAGCTCCTCGCCATGCTCTTCTCCTCCTTTGAAGAGATACTCTTTCTCGACGCTGACGCCTTTGCCCTCTCCCCCCCAGAGTCCCTCTTCACCAGCGAGCCCTTCATCACTCATGGCATGATCACCTGGCCCGACTTCTGGGCCTCCACCATATCGCCCTACTACTACGAGATCACCAACCAACCCATCCCCGACCCTCCAACCCGCCAGTCCAGCGAATCCGGCGAGGTACTCCTCTCGAAGAAGACCCACCTGAGAACCCTTCTCCTCAGCACCTACTACAACATCCACGGCCCTGACTTCTATTACCCACTCTTGTCGCAAGGCGCCGCCGGTGAAGGCGACAAGGAAACTTTTGTCACTGCCGCCATGACCCTGGGTGAATTGCACTACCAGGTTTCCGAGCCCATCTGCGCGATCGGTCATACCACGGAGCGTGGTTTCGCCGGATCCGCCATGGTACAGTTCGACCCTATAGAGGATTTCCGCCGCTACCTCCATCGCGACAATACGCGGAAGCATCAATTAGGGCACGGCGCTTTCATCACTAGCACTGCGGCCAGTCCCCCTCCCCGCGCTTTCTTTGTCCACGCCAACTACCCCAAATTCGACCCAGCGACTGTCTTCGATGAGCATGAGGTCAACCCCACCAAAGGTGATGATGGCCGCTTCACCCGGGCATGGACGGGTCCACTAGATATCATCCAGGGGTTCGGTAGGGACGTGGAGAGGGAATTCTGGGAAGAGATTCAGTGGACGGCGTGCGAGCTGGAGGGGAAATTCCGTGCCTGGAAGGGGAAGACGGGGATCTGTAAGAGGGTGAAAAGGTACTACAAAACTCTATATGAGGGCCGATGGTGGGATTGATAGATGCGAGGTTTGTTTGATCCGCCGGATCCATAAGAAGCAACAGCTACCATTGAACTGCAGGACTTATGTCTTCTAAATAGCTACCGCGGAGACCCCAGATTTTGACTCTCCTGGATGAGTAATGATAATAGCGGTGTAGTAACCATTTACCTGCACATATCCTGTAAAGATGCTATTTCCATTGCGGGGAATGAGACGTGCCAAACTCATGTCCAGTATTCATACAACAACATCATTCCTAATATACAAAAGTCGAGATCTCCTGTCCCGGCTTATCCATTTCTAGGGCCCATCATTCGAAAGGGAACAACAATGTTCGGTCACTCTTTACGATTCGTCAATTTAATCCCTTCTCGTCTGCCCTCCGGATTGCTTCCCTGAACAACTCCTTGCAAGGAACCCTGCTTCCCAAACGAGCGCAGAGCAAGAACGCGCCGCTCAGCTTCCGATGTAAACTGTACGTCTCCTCTGGCGGCGGGGTGAGCCTTTCGCGAATCATGACAGGGATCAAGGCGCGCACTCGATCGGTGATCGTCTGATCGCGGAAGTCGTAGACATCGGGTGAGCTCTCCATGAAGGGCTCGGCAATGGTGATGACGGAGGTGACGTGAGCATCCACCATCTCCTGACTTTCATGACCGGTCAAGTAGCCCAGATCGAGCGAGAAGCAGCGGCAAGCCTCTCGATCGTTGCTAGAGGCGGCGACGAGGGTGCGGACGTACTTGGTGATGAACTCGGTCGGGTACTCGCGCGATGCGCCAAAGTCCAGGAGCTCAAGGCGGTCGGTGCGTGCGTTATAGAGGAAATTGGTCCAGTTCGGGTCCGTCTGCATGTATCGAAACTCGGTGATCTCGCGGAGGCAGAGGCGCATGATTTGCGTGCCGATCCAGTCGCGCTGGGCCTGCGTGAAGTCCTGGATCTTGGTCACAGCAACACCCTCCAAGCGTTCCATGGTGAGCACCTGCTTGCCAGACGCTTCGGGGATAATCTCAGGGACAAGGAAGACTGGGTCGTCGCGGAGGAGCTCACGAAAGCGGTTCGCTGATTCGGCCTCGCGGATGTAGTCGCATTCCCATGCGAGTTCGGTACGGGCGTTCTCAATGGTCTTGTCGAGGTAGAGACCTCGAGGGAGGAGGCGAGATGCTGTTAGTAGAATGGAGAGGTTGTTAAGGTCGGAGTCAATAGAGTCGGCTACTCCGGGGTATTGAATTTTGACAGCCACAGGTTGACCGGTACGTTTCAGAACGGCCGAGTGCACTTGTCCAATAGAGGCGGCGGCCATGGGCATGTCATCGAAGGAAGAGAATAGATCGCGCCAATCAGGACCAAGGTTCTCGATTAGCACCTTGTCGCGTTGAGAGGCAGGCATATAGTCTGCTCGGTCTTGAACGCGCTGAAGGACCTGATGGATAGCTTCAGGAAGCATCTTTGTGTCTGTAACAGTTGTCAATGTTAAGCCGCGGCAGGGTGTGAGGATTGAATGGGGATTGAGATTGCATACCTTGAATGCTCATCATTTGTCCCAACTTGAGAGCCGCTCCGCGCATCTTGGATAATTTAGCGACAAGCCGCTCCATGTTGCCAGCACTGAACATAAGGGATCCAGACGGTTCGGCTTGACTACCGGTAACCCTGCGGAGACCCTCACCCATGGCACCCCAGGCCATGGAAGTGGCCAATCCGCCGTACTGCCATAATCTGCCAATGCGAGATGACGGCACGCGAGACTCAACCATCTTGTATGTGTTTGAATTTTTCAAAGCAGCGGCAGTTTCTGGTTCTGTCTGTATGTGAACGTCAGCATTAGTCGTCTGCAGGATCGATTCAGGTTGCCCAACATACCGCCGCGGCCGCTTCTGCGACCATCTCCCCAACAACACGAGCTTCTTTCTCTTGTTCAACTTGCCTTGCATCCTCTGCCCGAGACACTGTGCCTGTCTGCCGATACCGCAAATCTACGGCTGGCTTCCGAGACATCATCCTTGCGACCCTGGGACTATGGAAGATATCCTTCATCATCTCTTCTGGAATCTCGCTCTGTTCGGTCGTATCAGTGGTGGAAGACTGATCCATCGGCGCAGTCTTCACTGGCGAATAAAAGACATCCGCATTGATCTCACTATCGGCGCCGACTTGCGTATCGTTCGCGGTCTTGGGAAGTTTCATCCGGGGAAGGCCCGACTCGCCCGCCGTTGAATGTTTAGAAGGCTCGTAAAATACATCCTGCTGCTGACTGACATTCAATGGACTAGCCGGTCCACTTCCATTATGATCCGCCACGGTTGAAGGAATCTGGGCTTCGGCCTGGCGTTGTGCTTGCCTCGCCTGAGCGGGAGAGAGATCAGTCGTTGCACTGCTGGTGCCGTTCGAGGTCGGCTCTGCGTGACTCGATATATCGGACGGAGGAGAGGGTTCGGGTTCGTTGAATCGTCTAGCCAGCGCGGCTGCAGCTTGAGCCGACAAGCAAAGGCCATCCACTTGGCTTTTGATCCCTTTGGTGAGAGAAGAAGTGCGAGTGAATATATCTATTTGACGTTGGCGGATAGCGAGATGTCTCGCCGCCACTGTACCGGCGACATTGCACAATTGAATCACGTCCAACAGACGTTTGCCCGACATTGTGCGGACGTAGTTTGTATATGAGAGCCGGTTCGGACCCCAGACTCATTAACTGCGCATGATTCGAGTGGCAGTGAATTGTCTCTATTCAGAATCATGAAGCGGAGAAGAACCTGGAAGGCAAGGCAAGGCAAAGGCATATATTGATTGCCGCACGCGACCGGAAGCTTGCTTTTTCTGCCGCCTCTCACCGTGTAATCTTGGCTTCTTACGTATGGGCTTTACTTGATTTACCTCACTTTCTCCCGGTCAGGTCCGAGTCCGATGGGACCCGTTATCGGCACATCGACCGATAAGGGGAATCGAAAAAAAAAAAAAAGGCGCGGCGGAGAAGGGGACTTGCCAAATCACTATAACAAAGCGCCATCCACCCCCCCTCCTTTGCCAGGCATCATGAATTGCCCATTCGTTGCCATTCCCCTCCCCAACACGCTCCCGCCGTGGATAGACTCCCTGAGCGCTAAATGGCCGTCAAAATCACCATACGCGACCTAGAGCAAGAGATCATCGATCTCGAATCCCGTCTACAGCATGCCAGGAAACGTCTAGCTTTGGCCTCGGCCTCCCCATCCACGCCGCTACCGCTGCACAGCGACATGGACCAGGATCTGACCCCCGCAAAAGGTATGTATACCCCCCAATCGTTACCTGATCTCTCAAATCACCAATCTCCTGAATCACCCAAACCTAAAAGACAAGACAGCACTTTCGAGCTCTGCCGCGCACGCGCTCCTCCTCCTCTCCGATTCCGCCCTTCCGCTCGGCTCCTTCGCCTACTCCAGCGGCTTGGAGTCGTACCTGGCCCACAATAAACCCCTGCCCCGCACCGTCACCCCCGTGGCATCTTTCCACCGCTTCTTGAAACTCTCCATCGCCTCCATGGCCAGCACCTCCATCCCCTACGTGCTCGCCGCATACCGATCCCCGGGGGACCTGGAAACTCTTGACAACGACATGGACGCCTCAACGCCATGTATCGTCGCGCAGAGAGCAAGTCTCGCTCAGGGACGGGCGTTGATCGGGGTCTGGGAGCGCGCGTTCCGGGTCACTTATGCCGCCGGGACGGCCCTGACACCCCCCGCGTCAGCCGCGGTGATGGCCATTGCAGAGTTCTCGCACGCGTTGAAGTCATGCGCGGACACGGAGGACGAGCTGGGCCCCAAAGGTCATTTGGCGCCGCTGTGGGGAGTGGTGTGCTTAGCCATGGGCATGGACGCCCGCCAGACGGCGTATGTGTTCATGGTGAACCACGCGAAGGCGGTGCTAAGCGCCGCGGTGCGGGCATCGGTGATGGGGCCGTATCAGGCTCAGAGCGTACTGGCCAGTCAGCGCCTCCAAGACATGATTACCGAACGGATTGAGCGGGAGTGGGACACCCCCGTCGAGGACGCAGGACAGATTGTACCACCGCTAGATCTGTGGGTTGGGAGGCACGAGCTGCTCTACAGCCGTATCTTCAATTCGTGATCTAAGCCCGGATTAGACATCTTTGCTTTTTTGTTCCTGGTGTCATTTGCGTAAGAGGGAGGAGTAGGTTTTGTATACCATAGCAATTCAGCGCAAGAGTTTTTGGTACTGGCGTACTGGAGGTTATATTAATTTGAGCTGCATCAGCATTTGGTTTGGTCTCCTTCTTTCAGTATAGTGTTTTTTTTCTATATTAATCTTACATGTGAGCTGCACGCCTCATCCCATCTTCATTCAGATGCCGCTCGAACACACTGATGTGGGTATCCAAGGAGGACGCCTCGAAACAGAAACAAGGAGTTAAACAACACTGACAGAAACGAGGAAATGGAATCACACCGGTAACCCGAAGACCAACAACCCGGCCAATATGCAAAGAAGATATCTGATCGAAAGCAGACCTGAATCAAACGCCGGCCTTCTTGAGAATCCTATCCTGCTGAAACACAGCAAAACACCGCACCATGAGCCTTTTTCCATGATTAGAGAAAGATATGGGGTCAATAAGAGAAGAAAGAAAGGGTAATAAAACGGACATAAAGAAGAAGGTCGGAAGAGAGAAGGGCAGGATGGAAGATAACAGGGAAGGTTGAAGGAGAAAGGTAGAGTTTATGATACACGAAGTTTGTGAACGAAGAGGGCTTGCATCAGATCACAAGGTGATATGCATGTAGTCGTTATTGCCAAAGGACTTGTTGCAGTTGGGACACTTGCGTGAGCGCGAGGTGAGACGTTCTTCTACACACTCTTTGCAGAAGACATGACCGCAAGTTTTGATCGCTGTGTTTTTGAAGTTCCGGCGACAAACTGTACAGAGAGCAAGCGTCTGTAGATGATGATGTCAGCAAAGGGAGTTCTGCTAAATAGATATACATATCAGTGTGGCACTAACCCGCAGCATCTCATATTCGGAGGACTGATTGCCGAGACTCTTATTCTTCCAGTTGTCTAGACTTTTCTTGGTGTCCGCCAGGGTAGCCTTCAAGCCTTCAACTTCGGTTTCGGCTTTGCGACATGCGCTGGCCGTACTGGAAAGTGCCGAATCTTTGGATGCTGACAACGCCTTGAGATCCGCCACTTGCCGGTTCAATCCTTCAATTGTGATGTTGTGTTCCGTAATTTGTTGTTGTGCAGCGTGATTCTTGGCGATTAAGGTATTCAGTGCTTCCTTCGTCTCGCTTACTTGCTTTTCCATGTTCGCGAGCAAATTTCGAGTTGCGACTTCCGAATCCTTCAACTGCGAGACAATATCTGAGCTTTTTGAGTTCTGCATACGCAAAGTGCGAACCTCCAGCTCCCGCGCTTCCTTGCTTTTCATCGCGGCGAAGTATTTTTGATCAGCCTTGGATTTCTCTGCTATGAGACGTGCCACCTTCTCCTCCAAGGCCCCAAAATCAGTAACCTTCTGTGAAGCCAGAGAGGAGTACTTTTTGCAGGCAACCTGCATTGAAGACAATTCGGTGTTAAGCATCGCATATTGACGTTCTAAATTGCGAAATCGAGTGCGCAGTTCTTCGGTCGAGATTTCATCGGTGTTCGGTGCAGCAGCCCTCTCCTTCTCGACTTCGACACGTAGTCGCTCCACCTCGGATTCCAAAGCCGCGATTCGAGCCTGGCCGGCATCGGCAAATTCTTGAACTTTGATGGCTGTAATTTTCTCCTGCTCTTGCGCAGCCTTTCGCATCTGTTGATCTGCCAATAATTCATCGCGCGCGTTCCGTATCCGTGCCAGATCCGTTTCAGCCCGCATCAATTGCGCTTCTCTTTCAGCGATCACACCCTGCGTCTCCTCGTCGACCTGGTTGCGATATGCGATTCGTTCCGACCGTAGTTTCGCCGCTTCTTCGCGAAGTTGTACGTTAGTCGCCTCTAGATGGTTTACACGAGTAACAACATCGTCATATTGGGACTTGAGTTGTTTGAACAAGTCCGTGCCGGCGTAATCGTCATCCGTCAATCGTGTATGCTACGCTCATGTTAGCGCTTGCTAGGCATAACGAAGCATGCGTAAAGCATACCTTAATGTTCAAGTCAGTGATCTGGCTTAGCAATTTCGCATTCTCGGCCTCAAGTTTCTGAAGCTGTTCCTTCTGCTTTTCTGATATCGCCGCAAGCCTGTTGTGTGCTTCATCCAACGCCGGGCTCCGCTCACCACTCGGGGTTGCGCCGTTGGAGGCCGACGGCTCCTCCCGTTGTCCAGATGCACCATCACCCCCAGGCCGCTGAGCACCCAGTATGTACTGCTTTTCTAATTTGGCGACAGTGACGCTTCGAGCACGATCAAGTTTCTTTTCAGCGACCATGTAACGTAAAGAAGCCTCTTCCAAACTCTCCTCTAACTGTTGCTTTTCAGACAAGGCTTTCTCGAGATCAGTGATAGTAGCCTTCTCTTCAGCTAGTTTCTTTGCAAGTTGGCTTTGCAAATCTGAGACCTCGGGCGAGACTTTGGCGGATTTGGACGAAACGCTCGAGATTATTTTCCGTATGTCTTCCGACCGAGATTTGAGGTGTTTCTCAAAGTGCTCGATGTCGTCGAACAAGAGACTGCTTTGAAAAGATGAAGGGTCTATGGAACGGTTAGTGCCTGAGTGTACAGCAACTGGTGGCCTCCCGGCGGACCCACCCTTGGCATCTTCTTCCGGGGCACCCATGAGTATTTTAATCTCATCGATTAACTTAACAAGTATCAGCCTTGAACACAGAGCGAGCAAAATGCAGTGATCTACTCACTTGTTTGTACCAGGCGTCGATAATACGTAGGTGGTCATTATGGTAGGCGGTGGACTTGGACAACTCCTTCAACTTGGCCTCAAGGGACACCTTCTCCCGTTTGTACTCCTGCATCTGGCGCCATATCGCGTCCTTCTGGAATCGCTGTGACGGAAAGACGTCAGTATCTCCACTGGTTGAATCACGGTACGATCGACTTTGGCGTTGGAAAGGGTTTCTAGGGTAACCCTTGGGGTAAGTTGACACCCACGTGGGCTATTCGGGCACTCACCTCGAGATCATCTTTCCAGGGCATGTCAGCATCGGGGTGCGGCTTGCTACCACCATTGACAGAAGTCGCCTGCTTCTTCAATGGTGGAGCCGAGTCGTTGTGATCATAGGCAGCGGCTCTTTTCCGGTCTTCCATTGTGACAAAACCGGAATCGGAAGATGCGACGGGGGATGCTTCGGCGGCCGGCATCAGTGGCTACAGAGGCATAAGTGAATTAGAGGCCGTCACCACTGAGCAGCAACGAGCCGGGAACCGAAACTGCGGGGGGAAAGATCCGACTATGAAAAAGATATGGTGGCGTGGATGTGGAGGGGGAGAGAATGAGGATGTTTAGTGAATGAGGGAGGGATTTCGTTGTGGCATAAGAGGGTTGAGATAAGCAAGACTCAAGGGAAGCCAGGAGGATTTTCGGTCTCGAAGTTGGCGTCTCCTAGCGCCTCCCACGTGACCACACCCACTTTCCCCGGTACAGCAGGTCCGAGCATCTAGACTCTTTCATCCATTATTCAAACATCCTCTCCTTCTCCCCTTCTTCCCCTCTCCCCCCATACCTCATTACTTTCATTATCATCGCCTTCTTTCACCCATAACGCTCTTCAATTCGATCCGGCTGTCTCACCGGTAGACAGATGTTAGCGATGACCTGATCTGACTCAAGTTATTATCCGAAATGAAGTCTTTTTCCAGTTCTGTGATCAGTAGGTTTCTTTGAATTCCCCTTCCCTCCGAGCTCTATAGCGAACCGCATCTAATTATCTTCCTTCGTCAGATAAGTCGGGCAAAAAATTTGCCCCCAAGGCGCCCGCCCGACGCGCCCCAGCTCCCCCTCCCCTCCGACGACCCAGTGTTGCATCTCAGCCGTCTGCTTCACAAACCCCACAGCCAGCGACAGAAAGACCGACCCTTGAGCCAGGCCCTTCTACCACATCCGCCCAGCCCACAGTCCCTGTCGACACCATCACTACCACTTCCGTAGAATCACTAGCTGCGGCCCAGAAGAAGAAAATTGCGCCACCTTCTACGACTGCGATCGCAATCCCCCAACCGAAACGCAAGCCATCAATCTCAGCTGTTCCTCTCAAAGTCGCAGAACTCGCGCCGTCTCCTCCTCAACCCACTCCACCCAGTACCACATCTACCGAACCTGTCTCTCAAACTCTTCCACAGGTATCTCTGGAATCGCGCGACGATGGGAGCCGGGACGTCAGCCCGACGAACGTTGTAGAACGCCATGCGGCAGAGGCTGCAGGCCCCCAAAGTCGTTTACGCCGACCTGCAGATGGCGCTATCGATATTCACCCTACCAAGCGTCCCAGGACCAATTCCGCGACAAAGCCGGCCCTTCAGCCACCCACAGCTCCTACAGAACATTCAGTGACCGAACTCCCGCCACTCCCCACACCTCCCACTTCGCAAGTCACCACCACAGATGCTCAAGATTCTGTAGAACCCCAGACGGAAACAGAGTCGCAAACATCAGTTCCTCCTACTCAACCTCGGAAGGTGGTCAAGGTCCGGAGAAAGTCTGTCAGGGAAGGCAATGGCGAAAATGCGACGAGTAAGAAGAAGGAAAGAAAAGCTCGCACACGCAAGAAGCGCGAGCCGACACCTGAAGGCTCCGAGAGCGTCGAGATCGCCCCTGGGATAATCAAGATGTCGGAGTTGTGCAAAGACCTTCGAACCGGAAAACTCTCTAAAAGAGAAACCGAACTTCGCGTCCTCGACCAGGCAGAGCTTGAGCGCAAACAACGAGCGCAGCAGGAGGGGGACACTGAGGGACCAGTTAAAGCCAATGGACACCAGCCCACACCGACAGCCGACGGAAACGGCTTGCTTGACAATAAATCTCAGGCCGGACCGGTAATGCGAATTGTCAATGGAGAAATTGTGCTCGATACTGCTTCCTTGCAAGTTGACCGCCATGCGGACGCGGCAAGAAATGCTGGCGAGCTGGAGGACGTTGTTGAAAACACACTCACGCGCAAGATCAACCAGTCTACCTATGGAAAACGTTCCAAGACAGAGTCCTGGGACGAGAACATGACAGATCTGTTTTACAGGGGATTGCGCATCTTCGGTACTGATTTTATGATGATCAGCAAATTATTTCCTGGCAGAACTCGGCGGCAAATCAAACTCAAGTTCAACAAAGAGGAGCGCCGCGATCCCTTGCGCATCAAGGAGACTCTTCTAGGCCCACGAGAGAGTATTGACATCAACACCTATTCTGAGATGACCAACACAGTCTATGATGATCCCAAGATCATACAACAGCAACTAGACGAGGAACGGAAACAAATGGAAGAACAACATGCCAAAGAAAAGCAAGCTCAAGAGGAACTACTTCGCAACCCCGATGGTGCAGCTGGTGAACCCGCTCAGGATGGTGATATGCCTGCCAAAATCAAACGGCCTAGCCGACGACAGGCAATGAAAGCTATGGCTGGTGGAACGGAGGAGGTGTTGGGCACGATCGATGATGTTCCTTGAACTTTCATGCCATGTACGTGGGTGCGTGGTTCCAGGCGGATTTTCTAGAGAGGCGACAACTTTAAGGTGTTACGTGCATCATGCTACGATGAAATAAGCTGAGAAAGCAGATACCGTAGGTGTCTGATTTTCGAGGTATTTGTCCAAGGGCCTTCCTTTTCTTGGATCCCTCTGCTTACCCTAATCTAGGCATAATACAACTGCCGTATGGCTTCTTCAGTTAAGAGACTCGTTGACGCCACGAAGTAGCAAAGAGACGCATTAAGTCACCCAAATAACGGCAAGGGATCCCTTCGCGCTCTGCCACCCTCACCTTTATCGGCGCCTAGTGGAGCCAAATCCGGTACTTGTGCTTGTACTTGAAAAGTGCGGCGAGCGTGATCCCGAGCTACCCTCACCTGGGTCGTCCCATCTGGTGAAAGACGAGGTGCGCCGTTGCGTGAATGTTTGGTTGCGGCGATTGGCTCTGCTTCCCAGTCCATAGCCTGCCGCAGCACCACCCAAAGCGCCTGTCCAAAACCCGGGTCTCCACGGTTCAGAAGCAGAAGCAGGATCTGGGCAACTGGTATAGGGAGGAGGAGGACCAGGAGGGTAGGGACCTCCACCTCCACCACCACCCCAGCCGCGACCGATCCCACCAGCTCGTCGACCTCCACGTAGCCCAAAACAGTCTCGGAGCATGGGCCACAATATGAGGGAGAAACATGCCACCATAAACCCAAAAAACACCAGGTTGCCCAGCGCAGAAAAATACCCTCTCCAGCCAGACAAATCGACATCTGTGGGCCAAAAGTCGCTATCCTGCCCTCCTGAACCAAACCGCTTTTCCCCCAGCTCTGTCAGTAGTAGACGATACTCCACGCCGCAGCTTCCCTTCAAGACCCATTTATCGTCAGCGTCCCGGTAACCCTCGCAGACTACGTCGGTTGAGCCGAGCTTGAACTCTGGTGGGAGCGAGGCGGTGCACGTCCACTGAACATCCTCCTCATCGTAGTCGTAACCTTCGTTTGTGCATCGCATCGTTTCGATGGGGTATAGGTTGCAGATACGTTTGGATGGCCCAATGCATTTCAGCTGAGGGATCGGGGAGACGCGCCTGGAAGTGGTAAGGCGGTTTGCCCGCAGCGTGAGCGAATGGACTCGAGATAGGAGAATGGCATCTCTGCCTGACGGTTGCTGTGAGCGTGCATCTGAGAGAAATAGCTGTGAGAGGAAGAGAGGGAGGAGGAATTGTAGTAGAAGCGAGTGATGCATGATGGAGTGTTCTTTTGTTGTCCTCAAACTCTGGGGTCAGTAGAAGCTCCGCACAAGATGAATTCTAGAAGACTCCTTTTGAAGCTGTGATGAAGATTTTCTATGTCAGAGACATAGGATCCGAGCGAACTGTAACAGTAGTAGGCTTTATTCTCGGCTAGTGGCTGGATTTAGTGTGTAACCAGATGTCCAAGACTAACGTGTCCTCTCCAACAGTCGATGGGAGCTTGACAGTTAGATGGTATTATTCATAAGAATAGTAGAAGAGATTCTAATCGGCTACTAGTAGACGCGGCCTCGGATGCGGAACCTCGACCGCGCCGGCCACTTGCTATTCGCCGGCCGTCATTTCGCGAGATTTCCTTGCCTCGCACTCTTCCAGTACTCCCTTCAGCAGAGGCAATGGCCGATGGGTAGAATCTCACCAAGGCGAGAGTATACTGATAATGTCCTTTCAACAACGTGTGTACTTCACTTGGCTCTCTGGAATGTGCTTGAGCTGACCCTTGAGCTGACCTCCGATGTGATCCAGCTGAACCCGTTCCCGCGCAATCCTCGTACGTCACTCACCCATTATTCTCCTCTGACTATGGCTTTTGTGCTCAAGGGAGGTTCAAGGAACTAACTGCGTGATTCAGTTTATCTTTCACACAGGGGTTTTTATTGGGTCAACTATCTGTGGTCCTCTTAATCGGCGCTTTTATCAAGTTCTTCATTTTCGGCGAAGCACCACCTCCTCCCTCCCGCGGCCTTTCGCACCGAGCCTCAACACACCGGCGGTCCAATTCGATCTACAATCTGAGCCCCAATGAGACCAACTCGCGGTCACTTAGAGAAAAGCCGTCGAACTCGAACGTTCTTCGCCCGGTCCCTTCCTCCTCGACCAACACGCAGTCAATTCTGCGCAAAACCTACTACAGTGCCATTCCCCCCAACCTCACCTCCAAGCATGGCCGGCACCGGATCCACCACTCGTCACACCAGCCCGAGTCCTTGGACTGGTTCAATGTGTTGATCGCGCAGACGATCGCTCAGTATCGACAGACCGCATACCTGCTGAAGGATTCACCGACATCATCGATCCTCAGCTCGCTCAATGCCGCTCTAAACAACCCCGAGAAGAAGCCTTCGTTTATCGACAAGATTGCAGTAACGGACATCTCCCTGGGTGAGGAGTTCCCAATCTTCAGCAACTGTCGTATTATCGCAGTCGATGACCCGGCTTCCGACGGCGGCCGCCTGCAGGCGCTGATGGACGTCGACCTGAGCGACGACAACCTTTCGATAGCAATAGAGACGTCGCTTTTACTTAATTACCCAAAACCCTGCTCCGCTATCCTGCCTGTGGCGCTGTCTGTCTCGGTGGTCCGCTTCTCGGGGACTCTATGCATCTCACTTGTGCCCGCATCCACGGACCCCCTCCACACTCCATCCCCGTCCCCGTCGCCTCCCACGGTCGATGGAACAAAGAGTCCCGGGGACGGTACGCAATCTCCTCCTATAACCGCCACCTCCGCCGAAGCCGAGGGACCCGATGCATCGGTTCCGAAAACCGGCACCCCGAAAAGCAACGTCGCGTTCTCTTTCCTACCGGACTACCGTCTCGATTTGTCGGTCCGATCTTTGATTGGCTCCCGGAGCCGCCTCCAGGATGTGCCCAAGGTTGCACAGCTGGTCGAAGCACGAGTGCATGCATGGTTCGAGGAGCGTGTGGTCGAACCTCGTGTGCAGGTTGTGGGCTTGCCGGATCTATGGCCGCGAATGGGTCGCACGGGGGTGCGGACAGGCGAGGAGTCCGAGACGGCGTCAAATGGCGCATCGCGGGGGGCCATGTCGGATCATTTAAGTGCGCATGAGACGGAGGGACTGCGGTTCCGGGGTGGGTTGGCATCACGGCCGCAGTTCGACAGCGTCTCGCGAACTTCTAGCTATAACGTGGAGACGGGGGACTTGCGGCCAGCAAGTATGCTACGCGAGGAGAGTTCGGGAGGGTTGTGTGATTTGCATATGCCTGGGTCTTTGGGGGGTCAATAAAAGGTCAAATCGAGGGGTGGTTCTTGTATAAGATTCCTGAACCAGGCAATAATCTCGAAAACTGAATAACGATTTTCTTTTTACAGCGTTCTATCTGAGGGGAGATGATGATTTTCTTCTAGTAAGACTTGAGTGTCATAATTTCATGTGCCTTATTCTATATACAACCATACTTCATCACAGCAACGACGTAAAGCTAGGCCTAACCCAAAGGCCGTCCCCTCTTCTCTCCTCAACCGCCCCCACAAATCTCAGACAGCAGCAACCGTCGCCTTCTCTAGGGTACCGAGATAGCCCACGCGATGAGGGTTCTCGTTCAACTCCTCACTCCGATTCAACGGCGTCCACTTGGGTTCCTCTTGAAAAAGGCGCATCGCCTTGATATACTGGTCCCAGAATGATCACGTTAGCCTCAAAACTCCCCAACTTGCCAAACCCAGACAAACAAACCCCCCCTCCCATAAAGCGCGAAACAAAAAGGAAGAAACAAACATACATTCCCCTCATCCGTCGTGAACCGATGGTAAATGCCGGCGGGCAAGATGATCAAATCATCCTTGTCGAGCTGGATGCGCACCCACTCGTCCTCCTGGCCGCGCACGTCGAAATAGCCGCGGCCGTCGCGGATGTACCGGATCTCCTCGTCCTCGTGCAGGTGCTCGTGGAAGAAACTCTTGACCTTCTCCTCGTAGATGTCGCCCATGGTCGCGGGCGAGACGGTAATCTCGTCGCGATTCTTGTAGCCACGGGCGGCAGCCAGCGCGTCGACGGAGGCGAGGTCAGGCAGGTGGTGGTAGATCACGCCGAGGGAGCGGAGGTAGGATTCGGTAACCGGGCGCGCGGAGTCGTGGGGGAGGCGTTGGTCGCCCTGTTTTCTTTTTGGTTAGAGCAGTTGTCTGCTGAGAAAGCGGGAAGACAGATGAGGCAGGGGGAAGAGGTGCTTCTCCCGAGGATGAGATTGAAGTCGGTTTTGGGGGGGGATTGGGGGGGCATGGAAGGGGGGGATGAGGGCGAGGGTGATGTTGTTTGAGCGAGGGTTGCGCTGGCGACTCACCGGCTTGTTGTCGTACCAGTAGGCCTTCATTTTGACGGATTTGTTTGATGAATTTGCTGAAGATATCCGCACGCAGATTGCTGCTTGATGGAAGACGAAGGATTTGGACACTTGAGGTGAGATGAACAAGTACAGGGAAGTAAGTAAAGGTTGTAGTCAAAGTCGCCGGCGGGGCAGTGACAACTAAGAGATGGAAATGCGCCGCTGCTGGTGAATCCCCACCCCCCGATTGGTCCGCGGCAAAATCTGTTGTCGGCTTCACAATGTCGCCATTACATCAGCAGAGCACATCACTACTGTTGTAGTGTGTTTTCAGTATAGTAGTGTGGCTATGGAGAATGATCATTGTATACAGTCAATGGAGTCCATACTTCTATACAAGAAGAATGTTCAAGTTAGGCGGTAGCAGTCTGGTGGAATCCTATCATAAGATCTTAGCTAACTATATACATACTACTCACTGAGTATATATACGCACTACTACTTCTTCCCTGCCGCCCTCGCAATGCGCTTTTGAACCTCTTCCTTCGTCAAAATCTTGACGGCATCCTTGGAAAACACGTAGCTAAGACCCGACCAGATGGTGGTTCCAGCAACGAGGTATCTGTCCTGTCAGCATGGTTTTTTTACCCGTGATATAACAAACTCCGGAAATGTAGGTTGACAGGCAGAAGCAAGAAGATCATGGGAAAAGAAAGGGCGTGGCGAAAGAGGGAGGGAGAAAGAACATTTCCATCAAAAACATACAACAGAAGGGATTCGCTGGTGGTCACCCACCCAACTACTAACCTCCCGGCGTGTGGCTTGAGTACGGCTGAGCGGACGGGAAGCCCTATTTTCCACACCCTGTGGTCGTATGTGCCAGATATTATCCAGGAACAGCTCTTATACGCCCAGCATGTGTAACACCACCCACCACAACAGGTACGAAAAAGTAAAAAAAGAGAAAGGGAAAGGGCGGTACTTACTGGAATGCAGTCATGGTATCCTTCAAATGCCATGCATTTATTACGGTCTCTGGAAGCACAGGCATACCGATTGCGGTGCCCACGAGCAGAAGCTGCAAGGCAGTGTTGACCTTGGATACTGTTGTAGGTTTGACCTCGGCAGACGGAAGAGAAAAGTCCCAGTACCGGGCCATGGTCTTGGGCGGAGGAAGGGAGATCCATCGGTAGTAAATGGCCGAGATGGCCAGGCCAACGTCACGGCCGAGGATGATAACGGCGAGCCAGACTATTCAGATTCATGAGGATTTTTTCTTTTTTTCTTCTCTTTCATGTTGGGTCGGATTCTACTAGGACTGTAGATGATGGTGCCTTACCAGGGATTGATCCATTGACAGCAAGACAGGCAACACCGATAGTCATCAGTAACTTGTCAGCCATAGGATCAATAATCGTTCCGACAACCGTCTGCAGGTTCCATCGACGTGCGATGTAACCATCCACAAGATCCGTGATGCCGGCGTACGCGAAAAGACCCAATGCAGCCGTATGATGGCCTTGCACCAGGAAGTATCCTACCAGAGGAGCCGCAACTAGTCGGGTGAACGTGAGGATATTGGGTAGAGTGTAGATGTTCTCATGGCTAGTGGGTAGAGGGATTTTGGACAGAATAGCAGAAGTCTTGGACTTGGGCTCAGTGCTGTTTATCTGTTAGTCCTTGACAAGGCAAGTCATTTTCTCTGGGAGTCCGCCGACGAAAGGAGCGTGAGACGAGATCCGAGCCAAGATACCTACTTTTGAGTATCTTTTGGCCCAGTTGAATTTTGCGCCGACCAGCGTCTCTGTTGGAAAGTGAGACCTGCCCATTGCGGCTCCTTCGCAAAGAGGTCGTTACAACTCTTCGCTGATGAGCTAGACATGTGTTCAGAACTGGACCTCCGGCTAAAGTAAGAAACAAGATCGCACCTTGCTCGAATAACCCGAGAGCGACCGACTCGCGTGAAACTCGAAAAACTACACGTCCCTTTCACTTGCAACGCTTGCCATCCTATTCTATACACGGAGTTGTGTCCAAGAGTTAAGGATGAGGATGAGCGAATGAGGGGGTTCGAGGCTCGTACAGAGCCCTGAAAAGCAATGGTTACTGCCATTATGCAGTTCCGGTCTGATAGGACTTGGCGCAGTTGAATGAGTTGTGAGTCAATGCGATGATTGAGTCAAGACGAAAATGCTAGCAGAAGAGGGGAGCCTTCAAGTTCATATCAAATGTCGGAAGCAAGCAATTCTGGTCATCTCACTGTACGGTAAAGATGGTGTGTAGTGAGCGGCACAGAGTCGGAAGTACAACTATCCAGAACCGGAAGTCGCTTGATGATGATGTTCCAGTCGGTCTCAGCGTATGTGATGTAATTGTATAATGACCTTCACAAGCGGCCAGATTATCCGACTCCCGGTGGTCTCCCAGCCACGTGAGGTCTTAGGACAGACAGCGACACAAGTGCAATCTGAGGACCAATTTTGCCATCCACAGAGTGACAACCGACCGACTTTGGATAGCTAAGGAGAAGAAAGAATGATCAAGACTCGAAATGAGCTGGCGGAAGAGATGGAAGAGAACCCATACATGATGTTCGTGAACCGTGATGGGAGCAAAATACCCCCGGAGAAACATTATACCGTGCTCATGTGACTATCTGTATAGAAAACATCTTGGAATCAGTATTCATTGTTTGTCTCCAAGTATATGAAGTATATGAAGTCTACTGTCTCATTGAAAAAGAAAACACTTTGGGACGTCCTGTACATCTCATGGGACAGAATGTGAGCCTCTATGCTCAAAGTGTGGAAAATCTTTTAACTTGGATGAAATCACTTGAATATATATTGCCTGGCTATCAGCATGCAAAGCATGAGAAAGAGTTCTGGTTTCGTACTTGCGACTCTATCATTCTGGTACTGAGCAGACAGGCTCAACCACTATCGCATAGCTCATCTAGCTCCGTTGTTGGCTACGCCAAACATAGAAGAAGGCGGACTAGCCAGCTCGCAGTTAAACCTAGTTATGATGACAAAATCAACACTTGAAGATGCTACAAATGATGACTTAGCTTAACCGACTCGTGCTTCAGTGTAGCCTAGAGTCTCACATGGGAGAGTCATAGTATCAAGTTTTGTAGAGCACAGTGCTTGCAACTGTGCCAAATGACTCTCTTATATATGGAATTCCTGTACACACAATGCGCACTATTGGATCAGGAGAGCTGCGCGTTCGCAATTTAGATTCAAACATAATTCAAAAACGAAGCAGGGTTATTCGCACGCAGATGCGACGTCAGATGTCAGTCTAGTGGAAGTATATGCGAGACATATGTTGCCAGACAGAACGTACTAATCTACGTTCCCATGGCAAGTCACTTGAGTCGTATGGATAGAGATCGTATGTCCCTAGCCCATCGCTTTGAGAAGAGCATATAGCACAGAAATTGTGCCCGAGAATGTGGTCAATCTTCAGCATTAGAAGACGATCTGCCTTGTTCGGCACGTATGTTTGTTCCAAGGCCGACGCTGCGATCTCGGGATCGCCACATTCCTGGTTAAAGCGTCATTGTTTGGGTGCGCTGAACACAATCTCTGGACACGATACTGACACGACCGAATCCAACAGTGGAGTAAAAGGAACTATGTAGACTGATCACACTAGGTGGAGACCTTCAAGCCAGTAGGGTGCAATGACGTGGACCGCGATTTTAATCACTAGAAAATCTGTTAGAGCCTACACTCCCGAAAGAGACGCGTAGTCGTCGCTCCCAATGGTCGTTTTATATGGCTCGTACATCGTCTGAGACGGCTCGTACAGCGGGCTCGGTGCTCGATGCTTGGTATTTGACGTGGCATGCAGTGTGGTCCCTTTCTGATCTCAAGGGCAAAAAATCGAACATCCGACAGAAAGAGGCAATGGCTTTCGGCCTTGAATTCGGGAGCGCCTGAGTCAGTGTCTGGAGCTGAGGAAGGACAATTCGTTCTCCAGCCGCCATGGGCTCGGCTCCAGCAGCCTCGTTACTCAACTAGGGAAGGAAAGGCGCAACATTACCACGGTCCCAGACCCGGGCTGCGTTCAACAAATCATACTAGGTAAACGGAGGGGAGAATCTGCGAGAGCACGATTGGGCTTCACCTCTCTGTCGTTGCCACCAGACCCGAGCTTTTATAATCGGCGGTCAAGATGTCTGAGACATTGACACGACACACAACATGAACGGCGTGAGCCGAGCTACCTGATTCATGAAGTCCGCTTGCTCATTGATTGCCTCCTACGGGGTCAATAGCCACCAAATCCCGAATTGCGAGTATCTGTTGTGGACCCTCGTATATTGATTGCAGAGATGATATCCAAGCCCTGATTTGTTCTTCGCGATAGCTCCCCATGAACTTGCTCTAGTGACATAATCTATGCATTCCGAACCACCGGGTATTGCTTAGACGGTAGAGCATCCAGCTGCATTGAGAATTCGTGCATCCGTGTAGCTGCTCCACTTCCAGCCCGCTCGAAGAATCTGTACTGCGCACATGACATGAGGCAGTATCACAGTGGTGGGAATAGGTTCCGGTGGCCTGGAAGGCCAAAACCGGTTTGATTATCATCATGAATCAATAGTCAGGTCACCTCGTACGCGTGCGCATCTAGCTTTGGTGCCACTGTGCCAATAGCCCAACATATGCACGGTATACTTGCAGGTATGCGATCGGAATTGCGACTAGCAGTAACGGGGACTCCGATATAGTGCGGAGATCCCGTGCTTGGTAGAAGGGGCGTAGGAACTAGGCAGAAAACCACGACGATCCGCATTGACGCTTACAAAAGCCCATCGTGCATTCGCAGTGCTGCAAGGGTAGCGTCTATAGTACCGTATAGCCGAGTGCCCTTCCTGCCAGGCCCAATGCCCAACATGCCTGCCTGCCTGCCTGCTGAGCAAGTCAAAAAATCTGACAGCCATGTGATTGACACAGCCATCAGGCACGCCGAGAAGGACTGTCATACCACAGTGGGCTGATCAGCCTCCCGGAAGTAACTCTCCGGAGAGCATGTGAACGGGAGGTTCGGGCTTCGGGAGGGGGGAATACTGGTCGGTGATCTCTGAAATGGGATAGAGATGAATTAGTCCTCAATGAAAGCAAACGATAAAAGACACTAGTTGCTCCCTACCATCAGATCAGACAACAGGGAGAACAAAGAAAGGGCAGGTAGACGAGAAGAGCCTTGCTTCGTCCTGCAGGCAGGCTGAGCCCATATTGTCAGTGCACACGACAATCCATCGTCGCATGTACCTCCGCTGCGGCTTGGGTATCCACACAGGGCGCAGAAGAGATCAGACTGTTGACGAAACGGGTTTAACAGAAGTGACCTCACAGAATCTTGGTTGGATCGTCTTGCGCAACGCATAGCCCAACGAACAAAGATCTGAAGGTGGTCCTAGCACATATCGGCTGGAGATGAGGTTGAGAGGAGAAGGGAGGGGAAAAGTGCTCAGATCAGATTGGCTTTGAGTTTTTACCCCTTGCATCTTTCTTTGTTCAAGCGAGCGAGCGACAGCTGGGATCAGATCTGACCATATCCACCAGCGGGAACAGTGACCTTAGTCAGGCAATGGGTCTTCGAGCTTTTGGCTGTAGGATATTTCAGCTTACACAGTAATAGTCCGTAGTAGAGATTAGTATGTTCATAGTAGGAGTTGTACCAACCGCGGGGCTTTCCACCGAGGAGGAACTCAGGACTAGGCTGATCGTGTCAAAGCACACGCACATAGACTTTGTGTCTAGACTCAGGAAAATGTGCTCCATTGCAGATACTCGTTCTCTGAAGAGTTTGATGATCTCTTGAATGGTCCCATCACGGTTCTGGTGCCTTTCTGGATGGTATGGCTGTTTCTGCTGTTGTTCCGAAAGGCTACTTCGGAATTCTTTCTTGTCACGGATCTAAAGATCTTGACTGCACTCAGTCTACTTACTGTGACTGATTGATTAGTTAGCTAGGTTAAACTTACTTAAGTTATCACGTCCAGGGTGCTCACTACAACTAGAGTCACTACTCACAAGCACGGCTCGCCGAGACCGGACACATCCACAGATAAGGTTACGGAGACCCTGAAACGTAGAGAAGTGAGAGAAAGTGTCTCGAGGTAGACTCAATGCTCCGTACAAGCACATGACTCGCTACTAGTAACCTACAACCATACAATCATGCTCGGTAGATTCGCAAACACTTAGGATCTCGCGCAAACCCAGAATAACGCCAAGTATTTGGCCGTCCATCTGTAGCCACCAAGCGGCGGGGCAATGCTGCATTGACAGGTAGGATGAGGAGCCACGAGAGATCCTGGCCACCAAAAAAAGGCAACGATGGTTCTTCGTCGATTCATAGTTCATACTAAGGAGGATCCTCTCTTCCTGGAACAAAAAAAAACAAGCAGATCATGCTTTTGAGTATGCCTGCGTGCCCGTTTAAAGCTTAATTGCCTTTCAAGTTATGAGAGACCTTTCTTCACACTTCAGCATATCATTACTCTCCCGAGGCCCTTATACAAATAGTCCATGGTCAGCACACGTTTGAAGGCAAGCTAAACGAAGCCCCTCCAAAAGTGCTCTTGGATAACAGCCACTCCTTGAGCATGCTGAACGAACCCATTGCCCCATATTATTTCCAAGGCAAGCTATATCGAAACGAGCTATAGATACCGCCGTATTTAATGCCGCCCATTGATCTACATTTAGCAGCTCGAACCAAATTAGCCCCGAGTCCTGACACCGATTCATGCGCGGGTCTTCGGTGGCTGTGACTCCAGGCTCCTAACGAGACCCGGCCTTTTCCACTTCAGAAACGACTCACAAGAGGAGGGAGAAAGTAGCGTGTGCTAAACGAGCGCTCCTATCAACATGCCACCCGAGTCTCTTGGCTATCGCTAGCTCGGTCGAAAGGCCCTTTCATTGCTTGGTGACTCCCAGAATGAAGGGGAGCAGAGGCTGGAACCCGAACGCCGAGTGCCTCAAACCCGCTGCTTCCAAGGGCTGGATGACACTGAGTAATTATTTTTTTGGCGTCCACTTGTTTTTTACAGGCCGCAAGCGTCAACGTCTCCAATTGACCATCTCTGTCCCCGTCTATTCTAGTGGAGTCGACTGCTAGTCAGTTTACTCCGGAGTAAGTGTGCATGTCGATCACCATTACGGGTATCAAAGTGAAATGGCTTCTCTTCCTTCTCTCGCTTCTCTTTGATTAAGTCCATGTGCTAGTACAAGTACAGCCCGCTTTGTTACATGCAAGTACGCGGTACGGTGTAGATGCTACAACACTCCCTTGTCTGGGCCTATATCATCATGGCCTTATGACAGGGATCAGAGAAAAAAAAAAAAAACTCCTTATAATGATAGGAAGGAAATGCACGCACCCCATTCATTTGAACCCCACTCCACTAGCACTAAAGTCGAGCTTGCTGTAAAATCCGACCCTAAATGATTGCCTAGATACTAGTCAGGATTAGGGACGGAGTACCTTACTACCCACGGCAGCACTAGTAGGGGTTGCACACATGGATATTTAGTGATGGGACGCTGCCAGGCGCAGTGCCAAGAACCGAGTCAGGAATCCTCCTAGATTGGCCGATGACATCAAACCACATTTTCCAGGGGGTTGACACCGAGTTCCCTCCCAAGAGAACGCACGCGAGGTGCACGGAGCTGGACGAAGGGGAATCGGTTATGCCCGTTATCACAGTGCTTTTGAAGGAAATAGGTCTAGGGCGGTCTGTTGTCTCAAACTTGTGTCGCAAAGAATTCCATAAAAGTAATAACTTTGAGACACACGCAGGCGCCCGAGCCACGTTTTTTGTCTGATGGTCTGGATCTGGATCCCTGACGAGAATGTGGGGGATGGAAAACAAACCAACGAGGGTAGTGGGCAGTGGCAGAGTAGTGGGAGGGGGGGCCGTCTATTGTCAATTGACTTGGGCTGGGATGGATAAAATTGTTGTTGATCTTAATTTATTTTTTTTATTCTTGAATCTGTTTATTTTTTTTTTGACGCGGCTGTTGAAGGGAGGAGCGGTTGCAGGTGACAAAGAGGGTTCGATTGTAATTTGACTAGTTAGCTTAGGAGTAGTTACAAGGCTGGAAAGCATACTTTGAGGATAGGTACTTAGTACTTGGGCACCGACTCAACCACCTACACCGCCAGCGGAACACCTCGTCTATTAGTCGCTTACACGCGCCTGATAAGGCTCTCGTCGCATGTGAATGCAAGCTGAGGTAAACGTCTGGGCAGCTGAAATTCCGGCAGGAAAGCCAGCAATTGAGAAGAGAAAGAAAGAGAAAAAAAATCTGAAGATGGAAAAGAAGAAAGCATCAAATAAGCAAGGGTTTGGAGTTTTACTTACGAACAACGCGAACAAGATCTAGAAGCCTGCGCTGAATGGCCGGTCAGAAGAACCACTTACTGTATTCAGATGCTGAATGGCAAAAAGCCAAGTGTGGAAGCATACCAAGTGTATTGGACAAGGCTAGTGGCAGGCTGAATAAGGTAGCCTACTCCGGAGTAACTTACTAGTTTTTGCCATGTGCGAAGGCTGGTCCATGGAAAATTTCTAAGTAGCAGGCTATCAGCATATTAGGATGTGCTGTAAAAGCAACGCTAAGCAGAACTAGGTCCTACTTGGTTGGCCCTGGGATCAACATTGCATTATTAGATTCGAGAAAATGTACTACCTTACCTCATGGGAGGTTATGAATACCAAGCGACTAACTAATTTATCCTTAGCCTTTCCATCCTCTCCCCTTGAACAGACTCGCCGTGCTACACCTCCTAGAGGGCACTAATTTTTCGGACTAAACGGCTTAGCAATCTTGCGGTCAGTAATCTTGATCGGCCACATGGCCATGATTGACATTGATCAAATTAGTCTCACATCCTCAGCAGGAAGGTGGTTAGTGTGCATGAAACGATGCGCAACTGCCAGGGCAGGGCATAGGTGCCGAGCATCGCTATGCTATGGATATCCATATTTCCTGCTAGCCTGATCTACAGTACATACGCTTGTCGGCCTTGGATGACGGCACGCAGATCAGGGAACATTGCTCTCGCTGGGAAAGAGTCTTCGAAATGATATTGCTGATGTGTCACCATTCTAGGTGAAGCGAGGTATGGCTAAACTGTACGGAGTAGTGTTTACGGCGTACAGTCAAGATTCTGTCGGACATTCGCAGCAACTGTGAAACACAAAATATACTTTCCAAGCTCTGACACGGTCCTATGTCAGTTCTTATCACCTTAGATTTGAATCGCCGATGATCAATATTCTCCATTCTGCAGGACCGGCTCACGCATTGTGTACAGCACTACAGCTTGGACTATTGGGAACGTACGACCGATCGTGCCAACCCCCTTACCCCCAATCATTAAGCGGTGTTCCGTTCGACAGCACTCGAAGCAATCAAATCTTCAGGAGTGGGTGGGGATGGGGGACACAAGACCGTCGTGACAATTGTAATTGTTGGGAGGGAAATGAAGAGCGGTCGAGGGCGTCGGCGTACCGAGGATTCCGTTTAGGACCTTCATGTAAAAGGAAGAAGCCAAGACCCTGTGCCTAATAAAAGATAAATGAAGCCATTTAAGTCCACAGTAAATTTATCAATGGGTAGGTTGGTCCGCCTAGTCATTCGTTATCGAGATTCCTACTGTACAGCACGGAGCAGTCCGTTACGTACCCCTTTTACAATTGACACCAGCGAGTCAGTAAGTTGTTCGAATTAAAATTAGAGCGGCCTAAGGCTTCCACTTCCAAGTCTTCTCCTTCAGAACCTCAGCAAGCTCAGCGAGCTCAGCGCTGGCTTTCTCCGCATTCAACTACCACGCAGAATGCTTAACTTGTGGTTGATCTCAAAACTGCCCGGACGAGCGCTATCCCGAACTATTGCTGACAGTGGATCCCTCGTTGGACTTAGGGCCCATAATATGGGAGCGCCCGACCGATCACCATAACCGGATTCACTAACTACGGAGTACGCTAAGGTACAGTCTCCCTCAACCCTGGAGTAGAATTACACACAGGGAAGTAAGCTAAATTGGCCACCCACTTCTCAATTTCACCAAATTGCTAGATGGATATCAGGATAGAGGGACACTAGGGGTACCTAGTAGATCCTAGTAGACGGTGGTAGCTGCCCGCAGTGCCAGGTGGCTCATCCATTCACTTGGATCCAGTTTCCCGCTAGTATGTATGGAGCAGCGGATACGCTGACAATCTGTATCCAAAGTGTAGTGTCGGAGTACCAGGCACAGTTTCATCCGCCCAACACAAATGACGATGTCTAGTTCGCAATTCGCTTTACAAGCATAGCCTTGCACATCATGGGCTCCGAGAAACAATCTATTTTCGAGGGTCCCGCTCTAGTCTTCTGATATACACTATAATGACCGAAGGCTTTCATCGGAATCGCCCATCTCTCGAGGAGCCCATCAGGAGGGCCATGGTGTCAAACAAACAGTCCTGACAAGCCCAGGGCTCTAGCCTCCTTTCCTCCAGGTTCATCAGCTCCCTTCCCCAGAAGAGTGCCACCAAAATCGAGTCACCTCACTACACGAGCTAGAGGTGAAGCATTGTGCATCCTGGTTCTATGCAGGCTAGCCAAGCTGGGAATCTATCGTACCGTACGTAGCCTTTAGCATCCAGGATGCAGCGAGTCGCCAACTGCTGTCTACCATTGAGATGTAGGTCGTTTGCATGCCGCGTACGGGATGGAAAGCTGTGGTTCAAGATGGATGGGAAATAATGGCAGCGGTGGACGAGATTGGATTGTGCGCGAATGTGACTGTTGGAATTACCAGTGATTGGATGCCTGTCACTGAGTGTTACTTATGGTCGGAAGCTATTGCCAAAGCATACTACCTACCTCTCTGGTGTGCAGTGCTGCCATGCGTTACTCAAATAGGTCTCTTGCGTCTAGCATGCAGAAGAGGCGCTGTTTCCTGCGCCCTGCATGGATCCCTGATTCCTGGATAGAATCACTAGCGAGACGCTGTTGACACAGACACTTCTTTGTCTTGGACTACTGGCACTGTTGATATTCCACTGTGCTTCTAGACCGATGCTTGTTGCATTTCGTTTCGAGTCCCTCCCCTATTCTCCTAAAGGGTTCCTTTTCCTTATGTTTACAAATTACCCCTGGTCCCGGGGCTATTTGGCTGAAAACTGGTTTGCAGACTGCTTCTATCCCTCATCTTATTTTTTTGTGGGGAGGGAATAGTGTTGAGGGCGCGCTCGACCCATTTGTTAAATTACAATGATCTGCTATACAGTACCGGCTAGTACTACTTGATACTAGTGTGATGTCGATGAACTCGTGTCTGCTCTACGTCGCCCCATTCTGGCCACTATGAGTGGACACATTTGGGAGGAGGGGATGATCGCCTGTAGGTGCTGCCTGTATGGAGTAAGATCCAGTCCTTCCTGTCATTGTGCGGTATTTCTCTGCTTAGTGGGTGAGATGTCATTGCGTGCGCCACATCCTTCTTTCACTCGTCCTCTGCTTTTGCTAAGTTATTCATTCTTCCGCCCCCCTTGACTTCCCCCTCTTCCGACTAACTATTGTGGTAGACTCTCTGAGCATTGGGACAACTAGTAGAAATCTGAGGTGCTTCGTACCACTCGAAATCTCCTTAATTCGCCTTGTCGACCCTAGGACGATCCGCCCAGCCAACCCAGTTCACCATCAAGATCAATACCTTACACAGTACTCACATGCCATTCTCACCAATCATGACTAATCCGGGTGTCTGCCATAACTATTGATCGAAAAGGGTAGTACCTAATTATCATGGGTCCAGTTGAGAAGCCAGAGAGAAAAAAATGGGATTATTTAGCCACTCTCCTTCCTATCTGGTGGAGCAGATCTCCCAGGTCTATGGTTCACCGTTCGTGGCGTTGCTCAATGCATTTTGGCGCTGGGCGAATCGCCAAGCGCTTATTTTCCTGTTACGAATGACTGTGCCCCCCGGTTCCGTTTCCTCCCCTCCGCCCGAGTCTTTCCCCCCTCTCTAACCGCCGTGTACGTGCGCGGTGCGCGAAGGGGACATCCATCAGTTGACCGGGAAGAGGGGCGGTACTCTGTCCACTCAGAGCTGCTTTTAAGATGATGAAGTGGGGTCTCAATCCGAATCCAGACACAAAAGGCACGGACAGTGTTGTTCATTCTATGGCACCGGACCAGACCACTTATTCGCCTTCCTTCGCATCAGGAGGGACGGATGGATACGAAGCGACAAGTACGGGGTACTCAGTAGAACACTGCTCTATGTGAATCCGCAACGGGAGGCAGGTTGCTAATGACATTCCGAGGTATTGTACGGACTAAAGACATGTAGTACTCTTCCAAGTCAGTTGGAAATACTCGGTACTTGTAGGACTAAAGGAGTACCGGTAGGTACTGAGTACTACCGGACCTGACGGCTAAATCCTCAGGCTCACTTACCTCACCAGCCATTGGTTCCCCCTCCCGGCCGAAGCCGTCCCGAGGTTATGGTTCGAAAACACGAGGGGAGAGCAGCTCTCATTTGGCAAAGTCCCAGAGGATACATATGGTACCTCCCACCTGCTTAATGTCCATTGAATATAAGAGACATGGGCATTGATGGGACATCTCAAGACATGCTAGGCTTTGAAGCCATACTGTAGTGTGAATTGGCCCTCATCTTCCATATAACATACCTAAGCACCACCCTAAGTCGATCTGACATTCAGGAACTAGCCTGCGCAATGTCTGATGGTAAATGCGCAATAAGCAACTTGACCTACCGTGGACTCGGGTCTTGCAAATCGAGTGTAACATTTCGCCCATCCTATTCCTCATACACAATATGATTCTTGCAGCCGTCAGACGCACCCAATGTATGGAGTAGGCGCTATGTCTTCCATGTTAGTAGTTTCTGGAAAACGGTATTCTGTGCCCGCGAGGCAGCAGTTTCCCTCACACAAGCTGACATGAACTGACCTCACAAAACCTGGGGGAGAAAAGAGCCCTATTGCTAAAGCTCTCAGGGCTAAAGAAGCCCCAGGCTGTTAAGTCCTAATGTTGTCGATGAAGAAATTCAAAACCCAGCAATGGGCCCGGGGACTCCTTGGCTTGGGCAAGTTGCTGGCTTACCGCCCTCGGAATCGTAAAATGGACCTGTCAAACCAAGCTCATTCGAAGATCCCCAAACCCCAGATTTCGCTTACCCAGTCAAGTGCAGGATGATCATAAAATTATGGCGACACAACGGGCTATAGGGGTGCAAAGCGAAAGGCTATATACGATCGAAAGAGTCTAGTCGGTTCCAGATCTGTTGGTTTTCCCCATGATTGAATTGAGTTTCGACAAGCACGCGATCGTCTGCTCACCCGCTTTGTCGGGTCGTTCCCAGCGGAGCCGCCGAACCCATCACAGCTCCTGCGGTCCCCATGGCCTTTTTTTCAAAGGCCGGAGATGACAACATTGACGCAGTTTCCTTGCCGATAATGCAGTGTTCCAATTTGAGCGGTTGACCCCCTACCAGATGCCTCCGAGCTTGACTCGGCAGGACAGGATCCGTTCCGACGATAATATACATCACAATCACCGTAGCTCTGGGACTGCTTGGGGATCTCCCGCGAAGGTTTTGGCGACTGTCCAATGTTAACTCTGGGAAAGACACCCCTGAATCCTGACAAAGTTACCGATGATTCTAGTCGACCTAGCTCGAAGCACTTTCATGGCTCGACAAGACATTATCGGTATTTCTGGCATTTCCGTTCCTCGATCCCCTGCTGTGCCTTTCTCAATTTGATCGTCATTGTGGGGAAAGACCTGTCGCTTCTTTGCCGGCTGGGTTTTCTTTCTCCTTTCCACCTTACATGTGTCTCCACGTAAGTCGTATCCATCGTGGCAGAAATGCCATCGCTGGCTTACTGTTAAACATTGTCAGTATGATATCTCCGGGTCGCTCAAAGCAATCCGCGCAACAGTATTGGGCATCCCTGTTGTTGTTGTTCCCTTGAAATTCTGCACGGACCCCGATGGAGGCTGACTGGAACCCCCGCCCGCTGATGTGAACATCCCAGTGAACTCGCATCTACCGGTATACCAAAGATAAGGACAAGTAGGCGGGATTCCTGGCCCATCTGGATCAAACGCTAAAGTCTCATGCAAAAGCCTTCCCAAGCAACATCTCACTCTCCGATCTACATTGTTATTAACGAAATGGTCATGGTGATCGGACATGCGAGGTGGAAGTTGGCTGGCGCACAGTCCCCTTCTCAGTCTCCGGTAACAAATCGCGGTCTACTCCGTAGTCGTTAGTCTTTACAGGTCACCCACCCATCGTTGCGTTGTCACCCACTGCTGAAGGGATTTCTGGAAACGAACAACGCCGTCGTCTCTTCATCACCGTAAGCTGAGATACTCGAAGGTAGACCGAGTATCTTGACATATTAATCGACCAAGATAAGCAAACGCATTGGGACTAGCATGGATGAAGTTATGACAGGCCATAGAAAAATGCCGTCACTTATCTAGTTATCTGTGCGTAGATTTGTCTTCTCTTGTCTTTTTACTTGCGTTGATCGGGTGTCAGGATTTACTGGCACGCGGCGCTGTTGGTCGCAGCCTCAGGCCTCAAGCTCGGCTTCGGAGTGCGTTTGCCTCTTTGGGACAGTCAGACTCCGTCCTGAAAGAAGGAACAGAGTCGCCTGTCTATTTGATGTGTAGCATGGATGGATTCAATGCACCGTACATCAAATGAAGAGTCCGAATTCTCCAGACCCTCTTTCTGGGACCAATCCGAAGACTCCCCGCTGCTACGCCATGCAATAATGACCCGTCCTTTTTGTGCCGGAGATCTGAGTCCTTGGCGGCCGTTGCTAGTCTCACCACTTCGGTTCGAATGGAGTTGTTTACCTGATTCGAATGATTTGATGTTTTAGCAAAAAGAGACTTGGAAGGATTGACTAACCTAGGCCACAATAGAGACTAAAGTATCTCCGGATTGCAATCCCCAATGAAGAGGCAGAAATATCCCGGCATTCACAATTATCTTCCATGTGGTGGAGTCATAAGGAGACGGAACGTCATTTGTGATGTAACTAACCTATGATGGAGTTCGGAACACAGATGCGAAGCATGGCGAGAATATATCATTATTTCCATTTTTCTTCTTTTTGCCCCTCTTCTTTTTTTTTCCTTTTTCTTTTTGATGAGACGATAGCGACAGGCAATGACCACGCCGAGTATTCTTACTGTACAAATGGGCAGGTTAGTGTACCGATATTAGACCGTCTCTAGTAGACCTAGTGGGAATGGACTTCCCACTGTACTTCTTAATCAACAACAGGGTGCACATCAATTTTTCGTCAGGGGTGGAGCCGTGGTTGGATGGGCTGGGCTCCACCGCTGCAGCCAACCCCTCAATCAATCCGTCCGTGGATGTTCACGGGCCAAGTGCTGCTAGCTTAGGGATGGTGGGAGGGGGAGTGCCAGAGTGACTGGTTTGACTGGACTGGAAAATCTGCCAGACAGACATCATGGGATGGAATTGTCATCCAAGGAGAGCGTGATGGTACGATGCTTCACAAGCAATTCCTCCGAAGAATGAATAAAATGATTGATTGATTGATTCAATGCTCCAGCTTCCCACCACCTTCCACCCACCTTCCAAGGGTCCCAAAGGAGATCCGGTGACCTCGGACACGATACAAGATAATCACTCCATGCTCACTCACAGACAGGTCTAAGCTCACTCGCGTCTCTCTGTCTTGCCATGCGAGACGGCTTACACACTCCGCCCTCATACTGTGCCAGCAAATTCCTTACCCGACACAGCCTCCCCCTCCTCTAGCTATTAAGCTAATACTCCGCGCGCTTTTTCGTGCTCATCTAATTTGGATCCCATGGCACAGCGGCAATCATACTAATCTGATAGATATTATGGAGATTGGCAGGGGGTGGGTTATCGGCGAGTCTTAGGATCTCATCTTAATATAATCAAGTATAACTATTATGGGTACCCCAGTTCAAGGAGCTCCACCTGTTGCTCCCATGGTACAGGGACGAAGACTATTGCTACACTAGATCTACAACGATGGGCTAGAGTACAGTGGCCCTCATATGTGTGACTGGTAGAAATTGCGACCACCTACTACTGTATCTGGTTCGTTCAATCGATCTGACAGCACTGGCTGACGCTCTCCCGACTGCTTCCTGCCTGAATTTTCGTTACCAGCCACTTAACCCTACTCTACTATTCTCATAAATTTCCATTGGATCTAGCTCCTGTATCGACATCCCACCCCCCCGATTTACCTACCTACCTTTTCCACGTTGATCCTTTAAGTCAGTCCTTGGCCCCTTCCCGAGTGTATCCGCTTTTCCCATCCCCATCATCACCATAACCATCATCACCATCATCGTCGTCGTCTTCCTCCAACTTTGCTCTCCCCGGTGCCTATCATCCGCGTACCTGCCATTAACACTCCCAAGTCTTCGAGGGCCTCATTTGGTCCTTGTCACGTTTTCTGGTTTATTTTCGCCCCGACGATCCACTTTTTGCTCCCTTTATCGTAGTTTGAAATCCTCGCACTCTGCTACGGAGTAGTATCTCGTGCATCCTCGCTGCTACCCGTTATTTTGGGAGAGCTTCGTTGTTTCGTGTTAACAGTCGGTGGAAAAGCCGACCAGAGGTGACAAGACAGTCGCGCAAGAAATATCGAACGTCAAAATTAGCTGCTTCAGCTAAGGTTGTGTCCCCCAAAGAGCGAGGTGAAACGGGGTACCTGCTTTCTCATCCCCGCTGGGTTTGCCTCAATTTCTTCAGGTCAGTCAGTCAGTCAGTCAGTCAGACGGTCTCAGTCCTCCCCTGAACCAGGATGAGGACTATGATTTTCTCCCCATCCACTTGCCTGGCTTCCTTCTACGCATCACCATTATGTTCGGCTTGAAGCTGGCTTTCTTCTTTTGTTGTTTCTATTTTGTCTGATTGTTTTGTATCTATTTTTCTCTCGGTTCTCTTTTTTCGTCGCTTCTTGGACTTGCTTGTGAATGATTCCGTCACTAGTGAGTCGTGTGTCATCTATTTCATGGTTCCATGTTTCCTCCTCAGTTGGTATCCTCACTTTCATGCTACTATCATCTGCTCTGCTCGGCTTTGCTTCGCTCTGCTGCTATTAGTACTATTTTCCCTTTCTCTTTCTGACCCTTTCTCTTCATCGCTGAGAATCTGGGTCTTGCTATTCGGGTCATGTAACTTCCTACCCGGCCTATTTCTCTCTGAATTTCGCCTCTATTCTTGGGTGTATGAATCATAAGTCCTTCCTATTACATCCTTGAGTGGGTTTGCCTTCTGAACTGTCGGCCCTTACCGTCTGTCTGGTCTTTGGGGAGAAATGAGAGGGGAGGAGAGCAGTTGATGGAGCCGCGATAGGCTTCATGGGACGGGGAGATCCACTGTTGCCAGTCCTCTGGCGGGCTCGTCCTCCTCCTTGGGATCACTAGTTGCACCCACTCATCCGTCTTTCGTCTCTGCCTCTTTGGTTCTGCTCGGACCTACCAGTCTGGGTCGCCCCCCCCCCAAGCCCCCAATGCCCCCCTCTTCCCCCGCTGCAGTACGCCGGTCGCTCGCTCTACATGACTATTCTGAGAGTAGAGCGAGTGCGCGAAAGAGCGAAAGAGATGCGAGGAGGGGAAAGGAAGGAAATCTTTCCGACTATCTGTCTTTTGCTCTCTTAGCAAAAGAGAGAGAGAAAGAGAGTAAGACCCCGTCTGGCCGTTTGGCGTTCCCTGCAACCCGCTCCCACACCCGGCTCTGGCCTAGTCTGACTGGCCTTCCATCCATTCATCGCCTGCGATGTTTCCTGGTTTTTTTGATCACCAGGAAGGGGGGGGGTCCGCCTCGATCTTTTCTTATTTTTCCTTCTCTTTTTTTGCTTTTTTTTTTTACTTCTTAATTCTCTTTCGATGTTTTTTTATTAATTTTAATTTGTCCCCATTTTATTTTTTTTTGGGCTGAGGGGGGAAATGGGTCTTTACCTATCCTTCCATCTCAATTAAAATAATGGTGGTTGATTTTTTTTTCCCCTTATTTTTCTTACCTTTATCTCTTTCTCTTGGTTCATCTGCCCCCCATAGTCATTACTAAAGCGCCACTCCAGAGAGAGAAAGGGAAACACCAAAGACAGAGAAGAGCAAAGCAGAGCAGAGCAGAGCAGAACAGAGCAGCAGATCTCCATCTTTCTCACCTTACCTTACTGGGAGAATCCACCAGTGAATTTGCAAACATTATATCTTCTCCCGTCGGGATTACTTTAATTCTATGTCTCTCCCCTGTTGTGATCATCATCATCATCATCATCATCACTACTATCATCATCAACATCAATTTTCGTCTTTATACTATTGTACTGATTCTACTCCTACCCCTACTACTACTTATACTTGTTTGGTTGTGCTGTGATCTACCTCTCTGTTCCCTGTGCCACTGGAAGTTGTACGTCTATTGTTCCTTTATCCTATCATTGGGACATTGCTTGTTTTCCCCTCCTTATTCCTCCACGGAGCATCTGAAACACTTCTTATCTTCAATTGCACGTTCCGGACCTATTTGCGCAGTTGGTGTCGCATGGCACCAGTGACAGTTGTGAGATTGAGTGTGAGACGATTGGCTTACATACCTGCTCCCAAACAGTTACCTTAACTACTATCTCTCTATCTTCTCTTGGATCGCCGTCAATTGAGTTTCCTCAACCTCCAACCCTGGACCGATTGACTTAGACTCCCTGTCAAAAACGGGCTTCAACTTGCCAGCAGAAAGCTTGGAGGGGGGAATTGCCGCAGCTTTGGTTAGGTTGGAGACTCAACCTACGCCGTACAGACTGAGTACAGACAGACTTACTCGATCCGATCGCCATCCGTGGAACCGCAGCTCCAGTTGACCCAGAAAAAGTCAACTAAGGCCACTGGGCCAGACGCTGCCTCTCTCCAGATTTCCCACCTTTTCCTTTCTTTTTACGAGGATTGATTTGAGAATAGGACGGGCCCGTGCTCTGCTGTCGATCCGGGTCTCCTGCTGCTTGCTTCTTAAACCCAGAACGAAAAAGAGGGGGGGAGGTTTTTAAACTTGCGCCATCGACCCTTTTCTACGGTTCGCTGTCGAGAAAGACTGTTGTTGAAGCTCCCATCGGTTCCAACTCGACTTGTCATTCTCTCTCCTACTCCTACTCCTCCGACTCTTTCCTTTCCTTCCAGTCATTCTCCCCTTCCTTCTCCTCCTCCACTCCCCATCTCTCTTTTTTAAAACCAAACCCCTCACCCCAAAAACCGAAAAGGTTATTTTTCGCCTCCCTCCGCCCTGTTTTCCTGCTGGTAGGGCTTTACTTGAAGCTTTGCTATTTCCTTTGTGTGTGCGCTGTCGCGCATATACTGGCCAGAAATCCATCAGTGGAAGCGAAATTACCAGTCCGAGCGAGCCTTTTGGCAGCTGTCATCCTGCATTCCTTTTTCTTTGATCGCCCCCCTCCCCTTCTGTGTTCCGGGAATTCTGGACTTCCCACTGACACACCCCGGTCAACCTAGCCGTGTCGCTGGGAAACCTTGATCTTCGGTGGTCTTAACTTTGATCCGCTTTACCTCTCTGGCCCCTTGCCAACTAGGTTCGAACCTTCAACAAAGGCAAACAATGGTCAACGGCACCACCACGGTGTTGGAGCCCACCTTTATGGGATATGTCGCAACAACACAAGATGCGTTGATTCTATTCGAGGCCTGTCTGACTGGTGTGCTGCACCATGTCCCCCGACGTCCGCACGATCGGGAACGGAGTCATTTAGTCCGCAGCGGCAGTGTCTTCATCTACGAAGAGAATTCGTCGGGGATCAAGCGGTGGACGGATGGTGTGACCTGGAGTCCCAGTCGTATCCTGGGCAACTTCTTGGTGTATCGAGAGCTGGAGAAGCCCTTCCCTCCAGGCGAGAAGAAGCGAGCGATGAAGAAGGCCAATCGACGTCCGGTACCGTCAACGCGACCGGGTGAGCCGTATCCGCGGCATGATAGCAACGGAGGGTATTCGCCGTCTTCAACAACCGGGCCCTTTGGCGATAGACCGCATCAATCCGACGTGGAACGGGCGCTGGTCGGCTCGCTGGTGGATTCGTATGGCTTCAAGGATTCTGGGTTGGTGAAGAAGACAATGAGCGTGACGGTGTCGGGCGTGACGCACCACCTAGTGTCTTATTACAGCGTGGAGGATGTGACCCGGGGAATGCTGAGCCCCCCGTCGATGGTCGAGTCGTTGAGATACATCCGGCCTCGGGCAGAACTAACGCAGAAGCAAAGCTTTCGGGCCCCAATTGACGATATGGATACGGGAGGGTTAGAGAATCCGAATGACCCGTCGCATGGTTTGTACGGATATCGACCTCACCTGGTAGCGCCTACAGGCTATGCGATGCCGAACCCTCACCCTGAATTCTACATGCACGCGACTCCTTACGCGGCGACTCATCCGCCACAATCTACGCCGATTCCTGGATATTCGATGGGAGGCTCGATTCCGGCACCATCCGCCCCTAATCCATATCTCCCTGCACCCTCCGCTCCTACTGCAATGCCCCCGAAACCGGAGGACTACACGCAATTCAGACAGCCCTCGTATGGCACCAGTTATGACGCAATGGGTCACAATCCTCTGTCCTCGTCGATCCCATCAGCTCTAAACACGGCCATGCCCAGTTCCTTGAGCGATCGCAACCGTTCCCACTCTGACCACAGTCCTTCAGCCTACCGTAACTCGTCGATTTCCTCACGCAGCGTCGCAACGGATGCCACGTCACCCATCGACCCGTCGACTCCTGCTACATACTCTCGGGGCGGGAGCTTCAGCCTGGGACCGCTAGACGGAGTGCACCAGCACCTGGAACAGCGAGGGCTGGGAGGATATGATTCAGGTATCTCGCGTCGTGAATCCAATCCCATTCCTACACCTTATTACACGGGCGGGGACCGACACCAATATTACGTGGGGGCCACGGCCCCGGGCGCACATGCCGGGTATCCCGTTTCGACGTGGACCACGGCAGCCCCCGCGCAACCTCAGATTTGATTCTTATCTTTTCTTTGTCTCCTGTTGTATTCGCTCGTTTAGCCTTCACTTCTCCCGAACCCACTTTCTTCTTATAAGTCTTTTTTTTTTATTCTCCAGAAGGGCGGCAATTTGGGAATAGACTATGCATATATGCTGTGGATGATTACCCGGATGAAGAACTCGCTCTAGAGGAGGTATGGGTGGCTGTCTCTCTTCTCTTTGCTTTTGCGCTTCTTTCCCAGTTGACTACGATGATATGATGCAGTATCAAAATACCTGTCTCGTCTTTCCTTCTCCTATTCGTCGGTGGTTTTGATTCTCTGCGGGGATTTTATATTTTTTATGTGGTCATGAGCAATGGGTTGGCTTGGGTGGCATGGTTCTGGGGCGGTTATCTGAATTCATTCTTTGCGATTCCTGCTGTTGCTGTTGCTGTTGCTGGTTGTGATGACGATCCTGCTATCATATTCCTAGTGTTCCATGTCACATAATGGCCATGGGTCGTGTACATTGAAGCGCAATGATAGGTGCTATCAGCTCGGATTTTGAATTGGCGTTCGTAGTTCTTTCTGGTGCCTACTTCTTGTGGCTTTCTCTTTCTCATTCTCTCAACCCTTTTTTCCCAGCAGTCTTGTATATAGAAAGTGCCTTCCTACCAGTGAGCAAATGACTGATCTGACTTGTACTCTAAGCTTCTGAATGTGTTCAGCTCGGGTCTCGTTGGCTGGGGAGGATAGAGCAGGGCGTTCTTATGTCCCTACAGGAGTTTCACGGTGTTTTTGGGAGATGAAGCCAATGGTTCGGAATCCTTGTTTCTTCTGTGCTCTGGGGGGTCTGTGTTTGTGAAAGATCAAACCAGTCAACGAGTCAGTCGACTTTTTCTCATTGCAAGCCAGCTAGTCACCTGCTCGCGAATACTCACTCCTCCTCCGCATCATTACAGGATCCGGCAGGATGATCCACTACTGAGTAGGCTGTAAATTTGAGGGGCTTGTTGTTGTTGTTGTTGTTGTTGTTGTTGTAGAAGTCGGCAGAGGACACCACTACTACTACTACTATGAGATGAATAGCCATTCTTCTATTGTCAATCCTTGTGATATGATAGAGATTCGTTATATTCCTCTGATACTTGCTACTAGGTTGTTGTTGGACGGTCTGAGGTGACAAACCGAGATCTCTCACTGGACCTCGATCTCCAGTGGGGTCTGATAGACTTCGTAATAGTCCATTCACAGAATGTAGGTATCTTGGAAATCTTCCGATCAAGCGTGGATCTGGACCAGTTCCCAGAACAGGCAGGTCAGTTTCCAACCGTACGTGAGGTGGCATCCAAATCCTTATCCATGGTCGTCTTTCCTGCGCCACCCCACTTGGTGAGTCTTAGTTCTTTTGGTGGAGACCTGCGACTGTTCCACTCGCGAGCTCTGCATTAATTAGCGACCATTGCTCCAGGTAGTCTCCTTGGTGATTTCAGGAATATGAATCTACAGGCTGCGTTTTGCTTTACCACTCGTATCCGAGTCAGTGTTTTGTCTGGGAAGATGAGCATGACTTCCTGCCCGGAAGGACACCTAGACGGGTGGTTGTATGGGATTATCGGGGAGCATGACGGATTCGATGGGGAATGTTTCAAGCACTACTGAGTGTGGATTGTGCACTGTGTCGGATTAATGAAATGAGTCTTTTGTGCTGTGTCCGCATTTCACAACACTGTAGCTTCTCGGTGAAGGTATCTTTCTGCTTACGGTAAACTCGACGATGTCATCTCGTCATCTCGGGCTAATAACTATATGAATCACACCCCGCCGAAGTCGCTCTGCATGATAAGCCCTGTAAGCTCCTACCGTACCATCCATCATTGCCAGGGGCTTGGATGCACTTCAGGGACCTCCATCCAACCGCATATCGCACACGTATAACGTCCATACGAAACGAAGACCCGCGATCCAACCCTGCGCACCTACACGTCCTCTCAAGCTGCCTTCTACACTCTCGCGATCTCCTCCTCCTCCTACCATCCCTCATTATACTGTACACGGCCATCCGCACGCACCAAGCAGACATCGGGATCAACAAGTCCGCCTTCTAGATGTAGGCTGCAGCCCCGACAACGCAACCCGGAATCCGGCGCCTTTCCTCCACGGCGTCATCGAGGTAGACTCGGAGCAAGCGACGATCGAGACAGCCGGCGCCTTGATTTACAATGTACGGACTCGCACGGGCGATTAAGTGAGGTTTGCTTGACTGTGAAGCTTAGGAGTGTACTGCTGCTGCTGCTGTCGTCGCCGCTACAGAAGATGAAGGCAGTGACGATGGGATGGTCAATCTAGTGCTCTGCGTTATGTCGGTCCGTGCCTACCCCAATTCCGCAATTGATTGCGTGATAGGAGTAGGGTGCAACTGGCTTTGGAACCCCATAGGCGCATTGCTTCTCCATGCGGGAGTTCAGGGAGCAGATGAGACTGTCTGTCAGAAACCGGAGGAATGATGGCAATTTGGACCTGCGCGTCACTATATTGTCATAGGTCTTGTTTTAGTCTTCGCTATCTTGTAGTGTGGTGGGGTGTCTGTCGCTTGGATGGTGGCGAATTGATGCAGGAGGAGCATAGATCTCACCGCGCTCATCGCGCCGGCCGTTCAAGTGGCGCTCTTCTATCTAGAGGATGCCGTGCTCACACCGCTTGAACTCCTAGAAAATTGGCTTGCCAGGGGCCCGTATGATAATCCCCCGATGCCGTGGGATGCGGAGTCCTCCGGTGGAAGGGTTCCCGGAGAGCCGGTGCACGCGGATGCAGTGGACTCCTGGGGAACAGGTAGCAGACGGGGAGGATTGCCTGTGGGTAGACTGCAGACAGTCGGAGCTAGGTAAGAGTTTGTGGGATCAACGAGTATGGTCACAAGATCGAGGCAGGGGAGCTCGACCATGCTGGAACTTACGGGGATTGTGCGGGGGTCGCGTTGGATGAGGTTCGCAAAGAGTTAGACGGGAGAAGTCAGAACCTAAAGACTGAAACTCTGATTCTTTTATTGTTGTTCGGAAGTAAATAATCAAAACAAATGCCATCTGATCGTTATCGTAATACTGGGGAAGGGTATATCATGCTGGTAAATGCAGGGACGAACAGAAAACCTCCGACTTATGCAATGCTCCTCTAATTGCTCTGACCTCGACTGCTTCGACGGGATTCTCGCGTCCCACTACTCTCCTCCATTTTCGTCTCGCGCACCGTGATCAACTCCGACGCCACCTGTGTATGCTTGGTACTTGGGTCGTTGGCTAACAGCAGCCGCATGGTGAACGAGCCTGGGTCAAAGCCCGGCATGGTCGGCAAAGCGACCTGATTCAACGCCGGCTTGCCCACCACCTCCCAGGCAGCATTCGCCGTGGCGGGTATTTTGGGCGCAGCCACGAGCGGATCGATCATAGTCAAGTCTCGCTTCACGTCTCGTCGGATCTCATTGTCGTCTTGGAATATTCCACCGTCGGGGGATACCTTAACTTCGTTAGCCACTGAACCCGTCGGCTCAAGCTGAGGAGATTACCTACCCCAGCCGCAAGCTTCCGCCCCGGCATCTGAACGTAGTCATCGAATGAGCTCTCCAGAGCCGCATAATTAAACCCCCTATCCTGAGTGACGGGCTCAAACCGCTGGCCCACCTGCTCGCGAAAGTCCACCGGTCCTCGTCGCACAGGCTTGTACCAAGGCAACCCCAGCAGCAACCCGGGATAACTGCAGCACCAGCTCTGCAGCACTGGCTCAACCTCCAACGCGAAATGCACCCGGCTGTCCGCGCGGGGTTTCTGGATCAGCATAGCGAAGGTGAACTCCCGCGGGAGTCCCGATCGCTGCAGCGTATTTTCCTCCAGGGACCAGACAACCTCGCCGGCTTCAACATCGTATTTGCGGCCCCGGGGGCTCTTCCGCGACCGAACAGAGCCCTGAATGCGCATCATCTCGTACCGTTTGTACCGTCCGTTCATGCCCCCGCTCGGCGACAGGCTGGCGATCAGCGGCAGATCAGCAAACCCCAGGGACCCGCTGAGGCTGTAGTTCCACTGCATGGTTTCCGGTGATACCGCGCCGTAAAGAAGGTGCGGTGCGTGCATCAGGAACCGAGGATTGTTGTTTCGGCTCCGACCGCCTCCAGACGATGCTCTCGAGGACTCCCTGGAACCGTGGACGGATGCGCGAATGGTCGCGGCCTTGAAACGATGCGACAACGTGTTGGGCGAATGGAAGACAAAGGTCAACCCGAGAAAGTCCACATGATTGACGTCTTGGTTAGAGACGGCGGCGCTGGAGTAATATCCATGCTGTAGGCGCTGCACTCGCGCCGTGATATAGGCGTCCCCAGGAAGGTGACGCTCATAGATGCACGCGCCATTGATGAGGAGACGAGGGTTGACGAGGTTGGGATCGGGGAGCGGGGAGTTTGATGGTGTTTTCGTCGTGTCGGATGGCTGAAGGACCGGGGGACGAGAGGACGGCGGGGGAGCCGCTCCAACGGGTCGTGACGGAGCTGGAGAGTGATCGATGGTCACTGTGGCCATTGTGGAGGTCTTCATCGTTGAGTATGTTGCTTTTCTCCCGCTATTGTCAGCTCGAACGCCCATTGCGAGTTAGCCGGTGTCGGATCTCCATGAGCCAGTTGTAGATCAATAAGTCTGAAACTGGGGTTCAAATCCAGCATATGGGAGTCCGGGGTAGAATGAGTAATGTTAGTCATATTTCTGGCAATGAAATGAAAGTGATCAATGACGACAATGGTAGCGACCGATGGATGAGGTTTTATCAGGTGAGGTTAAGGGAAGCAAGTCAGATGAGACGATGCGATACCGAACGGCAAGCGCCGGCTGCCAAGATGGGAGGAATCAGTCGACGCCTTGAGTCTAGTGCTTCTCAAACCAGAGCATGTCAGCTGCTGCGCCTGGCAATACCTTAGTCTTGCGATCGATGTTGTCCTGCTGGTGATTGAGAAGGATGGGGCTGATCCCGTCACGATCAAATTCCCTTGGTTGAGAATCAATGCTAAATTCAAAGCCTGCGCCAATGCTACCTGGAGATACATACCTCGTGCTACCATAGCTACGATCTACTCCTAGTACTCTCACAGGCTTCTCTCCAAACCGTGATCCACGACAATTGCTTACAACTCCGCCTGGCAAGTACAGCTTGCGGTCTTTAATTGCCGGAAAGCCCGGACTATAGCGAGCACGTAATATACCGGCCAAAGTACCGAATCCACAGGTTCCACAATCACACGTGGTTAGTATCAGCTGTTGGTTCGCCTTGGCGAGCACTACCCGTGATGCTAAATTTGACTTATGGACGAGCACAGCAGACAGGCGGGCAATGGGAATGCCACGAAAGAGGTGTTGGTGGCCACAGTTGCAGGCGAGCTGAGAGCACAAGTGCCTCGAGACGACGAATTCGGACCTTTGAGCAAATCTCGCGGGGCAAGACGTCTGCAGAGTCTAATCACCATTCTTTCCTGCATGTTGGCGCTTTGGCCGCCTCAACCTCAATCAACGTCCTTCAACCCGATAGCTTGCGTAGCTGTCTGGTATATCCGAATGGGCAGCCCATACCGCCATATGGACCCTTGTGCTTGTTCTTTCGCTGAGCTGGCGAAAGAATACTATGACTAGTGTGGATTTGTCTTTATCTTCTGAACACATTGTATAACCACTTCCTACTGGTGCGTGTCAGAGCCGCTGCGTGTCGCAGCCGAGTGTGAGGGTTCAAAAGTGATATGCATGGGGACCGGTGGGATTTTAGTTCGGCACCGTCGGCCAGAGAGGACGTTTCACCCATCAAATTGATATCGGGAGGCCAAACAGGGCAGCGCGGCCGAGAGGGATGCATGCCGGGCAGCGCAAAAAGTGGATTCAATGGCGATGCTCATCCTCTGAGTAAGGTATCAGCTGGTGGTCTCCCACCGCAAATTGTCGATGCTTTACTTCGCTTCGAGCGGTGTGGCCACCTGGGTTGATGGAAGATAAGATTGTGTTGTCTGTGGAAGACTTAATGTGACTGATCTTCGGCTGGAGACCGACTCGGCAACCAGCCAGCGACCCGCAAAGCCGAGAAAAAGCTGCATTACTAATGCGTCCAGAGCATTGCCCAACCAATCGATACTCATCCTGAGAGATCGGCCGAAATCTCCGGCACTCACTCACAAGAAATAGAGGGACGGGAGTGTCATCATTGCCTCATAGTACTATGGCGGTTTTGAGTTGAGGTGAAACCGAAACTACAGGGAGACCACAGGCACAAGATAGATATCTATCGAAATGTACCATTAGCCTTTAGAATCCCTGCCTGATCCGTGCGCTGCCTTTACTATGTTGCCGACAGTCGACACTACTAGAGGTGAAGGAGGGAGCGAGTCAGGGCAATGCAATTGCAGCCAAGACGAGCAGTCGTCCTCATCATCCATGATCACGAATCCAAGCATCTTGGCTAACCGAATTCAGACCCCGATCTCTTGTCCGGAAACGAATGAGTTGTCCGTCGTAAGCAACCATCATTATTAATAACTGAATAGTCAGGGAGGAATATGGATTCCGGTGAAATGAGCCTGCTGCTGCTTACTCAGGGACTTCGTTGATGACCCGACCCAACCAATCACACACGAGGATAACTAACTTTCAGGTGGTTGCCCCGGCCTTATCTCCGGCACAAGTTTTTTCATGCTTCAATTCTTTAGTTAGCGACTCTTGGGTTCAATCGGGCCCAGCCGATCTTGAATCAGTTAGCTGCCCTTCTGTCCAATCTATGATCTTCCTGATGACACCCCTCATGCTCATCCTGACTCATTTTCCTCTCTGGAACATCCAGCAGTTGGACTAGTCAAGTCTAGTCCACCTTTTTGGAGTACTGTAGTAAGTTACTGCCATCGCCGCCCAGCAGCCACCTTCGATCCACAGTTCGGTTGGTGTCGTCCCTCCACCCAATCCACCTCGTTGCATCCTCTGATTGATGCCTGCTTGAAGCAGACCCTGCCCATTCTCCACGGCTAGAAGATTCTGACAAATCTGCCAGATTTTTTTTCTTGTCAAAGGTGGCCCACCGGAGTTAACCAGCCAGACTGGCGGCTTTTAAACCATGATGCAACGACCTCCTTCGGCTGCCCCCTCCTGGTCTTCCTCTATATATTAAGCTCTTTAACTTGTCTTCCTGGCGTGGGTGATTCAAGCTTTGCATTTGTCGTTTTATAGACCCTCTCCTCTCCTCTTTGCAGGCGTGTGTCGGTGGGAGCTCACTGGGCTCTTATACGTGTCCAACTCCTGATATAATTTCTCTAATTACCTTCCTTTCTTTTCTTGACGCATTCCGGCTGTAGCTCCAGTGCTGTACATACCAATTTGCATATATTCCGGATTGCACCGTATCCGGTAACATCATTATCAATATTCTCATTACTATTCCTGTTCTTATTTCTTCCTAATACTCCTCCGATCCGCCACTGGTCCATCTCGATCAACGTCATCGGAACTCTATAACCGCGGTTCCGGCAACAGTTGAATTGAAAACGCATTGGTTGCTTCTCACTTCCGGAATATCGACAGGCTCCGAAAGCCCGCCTCGATCCGCCTGCGAGTAAAAAGTCAGTCATGTCCAACACCACGGCTGGAGGAAGCCGTATGCCGGGCGACCTGCACGAAATTCCGACGGTGGCGCAGGAACCCGGCTCTGATAGCCACAAAGCAAGCCACCATGTGTCGCATGCTGTCGCATCCGATCCAACGCTAACCCCCCTTTCGACGAGCGATAGCGAGAGCTCCCACGAGGGTCACTGGGGGGAGCGGGGCACTGGGCCCGTCTCTCGTCGGGGTGCAATGGAGGACTTAGAGGAGATGAGACGAGAGCTGACCAGGCTTAGTTTGCATCGTACTCGTTCCGTTAAAGGTGATGTTCAACGGCGTCGCTCGAGGGCTTCTCGAGCCGATGAGGAGAAAGCCCTGCAAGGAGATGAACTGTCTGGCTCCACTGAAGGCGATTACGATGCATTCGACTTGGGGGAATTCCTCATGGGGGGTCATCTTGAGCGACGAACCACGGCAGGAGAGCCAGCGAAGAAAGTCGGCGTCGTGTTCAAGAACATTACCGTCAAGGGGATTGAGACCGGGGCTTCGTTTGTCCGTACCCTGCCTGATGCTGTTATCGGTACCTTTGGTCCCGATCTTTACAAAATCATCTGCAGGTTCGTGCCGCAGCTTCACTTCGGTCGCAAGCCTCCCGTGAGGGACCTACTTCATGACTTCACCGGTGCGGTCCGTGAAGGTGAAATGATGTTTGTCTTAGGTAGACCAGGGGCCGGTTGTACCACCTTCCTTAAAACGATTGCCAATGATCGAGGCGCCTTCGCCGGTGTCGAGGGCGAAGTCAGTTACGGTGGTATGTCGGCTGAAGAGCAGCACAAACATTTCCGCGGTGAGGTCAACTACAACCAGGAAGACGACCAACACTTCCCCAACTTGACTGTGTGGCAGACGCTGAAGTTCTCGTTGATCAACAAGACGAAGAAACACGACAAGGACAGCATTCCCGTTATCATTGATGCCTTGTTGAAGATGTTCGGGATTTCCCACACGAAGAACACGGTCGTCGGAAACGAATATGTTCGAGGTGTCTCCGGTGGTGAGCGTAAACGTGTCAGTATCGCCGAGACTTTGGCAACCAAATCCTCGGTTGTCTGCTGGGATAACTCAACCCGTGGTCTAGATGCCAGTACGGCGTTGGACTATGCGAAGTCACTGCGAATCATGACTGACGTCAGCAAGCGGACGACTTTCGTCACCCTATATCAAGCTGGAGAGAGCATCTACGAACTGATGGACAAGGTCCTGGTGATTGATTCAGGACGCATGCTCTATCAGGGCCCCGCCAGCGAGGCTAAAGAGTACTTCGAAAACCTTGGTTTTGCTTGTCCGGACGGATCGACCACGGCCGATTTCCTGACTTCCCTGTGCGATGTCAATGCCCGCCAGTTTCAGTTAGGTCGTGAAGCATCTACTCCTAAGACTGCTGAGGAGCTTGAGGCTGTTTTCCGACAAAGCAGTGCTTACAGGCGACTCCTGGATGATGTCGCTGGCTATGAGAAGCAGCTACAGGATACTAACCTAGAGAGCACTCGTCGCTTCCAGAAATCGGTGGCGCAATCGAAGAGTAAGACCGTCTCCAAGAAGTCTCCGTACACAGTGTCCCTGGTCCGCCAGGTTGCTGCGTGTGTGCAGCGTGAATTCTGGCTGTTGTGGGGCGACAAAACTTCACTCTACACCAAGTACTTCATCATTCTGGCCAACGGCCTTATCGTCTCCTCCCTGTTCTACGGAGAATCCTTAAACACGGGCGGTGCTTTCTCGCGTGGTGGTGCTCTGTTCTTCTCCATCCTATTCCTTGGCTGGTTGCAATTGACCGAATTGATGCCTGCGGTCAGCGGACGTGCTATTGTCGCACGCCACAAAGACTATGCGTTCTATCGTCCTTCCGCTGTCTCGATCGCTCGTGTTGTCGTGGATTTCCCGGCAATTTTCTGCATGGTTGTTCCTTTCACGATCATCGTGTATTTCATGGCTGGCCTTGACGTTGACGCATCGAAGTTCTGGATCTATTTCCTGTTCGTGTACACGACCACGTTCTGCATTACTTCCATGTATCGCATGTTCGCGGCCTTGTCTCCATCCATCGACGATGCGGTCCGGTTCAGTGGTATTGCTTTGAATGTGCTGATCTTGTTCGTCGGCTATGTTATTCCCAAGCAATCTCTTATCGACGGTTCCATCTGGTTTGGGTGGCTTTTCTACGTCAATCCACTCTCATACAGTTATGAGGCTGTTCTTTCCAACGAGTTTGCCAATCGCGTAATGGACTGTGCTTCGTCAATGCTGGTACCGCAAGGCGCGGGCCTTGACTCGAGATACCAGGGATGTGCTCTGACTGGTTCTCAATTGGGCCAGACCACTGTCGCCGGCAGCAGTTACCTGCAGACAACCTACCAGTTCACGCGCCACCATCTATGGCGTAACTTTGGTGTTGTCGTTGCCTTTACTGTTCTTTACATTCTGGTCACTGTGTTTGCAGCTGAAACTCTTTCTTTCGTTGGCGGTGGAGGTGGTGCGCTGGTGTTCAAACGCTCCCGCCGTGCTAAGCAGCTCAAGGCTCAGGCAAGCAAAGGCAACGATGAAGAAAAGATGCAAATGCAGGGCCAGGGACCATCTCAGTCGGGCGCCAACAGCGAGTCATTTAACCGCATCTCGTCTAGCGACCGAGTATTCACTTGGTCCAACGTTGAGTACACAGTGCCTTACGGTAACGGAACTCGGAAGCTTCTGAACGGCGTCAACGGCTATGCTAAGCCTGGACTCATGATTGCGCTGATGGGTGCATCTGGAGCCGGCAAGACAACGCTGCTCAACACTCTGGCTCAACGTCAAAAGACGGGTGTGGTGACGGGTGATATGCTTGTTGACGGTCATCCTCTGGGCACGGAATTCCAACGTGGTACTGGTTTCTGTGAGCAAATGGATCTTCATGACAACACCGCCACCATTCGCGAGGCTCTCGAATTCTCAGCTCTCCTTCGTCAAGATCGGAAGATTCCCAAGCAAGAAAAACTGGATTATGTCAACCAGATCATTGACCTGCTGGAGTTGGAAGAGATCCAGGATGCCATCATCGGATCCCTCAATGTCGAGCAAAAGAAGCGAGTGACCATTGGTGTGGAGCTGGCTGCCAAGCCGAGTCTGCTCCTCTTCCTTGATGAACCCACCAGTGGTTTGGACAGTCAAGCAGCCTTCTCCATTGTGCGATTCCTGAAGAAGCTTTCGCAGGCAGGACAGGCTATTGTTTGCACAATTCACCAACCCTCGTCCATGCTGATCCAGCAATTTGACATGATCTTAGCCTTGAATCCGGGTGGTAACACTTTCTATTTTGGCCCCGTCGGCCATGAGGGCCGCGATGTGAAGAAGTACTTCGCCGATCGTGGAGTTGTCTGTCCCCCGTCCAAGAATGTCGCGGAATTCATTCTTGAAACGGCTGCAAAGGCGACTAAGAAGGATGGCAAGACGTATGACTGGAACGAGGAATGGCAAAACTCGGAACAAAATCAGAAAATTATGGACGAGATCAAGACTATCCGGGACGAGCGCAGCAAGATTCCCCTGCCCGAATCGGGCACTGAGTATGAATTCGCAGCCCCTGCTACGACACAGACATACCATCTTATGATGAGAATCTTCCGCCAGTATTGGAGAGATCCATCCTACTATTATGGGAAGTTGTTCGTCAGTGTCATCATCGGTATCTTCAACGGCTTTGTGAGTACTTCTCGGACTGGTCCGTTCTTCATCCCGTACTAACAATCGCAGACCTTCTGGATGTTGGGCGACACCATTTCTAGCATGCAGAATCGCATGTTCTCGACTTTCTTGATTATCCTTCTCCCACCTATTGTGCTCAACAGTCTGGTCCCGAAGTTCTACATCAACCGTGCCCTTTGGGAAGCACGTGAATACCCTAGTCGGATTTATGGTTGGTTCGCTTTCTGTACCGCCAACATCATCTGCGAGATCCCGATGGCAATCGTGTCCGCTCTGATCTACTGGGTTCTCTGGTACTACCCGGCCGGATTTCCCACGGATTCCAGTAGCGCAGGCTACGTTTTCCTCATGTCGATGCTTTTCTTCCTCTTCCAAGCCAGCTGGGGTCAGTGGATCTGTGCCTTTGCCCCTTCCTTCACTGTCATCTCCAACGTAAGTTTTGCTCTCCTCGCCCATGGCCTCTTTGCTCTCCGTCTAACATGCAAATCAGGTGCTCCCCTTCTTCTTCGTCATGACCAGTCTTTTCAACGGTATTGTCCGCCCGTACTCCGACTACCCCGTCTTCTGGAAGTACTGGATGTATTACGTCAATCCGGTGACCTGGTGGCTCCGCGGTGTCATCTCGGCCGTCTTTCCCACCGTCACTATCGGCTGCTCTTCCACCGAGACCACTCACTTTAACCCTCCTCCCGGCCAGACCTGCTCCAGCTATGCCGGCGACTGGGTTTCCAGCGTCGGTATCGGCTACCTATCCAACCCCAGCGCCACCTCGGACTGCCAGTACTGTCCCTACGCCAACGGCACTCAGTACATGCACACCCTGAACGTGCACGATGGCGACAAGTGGCGCTGCTTTGGCATTTTCCTGGCGTACGTGATTATCAATTGGGCCCTGGTCTACTTTATGATCTACTGTGTGCGTGTTCGTGGCTGGTCCTTCGGTCTTGGGTATGTATTCTCCGCACTGGGCAAGGTGATCGGGGGCATCAAGGGCCTGTTCACCAAGAAGAACAAGGAAGAGAAGCAGTGAGCGGGGTCGTTCTGTGAAGGGAGAGTAGCCTTTCGTCGCTGGCGATCCATATGATGTCACGTGCCATGGGAGTCAGTGGCTCGGATTGTTTTCTCAACACTGATCGGAGGGTATGAACATTCATTTACTTGGATCTCATGAAAAGTACATATCTCTAGATACCAGGATTTAAAACGCATTTTTGGTTATGCATCAGCGCAGAGGGATTCATTTTGTTTATGAGGAATTTATTATTTAGATAGAAAGAAGGAGTTCTTACATACCATACCATTCTTGTTGGCAAAACCTTGAATCTGCATGATAATCCATAAACCCAAACCGGACTGAGGCTACCTACAATCCTTCCAAGGCTCCAAGGTTCCTATTCGCTGGCACAAGGCATCACAAACAGCAAACCCCACCGCCTCGAAACTGCCCAGCGTAATGGTGCAAACCAGATTCAGCCCTGCGAGTTGAACCAAGGTCGCAGGCTCCCTTCGTACCGACGCCCTGGCACCCGCATCGGCACGGGAACTACTCCGTCAAACAAGCCCATTGAGCCTCCTGCCTGATCGTTATCCTCTGCCGGTCCTCCTGCCGTTGTGGCTGTTATCGAGGACGGGACACTACAGCCCGCAGTCTCTGACACCCCTTGGCCTCGTTCCTCAAGAACGGGGACAATAACCCCGCATTCCCAGTTGCGACAATTGAGCTTAGGCTGTTTGGTTGATCGGTCCATCACGAGGCGGCCCCTGCATCGGAAAATGTATAGATCTCAGTAATCGAATTTTCCTCGACAGAGTGGAATAGGGACCAAAGAGGAAAGAGAGGGTCAAGAGAGGGGGTTTTTCCGAGGCGGTGGGTGGACAATACATACCATGCACTTTCGGAGAGATTGGCACTACCGACATACGCCCACGCCCGGCAAACAGAGTTCTTGTCCTGCGTGAGGGGAATGGGCTCATCGGGTCGAACGTAAAGGATCTGTAGTTCATAGCTTTAGTTGGCCAGATCTCCATATTATGGTATGAGATGGGCATGTTTGGCGAAGGAGAATTACCTTGTTATGCATCAAGAGACCTTGCCGACGACTCTGGCAGTCGCGGAGGACATGGCGCGGGAAGTTGTCGCCATCGTACCATTTCGATTGGAAACAAATCGTTCCTGCGCAGTTGGGCCCGCCTTTGGAGCTGGCAACGGTGGGTTGAGAGGGGAAATACACGCGGAACCTGTCGTTTTTCCACTCTGCAGCTGTGCTCTGGGAGATGAGGGTGGCAGGGTTGGTGATGTGTTTTGCAGGGTAGGTCTTGGAGCTGCGAAGGCTAAGCTCCGTTAGGCCGTTGTCTCCTGACGAGTAGGTCTAGATTAGTTTCTGGACCATTGTGGTTTGGATGGAGACGGGTGAAGTTAACGAACCTTGACAGGCGAGGTAGAGGGATTTGAGGAAATTGTCGGAGAGAGAGCCAAGTGAAGACGCCTGTAGCAAAGGATCAGCTATGGAGGTCGGGAGCGAAGACGGAGTGTAAGGCTACTTACAACAAAATCAATGTTTAGTGGTTTGGATGTGCGCAGGCCCATATTTCTTACCGCACGCCCGAGACCGCAGTAGCCTGTACGTTCCCATGCGGTTCCTGCATGTGCACCTCCGCTGTGTGTCTGGTTAGTCACAGCAGGAATCTTCTTCCAAGATACTGGAGGAGCCTACATTGTATGGACAAATGCATATTTGGCTGTTTTGGAGAAGTCAAAGTTCTTCAGCTTCGCGATGATGCTTTCTTGCAGAGTGCAGGCTTTGAGGAAGTGTACCAAATCTTCATAGAATGCGGTCCTTGGAAGCTCCTGCTGGTTATCGTTCAATTTCGGTAGATCGATGAGAAAGACGCTCTGTACCCCGATTAGCGGCGTTCACTAGACCCATGTCGTGTATCATACGTTCTCCATGACTCCGTTCATTTCCCCCCAGTCATATTGAGTCAAATTGGCGGTTGGAACCGCGATCCGTACATATGTAGGATGGAAAAGGAGCATCAGCTTCGAATGCATGATGTTCACCTGACCATCCATCGGCGGAAAGCATACTCGAACAATGCGCAGAGCTGCTGCCTCTGCTTCATACTCGCGTTTCTCGAGGAAAGTAAGTTTTCTGTTTACGTGAGATCTGAGCGAATTGTACTCACGGTTGCTTCGTCCTTGGCTCCCATCATTAAGAGAAAGCGAGTTCTTCTGTTGTCGGTCTTGGAAAATAGCCAATCCAGGTCCCACTGGAACGAGCTTAGCACTGCCACCTCTAGATCTGACTTTTGCAAAACCTCCTCAATCTTGATATCGTAACCGTTTCGGGCATGACCTAACGCCCATGTCTTCTTCACCACGCCATCCGGAAATTGGAGAGGTGAAGATGTTGAAGCATGAATGCCGGAGATGTTTAAGTTACGGCTGGGTTGGCTGGTACGAGGAGCTGGAGTTGCCTCTATTTTGGTTGATTTGGATACAGGCTCATCGTGGGACGTGCTGTTGTCAGCTTTGCGTTTCGCGAGTCGCGCAAGACGCTCCTGCTCCATTTGCTTTCGATCAAGACCAAAGAAATAGGCCGGCCTAGCTGGTTCAGCTTGAGTGACCTCATCTCCGACAGTTATCACTGGGGCAGAAGTAGGAGTCTGGCTCGCGTTGGCTTGCTGCGTGATAGGTAAGCGAGATGCTGAAGATTGCCCAGAAACACTCTCCTCTGATGCTGAGATAGCTCTCTCCAAGTCATCGTCGTCATCTATCAACTCAATCAACGAAGGAGGGTTGGGAGCTTGATCAGTGATGGTACCCAGAGTCGTTGACGGGCTCGCGGAGGAGGGATCCTGAACTTCTCTAGATTCCTGCAAGGAGAGCGCAATCGCTCGTTTCATGTCCTCATCCTCCTCATCGTCAGTGTCAGAGCCTATGACAGAATTTGATTTGAAGAAGGCCGGCACCCGATCCTCAGCATCAGAATCGGTGTCACCGGTTAGATCGACCACAGGCTGTTGACAGCGCTGCGATGGCGATCCGTCCGCGGGAGCAGTCATGTCGATCAGCGAAGCAGCAATTGCTGCTCGAAGATCAGGATCATCTCCGTCTTCCGAGCTCATTTTGACGATTTTTGTTTGCTGTAAATATGGAGAATTGGAAGTGTTCACGATGGTTGCGTATTGTAGTTCTGCGGCTGTATTACCGAATCGAGTGTTGTATTGATGTTGTTGGTTGCAAGGTTGGTGTCAGTTGCTGTATGAATCCCGCTAGAAGTGGGCTTAAATGCGCTCTGCTGCCGTGAGTATGAACACAAATGCTCTAAGAAGGTTGATTCACTTGAGTACTGGATTGAAAGCAGTAGTTGGGAGAAGTAGTGAAAGTTATGATGAAAAGTTGCTGGGCGTTTGTCCAACGCTCGCTGGGAACCTCTCTCCGCCAACACGTGACCAAGCTGACAGAGGGCTGAGACAATGCCTCTGGCCTCACTATCCCTTCATCTCAGCATTCCGACATGTCAGATACACCTACTGAGCATGTGCTGTCATTTACAAAGGATCTATCTAGTGTTGGTGCACCGTGACTTCTGCTCATGACCTTAATGCGACCTACCGTGAATTGATATGCAAACAGCAGCCTCAGGATGCTCTTACCGACTAAGTTGCAGCTGGCTTGTATCATGAGTGTCTTCAAATATTGACTTGCTCATACCTGATAATAATTCACACTGCTTTTGATCCCGAAATCACTCATGCTATCTGAGGGCTAGGCTATGCTGCTCACCATCTGGGCACGTAGTTCCTTGATCCAACTGCGCCCACAGAGCGCGAATTGTCTTCTCCCCTCCGGTAAATGTCTTTTCACTCCTCAACAGGGAGGTGCACCATTGCGGCTGCCATCATGACCTTGGCCCAGAATCTTCGCGGCTTCATCTGATTCAGTTTATTCTCCCAGCCTCCAGCTGGAAGTCATAATATTCTCCCGAACTTGAAGACCATAAGAGCCCAATAAGAAACGAGAGGAAGTTTCTCGATTTCTTTCGCGGTTCAAAGGCGGGTACTCGCCACTTGAATCCGTCATAGCTTCGACTTGGCAATGCAGATGGCCGTCTCCAGCCCGCTACATCTTACTGTTCAGATACACTGCAGTACCAGATCAATGACAGCAAAGAAGATATCCCGGTCAGCAACGGCAGTCTCCAGCCCAAGCCCCAGGACAAGCAACCGTTTCTCATCTGGCGTCTTGGTAACAATAGCGCTAGCGATCTGACGAGCATACAGCTGGCCAACAATCTCATGACCTGGAGCACGACCTCCCAGAAGTGACGTAGCGGTCAGGTTGCTGATTGGGAGAAGGCTATCATCTGAAGAATCAGGGATGCTGTGAAAGCCCTCTGTACTGGGATTCTTGTTCTCCAAGGGAACGTGAAGCTGCGGGAGGTTAGTGAAGAAAGTCGATGGTTTGCTCGAAAAAATCACAGACCCAGTGACCAAGTCGGCCCTTTTGAGATATGGTGACCATAATTCTATCACTGAACTTGACTAGCATAACATCGGTTGGGATACCATTGATGATTCCAGCGGTTTGTTTTGTAACTGCGGGGAAGGGTAGGTTCACTGGTTTCTGGAAAGGATCGAAATCGAGTGCGGTAGCCATGATGTCGGACAAGTTTCACAAGTTTCAGTCTGGATTATAAGACTCTGAAGTAGCGCAGGATGTCCGTCAAGCTGCATAAACAATGATCAGAAGTACAAGCAAGCAAAAAAGCTATGGAGATAGTAAAGACGATGGTTCTGTAGCCCGCCCATTCCCCGCTGTCGATCATCACCAAAGGCGGTGAGTATATCCTTCACCGCTTGCGGGGCAGATTCATTCCGCCGCGGATTTTTTTCTCTCCTCATGGGTCAAGCATCCTTATCATAACCCAATTTTCTCCAATATTTATCCATCTTGCGGTCATTCGATCCTGGTTAATCGAGTAGGAGCAAGCGCTTCTGCTTCCAGGCACCATGCCCAAGTTTGTTCCTCGTCAGCGGAAGCAAAAACATCGGCAGCAAGTGGAGTCAACTGGAGTAGACACCAATGCCGCCGAAATTTTGCCCATCTCCAAAAATGAAAAGGAAGCAAAGCGCCAGCGGCTGAAGGAGGAACTCAAAGCGCAGAACCCTGCTATCTCCTCCAAAAAACAGAAGCGCCTGGATAAGTATATCGTGCGTATTGCGCCCGTATGTGTCTCACGAATAATTCTAATCCATACGTGCAGGAAACAAAATTGAAGAAAGAAGAGAACATTGAATTGTTGAAAAAGCTCGCGCAAAGCAAGATCGATACCTCCGCTCTCCAAAGTTCGAAGGAGCTCGGAAAGCGCAAAAGACCTGATGAGAGACCGCCGCGACCAACCGTCGCCGGCCACAATGCTCGCCCTGTCCACGAGTACTCCGACGATGATTCAGACGATTCGCTACCTCCAGCCAAGTCCATTGCCGTCGCTACTATACCAGATACATTTGCAAATACATCTGCAGAGCCACAGAACGTAGGCAGCGGCTTGAAGCGCCCACTTGAATTAGGTCCAGATGGGTTCCCGATTCTCAAGAAGCGGAAGCGCGCACCGAAGAAACCAATGATCACGATAACTATGCCTGAAGTTCCATGGGACGGTTTTGGCTCAGATGATGAAAACTCAGCAGATGAGCGCAAGAAATTAAAAGGCGAGGCGGCTGAACAAGAAACCAACCGGGACTCAGATGAAACGTCCGAGGATGATGACACTAGTAACGAGGACAGCGAAAGTGGGAGTGACCAGGAAGACGATGAGGAGGAAGAAGGAGAAAGCGACGAGGATGAAGACGAAGATGACGAAGATGATGGAAAGGATGACGAAGATGATGAAGAGGATGACGAGGATGACGAAGACGATACAGGTGATCTCAGCAAAGTCAAACCACGACAGTCCGCATTCAAGGATTGGGCTAGGCAGCAGATCAATGAAGCGGTGGGATTCAAACCTGCGACAGTCCCAATCGTCTCCGAACCAATGCCTTTCATCCCCGAACCCAAGAAACCCGTAAGAAATACCGTTTACGAGGAGGAGCCGCTGCCCCGAGAGCTTCAAGTCACCACCGGAGATCCTAACCGCAAGGCGTTCAGTGTCCAAGTCAATCGTTCTGAGGAGATACAGAAGGTACGTGAAGGCCTGCCTGTTGTTGGAGAGGAGCAGAAGATCATGGAAGCCATCTACAACAATCCTTCGATCGTGATTTGGGGTGCGACTGGTAGCGGAAAGACCACTCAGCTACCCCAATTTCTGTTCGAAGCCGGCTACGGTAGTCCTGATAGTCCCAACCCTGGGATGATTGCAGTTACCCAGCCGCGCCGAGTCGCTGCTGTCAGTATGGCGAAACGTGTAGGCGATGAGATGGGACAGTTTTCCGACCGTGTGTCTTATCAAATCCGGTTCGACAGCACGGCAACCAGCAAGACTGCTATCAAATTCTTGACCGATGGTATCCTCATCCGAGAAATCGCCGAAGACTTCTCACTGAGCAAATACTCTGTCATTGTGATTGATGAAGCCCACGAACGAAGTGTCAACACGGATATCCTCATCGGCATGGTGAGCCGAATCGTCGATCTCCGGAAATCTATGAGCGAGGAAGATCCGTCTGTCAAGCCTTTGAAGTTGGTCATCATGTCTGCTACCCTGCGAATTTCTGATTTCACGCAAAACCCCAGTCTATTCCGCCAGGGACCACCCCCACTAGTACAGGCTGAAGGTCGTCAATATCCCGTCACGATTCACTTCTCTAGACGCACTCACCGTGATTACATTGAGGAGGCCTTCCGCAAAGTATCTCGAGGCCATCGGAAGCTACCTCCAGGTGGTATCCTTGTATTTTTGACTGGACAGAACGAGATCCGCCAACTCTCCAAGCGTTTGAAGCAGGCCTTCAAGCCTACCCAGCGAGGAGACCCAAACCAGGTGAAGGTTCAAATCTCGGCCAACGATGCGCCATTAGAGGCCGAAGATCTGGAAATCGGCGGTGCCGATATATCTGTTCCTGGCGGTGAAGGAGATGATGAAAGCGATTATGAGATTACTGGTTTGGATGAGCCTGACAGTGAAGAAGACGAAGAGTTCGACTTAGGTGAAGAGTCCATGAGCTCATCCACTCGGGTTCACGTACTGCCCTTGTACTCCCAGCTCCCTACCAAGGAGCAGCTCAAAATCTTCGAAGAGCCACCGGAGGGCTCGCGTCTCATTGTTCTGGCTACCAATGTGGCAGAGACCAGTTTGACGATTCCTGGCATTAAGTACGTGTTTGATTGCGGCAGAGCCAAGGAGAAGCAGTATGATCTGTCCACAGGAGTGCAGAAATTTCAGATTGAATGGATCAGCAAGGCTAGTGCAAACCAGCGAGCAGGTCGTGCTGGTAGAACTGGTCCTGGCCACTGCTACCGTCTTTACTCGTCGGCAATCTATGAGAACGAGTTTGCCGAGTACACCGAACCGGAGATTCTACGCACACCGATCGAAGGTGTCGTGCTGCAGATGAAGAGCATGGGTCTGCACAATGTCATCAACTTCCCCTTCCCCACGCCCCCTAGCCGTCAAGGCCTGGCCAAGGCCGAAAAGCTCCTGAAGAATCTGGGAGCTTTGACCTCGGAGGGCAAAATTACCCAGATTGGTAACCGCCTTTCTACCTATCCTCTATCTCCTCGGTTCGGCAAGATGCTTTACGTTGGTCACCAGCACGGCTGCATGCCGTACGTCATTGCCCTCGTTTCAGCTTTAGCAGTCGGAGACCTCTTTGTTCCCCAGAGTCAGATTGACCCTGTGCCACCCAGAGCCAACGATGATGGAGGCGTATACACCAACGCGGATCGCCTCGAGGACACGGCTCGGGAGCAGCGCCACAAAGACTACGCCCGGGTCCATCGTCTTTTTAGCAAGCACGACGACACCTCTGATGCAATGAAATACCTGTCAGCCATCTGCGCCTACGGGTACGCCTCCGACGGCGATTCGTTCTGTGAAAAGATGTTCCTGCGTGCCAAGGCCTTCAAGGAGGCCACTCAACTCCGTCGTCAACTCACGGATATTGTGCGAACCAACAACCCTGGTCTCGTCCCCGCATATCAAGCGCGTCTGCCGGAGCCGTCTGAGAAGCAGGTCAAGGCGCTCAAGCAGATTGTCACCGCGGGTTTCATTGACAATGTGGCCCTTCGCGCAGATCTGGCGCCTGTACCCCCGGAGATGGCCCGGACACCCAAGCGAGCAATCGACGTCCCATACTTTACGCTGATGAAGTCCCGCGAGGGCCCGGGCTTAGAAGTCACCGAGAAGTGCGTCTATGTGCACCCATCCTCCATCCTTGCGCAGATGTCGGCCAAGGAGATGCCGCAGTACATTGTCTACTCCCATCTCCAACAATCTTCCCCATCAGTGGTGTCAGCAGAACAGGCACCCAAGATCCGGATGTACCCCCTGGCTACTCCGAGCGGACTGCAGCTCTCTGCAATCGCACACAACACGCCGCTAATCGAGTACGGCAAGCCGATAGGAAAGGCGGAGACTATTGAGGGTATTCCCGAGCGACGCTCCTGCTGGGTAATCCCGTCGCTGGTGGGTGAGGCCGGCGGCTCCAGGTGGCCTCTGCCCGCGAAGAAGGTCATTCAGAGGAAGGATCCGAAGGAGGGATGGGTGATTGAGAAATTTACCAGCTGAGCTATACATAGAACATGAAGCTTGCAAGCAAAAAGTTAAGATGATATAGTTAATACACAGGTATGTGTGGTTATTCGTGTCAATCCAGTAATCCCGAACTGAAAAAGGGAGGAATGAGGGAGAGGCAGTAAAGAGAAACAATGCCTCCAACGTAACGCCCAAAACACCCATCCGAATCAAATTCCCAAGCCTAAATGAGACCCCCAAAAACATGCACTTAATCCCTCCGTCTTCCCCCGGAAATCTCCCCCGTCTCCCTGTCCTCCCGAATACCCAGTGCCCTCCTCAACCGCTCACTCTCCTCAATCTTCGCCTCAGCCAACTCATGCACCTGATACGACTTGAACTGTTTCCTCGAAGGAGGGGGCATATCTCTCTCCCTGCCCCATCTCCTCCCACCATTATAACCACCACCACCACCTCCTCCTCCTCCTCTACCATCCCTCTCCTTCCTCTCCGCCGCCCTCCGCTCCTCCACCTCCAAATCCTTCAACAACCTTGCCCGTAACTCCTCGCATCGCTCGTCAATCTCCTCCTCCGACAATACCCGTCTCCGATCCTTTCGCGAATCCTGGTCCTTCTCCTCACCCTCCTCGCCTTCCTCCTTCTCACCCATTTTCTCCTCGTTTTTCCCCGCCGCCGCCGCCTTCTTTCCCTTCGCCTTCTCCTTCGCTTCCTCCTCCTCCAACCGCTCATTCTCCTCCTCCAACTCCTCTCGCAACTCCATAACCTTCACCTCCACCGCCCGCCGCCGATCATGCTCGAGGATCTGCTGATCCGGCATCCGCTGCTTGAAGGGACGACCACCTTCAATCGCGGAATTCGCTCCGGAGACGGGCGGATACGGTTGGCCGTAACCTGTGGTGCGCGGCTTGATGAAGGCAGCGTTGCGCTGGACGTAGCCCGAGGTGCCGCTGCCACGCGGGGTGGAGAGGCCGACGTTAGAGGACATCTTTTTTTTTCTTTTGACCCTTTATTGCCTTTTGTTTTTTTTTTTTTTTTTCTTGTATTTTGCTTCGGTATGTTTCGTCAGGGGCTAGGTAGGGTGTAGTGGGGTGGGTTTCGGCGATTAAGATCGTGATTTCAGTTCTTAAGAGGAGGGAGAGAGAATGAGCAGCTGAGATCGGTTTTGCTTGTTTGGGAGGGTTGTTGTTCGTCCGCAGGGGTATCAGTAGCGATCCTTCGGCGATGGGTCGGTTTAGTGGAGTATGTACGTGTTCGAGGATGAGTTGAAGGCAAGACTAAAGTCACGAGATAGGATTGTCGAGAGGAACTGTCTGGCCGTTGGTTGCGTAGCGAAGATGAGCTGGAATTATTGCAGACAACGACGATATCTCCGTCAAGGTTCCTCCGCCTTGGTTGGTACCGCAGTCTATCTATCACGTGATGATAGCGCGCCGGTTACGTACATGCAAACATGCAAATGCCTTCGATAGCAGGTGCAAACACCACGGTTTTTACATCAATATCATAAGCAGAGAATGCAGTTCGCGAATAAGCGTAAAAACAGTCGCGTTTCATTTCGTGGTCTGTATACTAGAGAGCGGAGCCTCTACATGCTCTAGGCATACCTTATGTTCCCTATTTCCAGGTCTCCCATTATGTCCAAGGTCGCATTTTGTTAAACCCCTCCGAAGGAAATCAAGCGCAATGCCCCGTAACCCGTAATTCACCAATAATTGACGCCGATCCTTCGTGTTGTTAGGACAGAGAAACGAAAATACCGATAGCTATGGAGGCATGTCCTCGTTTTCATCACACAGAACTTCAAAGGTAAACAGAAGAAAGAAATACATCCATAAGCATATTAAAGAAATAGAGAAATAAGTTTCAAGAAGCAAAAGGGGTGGGGAATAGTAAAAAGCGAAAAAGCAAATGACTTCAAGTCTCCGCCGTGTCCCTGCATATTGCGCCGTCAAGCCATGAAGAAGAGCGCGAAGGTGAGGAGCAATCCATCCTTCAGAGCCCTGTATGTATACGCCCCGGTCAATAAATCGTTGAAGAACTCTGAACATCTGAAGAATAAAGCTATATTTCAAAGAAAGCAAGATTAGGTATAGAGTCGTTGCAATCTATGTCGTACCAGGAACTTCGACGGAGGCGCTCGTGTCCGCCTGGGCTGGTCCCGATCCAGCCAATGAGGTCACAGTCGTCTTGGGAATATTCTTGTACTCAGCAGAGCTGTCCGCACCGGTTTGACTATCAGTCGGAGGCGGCGTCGGAGGGGCCGCTCCAACAACGGGGGCCCGGCCAGTCTCGAGTCCATTGACCGCGCGCTTCGATGGCTGCGGAGATGATTTATGGGAGTTGGGCGGCGTGGTGGACGTTGCTGCGTGAGGCAGAGACCCTGCGGGACCGGGATTGGTCCCAGCGATCAACTTCTCAATAGCAACGATCTGCTTGCCGTAACTGTACTTCTTTAACTGATCGAGCATCGGCTGGATGCGCAGTGTAAGGGCATATTTCTCCTCGGACGAGTCCTGAAGTTGACCGAGAATTTTTTCTGCGAGAATTAGCGGCAGACTCCGACAGGAACCCAGGTATCACTTACGAATGACATAATTGCCATACTGGTCACGCATCAAGCCGATGAGCGGACTCTCACCCCGATCATTGACACTGGTCAGCGTGTCGATAATCTGGCGACGTTGAGATTCTTCGCCGAACTCGATACTTTTTTCCACCACATTACTGGCAAATTTGTGTTTCGAATATGTCAGCAACTGACTGATGACAACATTGATCATTCGCGACCGGTCTTTCTCTTCACCGTTTTCGATGACATGTTGAATGACGTAGTTGCCGAACTGGTCAGATATGAGCTTGGCTGTGCACGGGTGCAATTCAGCCAGTATTGATTCACGATCGGCTTCTTGGCAATGCTCCAACATGCGCTGGATGACACGGCACCCGTACGGATGAGCGGACAATTTCTCCACCTGTCCCTTGAAGGCATTGATGATGAACTGCACATATTCCGAGGGAACTCTCTCAATTGCCTTCTGAATAACATGGTTGCCGTTCTGGTCCCGCACACAACGAAGAACATGATGCTCTAGCTCTTTGACCATAGACGCTTGCTGATCTGTCAATATATGCTCGAGGGCCTGAGGGGAGATGCGTTAGCGACTGTAAAAGCAAAACATCACCAAGATACTACAAGTGAAGCTTACCTTTTGCACCACACGGCACCCGTACATCTGGTTCGAAAGGCCCAGGATATGTCCCTTCATTTGATTGGCAATAATCTTCTTCTGAGTCTGGTTGCCGTGCTCAAACAGTTTTTGGACCACATAGTTGCCGAAAACGTCAGTCATAAGCTGCAGGGTATTCTCACATATCTCACGGAAAACCTGCTCCTTCTCGTCACTATTCGCAGTCTCGAGCTTCTGCTGGATAAATCGTGAGCCATGCTGATCCCCGCTAAACTCGACTATGTGGCCGTAGATATCCTGAAGCTGTCAGTAACCATTCATCATAATCGGAGAGGCCTACACACCTTCAGTTCGTAACGTTTGTTTCCCTTGCTGTTGGCCCTGAACTCCTCGAGAACAGCGCTCCGCGCAACCTGCGAAGATAGGTCTTCGCGATGTCCCCTTTGAACGAGATTCGCTGCGCTTAGCTGGGCTGCAGGGTGGTAGAATCCACTCAAGGAATTAAGTCTCTGTCCTGCTGGGTAGCCGTTGACATTAACGTCGTAGCCGGCATTGAAGGCGACACGCTGCAGGGGTTCGGCGGATTGCGGAGGAAGATGCTGTTCCCGTACCCGCATGAACACTGCATTGTCCGACAGCTGACTCACAGATGGATTCCGAAAATGGGGACCGTTCTCAGGTGCATAAAACGGACTCTCCATTCGATTGTACTCGGTTGGTGAGATGGGATGGCCCTCCATGACACGAGCCCTGGCGCTTTGATAAGCAAGTGACAAGTCTGTGGCCACATCCTCATTTCCATAGCCAGAAGCGATGTGATAGTTGATGTCCTCGTTCCCGCCCGGATAGTTCAGCCGCTGCATAGCATTGTCATATGACTGATGTGTCATAAAAGCCGGCCGCGTGGCCGGGTGCGCCGCGATGCCACCATCACTGAGCTGTAATTTGCCAAGCCCCGCACTGATGTCTACCGATCCGGACCTACCCTCGAACCCCTGAGTCTCGGAGTTGAACGACGAGTAGGATGAGTGGGCCGGTCTGTGCGGCACAAAAGACGCAGAGTTGTGGGAGACATGCGCATAAGAAGAATTCCGGCTCATGTGCTGAGGAATGAAATCGGTCAGAGGCTGAGAAAGACCTGGCATGGTCATTGAGGAAGGCGCCTCTTCCGCTCTGGTGTTCTCGAGGTTGGAGAAACCGGGCTTCATTGGAAAGCCCGAAGCCCCAGAGCTGCTGCCAAATGTAGCTGTATTGACCTGTCTTCTGCCATCGTTACTGCGAAACCCTGTGAAGCCTCCAAGCGTTATACCGTCGCTCGAAGGAGAGATGCCTTCGGATCTCCCATTCATGTATGGTGGATGGGCTGCGCTAACAGAAGAGCTGCTCATTCCCGACTTCTGAATCGCAAAATACGAGGAAGGTTCTGCTGTTTCAGACAAGGAGGCTGCGCTGCGATCATTGGCCCGGGTCTGAACAGGCGAAGAAGCCATGCCGCCGTTGGGACCCCTGGTTAGTGCGCTACCAGGTGTGTTGATGGATCCCCAAGGATTGGGCCGGCTGTTCCAGCTGTCGGACTCCGAGGTTGACAATAGGGAGCTTGAACCAGCCTTGCCTTCAAAGGCATTATCCGAGGTGTGTTGGTCTAAGTGTTGCCTGTCAATTCAACTCTTTAGGCATGTTCATGTATCTCTTACCTTCGAAACTTCTTCCCCAAATGTTGTTAGAGTTCCAGCTTCCGTTGTTGCTACCGAAACTGTTTCCCATACTTCTCTGGGAGGCTCGTGGCCTATTGGTACCCACATTCGCTGGGTTTATATTGGACCCTCTGTTCGACCGTCCCTATGATTGCAGTCAGCCACATTGCGCGCCTCTGCCACATATGTCTACCACCTACATTGTGACCTGTGCTAGAATTGTTGGAGGTCATAGTGAGCATTCACCATGCACTTCCGTTGTCCAGTATAATCGGTTTATGAATATATCGCCGTCGCTTACTGCCCACTCCAAAGACGCTTGGTGTGTTCTTCTTGGTAATGTGGATGCTCCGGTGTACGCTCAATACCACGGTCGTGATTGAAACGATACAAATAGGTATATCCGTCCGGGATGGGGAGAAAGAGGGCACGAGGTCTGTAAAAGGATAGCGGACTGCAGCATCATTAGCCATATGATCGGTCCACTGCCATCAAGCTGTCTGGGAACGAAGGATAAACTCACACGAGAGGCAAAAGAAAGCGAATCGAGGTAAAGAAGGGAAGGGGGCAGAAAGGAGCAGACAGGTTCCACGGGAAAAATAGAAAGGTGTTTTTGTCCAGAACCGACACGGTCAAGCAATGCGAGATTTTACACCGGGGTCTCAAAGGGATGGAGCTCGGAAGGGAGGAGGAGCGTGGCAGGCGAAAAATGCTTAACAGAGGAAGGAGGTAGGCCGGGCGAAGAAACGCAAGGTAACCTGGGCTTCTTCGTTTGGCAGCGCGATGCTCAGCACGCAGCGCTAGATCAAAAATCGCCAAAAAGATATTGCGATGTGACTATGCTCCGTGCATGCTCCAGAAACCTCGAACTTTGCAGATCGTCCTCATGTGCTCTTCGGAGCAGAGAGGGATAGCCGACACGGGTCCAGTTTTAATCAGACAAACGTTAGGAGCTCGGATGATTCGCAGCGGCAAGGGGTGTGGGGAGGGGCGAAGGGTTGAAGGAGACTGTAGATGGTATGGAAGGAGAATGTGCTTGTTGCGTAAGACGGCGTGATTTAGTGGAGTGTCGAACGATGGGAATGTGGACGAGAGACGAAGCACGGCATTAATGTAATTCAGTTGTGACACAAGGCGAAGGCAAGCATGACACCCGAACTGGCCCCAAAGTAGATCAGTATTTTATCGCACCTCTCCGTTCCGTTTGGGTTTGAAAGTTCCCACAGGGAGTTGGAACTCGACAGGAGCAGCAGGGTGGTTTATATAAGGAGGGAGAAGGGTTCAGAAAGAGAAGAATAAATAAAACAATAAACGGGGGTTGGAAAACCGCGACCGAAGGAAGAAGACGAGAGAATCACGTATTGAGAGAGTTGCAGTGGTTGAGAGGTTGAAGGTCGGAATGATTTCAGGGTAGGGAAAGGAAAAAGGTTATTTCAATAATAAAAAAAATCGAACCCGAAAAAAACAGACCTGGGTTGACCCGCGACAAGTGAAAGTTGGTAGCACAAAAGAGGCACCAAAGATGACCCCGTGTGTAAAGAGAGAGTGTGTGAGTGAGAGAGAGAGAGACAGAGAGGGAGAGGGGAAAAAGGAAAATTATGACGAATTGTAAGGGGAATGAAATGGAGGGGAGGATTGATGAATGAAACGAAAAGTGAGGAAGAAAGGAATAGATTGAGCCTTACTCAGTCTGCAGCAGCAGCCAGGATGAGGAGGGAGTCGATTGTTTGACTGATTGATTGATTGATGAAGAGGAGGATGAGTTGGATGAATACCTACCTCTAAGGTAGTTCGAGAAAATTGATAGATAAGCAATCAGTAGCAGCACAAGCAACTGAGCTGGAAAAAAAAAAAGAGTGCTGCGTGTCTTGCTGCCAGGCTGCTACTGCTTGCTAGCTGCTTGTGCTGCTCATGAGAAACAGAGAAAGAATTCTGGGTACCAGTTGGTGGTCCGCAGCTTGGTAACAATACAGGATAATGACAATACCAGACGATCTTGTCGATCCTTCTCAAGTGACTTGCACAACGTATGGGTGGCGCACTGGACGAGCAGGTACCAGATCCTCTCCTCTTCAGCCCTCCTCCGCCCTCCCGACCCTTCTTTTTTCTAGGCGCTTGTCCACCCAGTCACCCACTTCTCAGTTCCATTCCGATACGGTTCCAGTTCTACACTGGCGCTGAATCTGGGGCCGTCCAAATTCGCTCCCGCCGCTTCTTTTTTAGGCTTCCATCTAAGGCGACCGGCCCCTCAATCCTGTCAAGTCTGGGCGTATCGCGTGAGACTCTCTCAACTTCAACTGTGAAGGTCAATCATTCATTCATTCATTCATTCATTCATTCATCACCCACAATTCACCCCGGACTTTCTTCCACCCTGCCGATTCTTCCAATGTTACCAGGAGATAGATACTATTTGTGACTACCAATTTTCCTGGCACTGGCTAAGTTATCAAGGGTTGCACAAACAAAGTTGAGGAGGGAGGGGAGAACCTTCTAACCAAGGACCGCAGCAGAATAGGCTGACCGCCACAGTCAAACTCACTCCCCTTCTCCTCCCAATCCCCATCATTCATCATTGCCATCATCATCATCAGCATCATCATAACTATCCTTATTTGTCTTGACCTGGTTGTCGGACATCTCGGCTACTGTGGCGTAATGGATTCTTTCTTCCGTTTCCATCTCCCGAGTCGTCCCCGTAGCTATCATTTCTGGCAGACGGGCGGCGGGCTGAGGGGTCCCCCATCCATGAAGGTCGGGGGGGCATTTTCAGCATCTCGGACGGACATCAATTCCTAACCAACACCTCAGATCGTAACTTCCGGTCCCTTGTTCTTGGCTTAAAGCTGGCCTGACCCGATACTTGAGTCAAGTCAGCTACTCTGCCTATACTCTATACTGTGTTTGAGTCATTACGGCTTAGTTTTTTTCTTACAAAACATTTTCATGAGAGGTTGGTGGTTGATACTAAGGAAGATTGGCAGCACACGTAAAGGTTAAGTTGCGCTCCAGCCCGATCGATCGGATCCACTAAACTAGCTTGAATTTTTCCTGATAAATCAGAGTTTATTATTATTCTCGAGCCACCTTTGGACCCTCCTTCGACAATGAAATTCATGATGCCTTGATTATCCGGGCCGAGCAGTTCCTACAGCGATGTTCCCGTTTCGACGTACTTGTATATTAAGTACCGTGTTTCTCTACCCCATGTCGCAACACTACCCATCACTTCATCTGATTGCACAAGCCGCATGATCCAGTTTGCTCTTGCATGCCCCTGATTCCTATTGATATTGCACGTTGATAAACTGCTCAATTCACACATTACCGGCTCGTTGAAGTCTTTCCATCCCTATCATTCGACTAGTACTAATAGAGTGTGCTACAATAATCAATGGCTTTCAAACAACCATGGAACCACCTGGCAACCAACTCAGACTGTATCATATATATATATATATATATGTGTGTGTGTGTGTGTGTGCTGCTCGCTACTAGCCTTGTACTAGATCACTTAACCGACCGACACCATGAGCGAGGAGAAGACTACTATTCTACGCAGCTATTCAATCTAAATCACCCTCCCCCTTCCGTGATGCATGCCTAGCCCCGCGTCACGATTACTAGGCAGTGGACACCCCTCGGCGTCACCCCCACGTTATCCCTATCCCCACGCTCTTCTCTCGCTGGTGCGACTCATAAGTACAAATGCCATCAATGCATTCAGTCCCAGCTTATCTGGTTGATTTCCCCGCTATACTCGATTGAACAAAGGCACGCGTTCATCATCACCCCTTGCGTCCAAACAGTAACATTGATTTAGGTTTCATCCGCCCTGCCGTTTTGACGGCCGAGGAACCAAAGAACTCCCAGGGGACGGACCTCGCCCTCGCCATCTCCTTGGTCGGGCTCTACTTCCTCTCGTCGTCATGTCTACTCTATCGCACTGCCTCTCGAGGTAATCTCATGTAGCATGTGCGAGTTCGTATGCGGTGTAGCTCCGTAGGTACTAGCCGTATTCTCCTAATGGAATAGAACTAGCGAGACATTAAATACCGAGTAAGTTCAAAGGCACAACTGACCTTGAGTGGAAGCCTTGACGTCCGTCCTGCCCTCAAGAAACGATAATCAACGAATGAGAGGGCTCTCGGGCACAATATTCACCTTGCATACCCCGAACGATTCCTTATCAACGGAACCACTTGATATACTAGTACCCATACAAGTGGCTGAGAGGGGAGCGGTGATTACATCCACCCCCATTCTTCCGACCCCCTACGTATGTGTCCCGCAATTCAAGTGCATCCACCTACCACCGACCGTCTCTGGCTGTCAACACGCCTAAAGACTGTAGATCCATGCCATGGGCAAGCATGTTTCGGGTATCTAAAGCATTGCTAGATACACCACGAACATGGGTCGTGTTGGTAGATGACTCGTAGCATCCGGCTCTGCTTCCGAGTGTTCACTACTCAAGGTTACGGAGAAAGGAAACCACAGCACGAGACTTAAGTGAGAATTATTGGAGTCAGATGGGGTTGAGCGCAGGATCACGACGATGCCTGTTCCGTGAAAAGTACACGATGACTCTTGCGTAGGCTGGTTCACTACCTGCCCGTTCTATGGAAGGATTCCTTCTCCGTTAAATCCAGAGGGTAGTTAGTAGTCACCGTTCATGAAACAGTTCTGCCGTGCTATCCGGACGAGGGAGACTTACTAGCATTTGAAATCTCAGATTGTCAGCGGGCCGCGTAACAAGGTGAGCTCATTTCGCATCTCGTCTGGCTACTGTAGCCTGTACCATGTTTGTGAAGATGGTACTAGTGTTGACTCGGGGTCGAAGCTCGCCTCGGATCCGTCTTCCGGTGCTCAGCGTAGTTGTATAACAAATAACCTGCCTGGATGATGCTTTGGGCAAGATTGGCTCTCGAAGATTCAGGACCATTCCAGGTATTGCTCGCCAAAATGACTCGGGTGAGGGGCCTTCGGTGTCTGGCGCTCCCCCGTATAGCAGCTAGCTTAACAGGGTCAGTTGATAAAAAGACACTGTCATAATGGGAACTTCTTGAAGGTAGCTGAGTACGTTGAATTCCCGGGGTGGAGAGATACTGCGGTCATGTACAACTTAAGCTGAACTCGGGTTCTAGCCCGGAATCTGTGGCGACTATATCAGAACTAAAAAAAATGGAGGACTACTTTCGCGAGTCATAAACCGAATTAACGTATCCTTAGAAGTGAGCAATTGTTCTTCCAAGACATTTGGTCACTCGGTTTTTGAAAAGGCTGTGAGCTTGAGAGTCCCTTCAAGTTATTTTAATGATACTTAATGAAATTGCAAATACATATATTGCTAACATTATGGCCTGATGAATCATGTTGTTCAATGCTGACTCGGAGTAGTAGATCCTGATTCTGCAAATGCTCATTCAACCAAGCAGTGTAGCTAGTGCCATTAAAACCTATGCCAAGAGTCCTTACATGGGCTATAGTTTCTAACAAGCTGATGCTGCCATGTTGACTGCAGGCTGCGGTCAAGAAGTATGAAGGACCAGGGTCATGTGATCATAGGTTGTTGAATATATTCTTCACACTGCACAACAATTTAAAAACTTGCTCCTCTTAGTTTGTATTGATTACGTGAAGGTTGATAATCTATGGGCTAAAGATATGATAGAAGAACAGGCACAACTTAGGAACCTGTGGTTCAAGCTTCAATCTGTTCGATGTCATTTGATGCACACTTTACTACTTAGCATGTCGAATGACATGAATTATGATCCTATTAACAAGCTCGTATATAAGAAGCCCATATGACAATTGCTGATATGATCGTGCAGTTCTAAAACATGCAGGGACATTGAACTGCCCATGACATATTATTGTTCGTCCTCACGGTATCCCATAGGCTCTTCGCCATCCATATTATTCGTTCGAGTATACTTCGATAAGCAACCAATGAGCCCGAAAATCTCCACGTGCAATGCTCTCGATATCGAGCTATACTGCCAAAACTCGTCTTGAAGGCTTCCCTTCGCCAGTTATAGTTATAGACACACTGGCCGACGAACAAATCACTACTCATGCGTGACTCGTTAGGCCAACCGTGATACCTTATAGCCTGGGCCAACCGCCGAAAATCCGTGAACATTCCTCGAGCGATGTGTAGGGGCAATCGCCTCCTCGGCATCATCAACCCCAAGCCTTGCGCGCATTCGTCGCGTGTACGCGCGATCTTCTGCATAGGGGCTTGGGCTCCGCCGCAAGTACGACCTTTCTATTATCGGTGCTCGGGGAGGGCTCCAACGCCTTCGTCCTGATCTCACCTCAGGGTACTCACTTTTACTCGTGCGAAGCAGTTTCTCGCACAAGAGAGCGAAATCCCCGTAGCTAGATGCATCTGCAATTGCCGCCCAGTCTCGGATGTTGCTTTCACTGGCCCCTGCCTCCATGATCAGAGCTCTCTTCCTATGCTCCTTTATCGACCGGGTGACTTGCTGCTCGAGCTTTCTTGCATCCTCTACCGCAACTGCCGCACGGTCTGCGACGCCCAGGATCAATTTCAGCTTCATCGCTTGCTCAAGGGACATGATATCCGCCAAGTTGGGCACCAGATATGACGGTCCTTTTCTTGCTGACACCGTGCGCGGAATTCCAAATGAGAAGGAATGGCTGGCCTTGGCGGACATTGCTACACGCAGCTCGAACTCTGCTTCGCACTGAACCACTAGAAGGAGGCGAACTATCTCTGGTAGTCCGCTCTTGCTACCAGGTTCCTCATACAATCGCCAGGAGGCATGCATCCGGTCTTTGACCGCTCCATGAATGATTCGAACCCGCTTGAACGTGGACTTCTTGCCCTTGGAGCCTTCCATGCTAATATTGAGACTGGACGGTCCGCCGTTTCCATTCGCTCCAACTGTGAATTTCTGTCCTGTCGTTATCTCCTGTTCCGACACTTCCACCCGGTCAGCCTGTGGCATAATTGTGCGAATATTGGGCGAAGCTCCTGAGCTAGCTGCCTGAAGGGCCACATCAACCTCTGCGTATCGAATGCGGTGTTTCAGCGCATGGGGCTTCATGAAATTTAGTTTGAGTTGAACTGCATGCATCTCCTGCCCCTCATGTGTAGATGAATGGATTGACTCCATCTTGGCGTCGCAGTAGATATCATGACCGTCATACTTGGCCAGTGTAAAGCCATCGCCATTCTCACGGCGAACACCATCCCAGTCATTCCGACCCAGCCTGTTTCGCGCGGAATCTATTTCAGCGTCTGCTACATCGTCCTCAATTAATCCCAGCCCATCACGGCTCGGCCTGCGCCTCGGCTCTTCCTTTCGCGTTCTCAGTATCTCATGGTTAGACGCGCTTCTAATATCAACCTCGTCTTTTGTGGTGTCTTTAGCCGAGTCTAATACATGCACGCTGCATGGAGGAGAGACCGACCGCGACCGTGCGCGTGTAGCACTATCTGCCTCAGCCTTCTCATCGAAGTGGCGTAGTAAGCGCACTATGCTCGCCGACTGTTCTGAGGCAGAAGCCAACTGTAGCACCGTCAATCCGTTAGAGTCTTTGGCGTATACGTTCGCTCCATGATGGAGCAGAAGCCACATCACTTGCTTGAAGCCACCGATGCAGGCGACGTGCAATGCTGTATTCCCATCTTCACTGTTTGCGTTGACATCAACTCCATGCTGAAGCAGCACACGTACTGGTCCAACCCATCCCGCTATAGCAGCATAATGCAGCGGTGCTCTGCCCTCGGGGTCCACTGCATGACCATCTGCTCCGTGGTGAAGAAGTGTTCTCAGCACCTCAGTTTGGTGGCGAGCCAGTGCTAAATGCAACGGCGTGCGCCCAGAATTATCCCGAAGATTAGCTTGAGCGTGGAAACTGAAGAGCAATTCGACCATGTCTTCACGTTCTTGAATGCAGGCATGATGTAATGCAGTCCTCCCTTCGCCATCCGTGGCGTCAACTTCAGCCCCGACTTCAAGGAGACGCCTTACTACACCATAGTTGGAATGACTGCTGGCCAGAAGCAGAGGAGTCATACCCCGGTTGCCAACAAAGTTGACGTCTGCCCCTCGATCGATCAACAACGACACAAGATGATCGTCATTCTTTAGAATAGCGATGTGGAGCGCGGTATCTCCGTTCAAGTCAAGAAGGTCGATAGCCGCTCCTTTGCGGAGTAGTAACTTCGTTCCGTCATAATTACCCTGGTAGGCTGCTTCGTGAAGAGTCTTCGGTTTGTCTACTCCATCAAGCTCGAGATCACTGTCAGTATACATGTAGATGTCACTGCTCGACGCGCTTGTGACACGATCAACCCTCCGCCATGATGAGGGCCCCTGTCTGCTATTGTCGGAACGGTTTCTCGAGTTAGAACCCATTGATCGACAAAGCCTCTCCGATATGGCCTGGAGATCTTGACCTTATTGAGCAATTTGCTGTTTGGTGGATGTGCAGAAGGTTTGAGCGGCGTTTGCTGCATGACGCAGCGCAAGGCTGAGGAAATTCACATGAGTCCAGGTAGGCATCCACCAGGCTAGGGACTTGGCTTCCCAGTAGATGGCGGTGCTGCCTTCTAGGCTTCTACTAGTAACGACGAGGCGTGTTTCATTTGCTATAGCCCGATTAGATAAGCGCGGTGAAAATGAAACCCTGGTGACTCGATATGACTCAAATCTGAAATGCATGGGAAAAGGATCGGTGTGTCTTATACATTGATCTTTGAAGAAATATTATATATCATTCTTTTCAAAAGGAGGAGGTAAGAGCAAAACTATTCCAATACTACTATTTATGCCAGTCTTCTCGTCGCCAACCCACGAATCTACCTCCCTGTATCGGAAGTGTTTCGAGATAAGATAAGTAGCATTCACGTGACTTCTCCACCGATCGGAGTCACTGAACTTTTTTTTCTGCCTTCTCCCCATGCACCCCTCTTGCGGCATCGATTCACGTCTGTCGTCACCACAAAATCTCGGTCGGTCGCTGCAAAGATGAAGTACGTTCTGGTCTCTGGAGGTAAGATTGAACTCATTGCTCGTGTTTGATCACGTCAAATCTCTAACAGAATGTCTCAATTAGGTGTCATCTCCGGCGTGGGCAAGGGCATTATTGCCTCCAGCACTGGTTTGCTCCTCAAAACTACTGGTCTTACGGTTACCAGTATCAAGATCGACCCTTACATCAACATCGATGCGGGCACTATGGCACCTACCGAGTCAGTATCTTGAGATCCGGCTTTCTGGTGCTGACCCCGTTTATTGACTTCACCCAGACACGGTGAGGTCTATGTCACTGATGACGGCGGTGAAATGGACCTTGACCTTGGCAACTACGAGCGCTACCTTCTCACATCACTTACTCGGGATCACAACATCACTACGGGCAAGGTGTATCAGGATGTTATCAATCGCGAGCGGATTGGTCACTACCTGGGCAAGACCGTTCAGGTCGTGCCCCACATCACCGACGCTATCCAGGAATGGATTGAGCGCGTTGCTAGAATTCCCGTGGACGAGTCTCGCGCCGAGCCTGACGTCTGCATTATCGAGCTGGGTGGTACCGTCGGAGACATTGAGAGTGCTCCCTTCATCCATGCTCTGAGCCAGCTTCAGCGCAAGGCTGGTAGGGGCAACTTCGTCCAGATCCACGTCTCCTACGTGCCCGTTATCCCTCCTGGACCGGGTGGTGAGCAGAAGACGAAACCTACACAAAGAGCCATCAGCGATGTGCGGAGTGCCGGTCTAAGCCCGGACTTGATTGCCTGTCGCTGCGAGCAGCCCCTTGAGGCGAGCACGATTCAGAAGATTGCCAACATGTGCTCTGTCGAGCAACACCAGGTCATCGCCGTTCACAATGTCACGACGACGTACCACGTTCCCCTTCTGTTGGAGAAGCAGAAGCTTATCAACACAATCACCCAGATGCTCGATCTGAAGCCGATCCAACCCACTCCCGAGCGGATCGAGCGGGGCAGTCGGATGTGGAAGGACTGGGTCGATCTCGCCCAGGGACAGGATTTCTTGCACGATCCGGTGACGATTGCCCTGGTTGGCAAGTACACTTCTCTTCACGACGCCTATATCAGTGTGTCCAAGGCCCTTGAACACGCCGCCATGTTCTGCCACAAGAAGGTCAAGATTATCTGGGTGGACTCGTCGCACCTCGAAGACGGAACCGCCCCCGCCGACTACCACAAGGCGTGGCATGCCGTTTGCACTGCGGACGGTGTCTTGGTTCCTGGCGGCTTCGGTAACCGGGGTACCGAGGGTATGATGAAGGCTATCACCTGGGCACGAACCAACAAGAAGCCCTTCTTGGGAGTCTGTCTTGGTATGCAGCTGGCTGTCCTTGAGTACTGCCGCAATGTGGTTGGCATTGAGGACGTGGGTAGCGAGGAGCTGCACCCCGCGGCCGAGAACCACGCTATCGTCTATATGCCCGAGGTCGACAAGGGCAAGCTTGGCGGAACGATGCGTCTTGGCAAGCACCCTTGTATTTTCCAGGAGAACACAGAATGGTCCCGCTTGCGGGGCATGTACGGTCCCTCTGTCTCGCAGATTGAGGAGCGCCACCGTCACCGCTACGAGGTCAACCCGGCCATGATTGAGCAGATCGAAGAGGCCGGTCTGACCTTCATCGGCAAGGACACCAAGGGCGAGCGTATGGAGATTGTTGAAATCAAGGACCACCCCTGGTTTGTGGGTGTTCAGTTCCACCCCGAGTACCTGAGCCGTGTTCTAAGCCCCAGCCGGGCTTTCCTCGGCTTCTTCGCTGCCGCGGCCGGCTGTCTCGACGAGGTATCCGAGGCCGTCGTTCAGGGCCAGCGCAGCGTTGCTCGCAAGCAATAGGTCACAGAGGAAGAGAGTGTGAGTGAAGGACAACTTCTGGTTTACAAGTGGGGGGGCAGCGGTACGACTAGCCTTGCGGGAGTTCCATTGGGAGGGATTCTGATGACGGCAATCTTAACTTACTTTGCTTTCTGGGCGTTGAAAATATAAATCCGGTAGTTAGAAGGCAGTGTCAATGCAATTTGTGGCTTATGAGTCGCTTCATGTGTATTTAATACCAAATCACTGTGGTCTTGGTACGATGGATGCACCTTAGTTCGTCGTGTCGCACCAAATTCACATCTTGGAGTTCTTGGACCCTCTCTCTGGAAGTCTGCAGTTTAAGTGTGAGAGGAAATGTGGTTCCATGGATGAAGAACAGCTGAACATCATATTTAAACCGGGCCAGTTCTGAACCCCTGCAGCGTCAGCTGGACTAGAGAACCCGATAAAGAATCGATGACCATGTTTGTTGTGTTCATCGTTTCTTCAAGGAGTGATGGGCATGCCGCATTTCCGATCGGACTGAGAATGTGGGATGTGGTTACTGGGTAACCTGGCATGTCTCGGAAAAGAAACGAGCAGGGTGGGCATAAACAATGCTCCTGACTTGTTGCAGCTATCAATCACTGATATACACCCATTGGTCTCGGGAGTAAAAGGGAATTGACTGTCCTTCGTTCTTGAGACGAGACAACAGGGTGAGAGACAAGGCTTTTTATCTATTTTGATCTGGCTCCGACTCATTGTAATCTTCATGATATGGACCAGGTGTGGTACTAGCATCAGGAGAGGGGAGAAAGACCTCTGCCTCGTTACTATATATATCACATATGATAAGATGATAGGTTATGCAGTACCGTACGGAGTACAGTCCAGTCGAAGCGGTAGTCACCTACCCAGCAGTACAACCAAGATATGACACGTCTGCGACCAGATATATACTTTCAAATTGTACTCAAGAATAGGCAATATGATGGTCCCTCGCCATTTGTTTCCTTCCCCGCAAGATGTAGGTCTGACGTGGGTGGATGTGGCTGCTGTCAGGCTGTTTGTTTAACGGTACCGACGGGGTCTCTAACAGTCGTTGCGTTTCACCACCGAGGTGACAGATGGAGCTGCAATTCACCTCCCTGGGTCTGACAGGTGGGTTTTGATGTCACATGTCTTTTGGAATCCTGGTTGCTGACGATTGGTGCCAGTACAGCATGCCGGTGAGAACGGAGCGAGGTCAGAAGAGAACAGCATTCCTGGCCATGATGTAAGTTACTGGGGTAGGGTGTTGTTTTTTCTTGTTGTGGTGTTTGTGCGAGAGACCCGGGAAATCCCCCCTTCCGGGCTGGATCCGGAAGTATCCGCCATGTCTCGAGACTCGAGAGGAATGTCTCACCCAGTCTGTGCCATAACAGTAGTAGACACAAGACATGCTATGCTGGATGTGATGATGATAGATCTTGCCCTTCTCTTCCTCTGTCTCTCTTCACGCGAAGGCTGCTCGTGTCGCACTCCGAAGGGAAGCCTTGGAGAGGATCAGCTAAGAAGCTGCAGTAGTTCAGGGGCGGGTCAGCTAAAAAAAGGACCAAAGATGAAGTGGTTCAGGAACACTCGGGGTGTGATAGGCTGAACAATGGAAATTACCAGTTGACCAGAAAACCTAAGATGACCGGAGCTAAACTGCACTGAGCTCTAGTTCCTCTCGTCTCCCAATAGTCGCCAGCCAGAACCGCAAGTCTGGACTTTTTAGTATGGAGTGAGCTTACGCCTAAGTAAGCGCCCTTGCGCCTCGTTCTTCCTGGCCCTGCTGCTACTGTCCAGTGTCCACCTTTTCCCTTTCCCTTTCTCCCCTCAAGTCCTTCTTCTTCCCCCCCAAAGTCCACTCTTTTCTGGTTTCCTTCCTATTCCCCGTTCTTGTTGCTATTCTTCATTCCCTCTTTTCCTCCCGGCCCCGGCAACAACTTCCTCCATTTCCCCCCATACCAACCCCTCTTCCACATTCTTCCTCCTTTCTCTTCCTCTACCACGTTCTCTTCACATCCTTAGCAGGTGTCGGCTTCACTCTTTCAGCTGCTCACCTTGCTGTCCATTCGTTCCGTCTGACCCAGCCTGGTCGAAATCGAACCTCCTCCCAGCGAGATATCACCGATTTCACGCCAAACGACCAACCTCAACCAACCGACCCAATACATTCTCTCTTTTGTCCTAACGACTTCGATATCACTGATCACTTACTCAGCTAATCATTGTCGCCATTCTCTTGTCATAAGACCACCTGCTCGAGGCCTTTACAAGTGATCACCATCTATTTTACCCAATTATTCCCTTCGCTGTCATACGATCGTCGTAGCACGACTGGGACTTCGACTCTTAAATCTTTTTGACGCGAACATTACCTCCTTCGTGGACCTATCTCTGACGGGATCGCGACGAAAAGCCAACCCGGAGACACTCCTTGAATCCGTAAAAATGTTGAACACCATTTCAAAGCTTGCCGCCCGCAGCGATAGCGGTGATGGGCTGTCCCCCGCCATGGTCGACCTTCTCATTTCGCTATTGGTACTTGTCCTACTCGGTCTCGTTCTGATCGGGGCTTTGCTTGTTCTGCGTCGCAAGCGGATGGACCGCAGTCTTTCCGACCTCCCCGTGCACAACGGGCAATGCGTGCCCAGCCACCGCCGCTTCACAGTGTCCGCCTCGCCGAATGCTAAGACGGAGTCGGTCCTTGTTTACGACGAGAAGCGCAGCCTCATTGAAAACTCTTCGAGCCCTCCCCCCAGCCCGGTTCCCGAGATCCGCATCACTTTCCCGGAGGAGGAAGACGAGTCCGGAAAGCGCAAGTCAGGCCGTGTGGTGGTTGTGCGGATTAGTGAGGCCGGTAGTGTTGGCTTGGAACCTTGCAACGACGAGCTGCCGCCCTATCAAACAAGCGATGCTGAACGGTTTCAGTCATTGGATATCGAGCGCATGGGTGGGCTCAAAGAGAAGGAGGCTTCTGCCAGATGGTCTTAAAAGACTTGTGCTGGTGAATATGAGAACGGCCATTTGTTACACCCACTGATCTCCAACTGATACCCTCGGATGACCGAATCTCCCCCCTGTCGCCTCCTCAAACGATACTCGAAAAAGCATCACGATCTTCAACCCGCCGCTTGCTTCGTTTCCATATCCATATTTTGAACACTCCAATTTGTTGTCCACTAGGACTTTGCACATATCCAAACACCTATTGTTCTGTCACCGCCACCATGCCCAGCACGAAACTCTTTGATCACCGCGGCAAGCTCCACAGCACCGCTTTTTTTCTCACTGAACGGGCGAGAATCGGTTCCGGAACTGCTAGGGGTCATATACTGGGCAGGATCGTGTATGGTCAAGGGGATGCTGCCTTTTTTTGATTCATATTCCTTCTTACCCCATCCTTTTCATAAGGCGTTCGATTCTTTGTGCTTGGTCACCTTGGATTTCTCGCCCTGCCACGTCTCTAGGGCCGAGAAGCCGTTCACGTATTTGGTTTTGTTGAAAGTCTCTCTTGAGCCTTCTGCATACTGTTTCTTCTCCCACTTTACCATTCTCGATAAACCAGCTCCGAACCCCTTCTTGTCTCGGTTTGTCTCTCAAGCATGACATTCAGCTGGGTAATGTATGTAACTAGTTCTGATGCATCGAGCGGCTAGTTACTCTTCATTTCGTCAAGTAGCCCGCCTCGATGCAACTCTCGCCGCACTCAAGGTACATGAATATTGACTACAAATGCTTCATTAAAGATAGAAGTTATCCCATGTCGCCATCCTCAGAACACGGCTATGCTTCTGTACATTTTTCGCGCTGTAGTATTGAGCCGCAGAGGCATCGAAATCGTCTCTACTTATGACGGAAGGCCTGCATTTGATCTTGGAAGTATGGTACCGACTTGCGACAAAACCTACGATCGTCACCTGGGTTCATTTTGTCTCCTCTGTGAGGTCTCTGCCGCGACCCACCGCATTGTGATGAGAGCTAGTCATATCACGGGAAGCATGTCCGCCCTGGCCGCAGGGCCTTGGGTAGATCTGCCACCGAGTTCGCACCCGCCTGCCAGCGCTCAACCAAACTTTAGGAAGGTGGACACTTGCTCTGCAGTAAGGTGGGAAACAGTAGATTAAGACAACGAGAGACAGTATTCAAGAGATCATCCTTCGTTTTCTCTAGGAAGTGTAAACCAAACCGACTGAGATTCCATACAGCAAGTCACAACCCACCTCATACTATTTGACTCTCGCGATACCAGATCGACGGCAAGCCCACTATACAGTCATACCCAGATTCACTCGCTCGATGACTTACATCCACATGGCTTCTTCATTGATGCTAGAACCCCTTCCGTCGACGCTCCCAGGAAGGAAGACTGCATACTGGCTTGGCTTGTGTCTCACCTCTCTTGACCCCGCCAGTCTCCATCGGGACCCCTATGTTTGTCTCTGGCACCACTTGTATTCGATATTCATCATAGATCTAGCCGCGTCGTTTCCTTTTGTTCCGATTCCTTGGACTTTTACCTATCACTGCTGTCGCCGATGTAGACCTTACACCTATAGTAGGGTTTCTGCGGGCCATGCTGACCGGTGCCAGTGGGCAATAGCATTCTCTCTGCATCCTGCTATTCGGGGACAGGGACGGGGCCTGCTAGAGATCGTAAACTTCCAAATTTGTAATGCACGCGGCTGTTCACCCCCTATCCAGGTCCCTACCTAGGCAGCTACATAACCACCTTGGTCTACCTAATCTTCCTACCAAGTTACTTCTTATCTCGCGACGTTCCTTCCTGATTGAGTGCCGGAGGAGAAGTCACCTGAGCGTTCGCGGAGTATAAACCCCCCTCGTTTCCCTCTTTTCTCAATTCCCTCTTCTTCTCGCTTCTTGCCGATCCCGTCGTGGACTTGTAAATGATCTTGGACGAAGGCCGCGTGCTGGGCTGAGATTGTTCTGGGATTGAGCTGGGGGCGGTAGGCGGTTGGGGTAGTTCATGAAATGTATTAGACCCTCCAGCCCCATGCGAGGGAACGTGCAGGCAGGCAGCGAGTGAAATGTAGCAATCGCAGTAGTAGTCGGTACGCTATTCGATGATTATATGCTACGATAAATAATCGGGTTTACGGCGCGTTGGGACATGAGTGATCATGTTCTCTGATCATGGTATCACGCAGCAGTGGGCTAGACAAAGAATGCTGCCTGCATGCTCGGGGATTTCACCCATGCTGCTGGTGAGTGACCTTGGCAGAAAATCCATGCCAGTCTTGGGTCGGTCCTTTCTATCGGTCCTTATATACTCGTTCGAGGAACGGCTCATCCTACTTTCTTGTTCATGGAAATGCCTCCCAATACCTAGGTGGGATCATATCGCTGGGCCAATTGCAGTACATGTTTTGGAAGATGAGAACCACAATTCACAAGATTCACCACCCCTTTTTGCAAGATGATACTAGACGTGACACGCACCATAGGTGCAAGCACGCGAACACAAAAAGAATGAGCCTGAAAAACTCAGACTGAAAAAGACAACTTTTCTGCACGCTGCATGGCAAAGGGGGTATTTACAGAAAAACACCGCAGGACGTAAAGTGGTAAGATATACATTTCGTTTATCATGGCAAGGGAGGAAACAAAAGACACGGGTGGAGAAGAAAACCATTGTGACACCAATCAACTTCCTCATGCTAGAGATTCCAAAGAAGCGAACATTGAGTGTGAGACGTGATGAGTACTCAGCGTCCCCATCGCGAAAAGTCCAGGTTTTGAAGGATATTCGCATCCGCAGCTGCGTTCCAATCCGTGGCAAAGTCGCTTTTTGCAGACGCGGTGCGGGATGGGAGTTCCTCGGAGAAGATATTAGCCTTCGTGTTGCGCCGCTGACCTGGATAGGTGGCTTCAGTAGCCTCGGAGCTCTGCGCCTGGGAGCCAAGGGTGCGCTCGCGGAGTCTCTTGATTTCCCGCAGCCGGTTGCGCCAGGATGAGACGTGCTCGCCGCCTTGGCTGTTCCAAACGAGCGAGAGTACGGAAGCGTTCAAGGCGAGAATACGAACAAAAGCACCGAGATTCTTTCCGGAAATGACCTTGGGCACAGTTGCAGGTGAGATCTCAGGGAAACCAGGCTTGCTCATCACCTTGACCTGATAGAACAAATTGTCGAAATTGCACCCTTTGAGATCGAATGCCGCTGGGTCATCAGTGACGCGGCAGATGGGGTTGATGACTATGTTCACAAAATTAAATTGCGAGGGCACCGTGTTGAAGTTAAACGGTGTATTCGACCGATTGAACACAATGTTGACAAAGTCGTTCCCAAGATGACGCTTCTTGTTGACACAGGCCGGATCGGTATCGAAATTGGTAGGCATCATCGTCGCTACATGGAACACAATCTCTGTCACTCGATCTCTCCAGGCATAAGTGGAATCGCCATCGAAATCAGCATGCAGGCCTTGGGTGTTGAAGCGAGCATTTTGAAGCGGAACCTTGGTACCAAGTTTGGACAGGAAGTACTCATAATCCGCGCTACCTCCAGTGTTGGACAGGATCTCGGCCTCTGTTGTTTGGCCGTTCTCGACGTACAGGACGCCGATCTTGTGACCATCGACTATGTCATTGCGATCAAAACTACTTAGAGCGCGACGGGTCATGTCATCATCGGGCAAGAGAATTGGTTGCATAACGGTAGGTGTCGGGAAGGCTGTGGTTGTTAGCTGGAGCATTACATGACTAGGTAGAACCGCGGTGCGCATGGTGCCTGGATGCAAATGCGCGTCAGGAGCCGCAGAAACTTGGTGAGGCAGGACAGGTGCGGTTCGTTGTTGGTACGTTGCGTACGTGGTACCAGATGCCTGCCTCTTCGTTACCTGCGTCAATCCAGAGACTCCAGCTGTCTCAACAGTCACGATACTCATGCCTACAATCCAGGACTTTGTGCATACTGGACCGTCTTCAGGAGAAGGTGGAAACGTCGTGTACGGGATAGTATCGCCGAGATCTGAGAAAGCAGCCCTCTGCATGAGATCGATAAACACTTGGCTTTGTTCTTCAACAGTCTCTTTTCCATACTCGTCCTTGAAGATGAGCCTGCTGGTAATCCAATTGACGTGTTTTGCTCGATCTTGCAGTTTTAAAGACAGAAACCAGAACACCATCACGTGATATGTCAAGGTGTAAATGTACTTGGACATGCCATCCTCTGACGATTCTGGGAGAGATATCAAGGATCCAGTGCTGCCAAGTCTAGCAGCTCCAGGGCCAGCTCGAGTAGGCGAGTCGGCTTTGAATCGACTTTCTCTGGATGTCTGTAAGAACCGAATACATATGCCGAAGACTGTGCGGATTTCTTCATCACGCAGGTTGACGTAGACTTCGGGCAAACGGGCGAGGAGAGCGAGGAATTCCAGGATATGGACAGCGAGATTAGACATCGTGATTACTTTCGACATCTTGTCAAGAATCCCGTTCAATGATTTCGTTACCGATAGAGGGATTTCATGACAACAGACAGAAAGAGCATGGATGCAACCACGAGAAGTGCCACCCCAAGACCCGATGATACCCATCATGAAAGCACGCACAAGCTCATCTTCTTCGCTCTTAGCGAAATGCTCATGGTAACTGATCAAAACGCATAAGAAGTCGAAAATGTACCCGGCAACATCGGTCTTTTTGGTGCCACTTGATGGTGGTGGTTCACGAAAACTATCGTTTTTGACCTGATCACACAAGACACTGCGTAACAGTTTGATTTGAGGTACAGCATTGCTGAATAAGTCCTTGTTCTGCAATTGAGCTGCCAAATGAGTGAGCACGTAGCTGTAGATGTCCCAGTTCGTTTCACGTTGCAATAACGAGATAACTGTTTCCAACCACATATTCGCCTTCAAAGCTACTTTCTGCGTTGGATCTGATTCGATTGGACTCGATGCGTTGGCGGTCGCATAAGCATACACATACGGACTTGCTTCAACTGGAGGTTCCTCTGGAAGAACTTGAGGGGTTGCAAATGTCCAGACTGGGGGCGTCGGCCTTGAGGATCGGAAAGCAACAATCGAATTTCTTCCCGTGGATCTGGATAAAATGCTGCTTGAGGGCTCTCGTGGTAGGTGTCGAGCAGTTGATATTGATCGCGATTGGTCATTGTCAGCACTTAGGTCGGCAGTAGAATCTTCATGTGATTTGGAGCCTGCGTCAACACTCCGCCCAGATACCTGCATCACGAAATCATCTTCAGGAGTCGAGACAACGGTTATAGAACCGGTGGCATCGCATCGCAGCCGGTAAAGTAGCTTAAGGGAGGATAGGCGTGAATCCACAGGCCGCTCAAGGGATTGCGCTATTTTCAGCAGGGCCTCGAACACCGATGTCGCCTTATTTGCTGACATGTTGAGTGTTCGCAAAAATATTTTCACAAGCCCAGCCGCGCAGACATTCGCCAGAGACGACTCCAGTACACTTGTGAATGACTGTCGATCAGGAGACAGTGTGGTTGCTTCCGAGAATGCGAGACTCTCCTTCTCCAGATCTTTACTCATAGGAGAGCCAAGGGCATGAATTAGCTGATCGAAGGCATCTTGGTCGCTGACTGTGATGGAAACGTCAACAAGAAAAGCGACCAGCGATTCCAGCAGCAATATGTCGTCCTCTTCATTGAATCTCTCAAGCATTATTTTGAGAAGACCTTCCTCTTGGAAATAAGCAAGTGACTCGGGGCTGTTGAAGGATTCCTTCAGTGTATCTAGCGCGAGAATTCGAATATCAGAGGGCTTTGTGCGTGAGCGAATGAAGCAGCGAATTATTCTTTGGGAATGCAGTAGCCAATCCTCACTCCCAGGAGAACAGAAACGCTCCTGGCGCATGGTGTCCAGAACGAGCTCAGCCTGCGGAGGCTCGATGTAGCGACAGGCGTTCATGAGGAATCGGGTGGAGTCCAAACGTTGCTGTTTGTTCAAACGGTCCCAGAGGGATTCAAGGCTGGAAGCAATCTGAATAGTGTTGGCAAGGATGCTGGATTTGGCATCATCGACAACGCTGCCTTTGGGGGTGATTTGTTGAGAGTCTGAGATTGTGGGGTCCGGTTGCTCAGGCTCATCAACGGCTCTGGCGGAACACACATTGAGTAAATCGACGAAAGCACCCCAGTCCTTTTCTAAAGCCACTCGGACATAGTCCCCCTCCAGAATATTTAAGCATAGATCCAGTATGTCTGCTTCCAGCCGGCTCTCATCCTTCCCCGTGGCGGCTTTCAAGCAGTCAACCAAGTGCTCGAATTGCATTTCTGGAATCCCGTCCTGGCCATGTGCACGAATTATGTCCGTCAACACATATACAGTTCCTCGCACAACATTGAGATTCCGACTCTTCTCTTCGGAGCATTCTGTCAGAAACGAGAACAACTCCTTGACCATATCCGCCTTCCTCTTCGACTTCGCCAGACTTCGGACAACTCTTGACGTCGGACCCGACAAAGGTTTGACAGAGGCATGGATGCTGCACAATACCTCAAGCAAGGGAATAAAACTTCCATCGGGTACGTCGGCGTATAAAATGACCGCGTCAAACACGCTGAGCGAATTTTTGATATCTGCTGCAACGCTTGTTTTTCTGCATATGGCGAAAAGCTGTTCTAACAGTGCTTGTACTTCTTCACTGCTAGGAGGCTTCCGCTGTAAAGTGATGAGATCGACCACGAACTGCAGCACATCATCCAAAATAGTGTCATCAATGGTGAGTCCATTCTTCCCTGGCTTTACTTTTCTAGCTTTCATCCGAACTGAAGAGGTTACTTCATAGAGCGGAACAAGGCAAGCAGATATCAGAGGAAAGACAGAGGAACCAGTGAACTCCATTCTTCTCCCATGATCCGACAGCTTTATCAGCGCCTGAATACGCGCTGGTATGACATCACTTTCCGAAGGGCTCGATATTGCGTCGAAAACCGTGCGACGTGCTGCAGGGGATAGATCTTGCCGTGCCGCGACAGCTTCCAGCAGCAGCGAACCACTCCGTCGAGCCTCTAGAGAGCTTTCATTCTGAATAAGATATGCTCCTGCTTCCCAGAGAGCGATAGCTTGTTCCGGAGTGTACCATTGGACCGACTTCGCAACTTGTTCTGCCTCATCGGCAGCATGTCCTAAATTCTGCCTCTGGGTCAGTGTTCGGAGTGCCGCGTCGAAGTCCCGTGCACCTGAGGTGTCGGAAGAGCTGGAAACGACGCTTCCACGATGCATTGATGCTTGCTCTCACCCAGGGCGGCTATTATTGCGCTCATCCGTGTATTTGTGATAAACAAGATCACTGCTGTCTGCAAGTGACAGGAGAGGGCGACCTGAATTGGATAATCCTAGGGAATGGGAAACTCGGGGAAAACTTGGTGCTGAATGTTGAGACTAAGAAGGAACTGCAGCATCGTCAAATTGCATGCGCCCTGGTACAATGGAGGGCTAAATTTGGCTCTTCAAGGCAACGGATCGTATCGCTGGCGGATGACTAGTTAGCAACGGGCCATGATCACAGGTTGCTATGGTCAGCTGAAGCAGGCAAAGTCCAGAGCGGTGTTCCACCCTGCACACGAGCTCACATACCATTGGCGGGTCATATGAAGACCTTGAATGACAACAACAGGGCCACGAAGGGTTATGAGGTTTCGGGATGGGCGTTACACTTAAAAACACTGTCACCACCTCTTTTGATCGATGGACGGGTTACCCCGCGTGACAAAAAGCAACGGATTTGGTGATAGGCAGTGAATATATTGCCATATAAGGAGAGAATTCGCTTGCAGAAGCACGGCTCAATAGAGCTATAGTAAACAATTAAAGGAAGTTAGATTATATCCAGAGCAAGAGTGTGCCAAGCCACTTTTCCCCTCAGAGCATCGATGATGATGATCTGGCGGAGGCTCGGGAAGGGTTTGATCCGCACAGTCACCTGACAGGCCAAACCACCCCGCGGTGATTGCTCTCACCGCCTAGATTTTGCAAAGCAACCGCCAAACAAACTGCCCAAACCAGAACTTTAGCTCCTCCGGCTTGCGCTGAATCCATCTTGTCAAACACATAATCTACTCTACCAAGGAGTTTCGCCCACTTTTCACGGTGACCATATCCTTTTAACAACGGACTGATCTCAACAGCTCTTGGTTCAAGCTTTCCCCCACCTATTTCGTTCATTGTCTGAGCACCTCGACCTCTACCCCACTCCTCAAAATGGCTGACGGTCTTGGGGCTCTTGCGCAGCTCCTTGAGGCAAGTTTGGACCCCAGGCAAAACAAGCAAGGTTAGTATCATCCTTTAGCTCTCTGTTGCCACTGTAGTTATCTGTTCTTCGATCCACTCTGAGATGTCTGTTCATGTTTCATTTTCTGTACATCCCCGAGCGAATAATTGACATTTTTGCCAGCCGAACTTGCTCTCCGCCAGGAGGAGAAAAAGCCGGGCTACTCTTTGCAGCTTCTTCAAATCACTGCCTCCGCTACTTACCCTTATACCACCCGTCTGGCTAGTGCGCTTTGCTTCAAGAACTTCATCAAGAGGAACTGGACCGACGAAGATGGAAATTACAAGCTCCAAGAGGACGAGGTCGCCACAATCAAGCGGGAGCTGATCAGCTTGATGATCTCCGTGCCTGCAAACATCCAAAGCCAGCTCGGTGAAGCTGTCAGCGTAATTGCTGATAGTGACTTCTGGCAGAGATGGGATACCCTAGTGGATGTGAGTGATCACTGGCGCTTATCATCCGCTGCGCTCTCGATTGACCATTTTAGGATCTCGTTTCCAGGCTCCAACCTATCAACCCCACGGTCAACAACGGCGTCCTACAAGTTGCGCACTCCATCTTCAAGAGATGGAGACCCTTGTTCCGGTCGGATGAGCTTTACAGTGAAATCAACCATGTCCTCGAGAGATTTGGCAGTCCTTTCTTGGCGTTATTCGAGGTACGTATCACCCGGGATGTTTCATCCTCACTTTCAGAACACGGAATGGCCTTGACCTTGTGCTAATCGATCTTAGGGATTGGACACCTTCCTTGAACAAAACAAAGCCAACAAAGAAAACCTCATTCAAGGTTTTACTCAGCTCAACTTGATGGTCAAGTTGATGTACGACCTCTCTTGCCACGATCTTCCACCCATGTTCGAAGAAAATATTTCAGGGATAGCTTCGCTCTTGCTCAAGTACCTCACGTACGATAACCAACTGCTGCACACTGATGATGACACCGAAGCCGGACCTTTGGAGTTCGCTCGCGCCGGAATTTTCGAAGTCTTGACTCTTTATGTTCAGAAATATATGGATGAGTTCAAGCCTCATGTCGGCCAATTTGTTGAGAGCTCCTGGAACTTCCTGACCACGGTCGGACAAGAAACCAAGTACGACATTCTGGTCAGCCGAGCTCTGCAGTTCTTGACTTCCATTGCTGGCATGTCTGAGCATGCAGTTGTGTTCCAAGCCGAAGGCACACTTAGCCAGATAATTGAAAAGGTCATTCTGCCCAATGTTAGCTTGCGTGAGTCCGACGAAGAGCTTTTCGAGGATGAGCCGATTGAATTCATCCGCCGCGACCTGGAGGGTTCCGACAGCGACACCAGACGCCGTGCTGCTACTGACTTCTTGAGACGTCTTGCTGAGAGATTTGAAGAGTCCGTCACTACTGTGGTCCTTAAGTACACAGAGCACTATCTTGCGGAGTATGCCAAAGATCCTGCTTCAAATTGGAAGGCCAAGGATACTGCCACTTATCTCTACTCCGCTGTGGCGGCCAAGGGAGTTGCGACTGCCAGTCACGGTGTCACCGCTACGAATTCGCTCATTAGCATTACCGATTATTTCCAGAAGCATCTTGCTGCCGACCTCGTCAACAGTGAGGGAGTACACCCCATTCTCAAGGTCGACGCCATCAAGTATCTGTACCTCTTCCGGAGTATCATCACCAAGGAACAGTGGCAAGAAGTACTTCCCATGCTTGTCAACCAGCTTGGTTCTTCGAACTTTGTCGTGTATAGCTATGCAGCAATTGCTGTTGAGCGAGTGCTATACCTTGCGGATAGCCAGGGCCAACCGATTATTGCTCCTGCTACTATCACGCCCTTGGCCAAGGATCTTCTAGAACACATCTTCTCTTTGATCGAAAAGGACCCTGCCCCTGAGAAGGTCCAGGAGAATGAGTTCTTGATGAGATGTGCCATGAGAGTTCTTATTGTCATCAAGGAGGGTGTTGTCCCCCACACTGACATGGTCCTTCAGCACCTGATCAACATCACAACCGTGATCAGCCGCAACCCTAGCAACCCCAGGTTCTATTACTTCCATTTCGAAGCTTTGGGTGCCTTTATACGGTTCGTGCGCTATCTGGCCATCCGGGCTACGATTACTGACATTCCCACTAGTTTTGCCGCCCCTGCCAATCCGGAGAAACTTGAGCAAGCCCTCTACACGCCTTTCGCCGAAATCCTACAAGGCGACGTTCAAGGTATTATTATGCCCAGGCACAAATATGTACGGACTGTTACTGATACATTCACAGAGTTTATGCCTTACATTTTCCAGCTTTTTGCTGCTCTGCTTGAAGCCAATCCTTCCGGAACCCTGCCGAACTATTACCAAAATCTGATTGCGCCAATCCTGATGCCTGTCATGTGGGAGTCGAAGGGTAACATCCCGGCGCTTGTGCGGTTGCTATCCAGCATCATTCCTCGCGGTGCTCAGTACATCATGCAAAATGACCAGGTTGCACCTATCCTCGGTATTTTTCAGAAGTTGCTCTCGACCAAGACCAATGAAGGTTATGGTTTCGATCTGTTGGAGGCCGTCATTACAGGATTCCCTCCGTGAGTAGTTCATTCGAGAAAGAATCCGTGTTGGACTTACTGACGGCTTTGTAGTGCAACACTTGAGCAGTATTTCGTCTCTATCATGCAGGTCATCCTTACACGTCTCCAAAATTCGAAGACTGAAACTCTCACTATTCGATTTGTTCGTTTCTTCCATTTTGTATCCGCTCAGGACGAGAGGGGTTACAGCGCCGACTTCTTCATTCAAGTGGTAGACAAGGTACAACCAGAGTAAGGATTTTTCTGCCCCCATTGCCCGGTGATCAACATGCTGACATGTTTGTAGCCTGTTCACACCCATTTACTTGAACATTATCCTCCCAGAGACGCAAAAGCTGGCCCGCCCATTGGATCGCAAGACCGCTGTACTATCATTCACCAAGACCCTGGCTAACTCGGAGGCATTTGCCAACCGCTACAAGAAGGGGTGGGCTTTCACCTGCGAAGCTCTGCTCAAGCTTCTGGAGCTTCCTCCTCTTCCTGCAAGCAAGGACGATATCATTGCTGAGCACGACGTCGAGGATATGGCATTTGGTGTCGGCTTTACCGCATTGAACAGCATCCGGCCTGTGCCCCGTGACCCTTGGCCCGAGACTGGTGCCGATCTCAAGGCTTGGACCGGAAAGTATTTAAAGGAAGCAGATGCCAAGTACAGTGGCCGGATATCTGGCTTTGTTCAAGAGCGTCTTGGAGAGGATGCCAAGCGCGTGCTCACCAGCTACATTGCATAAGCAAGTCGTGGACTTGGTTTAGCATCCTAAGTCTAGGCACTTTGCTGGCGTCTCTATAAGCTTTATATTTTTTCTTATTTGCATATTCCCCTAAAATAAACCACGGAGAGGAAATGATATGTGGGTGCGGCTGCATCCCTGTATGTCCTGATGAACTATAGATGAAGAATTCAACCTGCTTAATAACTTGATGTACTTACTGCTGTCTGTGTAATGGTGCGTGTGCCTACCAATAACAAGCTAGAACCACGCGGTACCTGCTACAACTTTGAAAAGGCATAAGCTATTGCTTCTGCCCATGCGTGTCTGGAACGACGTCCGTCTCCCCTCCTCGCCGATGTTCTAAGAACTCGCTTGCACTTTCGTCCATTTCTCCCATGAGTTCGACGTTGTCAAGCTCTTCCGTTGCTCCTTCTTGGCCCTTTTCTAAGTCACGATATTTGCGCCGAGCCTTCTTCATCTTGCTTGCTTTCTTTTTTCGTGCTCGATCAGCCTTGATGGCGGCGCGGCTATTGTCTCCATTGAGAAGCTGTTCGACTTTATCAGCCAGAATCTGCCGAGCATATTTCTCATTCTGCGACCGCGACCGGGTAGCTTGTGACTTGACCACTATGCCGGTGGGCTTGTGAATGATCTGGACGGCGGAATTGGTTTTGTTCTAAGCGTTCAATAGAGCATGATTAGCGTGTGATGCTTGTAAGGGCCGGCCAGAGCATTATAGACGTGGCTCACGATTTTTTGCCCCCCGGGACCAGTGCCCTTGAGGTAGGAAATGGTCAAGTCGGCATCTTGGAACTTCAGTCGAGGAGGGAGGGGCTTATCGGCTAGAGAGAGGGCGGAGATAGAAAACGATCTCCGCGAGAGGTTTATGTATGAGAGGTATGTGAAGGGGTTAGTACAGTGTGCTAGGTGTAAGGCGCGGAACATGGTGAGTGAAGGAGTTGCGGCAGTATTCTATTCACCAGACGGGATAAGGTGCTCATGATTGAAGAAGCTACGGCAACCTGTGTTGAATCGGTATTCCATTACCATACGTTTCTAGTAGTTATACCAAACGACATTTGTAATACACAAGACCCTCCCTCCCTCGCTCAGCAACCTCTGACCATCGAACACTAAAACATGTCGTTGCAACTTTATACAGCGTTCTATTTCTTTGAGACTTGGGTTACTATTTCATGCTTTTTGATCAGCCGTGGAAAATCATCCTCCAGCGGAGAGGCTGACGTACGCTTATCAGTGGATTTATGGGGTGACACGCCAATGAGACCAAGCAAGCACTTACCGGTACGAATACGATCCGAAACGGAAATCCAGCCAGACTGTGCTGAGTGTCTGCAGTCTGCACTGCCTGCGTTGGACAGACAAACCAATCTGTCTGCTGGACCCTTGAGTGGAACCTCTTTGCGCTGCCGTATTTAGACTCTTAGAGCCTTAGTTAGACTAATGTGTAGGTCGTCAATCTAGTTAGTGTCTGCAGCCAATTTTGAAACAGTTGTCCAGATCCAGCATGGACGTCTTTCATTCGCTCCCTACTACTTTTTTTTGAAGCTACTCGGAGTACTCAGTATTAACGTATTTCCCAACCATTCTCCAGCTTCTTTCCCTTCTTCCCACCTCCTCTCCCCCACCTCCATAAGACACAAAAGCAGTACTACTTGCCACTTTTACCTTTATCCTCCCTTTGACCCTTTATTTACCATTTATTACCATTTCAAGTGGCTGCGTTTTGCGAAGCCCATCGTCATACGGCGGTCTTTTGATTCCGCGCTGTTTCTCGCCCCCCGTCCCCTCTCGGCCATTTACTCGTCTGCCTAGACTAGGAATTTCACAGCCTGTCTCTTCGGCTGTCAGTCTTTCTGCCTGTCAGATCATGGATGCTTGGTAGATCTTGGCACTACTCGCACTCATCCCTTCACCGCGCGCTGCCTAACAAAGTGTTTCTCCCTCTAGATCATTCGTGGTAAATCCCCTGGAGTCGATTCTCTCCCCAAAACACAACTCCAACACAGTGGATTTCTCCTCTCTTGCTCGCTGCACCATATCGACAAGCCTTACCGGCTGACCATCTCTCGTCAGTCGCTCCAACGCAGTCGCAATTGGTGGATCACAGCAATGACATTCCTACTTTGGCTTGTCACGAGTCTGGTGCGCTGGGTTCGACTCAAGATATATCAGTATGAAGTGACTTTCGCCGTGTACATGCTCACCCCTACAGAAAAGTTCATCTTTAGTATGTCAGCTTGTGTCCCTCCGGAACACTTTCCTGCTTAGAGAAAATGCTTCCAACCCCAAATTTCTGCCATGCGCTAACGCTGTAATTTGAAAAGACTCGCTCCTTTTAACCCTTCTCACGATGATTGTCACCGGAATCTACGTCTATTTGCCCGATCATATTCGGGCCATCTACAGCCACTTATACTACTACTGGGTCGGTGAACGTCCGTTCATCTCTGGAAACCTCCCTACCATTAGTTCCGTATTCCGAGAAGTTGGTACTCAGACTATGGACGTTCTCTACGAGACAGCCAAAAATCAAGCTGCTACCGTTACTGATTCCATCGCCGAACTCTAATATCCTTTATTGGCATGATCTCTGCATGGATGTGTCTTTCTTCTTTCTCCCTCGGATTTCGGCAATCGGAAGTTCGGATTCACGACGAACTTACCCGCTGGAGTGCATTCCAGCTGGGAGACCACCGGGACGCATTACAATTCTTCCGCTATTAGTACTTTCATTACTACCGCTTCTTAATCTACCTTCTCATCTGCACCGCATGGGTTCATCTTCGAGCATGGCCTCGCATCAGCACCGCCCGATAAAGCCCGGGGTTTTCTCGCCTCTTGGTTCACGATGTCGTTGCAACGTTGATTCATGGCATTCGAGCAAACTATCCAGACCGGGTCGGCGCATTCTAGGCGTTCGTCATCATTAGATTCTTGTGACATTTTTAACTTTTGCACCTCGACCCGCTTTCTCTGTCCATACTGTATTGAGGCTACTATTGTTATGATCGGATACCCTCAAAGATCCTCTCGATTAATGTGCATGCATTTCAGGCCATTTGGCCGCCTACTGTTCTTCAATGGCAGTGCGGATAACCTTGATTCCGTAACACGGACTGCAAACTGGACTACACATTGGTAGATACCGCGCGAAGCACTAAAGCCCCTGCGCAGATCCGACTTCGCAATTGTTGGATCCCGATCGAAAATAGTACGAATTTCGACTTCTTTGATAGTGGGTTACTCATCGCGAAAAGCATCAAATCGTATCTTGTTCTGTCACTATGAACTCCCATGTAAGATACAAAGAAACGGAAGAAGGACAGAAAAACTCCGGTCATGCTCAAAGAAGATTATTGTACAACGAAAAGAAAACCCCAAATATACCCGCCAAAACATAGTACATGTGCCACGTACCTCCCTTATCGGAGCAGACGTCCCCATAAGCATTGCTGCCACACCGGAATTGTCGCTTCCGGATACTTGATGAGCAGATTTCCATGATACCAAGCCAATTCCTTTACTCCGCGCTCGATGACTGCGTCTGCACTTGAGCTTGCTGTGCCTCCGCCTCCGCCTGCCTCTGTCTCCGCTCGCGCCGAACAGCATCGGCCATGCGCATGCGGTTCAATTCGCGATCAATCTCCTCCTTCTCGAGCGGGATCTTGTGCGATTGTTCGGCGGTGGGCCAGAAGCCGTGGACAGTGAAGCGCTCATCGAGGTTCGTGCCGAAGTAGTACATCCAGCCGATGGGGAAAAGGACATACGTTCCGAACTGAAGGGGAAGAGGTGCGTCAGTAGCTGCCGGCTTCATTTGATCGAGTGTGTGGTCTGTGTATCATATAAAGAAGATGTAGGCAATGCTTTACCTTGAAGACTTCGAGGTTGCCCCCCTGGAGTTTGCGGAGAATAGAGGACATTGCGCTATGGATAGTAATGGAGATTCAGTGGCGGAGAAAGGTGGGGGGGCTGATGAAATTCCGATGGGTTAGATGCGGTTTATTCAGCACTTGATAGCGGGGTTGATGTGTGTATGTTGATCAGGATGGACGAGGGTGTTTCGAAGGTGGTTGAGAATAGTTAGTCTACTCCGAGTCTCGAGGCTGTCTCCGAGTGACAAAATTGGTTTTATCCAAATGGTCTGATACGGTTATCTCCACGGAGCTTTCTGACAAGCCCGGAGCCCACCGAAGCCCCGAGAGCAATTGCAAATCAGGCAAACATCCCACGTGCCTGGATACCGTTCGTCATGTGACCACAGCGACCTCGCCGTCGCTGTTGAGCCTCGGCTCATTCTCTCTCGGCTCGCCCGCTGGGGATCTCCCCGCATATCCTGGCCCTGCTGCGCGGAGATTGGCCCCGTCTAGCGCAATATTCCCCCCAGGTAGATATAGCGTTGTTCTCCCTTCTCCCTGACCAGAGGAAATTCACATTACCAGCCATATATCTGGCTCGAAATAACTTAAACTGAAGAGGCTCCTGCTCAGAAGAAGCACGTGAGGCTTGACATCAACAACTCAATTTGTCCTTCATTTGGCCAAATTGCATATATCCGAGTCGGCAACTAAAATCGACCTGCAACAAGCCCCTACGACGCTAAGTATCGACCTCCAGATTTCACCCACCATGGCCGACGGGAGTCTCATCACAATAGCCTACCAAGGTCGAATTGCTATCATCACATTGAACCGACCCCAGAAACTCAATGCCCTCGACCAAGATCTCTACTACCTCCTCGGCGAACGCCTCCGCGAAGCCGACGCAAACAAGGATATCTATATCACGATTCTCACCGGCAAGGGACGGTTCTTCTCCGCGTAAGTCCTGTCCCTGCTATCAGTCTCTAAACCCGCAAGTCCTCTTCAAACGCAGCAATTTATCCAATGTCCACGTTGGCCGACTTTCTGCTTTACAAAACTCAATCTAACGTGACCCAGCGGCGCCGACGTGACCATCTCCCGCCCCAACGGCGGCAGTCTGAACAGTAACGCCCGCCGTGACATCATCCGCGGCTTCGTAGCCAACAACTTCGACATCACGCGCACCTTTGCGCACCATTCCAAGATCCTGATCGTGGCGCTCAATGGGCCCGCCGTCGGCCTCTCTGCTGCGCTGGTCGCCCAGGCGGATTTCATCTACGCTGCGCCGCACACCTTCCTCCTGACACCGTTCTCCTCGCTGGGCCTGGTGGCCGAGGGCGGGGCATCGCATGCCTTTGTCGAGCGGCTAGGCGTCGCCAAGGCCAACGAGGCGCTGCTGATGAGTCGGCGCATTCCATGCGAAGAGCTGGTGGCCTCCGGGTTTGTGAACAAGGTGTTTGAGGCGGACTCGCGACAACGGGACGACTCGGATGGGTTTTTGGCAAAGGTGCTAGTGGAGGTAGAGGAGCGGTTGGGAACCCATCTGAACCAGGAGAGTTTATTGAAGATTAAGGAGCTGGTGCGCCGGCCGGGGAGAGAGGTGCTGGATCGGCAGAATGGATTGGAGGTCTTTGCGGGGATGGAGCGGTTCCTAAGCGGGGTGCCGCAGGAGGAGTTCCGGAAGTTGGCGTCCGGGGAGAAGAAGCATAAGTTGTGATGATGGAAGACTGTTGAACAGTCTTGGGGATCGGTATTTCGGACTAGACGGATTATATAGAGTTGGGCTGAGGTTGACTGAAGTGATGCGCGATGCACTGTGCAAGCGCAAGGCTTCTGAGTCTGATACTGTGAGACGCTCAATAGGAATTTTATTCATAGGCCTGTTTTGATATCACAACACTCTAGTCAATAACGCCGCCGAACTCTGACCGAAACACCAAGACCTAATAACCTCGTAGCATATCACTCGTCCGAGTCAGATTCCTGGGTTTGCTTGGCCAGGATGTCCTGCCATTGCCCAAGGAACTCACTCATTCCTCCCGGTCCAGTGAGTGAGGCATCTACCACCTCCTTTGGCAACTTGTGAGCCGAATACTGTGGTGTTGTGAAGGCATATGCCTCGGGATCATCGCGCTTCACCAGCCGGAACTCAGGGAACAGCGGGGCATCATCGCCCTCGTCACTTGATTCCGACTCACTTTCCGACTCGGAATCTTCGGCCTGTTCTGCACTGATACCATTGGCGCCGTTGAGGGAGAGACGAACAAATTGCTCTCCTGCTTCATCGTCTTCTTCCTGAATACCGACAGGGTCCTTCATTGTCAAGATCTCAAGCCAGCTAAATAATAACGAATCGGTCCTTTCGGCCCATGGGTTGATATCGATAAGCCAAACCTTTTCGTGGGGAGGCGGAATATATACGTCGAACACGAAGCTCGGGTCCGGGAATGTGCTCTTGAGCTTCTCGTCGAAGAATGCCTGGATGCGAGACCGGAGTGCCTCGCGCATGGGGAAGAGAAAGTCGAAGTGATTCTGGTCTCGCTGGCAGATACAAAGCAGCACGCGGTTGCGCACCCAGCATCGAAACTCAAGAGAAGGGTTAAAGTTGACATATTTGCGGAGGATGAGGTGGTAGGGGACTTCAGGCGGGGTCGTGGAGGGCACGGAGTCGGCATTCTCGGTCGCGGCGGCAGTAACAGCAGCGTCGTCGGAAACGCAGTCATCAAAGGGATGCTCCAAGTCGTGAGTGATGAAATCACTGCTCTTTAGAAGCAGGTAGATGTCATTCGGAGTACGGCATTGTAAATCGTTCGTAGCAGACATCCAACTCGCATCTTTCGGAGCGCTCCAGTTCAACTTGGGTGTTACTTTTCCTCCATATTCGCGGATCGTGGATTTGATCTGGGAGTGGATCTCTGGCCACTCGACGGATGGATCTGATTCTTCGGCTTCGCCATCGTCGGAGAATGTGTCGAGATCATCCTCGTCCGTGGGCGGGGCAGCCTCCGGTGGCAGAACGATGCCGTCGGCACGCAGGTAGGAGACAAATTGGGAGCTGAGAGGAATTGCGCGAGATTTGGGAACGAAACTACGATATCTGCAGGTTGAAACAAGTCCCGGGTTAGTCTGTCTGCATGGGTTAACTGGTTTGTCAAACGGTTAAACGTACCGAGGTTGCCAGCTATGGTATGAGCAGTTCAAGATGTGGGAATATGTGATCGGAGGAAAGGGCAGCCTTGTCAAGGGTTCGGAGGAGGATCCCTCCGTTGCAGAAACGTCTGGCGGGTCAATATGAGGCATATCGGCTTCGGATGCAAGTCATGCAAGATACGGTGCGAGATTGAATCCGCAGAAGGATGTGCCTCGTCGATCGCAAAGGCAGTCTGCGGGGCAGCCACTTTTTTCTGACCGTTGAGTCAGGAAAGTCTTGCTAGATTGGGATCAGTGGATACGGTGGGCGTGTTAGTATTCAGCTTTCAGTACAGTACAATGTCATATGCTGCCTCAGGCACCGGCGATCGTCATCCACTCGTTCTGGCCTGCGTAGCAACATCGAATGTTCTCCGAGCCCCCGGCCTGGTCGGCATAACCGTCGTTCGGCAGTCGTTGGTCATCTTTCGCCCAGCACTGGACTTCTTCCGCTATGTCTCCAGACGGTCCGGATCCTCAGAGCCTGAAATCATGGCAGGATGCTTTCCAATATCCAATCCCTACTGTGCGTCGCGTGGAGCAGGAGCTCCGGAGGGACATTGCGAGTAATAAGGAGAAGCTCCGGGCTCTTGTTGGGTATGTCCTAGTTGCACCAGCTTTTGATCTACTTGGCGACTGATTGAAACCTGCGCGAGCAGAACGCGATATCGGGAGCTTGTCGGGACCGCGGAGAAGATCGTCTCCATGAATCGTGGAATGGAGGAAGTGGATTCCACGTTGGCTGACATAGGACGGAGATGTAACCCGCGCTTGATGGAGAAAGCGTACACCCACGTGCAGGCAGTTGCTTCGTGCAAGGGTAAAGCTACTTCTGAATGCGAAATTGATCCTTTACCAATTGATGGCGTGTACCAGATTCTCCCGAACGTTCCCTCACAGGCCAGCTTGCTCTGCTTCATCGTTCCGCGATATCGATTTCGCGGCTCTTGAGAAGACGAGGCCCGTTATTACTCGTCGCAAAACTCATGGTGATCTCCCGACTGCTTCATAAGACTTTCTCACAACAACCGGCAGTGCCGCCGTTTGTCGAGAATCTCCGCAACCAACTCGCTTCCCTTCGACGGACCCTGTTGAGAAGAGTCGACAAGCGCCTTGCCCCTGCCAAGGCAACTCCGGACGAAATAATCGAAGCTTTGGCTGCTTACTGCTTAGCAACCAGTTCTTCTTCAGACGATGCTATACGATACTTCCATCAGATACGCCTGGACGCGATTGGAAGCCAGTTGGAAGTAAACGATCCCACGGGGGAGAACATCTTGAACAGCTTGCGCCTTTATATTCGAACACTGCAAACCTCCAAGATCTTGCTCTCGCGACGGCTGTCCGATGTATTAAACAAACTGAAGGCGCGGCCACTGCTCACAGACCCAGAGGTCCGCGGCCTGGAAGATCTGGACCTCGGGGTCCTTGGGCGCTGGGTCACTCCAGAGGTCAGCAATTTCACACCTTGGATCAAATTGAGTGAACTGTCCAAGGCAGAAATTGAGAACATCATCAAAAAATGGTCTAAACCCGCTTTCGAGAAGTATGTACAAGGGTCACGAGTAGCACTAACGAAGTGGTCGGATTTCTCAGAACTCTTGACTCTTCGCGCGAAAGTCCTAGAACTCTGGCTAAGCTCTCGGAGCTCAACACCTGCCCATTCATCTTTGCAAGTTCTGAAGGGCATCAGGTCTGTTCTGAACGAACGGCTTATGGGCATATTGGTAGACCAAGCTCAAGACTTGGATAAATTCGGTCAAAGTGTCGCGTCCACTATTGCTAGCTGGAGCGATCAAACTCATTCGCATTCTCAATCACTTTGGGACGAGAGTCTCATCTCAATTGACTACTCGAATGGTTCTTCTCATTTCAAGCAAGCTGTTGTGAACAGACTCTTAGGACGGGATGGGGATATTCTTGTGTCTCTTAGACAATATCAAGCTTGGCTACAGGCAGTGGACAAGTCAAAACGCTCCATCGACGTGTTACGCCAGGTACGATGGTCGGATGTTCTTGATGAAGGTGAGGATGAGGATCTTGAAGTGGGCATTCCGGCAATCTTGACCGATGATGATCCTCGGTTGCTGCGGGAGGCTCTGGAAGCTGCCATCAAAAAAGCATTCGAAGCCCTGGACAACTCGTTCAACGAAACTTTCAAAGCACTTCAGAATCCGAGTCTGAGCGAGAAGGCCGCATTCATGCTTAAGCTCATCAGGTTGATCCAGAGAGAAGTCCCAGTCGAGTCTATGCCAGCGAATTACGCATTTGCCAATGGTGTTGTTCCTCAGTTGCAACTGATCCTCTCTACCAAAATATCGGCACACACAAGGCCCTGGAAACCGCCGGCCTACTCAGTCGGAACAGACCGAGGCGTTCCAGGTCGATCCCTTTGGGAGGGTGATCCTGCGATCCCTGTGCAACCATCTCCGTCAGCGTTCAAATACCTGCGCCGACTAACGAAGTCAATGAGTCATTACGGTCCTGGCCTTTGGGACGCTTCCACTGTTCAGTGTCTCAAAAGGACTTTGCAAAAGGAGTTCGTCAAGATTGCCGCTTCTACTATGCAACAGATGAAGTCATCCTTTACTGCCCCACAAGAGGCTAAAGATAACTTGCCTGAAGTTAATGATAGCGAACCACCAACTCAGAACGGGGATGATGATTCACCCCCGAATCCGGAGACTGAGACGGAGAACACAGACCCATATAAATCTCTCCAAGATCATATGGTCCAGCTATATTTTGACACCTCTTATTTCAAAAATGCCTTTGAGGTCGGAGACTCGGAGACAAGCCATCTGGCTGAGGTACTGGGGACAATTCGTGGGGAGCTCGAAGATCAATCGCAGGCCACGATGAGAATCGATCAGGCTGCCCGTGAGCACTGGAAGCGAACTCATCTTCTGTTTGGCCTTCTGACGGATGCGATCGAGCCATAAGGTGTAGGTTTCATTTACCACTGGCTCAGTCTGTATTACTGTTACTGTATATGTATTATGTATATAGAGCCATCATCACTACTAACTACTAGAACTGCACAAATGGACATTCGCACCAATCACAATCCTTGTATATAGACTTGGACATATTAGGTGTAGTGTCCGCGGAGGGCAGCTCACCGCCCACGTCACGTTTCCGCCGGTCACAATGACTTCGCCGCGGGAAAAAGCGATGCGCTCATCTCCTCCTTTTGGCCATTCTCATGCGGGTTGTTGCTTGTGGTGCTTTTTGACCTCTTCCCCCGTGCCATTCCAGTCTTCCGTTCTCCCACCATGGCTACCCCGAGGCTGCCTTTTCTCTATCCGAACCTGATGCGAGCGGTGAGGTCATGCGAACCTACGACTTACCGCTCCATTCGTGCTCCATACTCCCGCAACCAGCAAGCCCCCTTTCACACCGGTCAAAGATACGCCCCGGAAACCTACCATCGACGATACGGACCTGCGGCAGAAGCCAACCTACCTCCGCCCTCCAAGCCGAAAGATGGGTCCTCCGAGAAACAGGCCCCCGAATCCCCTTCAGAACAGGAGACCAATGTGTCCAACGCTGCCCCGCAAGAACAGTCATCGCCCAAGGAGGACAAGGCCAAATCTACAGAAGCCACCTCTCCCCATTCCAAGGACAAGGCCGCACAATCAGCCCAGTCAAGCGAAAGCAGTGTGAACACAGAGAAGGCAGAGCTGGACACCAGGTCCAAGCCCAAGACAGACACCGAGCCCACGACCTCCGACCTCCAAGACACCGCGGCCTCTACCAAAGAGGCAGTTCCGATACCCTCCACCAACAACCATAACAACGAGCATCCTCCATCTTCCTCCGAAGAATCTCAATTCAACCCTCACATCTTCAAGCAGAACCCACTTGAAGGCGTCCTCCACATGCCATCCCCGTCATCCTACCTGACAACGGGAGGGGGCACAGACCCCACGAGCAACCCCCCGAACCTATCCCCGGCCCCCTACGTGCACTACTTTGACACCTACTCGCTTGTGCGGGACCTCTCGAAAAGCGGCTTCTCCGACGAGCAATCCATCACGATCATGAAGGCCGTCCGCAGCATCCTCCAGAGCAACCTGGATCTCGCCCGGCAGAGCCTTACATCCAAGTCGGACGTCGAGAACGAATCCTACCTCTTTCGGGCGGCGTGCTCGGAGCTGCAGTCCTCACTGCAGATGGCTCGGACCTCCGAGATGCAACGGCAGCGCGCGTCCCGGACCCAGTTGCAGCATGAAGCGGACATCCTTTCCCAGCGACTGAACCAAGAGCTGGCTGGTCTGAAGGACGATATCAAGGGCATGTTCAACGATCACAAGATGTCGACTCGCGAGCAGCAGCGCAACATAGATACCTCGGTGCAGGAGCTCAACTATAAGATCACCGTGTCGTTGAATAGTGATGGCAAAAGCGAGATTGAGGGTCTAAGGTGGATCTTAACAAGAAGAGCAGCGATGGCCATTGCCATCAGTGCTTGTGAGTCTTCCCGGCTAAGCCTGTCCCCAAACCCAAGCTATAAACCAAGGTAAACTGCTGACGCGCGCACCAGTCATGATCATTCTCTTCCTCAAGTACTACTCCATTCGCAAGGGGGAGGACAAGGGCAAGAAAAATGCTGAGAAGCCTGCCAACAAAGCCAAGGAAAGCCGGGTCATCACCCCGGATCCTATCCGTCCACCGAAGTCGACACCTCCTCCGACTATGATCCATCTCGGCGAATCTCTGGGTTAGAGTGGATAGCACAAGCTGCTGGAATTGAGTCACCAACGATCCCCTTGTCTCTCGTATCATGCCCTATCTCCCTTATATAACCATCTCTTCCCGATTCATAGACTTTTACCGCGGGTTAGAGGGCACAGTTGACTGTTCCCATCTTCATAGATTTTTTCTCTGTTACTATCATGCCTTAGACATATACATCCTCACCTATCCTGTGCACTTTCCACTGACCCCATACTGCTACTTCCGCCTCGGACTCATGTCGATTCCCCCTGCCCCTCACCACAACACGTCAACTCAATGAAGAATCTCCTGCGCATAGACAAAATAACATTCATAGCATAACACCGTTCTATCTATCATCAACGCCTCTATTAACATTCTGTATTTTGCTTGCAATAGAGCTCCTCATATATGCAAAGAAGAAGGGACAGAAAAGCAATCATGTCTTGCGCAAATATTTCGATACCATGATATGCGTACAACCGAGTGAGAAGAGTAGACTCGTCCCACCTAGATCATCTCGACCCATGTGCACATCATCTCGGCTCATGTAAGTAACATCAATCAATAAGTGACAGTGAGAACCCATGTATGTCATACCCCTCCCACTCCTCTTAATATTAGACAAGACAGAACAATGAGAAGTGTGCAGCGGGCTTACAAAAGCGGTAGCACGTAGACATGAAAGATGCGGAACCCATGTAAATCAGACGTAAAACCAAACGGAAGAGATTACATTGTTTTAGAAGGCTGGGAGAACTGGGATTTGTGTCACTTAATCAACAAGAGAGCAAGATCACAGAAGACGGGCTTCGAGTATACGCGATAGGACAATTGAAAGCGCGACTTGATTCAAAAGTCCATCCGCAGTGCAATACTGGGCATGCTCTGCTGCTCGTGGTCCGAGTCCGCGCGATCCCGGGCCTGTTTGTTTGCTCCGGAGTTCGCGTCGCTACTGCGCAGAATGTCCTCCAGCATCGACTTCTGCGCGGGTTGCATGGTGGCCACCAGGGCGCGAAAGATGACTTGGTTGGCTTTCGCAAGCTCGAGGAGGTGGGCGGAGGTCTCTGTGTAGACGGCGGTGCCCTCGCGTTCGGCGCGGGAGAGCAGCGTGGACATGACGAGCGACATGGCGGTCGGCGTCGCGTCCGCGGAGAAGACGGCATTCGTGACGCAAGAGACGAGAGTGCGCGCGATGACGGTCTTGGAGTTCTCCGGGTCATTGGCTATGTCGCCGTTCTCCCTGGGGCAACCGACGTAGAACGCAATGAGGCGCGGAGTGAGGTATCGGGCAATGGCCTCGCTGGTAGTAGATTTGGGCGTAGAGGTTAGAAGGATGGACCGGATGCAGCCTGCGGCAACGTTGGCGAGGCCAACATCCTGGAGGCAGTCTAGCAGTTCGTCTAAGACGCGAGGGACGACCGGGTCTTGGGGTGGGATAAGGTGGCCGCCGGTGGTGAGAAGGATGGCGATGGCCAAAAGAGTGTTCTTAGCGCACGGCAGTGAGGACTCGGACTCTCGCCGTTGGGCAAGGGTCAGCGTCGTGAGGAAGCGAGTGAGGCAGCCGCGTAACTGGCGAGAGACGACGGCAACGTTCTCCGGGTCTTCCGGGCCAATGTCTGGACTATTGCTAACGCTGCTGATGAAATGCTTGAATGTTGGCAGGGCCTGGGGAACGACTTCGGCCTGACACAAGCCCGTAGCTAAGATTGTACTGAAAATGTGTAAGATGCATGCGTTGAGATCGTTGCGGATAATCGATGGGAATATTGAGGCAACATTGACAAGGGACGAGAGCGAGAGCCGGATGAGGGACAAGGCATCTTCTGATCCCACGCCGAAACGCGCAAGGGGCGCGGATTCGCGCAGGTTGGGTAGCAATCCCGCAAGGACAAGAATGATGCTCCTCGTCAACTCGAAAAGCTGTTCGATGTCGTCGGATAGATGGTCGTCTCGATCCTCGCCTCCCTTGGCCGACGGATGGTCTAGGGAGAGGTTGCGTGCGATTTCCACAATCACATTTTGAATAGGAGTGCCCTCCGTCAAAGCGAGCCGATCCAACGAGTCCATAGTCTCCGAGAAGATAGCGTCCTGATAGATCGCATTGCCCGAAATCACCGGTCGTAGGATTCGCTTGAGTGCCTGGAGAATCTCCAGTCTTTGTGACGGAGTAGTCGACTGGTCGACCAAAGCCTCGAATGCAAGCCCGAAGAGGACGAAGAAGAAAGCAACCGGCTCGTCGCGATAGTTAATGTCGTGACCTTTGCTTCCCACTTCTTCTTTAGACGCAGCTTGTTCTTCTTCATCCGGCTTCGATTTCTCGAGCTCGGACTTGCCGTCTAAGGCGTCAAAAACGAAATCTATGTCCCTCTCGACTAGCCCAGCAATTGCATCGACAAGATTTAACCACGAGTCTTGGTAGAACTGAAAAGCGAATCTTAGTATATAGATTGACTGTGTATTGACACAGAGCAAACAAACCTTCAATAGTGTCTCCCGGTTCAACGCAGCGTACACTTCGTCCAAATCGCCGCCCAGTGGCCCGGTACCCAAACTTCCAGAGATATCGGGCTCAAATCTCAGGCGTGCGTACTCCTGAAGAGAGGAGAGCCACAACGGCGTGAGCTTAGTAAGGTATGGCTGCACAACCTCGTTCAGATACTCTTGCTCGATGCTAGCGATCTGAAGCCGTGCCCAGGCGGAATACAAGGCCATCTTGACCATAACTCTGGCGTTGGAGTTGAGGCCCTTCAATTCCCCGATTTCGGTGGTGTCCAGATTATCTTGGGTTCGTTAGCAGAAGGCGAGGCAGTAGCTCGAAGGTTACTCACTGGAGAAATTTTCGAGGCCAAGGACTAGAAGCTTGAGAATCCTGCCCATCCTCTCAACATTCGTCACAATACCCGTGGCAATGAATGTCGCTGAGACATTAATGGCCTCGGACGCCAGCTCTGCAGATGAGTCTGCAGCAAACGCCGGGGTAAGAGCCGATCCGATCTGGGCCTGGTACTGCTCAAGAAGAGACGCCTCAGTAAAGTCCGGGTCTGGAGTTTTGCCAAACATCTGAGATTGTACGTCAGTAAGCTCAATCAAAAAAGGCCGAACAGAGAACATACCCTCAGCACTTGGTCGATGATCTTTAGACCCCAGATGCGAAGCTCTATTACGTTTGCTGTGGAAGCTGAAAACGCCATGCGGACAATATCTCCGACCTTCTGTTGTAAAGCAAGTTCCGCGGGGATCACCTGATCCGGCAGGATAGCTTCCTGTACGAAACATAAGAGCTCACTCAGGCAACTCATAACGAAATTCCGAGTCTGCCATTTCAATAGTTCCTGCCCGGATACTGTGTCATTTGTTCCATCTGACTGTCCGGCCCCTGCAATAGCGGATGCAAATCCTGCAACCTCGTCGTCCGGCATGTCGTTAGCAGAGGGTTTCACCGCTGATGTAAGAGGCGGCTCCTCCGCTTTGAAGCGCGTCTTGGTCAAGGTATTGTGGCAGCGTTGAATCCAGAGCTCTGTCTCTTCAAGCGCTGTCTGCTGCATCCAGTCCTGGATCATACCCTTCAAAATCGGATTATCAGGTGTATCGTCAAATGCAAGCCAGATGTCCTCTTCAAGAGCCGGGGTAGCGGTGCGAATAACAGAAGCAGCGTCTCTCTTCATTAGGTTACTAAGGCCTCGGATAGCCACGTCTCTCATCAGAGGATTATCGGCAGAGAGCTCGACCTGCAATCGTTTAACATATCCAGAAAAGTCGACATATGCCGGCGCATACAGTGACAAGTGATCCAAGCACTTTGAGCTCTCTGTGACCAGAGCCGAATTGTCCTCCAGTTGGAATTGCCTGAGCAGGGTGAGAATAAGGTTCCTTGTCTTTGCAATGTCCTGAAGGTCAGGTCCGAGCACATTGATTAGCGAGTCCACGCAGCGACTGATCAGGACAGGAGTGAGGAAGGACATCTCGATATTGGATGTAGCCAGGGCTGCTGCCTCTTCGTTGTGAGTATCTGCGTTGTACAGCTGAGCGAGCATTCCAAGAGAACTGGAGACGAAGGGCGAGAAGGTCAATCCCGCAGAGTTCGCGACTCGTTCTAGACCACCAAGAGCCCAGAAGTGGACTAAAGGGTGATGATCGTTACATAAAGACATTAAAACACCAACGATGGTCTTAAGATGCAGACCAGCTGCCATACCACCGACTTGAGAATGGATACAACCTAAAGCAGTAGCGCAGCCAGCACGGGCATTAGGTTCTCTATTTTCGACGATCGTATCCACAAGCCAATTGACCTGTGTATTTGTGAACGTGTTGCCAAAGCTCTCGCAGAGCCGTCCGAGCGCTTCGGCGCCGATCGTGCGGACAATTAGATCAGGATCAGTGACAAATTTCTGCTAGGGTCAATTTACTGTCTTGAGGCTTGGAACACTGACTTGGATGTCTTACCTGGACGAGCTCTTGCAGGACTTTATCAGTAGCAGGATTGAGTTTCCCGGCACCGGGACCGATTCCCTTGGCCGATACCTTGAGGGCATGGAGAAGCGCCACGGCAACATTAACATTCATAGCAGCCTTGCGGCCAGGGTTCCGCTGAAGCCCTGGCGATACAAGGTATGTGGCAATCTGTTCTACACTGCTTTCTTGTACCTTGGGCCCGTGTAATGAGATTGCAACTGAGAAAAGCTCGATTGCCGCATTCACAACACCGGTTGCGTGCGGATCAGCCAAAAGACAGTCGCCTTGCCTTGAAGCATATAGCAGAACTGAATCGTGCTCGCTTGCTTGAAATATAGGGAAAGTCAACTGGATATGTCAGTATCAAGCAAGTAGCAAGAACGCATGCCCTCTACTTACGGCATCATCGATACTTTGATCCGCCGAGTCAACAGCAGACCATGCTGGTCCATTGTCATTCTCGTTCTTGCCAGTGAGCGCCGCGCGAACATAGTCACGGGTGATTCCCGTGACTCCGAATCCGTAGTTATCGCAGAGATCCCACAGAGTGTCGAATTGTGCAGTCGAGGCAGCAATTGAGCTTTCTAGAGGACCCGCCTGGGCAGCATCGGGGTCTGCAAAGGACGAAATTGCCAGACTCAAGAGGCTAGATTGAGAGATAACATCGCCACGGCTCAAAGGGTGGACATGAAGTAGCTTGGAGAAACACTGCAGAACACGTCGTCGGACCATCGTTTCGATATCGTGCAACTGCAATGAAGGGTGGAGACGCTGCGATGATTCATTTACAGCCTTTTGCCGCGGGAGGTCTTCGAGAAATTCAACTGTATTCTGAAGCATTCCTGCTATTCTCTTCGCTCCGTCCGCTGTGATTAACTTGCTATTAAACTCCATGAAGACCAGCAATGCGCCCAGAGCACATTCCCTGACATGGGCAAGAAAGCTCGTCTCCAATACTCCACGCTGAGCAGAGTTTTCCTTGCTCAGGTGGATTGGAAGCGCATTTTTCCAAAGCAGCATCAATTGCGACAGATGTATTTTCACCAAGCTTGGACCGAGTGGCATTAGACCACCAATCAGGATCCAAGCAACCTGTATCTGCGTACATGCGGCACGTAGCTCAGAATTGCTGCTTGTTTTCAAGAGGTCGGTTGCTTGAGTAAATACACGGGAGAATACATCGACAGACCCATATAGAGGTTGTAGTCGAGATGTACTTAGCATGGCCGAGAGACCATTAGCGTACCCCACACAACGACGTGGCGACTGCCGAGGAGTGCCCAGTTGACTGACTTCTCTGTTCAAGGTATTCAGGCAAATAGTGACACAAGACAGTAATTGGTGCGGACAGGCAAGGACAAAATTGCGTAAACAGTGCGCTGCGTGAATTTGAACAGTATAGCTGGGGTGAGACAGGACCTGGAGCAGAGCCTCGCGGCAAGGCTCAGCGAGAGTCGCAAATGCGGACCCAAGGCATTGAATCAGGGAAGACAGTGCGCTCAAAGTGCTCGTCAAAGAATGCTTGCTTGGCTCGCGCCGTTCTTGAACCACCTGAGGATAATCCTTGAGGACATCATTGATCAACCATTTGGCCGCGTTGAGCTGACTGGTCTCCCGAAGCGATTCGCGCCCGACTGTATCCTCCAGAATGCTTTTGACAAACTTTCTCGTCATCAACATTCGGAACCGATTATATGTCACTGTGGGATGGTTCAAAAGGTCGAACAAAAGATGAGTCGCAATCTGGCTATAACGGTCTTCTATTATCTTGTCGCCGAGGATTCGCAAAACGTGCTTGTAGCATACGGCGATACCAGCGCGAGCTCGATTCGAAGTCGTGCTTTTTAGGTACTGCGTGGAGAGTTGGCGAAGGAGGTCTGGGAGAAGGAAAAACAGACGAGTTTCCGGTTTCTTGGTGGTTGACGACTCGGAAATCTCTGCCTCCTCATCATCTTCTGTCGGCTTCGCTGTCGGTTTCCTTGACAATCTTTTTGCTTTTTTAGGCTTCGGCACAGACGTGATCCGGGTATCTGAAGCATGCAATTTGGCTAGTGCACGAGCGAGACAGGCTGCAGCTGCGTGCCTGACGGGAGCGACAGGACTGTCAACCGCCTTCCACACCACGGCCTTCAGGTGATCGAAGTCGTTCGTATTATTGAAGTATGGAGTTGTGTTCACGAGTTGCTCGAGGCAACGGCATGCGTGGACCTGAACGAAGGTCGATTTATCCCCGGTTGCGGCATTGCGGGCCTGCTTCCAGATGTCTCGTGCTGTAGTTTCGTCGACCGGGACCCCAGAGCCAACTACCACTTTTCGCAGAACGGAAAACACTGACCCACGGCATCCTGTATGGTTGCTCGAGGCTTTGAGGAGCTTCAGTAAGCTTGACACAACAACGCCGCCTTGGGCAAAGACACTCTCCCCCGCGACCGCGAACACTTCTCCCAAACAGTGGGCTGCAGCGAATTTGGTCTTGAGCTCGGCATCATTTTTGCTTGCATTCAAAATTCCTAGCAGGTCATTTACTGTTTCAAAGAGTACCCCGCGATCACCTTTCCTGAAGATAGCACCGAAGCAGCGTCCCAGGTTATTGCGAATGACCCGCGTGATTGTTGGCGAAGAAAGCGTCAAAATCTTGAACAATTCTTTTTTCAGGAATTTCTGCTGCGATGAGACCTGCGCCTGATCCAATCCTGATAAGTGTTGAACTAGGTCGGAGGTAAAGGTGAGGAGGTAGAGGTCCTGTTGTTCGGAGGGAAGCGCATGAAGCTTGCTGATGTCGAGCTCCGCACGGGGAGCCGCATTATCGGCGGCGGAAGTAGACGTAACGTTCTCAGATGCAGACATTGGGTTAGATCGTGCCACCTAGGGCGTCACCCATTCGGGCTCTAAGTTGTATCGAGGAACGAGAATGAAGACAGGTTCGGAGGGAGGGGGCAATCTGGCGCCTAGGTGGGCAGTCGAGTACTGGCCGACCTTCCACTACGTAGTTCGAATGTGTCGCGGCCCCCTCCCCGCCCCTTTAAGCGGGCACTTGGCCTCATTTCCGGGGACGGGCGGTGCCGGAGAAACTGTTGTGCCGGTCCCGCTATCAGATGGAAAGATGCGGACTGATTGTAGATACCTTTCGTTGCATCTCCGGTAGAGATGGTGCCGTCTGCCAATCGATAGACTCAGGTCTGCTCTGCAATGGCGTCTTTAATGCACAAGAATCTGGTGCACCAGCGCGTTACCCGCGCCAATCAGTTCATATGCTATGGTTGCCGTAGCTTCAGCAGCAGCGCCCCATGGTTTGCTGGGCATAACCGGTGGTCTAAGATCAAGCACGATAAAGCCAAGGAAGACAAGCTAAAGAGCAAGGAGCGCCAACTCATGAATAAGGAGATCAGCAATGCAATTCAGTGTAAGGCCACAGTCTCTCACAACCACACTGTATGTCAAGGCTAATTCGGCGGAGTGTTTGGCCCTGACCCGGAGTACAATCCGCGCCTGTCCCTTGCCCTCTCGAACGCGAAGCGAGCCGGAATTCCCAAGAACGTTATTGAAGCCGCTCTAGCCAGAGGAAAGGGCATTAGTCTGACCGGTGAGGCGCTGGAGCAAGTCACTGTTGAGGCTATCCTGCCACATAATGTTGCGCTCGTGATTGAATGCCAGACCGACTCAAAAGCCCGTCTATTGCAGGACATTAGACATACCATCAAGAACGCTGGCGGGTCCGCCACCCCAACAACCTATTTGTTTGAGAAGAAAGGTAGAATTGTTTTCGAGAAGAAGGATGGTGTGGATCCGGATGACTACTTGGACCAGGCGATCGAAGCGGGCGCAACCGATATTACATCTGACGATGAAGGTCGCCTTATTGTCTTCACAGAACCCACAGAAACGAAGAGTGTTGGAGAATCACTGTCAAAGGCAATTGGAATGCCCGTCGAGGAACTAGAAATATTCTGGGATCCCAACAAAGACACCATGGTGGACCTCAAAGACGAAGAGCAAGTGGAACATATCGAGAAAGCCATGGCTAAGCTTCGAGAGGAGCCATGTGTCAACGACATATATATGAACACGCGTCAGCTGTTCTAACATTATGCGGGCTAAGTTACGCGGGTCCCAACGCCGAGCACGTATAGAGTGTATAATAGAATTAACATGTCATACTAGATGTAAATTGAATATCATCAAGATGAAAAGCTGCTAGAGCCAGGCTCGGCATGATATACAGCGACTATCATTGAGTTCTGCAGCTATTACTCTTTCCTCAAAGCTTTCATAGTGCTGCGCATCAGATTTCCAATGCCCACATTTCCTGTTGCATCCAACCAATCAAGCATCCGAACACGATACTCCTGCCAGGTCAGCTTCAAGCCTCCCTCTTTCTCGAGGGCACTGAGTGCTTTCTGAGTCACAGGTTTCTGCAACCTTGGTTGACTCTCATCAATGCCATTGTTCTCCTCAATATCCGCAAAACACGCTGCAGACATATTGCATAGAGCGACATGGTGGCTCAGCGAAAATACTGAGGATATGGTGTAGAAGAAGTTGACATCTCGCTTTCTCTCCCGTGAACTATCGTTCAGATTACGGATAAAGCGCGTCAGGGCGTTGACAATGGGTGCCGGAATCAAGCAACCTAGTGCGTTCGGGTCATCAGAGTTGAGTCCGCGATTGCGCCAGATCAAGTTGCAGATATCCATGATGTACCCGTTGAATTGACCCACAAGGTCTGTCGGATATAATGATTCGGTCGCATGTGGAATCTGTAGGGCGGGGGAAGTGAGAGAAGCTTCGAATGACGATTTGTAGGTAGCGAGTACTGAGCTCATAATCGACATAACGGAGCTTATCGGGGTAAAGACAAGGGTATAAACTGTTGGAGCGAGGGGGATAGTAAGACGGATGCTCCTGTTCAAAGGTGCATGCGAAAACAGTTCGGCTAATGTGCAGTAAAATTCAAGGACGGACAGTGTAGCAGGTTTTTGTCCTTCGGGCTCAACCTCTGCCGTACGCTGTATTGTAGATTCGAGACTCGATAGAGCCAACAATTCTGCGTGTGAGATAAGGCGGCCCAGTGGCTTGAATTCACGAGCGCTGAGCGGTTGAGATCTCAAACGTACGCCCCATTGGTGAATTAGCGAAGAGTAGAAGTCGAGTAGGGTCACTTGAGAGCGAGGTGTGCCGTCTAATATTGAAACCTCTAGGTGGCCCAGGAACTCTTCTCGCAGGTCTTTGAACTCCTGAAGTGGTAAATATGACAATAAAAGGAGCACTCTGTCTTGATTGTCGTAGCCGTCCCACGAAAGGATATATTGCTTAAGGAATGGAACCAACGGGTGGGGAATTTCCTGTAGTCATGTAAGATTTCTAGAGAGAAACACAGACGTGTCATGGACCCATACCTTTGTATATTGCGCATAGTTGAGTGCAAGATCCATAATGTACCCAAGCGACTCGGTCCCTTCGTGATCGTTCTCGTGCATGTGCTCCAATTGATCATCAAGGAAGCTTTTCAACCAATCATTCAGACGACGATGTGCAGCGTCGGACTGAGTCAGGAAGAGATACTTCTGAGCCAAGGGATCTCCCATCATGGAGATGATTTGGTTAGGTATTTCGATTCGATCAAGTCTTTCGACAAAGTGGTCCACACTGCGCAATTCTTCAAGCGCAGTATGATATAATGAGACCCGCGATGTTTGTACAGCAGGTACAATGACCTCCATTTTGCCTCTCTTAACCATACCACGATGCACTACCTGGAAAGTTGATGGCTGCGCAGCTTGAAGTCGCTCCGAATGCGTTTCTTGGATTTGTCGCACGTGGGCTGTCCACTCAAGATCTGGGTGCTTGAAGAATAGTGCCTTTCTTCCCGAAGACCCAAGATCTCCCACAATTACATCGGGACAGTAGTTCTTGAAAGCTTTCAAGAGAGTGAGAAGCTCTTTATCATCGCATCCAGCAGCACCAAGAAGCTCCATAAGAGCCTGGATTCTGAAAGGCTTGACATGTTTCCGTCTCGTAATTAACGAGAGTAGATGACACAACGGCTTCCGTAAGCTTAACATATCAAGGTGGTTAAAGAGAACCGCGTATAGTTTCGCTAGATGAGACCGATCATCGAGAAAATCGTATACGAGAATCAGCCATCGCAAAAGCAAAGCCTGCGTTGCGGGACTAGGTTTTGTTTTAGCAGGGCCAAGGCAGCACACAACTTGCGTGACAGTCTTGGAGGATATCCTCTCCTGCGGGTAGAGATTCTTAACTAGGATAGTAATTGTTCCCTGGTCAAGTTGATTACTCTTCGTAAGGACCTGAAGCAGATGTTCTAGGCCAGACTGGGGAATTCCGCTCTCATAGGCATGTGTTGCTATTGTTCTGGCTAACTGCCCAGCATCCGTGTATCGCTGCTTTGATGGCAAAAACGAGACTGGCAAGTGTCAGGGTAGAGATTCCATAATGAGATAGGTCTGGCGACTGACCTGCTTCGAGATGCTGAATCGCATCTTGTAGGCTGGTTGGTGCAGCATCGGAGCCTAAATGGAATGTCAAAACGACAGTAAACAAAGGTGAGATACATGACTAACCTCTGTCCGAGTCGGATGACATTGTAGTCTAAAACTTGCTTATCTATTAGTAAATTAATCGCGGTGCAGATCGAGTGCGGTATCTCGCAGCGCATATCAGACTGCACCGAGGCCTTGATCACTTTCGATCATTCAAGTCGCGCGCGGACTCGAAAGTCGCGTCAACGGCGCGACAGATCAACAGTACTACCACAGAAGTAAAGAGTAATAATTAGACCTGCTGCTTTCCGCCGAGTCGCTTCTTTAAATTCTTTCGTGGTATGCACGTTTTTGTCGACCATAAATGCTGTCAGGTAGATAACTCTGTGAAAAAAGGCGCGGGAAGTTGAAGATGCGCGAGACCTTGCCAAATCTGGTAACCAACTGGCGACACTCAAAATGGCGGCAACCTGACCTGGGCTCTCCCCTTCGTGAGAACTGGCTCTCACAACATAACACTTCTAATACAGTGACATCTTTAATGACCAGAAAATTACGAGAACTATCCATATTGCGGACTTTTGAGTACAGTGATAGCTCCGCGACATTTTCTCACACCCTTCTAGGATCTTGAAAATTGGGCTTCGAGGCTCTCGTTTATAGGATTCACACTGAGGAAGAGTCGCTAAAGCAACAGCAGTTTCTGCTAGGGAAATATGAGACAGATCTATGGGTCTGAGCAGCAGCCACAGACATATAAGGGCAGGCTCGAACCATTCTAGACAATGAGGTGTTAACTAATTTTTGGCAAAGAACGCCAGCTTCGCTAGTATAGAGTACCACTCCACAAACATCCTTGGAGATGTCCAGGTTGCCATCTCTGATTTGTGGTGGGGATATGATGTTTCACTGGCTCTGAGGCGTCTGTCAGTAAAGCCAGTCGATCTCCAGCACCTGTGTGTTTAAATAGTTTGGCTGTTCATTCACTTCGCGGTGTGCTACCGGTAAGTTCCCCGTTGTTTTCGCCAGTAAGTCATTCTGGCTTGAGTCAAGTAGTAGATTCTCGAGTACTAGATCTCCTCTTCGCGTCCCAGGGGAAAATCGTAAAGTTGTCCCCAAAGTACTACTATCTGTGGTGCAGTTAGGAGTATTTATGATCTTTGGAGAGGCCCAATTCCACTCTCGAGTTCCATTTCTGTGCAGAGCTGGGATATTGGCGACTGTACATTCCCATAGCCAAGAATAACATCAATTGGGGGTGTAGAAGCATTTCGAGCGTTACTATCTGCCTCCGGTTCCCTGTGTGCATAGTTTAGTTGCATCCGGGGATCGCTGTCATCGCCGTCCTTTTGGGGCGGCACGTCGATCATCGAGTCTCCGGAACGAATCGGACCTTCTGTTGAGGGTGGGGGGCGCGCTGCCAGCGGTTGTTGCACCGGGCTGCGGAGTTTGCTAATGTCAGGAGCATCGCACTGTCGATGAGCTCCGTCGGCAGAAGACGTCAGACCTGACATGCCTAGAAATCACGGAGAGTGAGGGTCTACTGTACCACAATAAGTGAGAGATGATGTACATGTAAAATTCCGGCTGGTGACTTGGCTTGTGATGGAGAAGGCGTGGGATGCCATGCCTTAAGCTTTGACAATCTCGCGTCAGTCTGGGGATTAAGTTAGCCCTGTCTCAGCTCCTTCCCTGTGAGTACTTGAACCTCTGACGCGAGCCATTTTGACAAATTAAAGTCCCGCGGGTAGAGCTTCATACAGCAGCCTATAGCTGCCATGATGAGATTGTAGAAAAGTGATTATTATTTATCATGTGCCCATGATTCTACCAGCAGAATCAGTCTTTAAGCTAACTATACTAGCTAGCTAACTCTATCAAGGTCTTTAACGAGGTCTTTAACTAGTGTTTGATCTTATACTATATAGAGTATTGAAAATCTTTAGCTACTAGCTCCATAAAGAAGACTTTTAATTGATCAGCTCTATGAAGATCTTTGATGAAGAAGGATCTTCATTTACTAGCTTTAAGCTGAAGGGCTTCCCGTTCCTGAATATCTTTCTACATAAAAGATTTCTCTGTGTCAGAGATCTTCCCACATCAAAGATATTCTATACGGGACTGACTAAATAATAGTCTTCTATATAGAACTAAGTAATTCTATTTCTCTCTTTCTTTATTCTTCTGACTTTCCTTCCTCTATCAATCTACCGAGCGGAGCAAAGGATATATGCCCTGTTGAGTCTATTTTCTCCAGATAGAAATAAGTTTGATTGATATGATAGAGACGGTGAATCCAGCAGTAAAAGGACTTTATTGCGAAGATTGTACTTTCATAATGGCAGCTATATAGGCTGCCCTAGTCACAGATCTTACGGCCGTAGAGACTCGCTGGCAGCTCCAAACCTCCGGCTTGGCGCCGCCGCGAGTTCCCCAGGTTCATGCTTTACGTCCTCAACGCTCTGTTGAGCTGGGTCTTCGTACGCATAATCCTTCTCCGCAAGGAAGTCTTCCGTAGTATAGGCCAGTATCAGGTCTGTGCAGCCTAGAGCGGCGACAACACCGGCCTTATTTGGGACCCTTGCCATGATCAATGGATTCCAACCACAAGGCAATTTCGTTTTAGATAGTAATATCAACGGTGATTGAACTTATCAAGATGCGAGCGATCCCTTTTGAACTATACATAAACACTGACAAGTGTCGCATTATTTTCAAACTGCACATGTAAATCAGTTCTCTAAAAAGCCTTGCCATCACAATGTTGATCACTCGAGATGGAGCACCGACTGAGTGCACAAAAGTGACTTCTGAATGCCCCATCGAAGGGACTATCTAGGGACAAGCCCCCAACTTCGCCGCAAGCATTGCCTTCTGTGCCATCTTCGGAGTTCTTTGTCTGGTCCAGCTAATCCAGTTACTCAAATGGCGCATGTGGTCTCTCGGCATTGCTGTGATTCTAGGAGCCGTTTCCAAGATTATCAGCAAGTCAATCCATGGGTACCAACTGCAGTAAAGTACACTGGGAGATTCGAGTCTGAAACCAAGCTTGAAGAGGATAAATTGGCCGACTCATGCTGCACAGTAACGCATAGTCCAACATCGGGTTCGAAACTCAGATTTGCACCTTGATCATTGCACCTGCGCTTTGGTCCGGCCGCTATCTACTTGACGCTAAAGGACCGTGTCAACCTTTTTGACCGCCAGTACTCGTTGCTTAGAGCGGGTCTGTAACCTTAGATTTTCGTCACTTGTGATCTCCTGTCCCTCATTCTTCAAGGCAGAGGTGGTGATCTTGCAGCCACAGCCACCAATCCTGACGACGCTTCACTCGGAAGTGATATCATGTTGTCCGGAATTGTCTGGCAGGTGGTTACTCTGGCAGTGTCCGGGATACTGTGGGGGCAATAACTTTGGGCACGAGTGCATCATTTGCCGGTGGAGGCTGAGACTGTTCGGGAGAGCAAAGCTTTCTGGATCTTGAGGGAGCATCTTGGTGGCATTTTCAACCACCTATGCGCGGGGTGTCTACCGGTAAGTACAGACTGTCGATCCTGACAACAGGAGACACGCTGACCACGAACACATTCTTGCATTACCGCAAACAATTCCGCGCATACTATTTTAGCTCTTCAGTGTTGCCGAGACGGTCGGTGGATGACAGAATCACATTATGCAAGACGGACTCACCTTCGTCATCTCTGAATCTGCGTACGCTTGAGCACTGTAAATCTCTGACTGAACTCACAGAACTAATGATCTTGGTACAAGATGTGCGCGGTGGCCGTGTCAACCCTCAGAATCACACACCCAGGCCACTTTTTCGAACATATGAACGGAAAGTACGCGCCGATGAGCTCTAAGGATTCTGTTTCTTCGCAAGCCAAGTCATCTCAAGGAATCACGGTCAATGGCAATCAGAAACTTCTTGTGTTGCAAGCTCTGGCTTGGTGTCGTTTGCGAAATAAGATGTGGCAAGGATGTTGCAGTAAGCGGCAGTTCAAAGAGCGGGAAGCAGATCCTTGGAATTCACAATTTTTGCCTTGTATGTGAACGTGAAAGCTACTTGTATGGGCTGAAATGAGCATTGATAGCACTCAGTGTTGTTTAATGAATTCTTTGTATCAATAAAGACATACTGACTATGTTGACTCTATTACAGTGTCTGCTTATGCCTTCAAGCATGTGCTTATCATAGAAACAGTCGTTGCGTCATGATGAGCAGCTCTTACTTTCTTTTTCTAGCGGCCTCCTTAGACTTCTCGTTGCCAGACGCAGTAGCTGATGCTTCAAGCTTGGGCTTTTCAGCCTGGGTAGCTTCGTCTTCATCATCACTGTCTCCGCCCTGGCCGAATTCGTTGACACGAGTGTAGTCGATCTTGTATTTCCAGCTCTGGTACAGCCAGACGAAGAAGATAACATCATCTCTGAGCGTGGCGAGTCTGTGAAGCCAGGGCATCTTGACAGTGAAGGCGAAGAGATCGTCAATAAAAGTGTTGAGGAACTTGTACATCAATGCCTTGCCAGGCATGTGAGCGACAGACTAGAGCGGCTTGTCAGTAATGCGATTAAACGAGAACAATCGGACTATGTACTGACCTTTAGTCGGTAGTTGATGTACAGACTAGGGACCATCATCAGGAAGCCGTAGGCGTAAACGCTCCCAACCAAAGTCTCAATGACATAGGAGTACCATGACTTGTGAGTGTTGTAAATGAGGCTGTAGGCTGCGTATGCTGCGAGAAGAGGCACGGCAAGGATGTATAGGTAACGGAACGCGATCTCGTCATATTCCTTGGTTTTCTGCTCCGTTTCACTGAGTTTGTGCTTGTCCTCGAAGACCACCACGTAGGGCAGGAAAGAAAAGAAGGATCCAGCCGGGGGTGGTCGCAGGCGCACATCCACAGTCTTCGTGATCTTCCACGCTTCAAGCAAGATACCGAATCCCTGGCTGGCAAGAATCATCCAGGATGTATTCTCGCTATTGTCCATGAGATAGAGGAAGATGACTGCTTGCATGAACACGTTGGCAAGGATAGTGCGGACGGACGTTCCAACAACATCCTTCTTCTTGCGCCAGTGGGACTATCAGAAACCCAGGAATTAGTGCTTTGTTCGATGGGAGCGCCGTCCGAAAATGGAAACACATGACTTACAATGTCGTTCTTGAATGCGAGTGTTTCGAAGACCATGTGGAGAACGGTGACAACACCGGTGGTACCCAATAGCCAGATGTTCGTGTCCAACAAGACTTCCTTTATCATTTCGAACTCGGACCCATCGCCGCCACCAGGGGCAGTGTTTCCAAAGGCAGCCTGTCTGGCGGTCTCCTTGGCATTGGCGTCAAGACTCGCCATCATGTTGAATTTCCAATTCTGCAGATTATTGAGAGTGATGCGTAGAGGAACGGTGTCAACAGTAGAGTTAAGCTCCATCATATGGGTCTTGAGCTGCCAAAATGTGTTGAGAAAAACAATCGGGTAATACCATCCATTCTGTCCGGTGGCATCTCTCGCACCGCTAGATTCCAGCTGTATGTGGTGTCTGATAGCAGGATGAACTTGGCGGTACTTCTGGGCACCAGAGTCGGGAACGAAAGAAACCGTGAAGTTGGGGTGGTAAAACGAAGCGATTGACACAGCCGGGGCGCCATCGTCCTCTTGCTCTGCAGCCTCTTCATTTGAGGCAAGAAGATTCTTGAGCTTCTTAGCCTTCTTCTTGGGAAGATACTGATTCAATGGGCGGAAGAAGTGAACTGCGCTGTCCGTGCTATAATCCTTGGCTGTAGGGTCTAATTGATGCCCACTCAATCCAACGAAAAAGTGCGCCCAGAGTGTACCGTTGCGCTGAACTTCCTTCGGAACTTTGATAGTGGTGTCGATCTCTCTGATGTCGCTGTAGTTCCCGAGCGTGAAGTTTCTCTCTTCCAAGACAAGTGAGTCAGAGGGAAGAGACTTGAAGTTTGGAACCGCGATAGAAGGCGAAACATATATATTCATATCAAGGACGCTATCGGTAGGCCAGATTGGAGTCACGAGATCAGGGATGTGGCTGTAGTTGGGAATCTGGCTGCGAGGCGGACGAGTAGCGAAACTGGGCACGTCATTTGGCTTTGCACCTGAGACGCTACTCTGTTGATTACCGCCCATGAACTGACCCATAATGAATTTGGCTAACATGAAGAAAGCCAGACCCTGAAGGACGCCTCTGAGGCCAGACTAGAAAAGCAAAAACGTAGATGTCAGCCAACTCGAAAGAATCCAGGCGATGCAGAAACAGAGCATAAACTCACGCCTTGGCCCTCCTCCTCCCTACGTTGTCTCTGTTCAGGCATTTTTGCGACCCGCTGTTATCGCACCTGGTTAGCAAGAACGAGGTGGAAGGGGTGGATGAGAGAGAAAAGGCCACGCGCGCGACGAAGGACGGAGGGTGGTCCAAGTAGACTAAGGCCGGGTGTTTTTGCGGGTCCGTCTTATCGCCGCCGGCATGACATAAATCGGGTCTTGCCGACCAAGAGCTTGCGATCTCCATCTATCACCGAGGTTGCACCCCCTCCGCGCAAAGACCTTCTGCCCCACGTATACTGACACATTGTTCCCGGCGAAAGACCGGGATCTACGTGGTTCTGCAGGGCGTCTCGTCGCGCAATCGACATGCTGGGCTATCGAATGTCGGCCTAAATCCAATGACGGACAATCATCCCTCTCCCGATTACTCCCGCCCCCAGTTTCCTACCCATCATGAACCACGGGTATGGGTGATTACGGCTGGAGATTCACCCATCGGGATATCAGTGACTCGCCAGATCCTCAAGCATGGTGACTGCGCTCTGGTCGGACGGGCTTACTCAGAGTCGGATCGAGACGAATGCCGTCGCGATGGCTTCGACGCTTTTCTGGCTGAGATCGAAAGGCACAATGACGAGGGCTGGGGACAGCGATTTATGGCTGTTCCCTTAGATATAAGGTACGCAGAAGGTTTTGCATGTGGTCCCTAAATGGAACGTCTGGCGCATGCTCATAGTTGTCTCGCAGAATGGTCGGTGAATGCCAAGCAGTCGTCGCGCAAGCGGTTGCGACCTTTGGCAAAGTAGACATTCTCTTGTGCTGCACTAGCCAAGGTACGAGTCAAATCTACGTACTTCACATTTAAGACATGTCGAGCTAAAAGTCGCATAGCCCTCATTGGTACAGTGGAAGAGCTAGCAGCTTCCCAGCAGACCTTGAACTTAGTTCGGGACCAATTCGAGATCAACTACTTTGGGCCCTTGAACATCATCAAGGCGACACTTCCTCATATGCGTCGACAAAAATCGGGGCACATCATGATTCTTTCCGGCATAAGTAAGGACCAGCAAACACGTGTTAGTAATGAGCATGAACTCTGACAGGAAATAGCTGCTCACATCGGCACACCAGGGCTGGGAATGTACTGCGCCGCAGGTTGGGCTTTGGAAGGCTTCTGCGATGTAAGAATACTTAAGTGATGCACATCGAACACTTGTGGCTGACGTTGCCACTCCTATCCAGAGTCTCGCCTACGAGATAGCGCCGTTCAATGTCAAACTCACAATCTTTCAATGCAGTATCGAAATTGGAATCTTGACCAATCTAGTTACCAGTGTACCTCCGATCACGCCAGTCTACTCTTCCGCAGTCAACCAAGCGCCACTTTTCCGCGGAATATTGAATCGTCTCGTATCTCGCCTGCCGAACCATGATACTCGAAATGCAGGGACAGCGAACGGCTTGGCCAGCCCCAACCGAGGGAATCCTGTCGAAGACGGTCCATTTTCTGCACCAGATGTCATTTCAACGTACCCTCCACTCAGTTCTGCGCACATGGAAGTCTTAGTAACGGAGACCGTTTATGCTATTACGGCTATCGGTGGTCATGAAAACCCGCCCTCCCGACACATTGTGGGCCAGGAAGGTGTCGCTAGTGTCAAGGAGAAGCTTAAGACGGTCAGTGAGGAGTTGGAGGACTTCATTCAATCAAGCTTTGCTGTGGATTACGCAGCCGATGATGCCAGCCGACTACCTAAGGACGACGGCATGAGCACTGGTCAGGACGCGGCCTGAATTTATTTGAAGGACCATGTGTAGCGTATGACAAAGTATTCTCAGCCAGCTACCGACTGGGCATATTCGATCTAAATGAGATATCTACCCTAGGCTAATCCAAGAACCGATTACATGCGCCTTGTAATCACCTTTAACACGGCACCTATGCCACTCAGGTATTTCTCCCTGACTTGTTCTCACGCATAAACCAGGATTGCCTGATCTCCCACAAGCTTCCCATGTCCTGGTTGTGTCTGTAAGCTCGAAACTCCTTCCAAGAATTACCATTCGGCACCTTCTTGACCCGTCCGTCGATTTCTATAATTTTGGAGGCTAACGCATTGAGCCCCTGAATATTAGGTAAAACGATTTCCTTGACATCATCTGCAGATGATGCTGTGGTGGAATAGCTCTGGTTCGAGTTCGCCTCAGGTAGCGGTTTTTCGGTTGATGTTTGGTTCTCTTCGGTCTCCGAATGAGGATGGCCTATTGCGGTGCTGGTCTGAGACTCCGAGCACTTGCTCTTAATACCCGGAGGCGATTGTGTCGCGGATGTCTCATTTTCCGTAATGGTCAGATCTAGATGACCTGTTGCACCATTGGGCTGGGACTCTGAGCACTGTCTCTTGCTGTCGGAAAGCTCGGCGTTTGGTTTGCGTTTGAGACGGGAGCCAACTCCTGTCCCTTCAGCTTTCGATCCCGTGCCTGGGTCAACCCCATCATGCTCGTGTTGGCTATTCGCATCAGTAGCTTCTGCATCTGCTGCCGAGCTGGCACCACCCGCTGGGCTTGTCGAACTTATTGCAGAAGCTGGCGCAGAGGTCAGGAAGGTACGCTGTCCCGGTGGGACGGCGAATGTCAAGTTTGGGCCTTCAATATTGACGATCTAGCCCGGCGTCAGCAACCTATACACTCTCTATGTGACATAGAATAGCAAGCGGCAGACTCCACGTACTCTAGCTTCCTTCTCAACAAGAACTTTCTGGCTACCTGTCGAAAAGGCTCGGGAGTATTTCAGGATATCGCCTTGGCGGATCACTCCGTTATCAGTCAATGTCTTCAGTTTGACCTGAGAGCTCTGCCCGGCCATCGAGCTTCGGTCCATCTTCTGCTTCTGACCCCAGAACTCCTCGAATTCTTCCTCCTTGAACCGGTCAAACTTCCCGGCCGCCCGCTCCTTGGAGGCCAGCTCCGCCTGGCGCTGCCATTCCGGCTCATAGCGGCCTTGTTGGAGGTCGACCTGGAACTGACGGATTCCGTCGCGCCAGTTGTTCGAGTAGCGTAGAAATGAATCTGGGGGCGGAGGGATTTTCGCCTCAGGGTCGTCGGGTGAAGGGTAAGGGGTCGGATGCGCATCATCAGGAAGTAGTTTCAGGATCTCCTCCTTCTCGCTCTCCTCGAGGCATGTCCAGGCTTCGGGATGCGAAAGTAGTTTCTATGACATCGCGGCCATTAGTTCTCGCGGACCAAAATTGATTCCACTCCGAATGCCTGAATACATACAACCAAGTCCAGTTTAACCAGCTGCGACTTCGAACTGGTCATCAAATGTTCCTCGCTCCATTGTTTGTTCGCGGCCCGCCGCGGATTGCGCTTGGGTCTGGCGTTTCTCGGTGACATTGTGCAGTTCTTGTTAGATCCGCCCGCGTTGCTCTGTTCCTCCGCCTTCGACAATCGGGTCTTTTGGCTCCTGTAACATTACCTCTGCTTAGCATTGCCAAAAAAGAAGATAGTAAAAGCCTTCCCCCTTCCACAAGGATAATCGGTCGGTCACTGGAAAAGATGGGATCATCCTTGGCGGACATCTGGTCGTACACACCTTGTCACTCGCTGACACTCCGAATTGCCGTCATCGACCGCCTTGCGCTTGCGGGCCATTGTTCCGCGGCCTGGCCAGATAAGTGGTAGTAGTTAGGTGTCTCCAACACAATCACTAATACGGCAGTTAGCTCGTTTTTCTAAAAGGAGAAGCGCTGAAAGTCTCACTTCCAAGATGGTTCGATCAACGCAAATTGCCAGGATTGATGGTATGTTTTGACTGCTGGTGTTGTTGGCGGGCGAAGAGTGGAGGGGGGTTGTGCATCTGCAGCTTGGCTAATGTTTGGAGACAGGCTTGATGTTGGCGGCGTCGGTGGACGATGAACAGGTAAGTCGGTTATCAGAGTGCTCTCGCAGGTGAAAGGAACGGTTATGATACTGTCACTAACACAAAGCGCTTCTTGGTTGTATAGTCAGAAGTGGAACTGTCGGAGATCAAGTCTCAGGCCAAGATGATATTCCGTCGCTTGAACCGCAACTCGGAGCCGCAGGCGAGCATCGAATCCGGCCAGTTCAATTTACAGTAAGAACGAAATGAATGCTCGGGAATCCTACTCTTCTCACCGCTCGTCATTTAGCTACATCATCCAAGACGATATCTGCTTTCTTTGCATCTGCGATCGCTCCTATCCGCGCAAGCTTGCCTTCACTTATCTCGCCGACCTTGCAACAGAATTTACTACCACATACTCACCTGCACAATACCAATCCCCCACCCTGCGACCGTACGCCTTTGTCGAATTTGATACTTTCATTCAACGGACCAAGAAGCTTTATCAGGACAGTCGCGCGTCGGCGAATCTTGACCGCTTGAATGACGAGCTTCGGGATGTAACGAAGGTGATGACCAAGAACATCGAAGACCTGCTGTACCGTGGTGATAGCTTGGAACGCATGGGAGAACTGTCTGGTCGTCTTCGGGAAGACAGCAAGAAGTACAGAAAAGCGGCCGTCCGCATCAACTGGGAGCTGCTGATCAAGCAGGTGAGTACATTACCTCCGTAACACGCATAAATGTCGCTAATTCGTTTATAGTACGGACCATTTGCGGGTGTCGGTTTCATCTTCCTTTTCATGATCTGGTGGCGCTTCTTCTAACCCTGCACTTGGCAGCAACAAATCTGTATACCCACTAATATGAATGTATGCATAATTAATGTCTTCGGTGGATGCGGGACACCATCGTCCTTGGCTCAAAGCTTGAGAGAATTTCTGAATTAAATCATATTTTGCTGCATTGCCTGGGGAAGGATGTGTAGCGCGAGGCCTGTATGACGCGAATGTGATAGGCATTGGATCCTTCTACAAAGTCATAAGTCGTTAGGGTGATCATGCTGGGTGAGCTTATAAGGAGCGGACCATCGTTCGATGGGACACTAAATAGCTTTCAACCCCGTGAAACAGACTATGGCCGGTCCGTCCAACTCAGATCTCATCCTCCTCCTCATCAAAGTCGTCTTCCTCACCCATATCGTACAAAATCCGGCCTCCTTCGCCTGGACCGTCACCCTGCTGTGCATCGAAGTACGGCAGCACCACACCCTCACGATCCCTTCTCTGTCTATCTGTAAGACGAAGCTCGAAAGTCGATTCGGGTTCTTCTTCTCCGGCACCGAAACTTGGCTCCTGTGGTGGGCGATACAAGGGGTGATCGTCCAATAACGTTACGATTTCCTTTGCATACTGCCGAGGATAGTGCGAAGCTGGCGGGAGGATGTACCACTCCAGAACGCCACGGCCACTCTTTCTTCGGTGCTCCAGCTCTAGTACCACACCTTGGGCTGAATCATTGCCGACAGGCTTGTCTAACCTGCCCAGCAGCACGCCGTCTTGCTCCTCTTCCAGACCAAAAACGGGCGGAACCAGACTCCTATCACGAGCAGCCTTCTGAGCTAATATGTGAGAGAACGAGTGAAGGCGGACGATGGTGGTTGCGAGGTAGGTCAACATGGAGAGGGGCGATGGGGTGTAAGGCGACGGAGGGGGCGGGCTAGGGACATCTTGGTGGAAAGTGACGACGAGCGAGGCTTCAACTTTGGAGGCTGTTGGGCTCTGGGGCATGAGGAATGAGCTCAGGAATGAGGATATGTTGAAGTGTGCGTCGGTTCTTCGCGCATGGAGAAGTGGGTTAATGGCATCGATCAGGATCAGGCGCCCTGGTCTCTGTTAGCAGTGTCATGACTGAGACAGGCGAGAGTTGAGTGCGATATACGTACTGCGGACGGGACCGCTGGTAGAGACATTTGTGTGAGCTGCATTGACGGCCCTAACTATTTCCAAGGGACTTTTCTTTCGAGCTGCAACAAAGGCGTCGACGCCCTCCAATGGCTGAAGCGTCTCGAATGCGACAAACGTGATATGGACTTTAGATAGCTGTACAGAATGTTAGTCGCCTTGACGCCAGTTGCGACACATAGATATGAGAGAACAAGCGCCTGAGAAATCCATAATCGGTGGGGACTATACAAGCACGGGTCAAGTCACCTTTGCGCGCCGGATATATTCCTTGATTAGCGGTGTTGCGGGCTGCTCTAGAGAATCCAGTACCAGCGCGAGGGGTGACGCGGTATCTCTGAGACTGAGAAGCTTTGAGATCAAGAGCAGATTATGAGTCTGTCTGTGGGAAGTATTGGTGGGAGCCATTTCGCTGGGATCGGCCAGAGAAACGACGGACAGTGAAGAAAATGCGAAGATTTGCGGGGTCGGTTTTTGCATGCAATGAACGGAGAAGCTGCCTTTGCCTGTGGAGGGGTCCGGCGCACCTCACACTTCCAATCAGCGAACTTGCCTAAGTTTAAGCTCAGCGCCTGCTGCTGTAGTCGGATCCACCGGGCTCAAGCTGAGCCTTGATGTCATGGATAACCCCCGTGGCCCTGTCAGCTCGCTGTCGGTCCATCCACATATCATTAATACAATAGTTACTATAATATAATAATTCTATATTTAATCAAGAATCTTGTGATTTCTTCTAAGGTAAGAATTAATCTTAAGAATAGAAATTTGTTATGGATAACCCCTGTGATTCTATCAGCTCGCTGTAGAGTGGCTAACGGCCAGGTCAGGTCAGGTTAATTTCAATTTTTATACCTGACCGCACGTTAATGGTCAGGTATAAAAAATATATATATTCCTGACCGTGTTAACCGGCAGTAATTGGCGGGCTTAATTTCTCGGCACCAAGCCTATTAAAATAGGCGGTAAAAGGGAGCAGAATATTTATGCCTGATTTACACCTGATTTCTGCCTATTTCTGCCTAATCTAGCCCTTTCAGGCCTAGCCCAGGTATAACGGTTAACCGCGGTTAACCGTTCTACCCGGCGGTTAATCTGATTTTATACCTTAACCTGACCGCCAGGTTATGGTCAGGTTAGATATTGAGTTATTATTTTAAGATATTATTACTGATCTATCTAGTTTACAAGATATTTATATTCTACGTCGGAGATTGTAGTCTGCTCACTTATCTATCACGTGACAGATGCCTGAGGCCTGCTATGTAGATTTACCTTTGCAGTTATCTGCAAAGGTTGGAAGGGCTGGTTTGGCCCTTACATGATGTGCTTTATATCTATTACAGACTTCACAGTATATGTGGTGTGAAAGGTGCTGCTGAGTGTTTGTCTTGAATTCATCTAAAACTGTGCATCTATAAATGTCTAAAAGATACTATATCTGTTTATCTTGTATTTAAATGAAAGACTTCAAGTCTCTTTAAGAACTTAAAAACCATCTGGTAGTAGTGAAGCACATTAGTTCTCTACATTTTGTTCTTGATTCTCTTCGCATATCCTTGACTTATCAATAGATACGGGTAAGTATTCTTACCATTCTATTATTCTTGGTGAATAGTCGACTGAACATTATTTGTGGATCATTTGTGGACTGTGATTGCAGGAAAAAGAAGGTGGCTGCTATACACTCTACGAATCACCCACCATGCCCTACCTTGGACTCTTGTCCCCAGAATCGTTCACAGTTTTTTCATATGACGAGGCATGATCCCTTCCCGCACCCCCAGAAATGGAGCTGGGCTTTGCCAAGTTCTGCGGTCCGCAACAAAGGTCCCGGCGATGCCAAGGTCTTATGCTGTCGCGTCATTATCACCTGGGAAGAATCTGGTGCGGATGCTTGCATCTCACTCTGGTCATACGAGCGCTATCCAGTGCCACTTGGGTTTACCAGAAGTTCCCGGGGCTTTTGAAAAACCCAGATTCGGAGCATCATCCTCTCGTGAAGTGTGCTTGGGGGTGTCTGGTAGCGGTTGTTCTACCTTCTATCCACCTCTACCTATGGTTTTAGCAACTTGAAATAGTCCACCACGATATTGAACTGCACTACAGTTTAGCAAGAGTAGAAAGAATAGTATCTACTCCGAGCTAGGTCCAGATAACACCCCCGGGGAGAGTCTGTGCTCCTGCGCGTGTTCCCAGAGCGAACGGAAATACCCACCCTCACGCTCTCGGAGTGATCGCGGTTCGCCCCATTCCACTAATTGGCCTCCCTCCAGGACAGCGATGCGATCATACGCGCTCACTGTATTCAGCCGATGCGTCACCGCCAAGATCGTGTGCTGCGGCCCGAACCGCTCCGTCAAGAAGCGCATCATAACCGCCTCTGTTTCGGCATCGAGGCTGCTCGTGCTCTCGTCGAGAAGAAGGATACGCCGGTCTCCGTTGGTGAGGAAGCTGCGTCCCACACACAGTAGCTGCTTCTGGCCCTGACTAAGTGGCGCGGTTTCAATATCGGCATTCAACCCGCCCGCCCTCGCTGTCACAATCGTCCACAGGTCGAGAGCTTGGAGGACGTCTCGGAGCTCGGTATCTGAGCAGACAGAGGAAGGGTCCAGGTTGTCACGAATACTACCTGGGAAGAGAACCGGAGTCTGTGGGATGGTGTTGAAGAGGGAGCGGACTGTCGTAGACGATAAGGTATTGATGTCCATCCCATCGATTAGGATAGTGCCCTCTTCGTGATGCACTGGGAGCATTTTGAGCAAGGCAAGGATCAATGAGGATTTTCCACTATAAGATCAATAAGTTCCTATGTCTTAGCTGATGATTCTCGTAGGTTAGCTTATAGTATCAGAGCCTATATATGACATACCTGCCTGACCGGCCACAGATAGCTACTCTCATACCTGGCTCGACTGAGAATGTGATGTGGTCTAGTACGGGTTTAGACATGGGTCTGTGTAGTAGTAGAAACAGAGATATCAGCCTTAGTCGAGAAGAATTTTTGAGGGGGAAAAATGTAGAAAATCGGGGGTGGGGTTTTGTACCTGTAGGATGCGGTGGTGCACTTAAACTCGATTCGTCCGGAGCCTAGGGAAGGCGAATGAAGCTGCGGATTGTGATCGTCTTGTATGAGGTCATCCTCCAGTCTTACATCTGTGACAAAGTCCTTGATTCTTGCAACAGCTCCTATTGAGGTTTCAAGTGTGGTGTAGGCTGTAATGAGCAAACTCAGTGTCTGAGCGAAATTGATGACGTTGATTAGTGCAGTGCCTATTGCATTCCCAGACGTGATACTTTTGATCTGTGTCCCAAATGTCACTAGGACAACTGCTACTACAACGACTAATAGAGACAGCGTAAAGGTCAACCAACGCTGAATACAGTATAAAGCGTAGAAGGGGCGTTGGGACTCGTCTAGTAGGACGATATTCTCCTTTTGGAATCGGTCCTCCCACCCATGCGCCCGGATCGTGAGAAGCCCACTGTACGTATCCAGCAGCTGACTGAACAACGGTGCTTTGGCCTCTAAGTCTAGATAGCGGATCTGCCGGGATGTTCTCAGATATAGCTTTTGAATCAAGTAGGTCGCCAACATCACTGCGGGCAAGAATGCTGCGATGTATCGCACTCCGGTACAAATAAGAATTGCCTGGCCTAGGCATGTGAAACAGTCCAGAAAGAACTCAACTGCGGCCGACGGAAGATCAACATCAATCAGAGTGATATCTTGACTGAATCGATTGAGAGTGCTTCCGATATCGGTGGCAGCATGGAAGCTGTAGGGCGCTTGAATCGCCGCTCTGAGAAGTTTCGAGTGAAGCCATTGAGCCGATCGCGGGACGATCACTTGAAACATGAAGAAGAGAACGGCCCCGTACAAGAGCATGGCACTGGTCATGATCCCCACGTAAGATCCGCCGTATACAGCATGGACATGACTGTTTCGACTCGGATTCTTTTCGGCCGCATTGACCCAAAACCCTGCCCAGACTTGCCCGAAACGAGTACAGAACACATAGAGACAGTTCAGCAACAAATAAACGAGCAGGTTATAAGTACCGACACTCTTCATATAATACGCATAGATAGAAAGGTCGCCCTTTTGTCGAGCTATGTCCTTCGCAAGGGGCTTGGATGTACTCGATAAGGGCTGTGTGCTGTTTTCAGACATCGGTTGACATCTGCTGGCCTGGATCTCCTCTCCTGGCTTATGTGGAGAGTTGCCTAGAGAAGAGCTGTCACTTTCAAGTCTCATGCCTGACGGTTTTTCTAAGTGAGTGGAGCCATCTTTCTCAACGATGAGAACCGCATCCGCATAGTTAATGTAACGCGTGTTGTGTGTGGCTAGGACGACGGTACACCTAAGCTCCCGCAAAAGCCCTCTCGGGCCGAGAAGACGGTCGTGGACCAAGGCCTGAGACGTGTTATCCAGACCACTGAAGGAGTCATCTAGGAGAAGCAATGGTTCGCGTGCATAGATTGCCCGCGCAACAGCAACCCGTTGGCTTTGGCCACCAGAAAGGCGGACTGCTTTTGATCCTAACTTCGTCTGATCCCCATGAGGAAGTTTTGCAATCTCTGAATCTAAGCAGGTTGCGTGGAGCACTCTGTGGTAAAATTCGCACTCAAAGGTACGCCCTCCGAGGATATTGTCACGCAAAGAATGGTCCTGCAGCCAAACATCTTGACTACAATATGCAATGGCTGATTCGGATATGACGACGGAACCTTTAAGACATTTGACCTCGCCCATTATGGCCTTGAGGAGCGTTGTTTTGCCCGATCCGACTGGTCCAAGAACCATCGTAATGGAATGAGGATGGCAGTCCCAGCAAACATCGGTTAGCACGGCCTTTCCCTCTTGATAGTATCCGAAAGAGCCATCCACAATCGAAAACCATGGGCTGTCCATCTGTTCGCCGACATTACGTCCAGAAAGTTCAATCTCTTCGGTATCAGGGGATTTTGAGTTCAGCGTGCGAGAGACAACGCAAGTTCGAACTTGATGACAGGGCTTAACATCCCGATAGTCTTGTTTCTCTTCCAACAATAAATACTTCTGGATTCTTGTGAAGCATGCCAGGGAAGCTAGGAACGTTGGAACCGCATTCAATGCCAGGCCCAATGGGGACGACATTAAGGAGACGATGGTGAGAGTGTAATATACCAAGGAGCTCGTCAGCTGATTGGACCCAGGGTTCATCGTCACAAAAGCATAGATCAGAAGTGTTATAACGGGGGAGAGAAGCGCCGACATGTTCGCGCACATATTCATGAAGCACTCGATTCGTAAGTAGGCCTTCGCCTTAGCGATTTCTATCGACCGTAACTCCCGGATTTTCTGGCCGAGAAAAGATGCCATGGCCATCATTTTGAGCCCCCTCATATTGGTCAAGAGGGATGATGTGAGGCTGACGCGCTTTTGTACTGCCCCGAGCCAATAACCCTGCCGTCCCCGCATCATTTTTGCAATCTGGGCGCTTCCGAAGGTAGAGATAAGAGCTAGCGCCACAGGCGCCACACAAGCGACGCCTAACTTCCGCTTCAGTAGGTATATCCCAATCCCTACATCAAGAGGCGATGCCCATATCTCATGCACGTTGACCCAGTTGGTTGCAATGCCATCTATATCTGTTGTCATGAGCGTGATGGCCGCTGAATCCGTGATGCTTTCAACGTTCAGCTTCAAAGTCTTATCGTAGAGGAGCGATATCAGGCCGCCGCGAATCATAGTAATCATCCGGAACGTCTTGTGCTTGTATATGGCATTACTGAACGCGACCCCAGCATAAATCAGGGCAGTTGCACCAATTAATCCATAGCCGTATCTGGGATTCTTCTCTTCGTCATTATTCACGTAGCTGATGACGCGAAAGATGAGAAAGGGCTGACACCAAGTAAAGGCACTTTGAAATAGCCGGGGAATAGCCGCAGCAAGGATTGGTTGCTGCAGAGACTGAGCGACCGAGAGAAGCAGCCTGGGATGAGCGCCAGATCTCGATGTGTACCAGTTCTGAATGAATCTTTGCTTCAAAAGGGCCGAAGACAGGTCGTAGTCCACCCGAAACACGTCTTGGGCAGATAGCAGGGCGCGAAAACCTTGCCATAGTAGAGGGTTCAACCACAGGAAGCAGCTACGGTTCAGCACGCCAGCGACGGACTCAGGCGACAAACTCCGGTAGGGCTCCCGCAGGACCTTGCGCTTGTTCTGGGCTTCTTGTACCAACAGGAAGAGCTTGGTGGCCAGGCTGGCTGTCGCAATGGCAGACAAAGCTGAATGACTTTTCAGTAGCCAAATAGTTCGTAGCTGAACGGCGTCAAACATCATACTAAACAGTAGATAGACGCTCAGGATTGTAGAGGGTCGAAAAGACCGTTGATACTCGAAGACTGACAGGATCATGATGATTAGAGCGTCAACGACCGCGAGCGAAGCTGCTGGAATGGTCATGCGGCTATGGGGTGTGGCGGCGGAAGCCCATTCGGCCAGTAGTGTTATTTGCAAAGCGGCGAATATGACATAAGTAATCTATGGGAATCCAAAGATATCAACTGTTTATTCCTGGTTGCGTCCTCAGTCCTCAGTGGATCATTGTGAGGGAGGCTTACCACTCTCTTGTAGATGCGGATGCCAGGCGCTGTTTTGATGTCCTGCCGCACAAGGTGGGCAAGTCGACCTGGAAACACCAGAATCAAGATGGTTGATGGAAGCAAGGAAAGAATACTCTGTTCAAATAATAGTGTAAAATCGAAGTTGGAGCGACAACCACCTGTTATCCCGGGCCCAAATTGATCGTCATTGCATTGATTCATTCTCAGCAGGGAATTGCTAGTATTTTTGACAGAGAAGTGAAGCGCGGCGAGCGACCTTAACAGGTGATCCCGGCAAAGGCCTGGTTCATATAGGTTGGTCAACTCAGGACTGCCAGGTTTACATTAATTAGCCTTAGCGCTGGCTTATCGAGGGCAATTGATAGGGCAGCTCGACAATGGGCCTTCTATGGGCTGTACGGTACGCTAGCTTAGGATGACTGTACTGATCATTCATGCTTGGAATTCAATGATTTTTTTGATTATCTAAATACATACTAACCTGAGCAATCCCCGCACAACCCCATGCTAAGCATATATCTATCAATCACGAGCCCAAATCCTGCTGTTGCGAGGAAGAAACTCGCCCTTCCCCTCCGCCTATTTTGAAAAGCACGCAGGTAATCATGGTGGAAACTAGATATTATCCCATCCCTGTCATCATTACAGGCAGTGGCAATGAGATTGAGTCGGTGCCTGAATCGTGTATATACGAGTCCACAGATTGTCTGTGAAGCTGTGCTCTTTCTGGACTGCGATTAGTATAATGCTCATTTCCGGCTGTGTGTCTTGATTCAGGTTACTCTTCGGTATATCGCTGATCTGCTATGGATTTTGATATAGTCTTGAATATTGGACTGACCACCCTACCTTTACCAGGTCTTGCTACTAACAACGAGGTTTGTAAGTCGGAGGCTTGCTACCAAGTCTCAGCAGAACTTCTCCAGGGTATTACCAGTGAAAGTGCCTTGACAGATCCCTGCACTGACCTTCACTCGTATGTTTGCGGAGGTTGGAGCCAGCTTCACTCTATGCGACCGGATCAGGCGAATATCGGCCCGAGGACGGTGATGCAGGACCACAGCGAGGAATTCATCCGAACCATACTTGAAACAGATGAAGCATTGGAAGGCTCCTACGCTGCGAACAATTACATTGCAAATTTGCGCAAAGTACGAAGCAGCTACGCAGCTTGTACGAATGAAGCTATACTTCTCCAAAAGAGTTTCGAGCCATTAGATTAACTCCTGAATCATTTGGCAGAGCATATGAACAATTCGAATGATGCCTGGCCGACAAGGCTAGCACGTTCCTAAGATTTCTTTTAGATGTGGATGTCAGAGTGCTTATTGATATTTGTCTCGAGGTAACCTCTCATCGACTCGTCACGGTTCTCAGAATCTCTTTAATCGACACCATTCACACAGGCGGCGCACGGGACAAACACTTTGTCGTTTAGCAGTCCTTTGACTTCGGACTGGCCTTCCAGCGCCCACTACCTGGACCCGGGCTTTGCGAAAGGCTATGTCGGCACCGTGGAGAGGGTCCTTAGAGTATTGAAGATCAATAACGCAGAATCTATTTTCGATCCTGAAATGGCCAAATCCTTTGTACGGTTGGAATTTGGAATTGCTGGAATAGCTGCTGATGATGACACCGGCTCATTTTTGTCCACATCTGACCAGCTTGTGTCCCTTGCCCAATTTAAAGGTCTAATACCCAATTTAGACATCGACGAAGTACTTAAGGACCTCAATGTTTCCCGCCTGATGCCAGTTCTCGTTCCTTCGAGGGGTAAGTTGGTGCTGCAATCCAAGATTATAGGACAAACCGATCCAAAGATTATGCAGGCATATTTGTCCTGGAAGCTCATTCAAAGGTACTATAGTCATGTTATGACTGATTCTCTCCGACCTCTGCAGGATTTCCTGCGGCAACTTGCAGGGCAAACCCCAGAGTATGAGCGCGAAAGATGGAGATTCTGCGTACAAAATGTCAGGGATAGCCTGGGTGAGATGGAAGAGTACCTCTCCTCGATAGTCGTATACTGACCTCTCTCACTAGGCTGGATTGTGAGCCGAGCTTATGTGCAGGAACGTCTGAGTGAGACAGATCAGGATTACGCTCGGGATGTTGTATACAACATCCAAAACAAACTCAAGCAGATTATTTCAGAGTCATTTTGGATGTCGGAGGAAACACGTACTCGCAGCATCGGGAAACACCCAATTCGATGGGCATCGAGATCGCATACCCCAGTGGCATCGCCTGCTTATGACCCCAGCGCATCGTAATGGGCGTTATATCCGCTCGACACATGATACCCCGCCGCAAAGTATCGAGACAATGTTCCAAGTGAAGTTGGCGGTCCGCCAGTTGGGTATCTGTGAGCTCCAGAAAGTATGTCTCTGCGTAAATGAATCGGTGAAGATGTTTCTGCCCAGGGGGTCGGTTGTTAATGTATCAAATCTTGTCAAAAGTCACGCGGATTGCGATATGGCATAGCAGAACAACCTACCACGCAATGCAATTCATGCCACACTTGGAGGGTTCCAAAATAGCCCCCGTCAGGAAGCGCTATGGCATCATCCTTTCTCGCCGGATCAATCTTGTTCATCTCATCAAGCGTTGAGCGAATGTTGGAATCTTCATCCGTGAATTACCCGATGATACTGTTTAGCCCACCAAGTAGTCTTACAGCTTTAGCGCTTGCACGGCTGGCGTTAGACTTACATTCTAAAAGGTGAGACCATGCCTTGTCCAATTCTGGGCGTGGTGGTTCTGCATATGGACTGCCTCCAGGAGTAGTTCCGGGAGCCATCTCCACCTGGAAAACACGCGGTTCCGTCTCAATCGCACTCTCTGCGGGTGCTATGGGTCGTCAATCACTTGCCAAAAAGCCGACTTCACTTGGCCTCTGGAATTGCAACAAAAGCAGGGAGGCCCGTCACTCACAGTATACATTACTTGCTGGACAATGATTGACGCATGCGTTCATCTGAACGACAAAGAAAGTAGCCGTCACCCACAAAGTGAAAAGACTGATGTGAATTAGAATCGGCAAAGAGACGGTATTTCGACAAGCACGACGTTCTCTCGGACCAGGAGATATGGAATTGTCAAAAGGAAGAAAGGGATCATGCTCATCGATTGTGCCTGTGGCCCGCTCATTGTGGCCGACTTATCTGAAGTAAGATCCATGGTCTAAAGAGCAATTTGCTGAAACCAAAAACACTTAGAGATAGTAGTTGGGGACTTGAGCTTGAGCTTGAATAAGAACCTTTGTCTGAGTAGTGGCAAACGGTACAATTGATATAGCTCACACCAAGAATAAGTAAGCTAATAAGGCCAACGTAACTGAAATCTGCTCACATATAAAGAGGCGAGATTTCTCAGAGTGTCCCACGTTTCGAAAAGTACTCTTTGCTGTATGAAAGTATTGCACATTTCAGTTTCAACATGATACGTATTGTACTCGGCTGACATGTGAGCAGACTGCGCAGAGCGTGTGCCCCGAATTGCCCCGTGGTAATGCGACACAAATAAACGATAGGCCTTATCAAACTGTAATGATAATGTTGCTGAATCTCACTGGTTAAAGCGGTAAGGTCAGTGGGCCAAACTAAGCGGCGCTCAGGGCGCCTGTGAGTTCTTCTCTAGCCCGGATCGCGGCATTAGCGGTACAAGGATCGGGCCGGGAAACTTGACTTATCTTGGCAACAATCTTGTTGTTGTATCCACTTTCATATTGAATTCATGCTACTAGTTATTATGTCAAACCCCGCTTACTGCTTCTGAGATATGATTTCAAGATGCGTGTCTTCGAGGGTTAACCCGATTGGTTTCAGATAAGCCCCCAAAGAAAGGTACTAACCGGACACCTTACGGTCCCTATGCCAAGGCCAGTTCTCCTCTCTTTACGCCTCCTATCTTTCTCTCTATTATAGTTAACTACTGAGCCATCGAATCACTCATTACACCCCTATTTAAGATCTATACATCCGAACAAAATGAGTTCCGTTTATTCGAGGCGACCAAAATGTGTGCTTCTATCACTCTTTTTTACGGCCTTCCTGTTTTTCCTTGGGGAAAACATCCAACAGGCTCCACGAACCCAGATCTACGAAAGCATTATTTGTAATCAATTTAACCAGCCCCTGACCGAATGCAAGAACAACCGAGTGCAAGAGGAATTAGCCTTTCTCAAAGGAACAGAGAGACTGTTGGGGGCATTGCCCAGTAAATTCTCATTTGGCTCCTATATTGTCTTCTGTCGATACTGGTGCTAATGGGTTGCCTCGCCTTGAACAGCAATTCTTGTGATCCCGTGGAGTATATTTGCTGAGCGCTATGGACGCGGTACGGCTCTAAAATTGGCATTACTGGGCGTATGTTTCGAGGAGTCATGGAGCTACCTCATATGCTCCTATTCAGCTCCAATTCGTCTTATTCTTTGGGCTCCGATGTTTGAAGTGCTCGGCGGCGGCCCAGCTATCATCACCACAATGCTTCATTTAATAGCGGCAGCAGTCACTACAGAGGAACAGCGGACGACTACATTCTTTGTGATTCGCGCAACTGGAATTGCAGCCGCCCTCCTGGCCCAGATTGTCAGTTCATTTCTTATGAGCCGTGATGTTTGGTTGCCCTGGGCTCTGGGACTACTCTGTATTTTCCTAGCTGTGTTCGCCGCACCTCGAGAGCCGAACCCGATCGACCAGAGGAAAGTGGATGGGGATGCCTCTCTGAGAACTGAGGAAGAGCGTCTATCCGAAACAAATAGCACGCACCTGCAGAATGGCTCCCTTGACACGACGGTTGCCGACACTATACAGTCTCGGTTGAGAGAGCTTTCAAAGCAGATGCACACAGGATTAAAAATGATCTTTTTCAACCCCCCGCTCATTGTGCTCCTAAGCCTGTCATTTCTGAGCCAGCTTGGTGAAGACTCGCTTCCGATGGTGCTCTTGCTTTACATTTCAGAGCGTTACGGCTGGGATTTTGCTCAGGTATGTCAAAGTCCTTGACTTTTTCTTTCTAGTTTTTTTCTCCTGACGAAAGTGAAACTCCAGGCGAACTATTTATGGGCGCTGGGAGAGGCTATTCAATTCATATGTCTTATAGCTCTGCTCCCCTATGCCAGCCGTCTACTGCTGGCTCGTTCTGGAATGAATGCGTATTTCACTGATTACACTATCGCCGTATTTAGCGCAATGATGCTTAGCCTGGGCGCGATGCTACTTGGGCTTGGATTTTCCATCTCAGGCACCGTTATAGGTATGTTAAAATGTTTCCTGTGCATGCGTGAGCCATGCACGGCAGATCCAGTCAACGGCTAACAGACGCCCGCTAGGGGTTATACTCATGTCGACTGCTGGGGGTCTACAAGCGGCCCTCCGGTCTCTTGTGACAATGGTGATTACGCCAGAGAATCTCGGCGTGGTCTACTCCGTCTTTACTGTTCTCCACGTCATGAGTACCTCTTTAGCCGGTCCAATCTATTCCAGTGTTTTTACTTTCGGCCTGCGATTCGGAATCGAGTACACAGGGTTTCCCTTCGTCTTGGCAGCCATCCTGGCGGCTTTGACCTTGCCTACCTTCTTGGCAATCAGACCCCGTCAGGACTACGAGCTTGTGCCAGAGCCTGGTTTTGGGACACTCTAAGCGACACCATTCAGAAGCACATCAGAAGACTCATTTTGCCGGACAGGAGGATCTCGAATTATCTGGTTATAATGTCGCAACCTACCGGGAGCGGTACTAGATCTCTGTTCTAGTAAGATAGTATTCTAGGTTCATACTTTGTCATATATATATATATGTCCGCAATGTAGATTAATATAGAACTATTCAAGATCCTCTGTTTACATGATAGTCAGTCAGGACTACTTCGTCACAAAAACAGCACGAAGTAAGACTTGAGTAGAAAGGGAAATTGACTCAATTTCTGCAGGAATATGCCAAGTACACGAGTCTCACTCTAAAAAACAACTACTAGAAGCCCGAGACAAGAAACCCGCCCCGTGCCAGCAGCTCGAAACCTCGCACTCTTCTTCTCGATCTGCCCCCAGTGCCAAAACAATATACGCAGCCACCAACTTGAAACCCAGCCATGGTGTTCACCGGGAAGATTTTTTTTTTTTATTTCGCCCAATGAACACTCGCTCGATTTCCGCAGCAATCCAGTTCGTTAGTTATATAGTAGTTCATCTTGACAGTCAAGCATCAGGTCTTAGTATCTGCTGGTTTGGGAATCTACCATGAATTGCAAAACATATCCCACATTTTCCAGCCGGTCAGTAGTGTAACATAGGCTATACTGATTCCTCACCAAATTCATTTAATAAGCTGGTGCTACTGATCTAACGGATGCACAAGAGGACAAATGCTGGCACTGTCGCCTCCTAAGAGCCGGCCGCGCCATTGGTGCTAACCGGCGACCGTAACACTTCACGCTTTGAGCTTTGGTGTTCTGGAGTCAGTCACCAAGTCCCATTGCCTGGAACTAGCTCGTGCGTGCTTCAACCCGCTCAATTACATGCAATTGATAACCGCTTTGATATGACTACCATCATGAAATGACCTTCATTGAAGCCTTCCCACCAGCCATCTTACCATATCCCGTGACCGTCATAAATCGCCGCGGGAACAAAACCTCACGCCTCAACTTCACAACACAAGTTTACCCGTCTTTTTGGCGCATACCACTATCTCGAGGTCAGATCCACAGACACTAAAGAAATGGCAGAGCCTTCAACAAAACGCGCACGGAGACCCGATAGTTCTACAATGTGGGATCAAGACAGGAGAACAAGATCGCCCGAGCCAGAGCTAGATTACACCAGAAGTCCGCGGCGGGAGCATGGAAAGGAGCACGTCCGGCGCGATGGACCTAGAGATGATCGAAGATACCGTTCTCGCTCGAGGGATAGGAGAGATAGACGGCGTGATAGGAGCAGGTCAGGAGATCGCCGGGACCGCGACCGCAGAGACAGAGACAGAGATGGACGAGGTACAAGGGAGAGGAGCGTCAGCAGGGAGAGGTACCATGATAGACGAGGTATGCGGCTCGCTGGAATTCGTTGGGCTAGTGCAATCTTCTAACATACTTCTCCCCAGGATACCCATTGAAAGGGGACAGATATCGATCGCGGTCCCCTATCCGAAATGGCAACAGAGACAGATCCAGGACGCCACCCAGAGGTCCTCGAGGGGACCGCAACACCGATCGCAAAGATCCCCGAACACAGTCAAATGATGTTGTGGATACGAAATCGCGACACAACCGGCCTCATGGCGTGACCGAAATGGACATCGACGAACCCGCCGACGAGGACGAGTTCGAAGCGATGATGCGTCGGAGCATGGGCTTCACAAGGTTCCGAAGTACGAAAAATACTAAGGTTCCTGGTAATAATGTCTATGGGGTCAGGAAAGAGAAGAAAACGGAGTACAGACAGTACATGAACCGTGTAGGAGGATTCAACCGACCACTCAGTCCATCGCGGCAGTGACTTCACAAAATCTACTCTTCTCCAGGCTTTGTGGCCTGCCCATTACAAGCCATTTTCTCATTCGTGTCTTTTCATCTTCTTGTTATCTTTTTTTTTATTGGGTGATATCATTGTTTTTGTTCCTCATGGGTTTGCCGCAAAATGCATTGATGGAGTACGACTACGGGTGGCCTTTGCTTTTTTCAAACTTAAGGAAACAGGCGCATAAATATCATGAAATTCTGCCTGCATTCTCTCAGACCGAACCAGGTATCAAGCAATTCAAGGCTCTTAGCAGCCTCCAGTAGGCGTTCGGAGACACATGACCGGAGTGACGTATGTGCGTGCTTTTCAATGTCAATTTGCCCCTCCTTCCCCTCTTCTGGTTCTCTCCCCTGAACCACACAACTTCTTGCGACGCAATCGCCATCGTGGCTTCGCTAAGAACTATAGGCTCGCGACTTGCGCCGTATCGCAAAATGTCTGCTAGCAGTGAACGCCGTGAGATTGTCATTGTGGGTATGTTGATTGCTTCAGCAGTTCTACCCCGCATGACCGAAGGTGCTCGCTAACACTTCGTTCCTAGGTGGTGGTATTGTCGGATGCTGTTCGGCTTACTACTTAACGCGCCATCCGTCCTTTGATCCATCACGCCATTCGGTCACTCTCATCGAAGCTACTGAGATTGCAGGAGGAGCATCGGGAAAAGCCGGTGGTTTGCTGGCCTTGTGGGCATATCCAAGCAGCATCGTGCCGCTGAGTTACAAGTTACATGCTGATCTGGCCAAGGAGCACAATGGCAAAGACCGATGGGGTTACCGAGAAGTCAATTGTGGCCAGCTCATCATTGATGGTCGACAATTGCCTGAAAAGAAAGAGAAAGGCGGAAGCGAGTCGAAAGAGTCTGTGTCGCTTCAGAAGCGAAGCGCTGCTGCCTTAGAGAAGCTGAAGTCTGCCCGCGTCCCGAAGGACTTAGACTGGGTTGAGCCTGAGCTCGTGAGAGGCTATGAGAGTATGAGCGATCCCGGAGAGACAGCTCAAGTTCATCCCTATCTGTTCACCACTTCCATCGCGAAACTAGCCGAGGAAAGTGGCGCAAAGATCACCCTGGGCTCTGTTACTGGCATCAACTACTCTGACGCTGCCGTCCAGTCGGTGACCTATACTGATAAGACGTCCGGGGAGTCGCAAACTATCTCTGCAACAGATGTCATCGTTGCTGCCGGCCCCTGGACTAGAACTGTCTTGCCAAAAGCACCCATCACGGCAACTCGTGCCCACAGTGTTGTGATCCGTCCCGAACAACCGGTCAGCGCATATACGCTTTTCACCAGCATTGCATTACCGGCCAACTTTGATCCAAGCAAGCCCTCGCGTCCGAATGTTGCGAGTCCAGAAATCTATGCTCGACCGGACGATACTGTCTACGCTTGCGGCGAGGGCGATCAAACTGTTCCTCTGCCTCCAACGTCCGCCGAAGTCGAGGTGGATGACGTGCGATGCCAAGAGATAATCAAACAGGTTGGCAGTATATCTGATCGCCTTCGCAATGGAGAGATTTGTGCGCGACAGGCTTGCTATCTGCCAAATGTGGCCGCTGCACGCGGGGGCCCAATGATTGGCCATACAGGTACGAAGGGGTTGTATCTGGCAGCTGGCCACACTTGCTGGGGTATCCAGAATGCACCTGGAACTGGTAAACTCATCAGCGAGTTCGTCTTCGATGGAGAGGCTAAAAGTGCACGCATTAAAGCGCTTGACCCTAGAGCATATTTTTGAAGGAGGTAATATAGATAGAAGCCGAATAAAGTTGATACTGTGGCTGTCTTTTTCGTAGATGCGTAGCTCTTGTACAGCACTAGCGCAGGTATTGTACCTTGGGTGAGCGGCCGCGGCATTGCGGAGCTTGGGCCACGTAATTTGCGGAGCGGAAGAGCGGCCGATTGCGTCTGCGGATTAAATGACAGATAACTTCGTAGTAAATCTGTACTTTGTACCACCACTCAACCGGGGGAAGCTTCAACGACTTAGGCTTCTTCCCATGATCAATCCTCATTAGTGAGACTTGTCTATATTTCTTTGATGGTTTTCTGAGAAAATGCATCTCTCCAAACTTCCATTGCTGCTAGCGCCGTTACTCAATGCCGCTGCGGTGCTCTCCGACCAAGCTCCTGCAGATGATTTATCAGTCTTGACCAACGAGGTTGCAAGAGCCAACAATCAGTCTCTACTATGGGGTCCTTACAAGCCGAATCTGTACTTTGGCGTTCGCCCTCGTATTCCTAACAGCTTGTTTGCCGGGTTGATGTGGGCCAATGTGGACAATTATGCCACGGCGCAGCAGAGTAAGTCGCGGCGACATATTGTCATCACGAAGGGCAATCGGAGCACATATGTACTGACAAGCTCCAAAGACTTTAGGCACACATGCGAACAAAATGAGGGAATGGCCGGCTACGGCTGGGACGAGTACGATATCCGGAAGGGTGGCCGCCAGACGATCCACGACGAAGGCAATGCTCTCGACATGACAATTAATTTCATCAAGGTCCCCGGTGGACAGCACGGAGGCAGCTGGGCTGCTCGAGTGAAAGGTGTGCCCCGCGAGAACGGCTCCCCCGACCAGTCTACAACGGTTGTTTTCTATACGGGAATGGAGGGACTCGGAAATCTGGGCGTGACCATCGAATCCGAGGACCCCCGCGGTTTCGAAGGTGATGTGAAGCTTACTGGCTATACATCGGATCTTGGAGCATTCTCCATTGATGTTACTGCTGGCCCTGGAAGCAATGATCACCCGGAGAATGACCACCCGTCCTACGATGAGAAGCCCCTGGACCGTACATTGGTCTCCAGCTTGGCTCTAAACCCGGAACAGCTCTGGCAGACCAAAGGTAAATCTTGCCTTTGATGAACCGCTGCATAGAGGAATAAAGTACTAATACGATGGCAGTGATCTTGTTTTCCCAAATGAAGGAAGAGGTCGATGCTGCTATCGAGAAGCATGGCCAGGAGAACCCTCCGCCTGCTTCCCAACTATTCACTATTAAGAATCAACCCGGTGATGGCAACATCCATCTTGTGCAGAAGGTCTTTAAGGGGTCATTTGAGGTAAAGTACATGTTAGGACCTTTGATGGCCAGTGTCTAATTGAACACAGTTCGATATCCTTTTCTCATCTGGATCCGCACCACTACCTTTGACATGTGAGAAGACCAGGCCCACCAATTGCTATGGCTACCAGCTAACTATCCAACTAGCGGATATCCTGACTGAGCAGATCAACACTGCATCTCTCGCTTTCTCTGATAGATTCAACCAAATCCATCCCCCGCAAGCTCCCTTTGACACAGCAGAATATTTGCAGTTCTCCAAGTCAATGTTGTCCAACCTTGTTGGTGGAATTGGTTACTTTCATGGTACAGACATTGTTGATCGATCCGAGGCACCTGAGTACGACGAGGAGAATGAGGGCTTCTGGGAAGAGACCGCAGAAGCCCGTACGCGTGCTCGTCCAGTCCTCGAAGGACCTAAGAGCCTCTTTACTTGCGTCCCTTCCCGCCCCTTCTTCCCTAGAGGCTTTCTCTGGGACGAGGGTTTCCACCTGATTCCTGTTGTTGATTGGGACATGGATCTAGCGTATGTACCCAGGAACCCTCTAACTGTACGCTGCTAACATGAATAAGTCTTGAGATTGTTAAGAGCTGGTTCAACCTTATGGATGAGGATGGTTGGATTGCTCGAGAGCAGATTCTCGGCTCGGAGGCTCGTAGCAAAGTCCCGCCAGAGTTCACTATTCAATATCCTCATTATGCCAATCCCCCGACACTCTTCATCATTCTGGAGGCTTTCATCGAAAAACTCGATGCCAGGAAGAACGCTTCCGTCAACCAGCCAACTGACTATGAGATCACGGAGGGACTTAACTCGGCTTTCGTAGAGACTCCGGAGTTGGGTGACGCTTATATGCGCTCGATTTACCCTCTACTCAAGAAGCATTACTCGTGGTACAGAAATACTCAGTTTGGAGACATCAAGTCCTACGACAGGGAAGCATTCTCTACCAAGGAAGCGTACCGCTGGCGGGGACGATCAGTTCAGCACATTTTGACCTCCGGTTTGGATGATTACCCGCGGCCTCAGCCTCCTCACCCTGGTGAGCTGCATGTCGATTTGATCAGTTGGATGGGCATGATGACCAGAGCCATTCGTCGTATCGCCGAAGCTCTTGGAAACACAGAAGATGCCGAAGAATTCAAGAACTACGAGATCGCTATTGAGCGCAACATTGATGATTTGCACTGGGACGACGACGCGCAGACGTACTGCGATGCCACGATCGACGAATACGAGGAGAGTGTTCATGTGTGTCATAAGGGCTACATTTCAATCTTCCCGTTCCTGACTGGAATGCTGGGCACTGATAGCCCTCGCTTGAAGGCTGTTTTGGATCTCATTGGCAACCCGGAAGAACTCTGGAGTGACTTCGGTATCCGAAGTTTGAGCAAGAAGGATGAGTTCTATGGCACCGATGAGAACTATTGGAGAAGTCCCATCTGGGTTAATATCAACTATCTCGTGGTCAAGAATCTCTATGTAAGTCATGGTCACCGATTTGAAATGATAGTGAAATGATAGATGAGGCTGACAATTGCGCACAGGATGTTGCAATCAAACCCGGTCCTCATAGTGAACAAGCCCGTGAGCTGTATTCCAACCTGCGAAAGAACTTGGTCGAGAATGTCTTCAGACAGTGGAAGGCAACTGGATTTGCTTGGGAGCAATACAACCCTGAGACTGGACAAGGCCAGCGGACACAGCATTTCACCGGCTGGACAAGTATGGTTGTAAAGATCATGTCCATGCCCGATCTTCCCGCCAGCGGAGCAGAGGGCCACGACGAACTGTGAACATAGGCCGGTGAAGTTATCTTGAGGCGATACACACTAGATAACAAGCTTTGCGAAGTATTGTACACTCTTACTTGTACCCAAACTCCAGACTCCCTGGATGCGAGTAGATTCCATGTTCAACGGCGCCGACGGTCAGAGTGTTCCTTGTCTCTTGGATCTGCGCGATGACGATCCTCTCGACGGTGCCTGTAATTGTCGCGTATTCTATCTTGACTTCGCGAGCGTGAGCGTGATCGCCTTCTTCCGTGGTCTCGATCGCGCGACCTTGATCGCGATCTGTGTCGGTGACTCCGATGATTCCGGTCACTTTCGTCCCGGTGTCTGCGGTGCTTGCGTTCCCGTTCCCTATCTCTATCCCTATCTCTATCCCTTTCAGTTGCCCGATCCCGCCTGCGATCTCTGCCTGGGCTCCGGCTGTGTCCGCCTCGCCGTCTGCGACTGAAGCGCGGGTCAACATCATCCCGAGATGGACCGTAACCATTTCCCCTTCTAGCCTCGTCAGCTTCCCTATCCTCCGCTCCTGACGGGCCACCAAGTGGGGTCAAGTTGGCATTTTCTGACGCCTTGGCTGGGATGGGTAGACCCAGAGCCCGCGCCATTGCTTCTTCCTCGGCTTCTTTGACACGTTGTTTCTCCTCACGCTCCTTCCTTGCTTGATCTTCATCGCCTGCATCGCCTTTAGCGTACCACGTCAAATCCCTGCCCTGTTGCCAGCGACCGACGGGGGCCATGAGAGAGTGGCCCAGGTAGTTCTCGCGGTGCGAGGAGTCCTTGACGTCGGACCATTTGAAATCGCCGCGGCCGCCGCTGGCAAGATGAGATATTAGTATGCGTTTCAGCTGTTCGTTTGAACATGGTGCAAGGGTCTGGGGAGAGTTGGAACTGTACATACCGGCTGCCTTCCTTGCGTACACCTGCGACCAAATCCATTATGGTGGAGGTTTTGATTGATGCACCAAAACTCCTTCTGTTAATTGTAAGTTACCAGTTGGTTTAGGCAAAGAGAGAAGCGGCGGGCGATCACTGGGTGGCACGTGCGCAGTATCCAGCCTGAGGCGGCGAATCATGGTGGGGTTGGATTGGCTGACTTCATAATCGACTGGTAACATTCAACTAGACTAGACTTGTTCAAATGCAACAAGCGCGAAACCACTTCCGGTCGAATGATGCATGTACCTATCTTCTTAACTTAGGTAGTATCTTTCAGAGAGAAGCTTCATTCTTGTTTCTCTGTGCGTTCCGCAGCATTTTCGAGTATGCTCAAGCCTCATGACACGGAGTCGCAAGAGCCTGAAGCATTTCTCCTCCGTGTGATGTCACCGGGGACTCAATCCAATTCCTTCTCGGCTTCTTTTGCTACGATTGACAGTTTCTGTCCGCACTTATTATTGTCGTCTCACTCCGATCCACTCGACCACTCTCTACTTTTCACGCGGATGGTGGCACGCCCCAGAGACTCGCTTTGACGCTTATTTAGTGTCTGCTCTCAGCGGTCTCGAGTGTCACCACAATCTGTGTGTTGCGTCACCAGAATGGCGTTCAGTAGCGATCCCGGCAACAAATCACCCAAGGCCCGTTCACGAGAGGGTTTGCAACTTAGACCCCTGAATGTGGAGAAAGGGGCAGATAGAGTACGTGCTAATCTCTTACCTCGTACCTCAACCCGTAATCTCCAGTCAGTAGTTATTAATCTGGATACTGATCACCCACTTTAGTATTCTACGTACGTATTTGATTTCCAAGAACCCCAAATCCTGGCATGGTGCCACGGCTGAGCCGAGACTGAACAAGCTCACAGTGCAACTGATACTTTCCCTCCTCAAACCGCGACATGGAGAAACAACCTGGTAGGTTATTAACGTTGTTGCACCGTCCAGTTGGGTCGCTAATTCTTGGTGGAAAGATTGCGCTGTCGCAGCGTCGCAACTTGTTATTTGTCGCCTACAACCATCAAATTTATGTCTGGCAGCCGGTGGGGTTTTATCAGACCCTAGGCAACCGGCCTGAGATGATTATCACTCCGGTCATGCGGGAGCCCTATGCTGAAGGCTATATCCTACCGTCGTCCCCTCACGCAATCAACAACATCCTCGTTGAGGATCTGGGTCGAGAAGAGGTCTTGCTGCTTGTAACCGACTCTGGAAATGTCTGCGGCTACCGGGTGGAGGCCGTTTATTCGGCCTTGAAGCGAGCCATGAAGACTAATGAAAGTCGACCCATTGATGGTTCCCAGGTGGACCCGTTCTTCGCTGAATACGTCGAAGCTAGCGCCTGGGGCTTGGCTATCCATAAGTTCGCCCGTCTCATTGCTGTGACTGCAAATACAGGCCTTGTCACTATTTTCGCATTCGCTCTGGTTGATTCTTCTTCGGACAAGAGTAGCGAGTCTGATTGCGGCCCCGAGGAAGCAGATGATCTTGCCGACTACGGTCAGACCTGGTTGCACATCAAAAGCGGGGAGCAATTGGCCCAGCTACGGCAGCTGATGCCGCACAAGCATCGAACTCGGAATATCAGATTGACATACACGGGTCATTTTGCCAATATTCCCTCGGTTGCCTTTCTAAATTGTGACCTGGACCCGAATGGAATGTGGATGGTCAGTACGGACATTGACAACAAGCTTCTCGTGTGGAAAACCTGGGAAAGCCTCGGCCCGTTCAATGTCTACCATTTCAACGATGTGTCGTTCAGGTCATTCCCAGAGTCTATGCACCTAGAGTAAGCAGGTGACCTACATCCCCGGTTTTGGCTGTCACTGATAGTTGGAACAGAGATCGTGGTTGGGCGGTACTCGCTCTAGATCCTCGGAGCTTTCATCTGCTCAAGTCTCCGGAAGAAGCGTGTGGCGGGTCCCTCCAACGCCGCCTGAAAAATGGACAAATGGTATACGACTTGACTAGAGTCAATAGTAAGATCTCGAAGGCTTCTCAAATATACAACTATTTCCCGCCTGCGCCTAGGATTGAGCCGGAGCAAACGCTTCTTCCTGATATTTTGGGACCAGAATGTCGCATCAACAAACCAAACGATGCTACGCGAAACGTTATCTTTGATGGCTCGCGATGGAGACTACGAGAAATGCAGAGTGACGACCTGACAGCAGAGCTTCGGCGGCCTGATAACCCGTCCGCGGTCGTTCGAGCCGTGGACCCGGCTGGTACGTCCAGCTACCGGGCCGTGAATAGCTCTATATTTGAGGACAACACGAGCCTGGATAGCATGTCTGACACCGAAATGAGTACTGGGCTTCCTGATAATCAGGGGCAGCAGATTGATGGCACGCCTCTTCCTCCCGGTCAAGCCCCGTTGACAACGCCGGAATTCCTCCAGTTCGCGCTACTCGAAGCACTCGGCGGCGATGCTCCTGGAGCCGAATACAGTGATGATGATATGGAAGACTACTCGGATTCCGAAGAAGACTGGCACACTGAGCGGTATTATGCTAGATTGGACGAGTCCGAGGCAGACGAAGCGTCCGCCATGGCAGCTAGATTTCAAATCCTTGACCGTAAGTCGGACCTCTTCAGTCCCTAAGCCAAATACAACCGCTAATTTTGCGCAGCCCCCATGAACTCCAATTTTCCTATCCTTCATTTCTCTCAAACCGACATTCGGCTTATTCCTCACCCTTTTGCAACCCATGCCAAGGTCGTCTGCGGGGAACCTCTCCGGCAGCCCTTCACACACCCCATCGTCTCTATTCGCTCCTGTGACCGCTTCAACATGGTAAAATATGTACCCGAGCATGGGATTGTCGTTGCAGCATCGCAAAAGGGTCGTGCGGCCATAATTGCTCTCACTGAGTCCGAGGTAATCGGACATTCTTTCCGTGTAGACTGGATTGTCCCTTTCGAGCATCAGGAAAAGTATGGCGATCGTCCTTTGATTCCCCTGTTGGGTATGACCGTCGGTCCGGTGCAGGGGTTTGAGGTACCTCCTGACGTGCCTTATATTCCACGGGACGTGAGGAATGATGACTTCACGTTTCGGTATAAGTATACTGGTCCCGGCATGAGTGAAGAGCCGCTAGATGCTACTCCAGTCATCGACACACGAGAGAGCCAAGCGCAGTCGTCTAGAAGAAACCCAGCATTCCCTGCACGACCTTCTTACCATGCCCACACGGCTAGGAAATGGTCCGGTGTTAAAGGACACGAACCACGTCCGTCTATCTCGCTCGTCCACGATGCCTTCATCCCGCCCTCAGACTTCCAAAAACCCTCAGCTTCCGTTCATTCAAGCTCGTCTTCCACCCAACGACCATCCAAGTCCTCGTCCACCACACCCTTTACTCTTCCAGAGTGCCACGCTCTTGCCACCCGGGCCTATCATCCCGAAGAAAGCTGGCGAGGGTGGAATCCTTCCCGACGATATCGATTGATACTGATGTACGCTGATCATACGGTGATGAGCTACGAGTTCTGGTACACCTGGAACACCGCGGGAGAGAATGGTGGTCCGGGGGAAGAGGATGAAGAGGCGATTTTGATTGTGTAGCCTAGTTCTCTGCAGTGTATTCTGGCAGCCTGTCTTGTCTATATACCCACAAAGAGAGACCAATGGAATGGTTTGTGCCTGAATCTCGTGTCAGGGATGCGTCTCAACGTCAGTTGGCTAGATTCCTGGTAGATATGTGCTGGCTTACGTTGCTAGGGTTAAGCATGATAGAGTTCTTTCTTGCTAGTTCAAGACATTATGTGTAACCGCATTGCTTGGAGTGACATTACCGTAAGGTTTAGCAAACAAAAACCGCTACCCAATCCGTACTGGAATCTATTCGCCGGGAACTCATAGCCGTTAACTTCAACTACCGTGACGAAAGGCGGTTTGCTTTTAGGTCTTGCTCGGACCCAGGAATCTCTTTTTTTTCTTTTTCCACCTGATCACCTTCCGCTCACAATCTTACAAGACAAGCATTCCTGTCTGGATCCTGATCCGTTAGCAAAACAGAATCTCCTGTTCTCTTCCAGAAATTCTATCTCCTTTAAGAATATATCATGTGATATGTTTGACCCAAATGACTCAGTCCAGTCATGCGGAGGAGCTTTGGCTGTTATCTGGCTGTTCAGTGAAGGCATGATGTTATTATTGATTGGAACTGGTCTTTGTCTTTCGAGCCACTAGGTGTCAGGTATGTAGCAAGCCCTTCAATAGATATAAAGTATATTGCCTACCTGACCAAATTATTTAGGAGCGAGTTACTATTTACTATGGGAGTGTGCTATCCAGATTTGCGCCTTCCCAGGCCAAGTGCCTGACGTATACCAACAACGATCTAGACTCGCTGAGAGCTGTTATTTCTATCTTGAAGAAACGCTGATGAGAAAAGTATTTTGTTTTCTTCTTTTTAGCTTGTACTAGTGTAAGTCGCTAAGCCTGATATGAAAACTCGAACCCAGTATTTCCATCAGAAAGTCTATTCATTCCGTCATCCTAATAACAGGTCGGCTAACATTCTCCTACTGATAAACTCCGATCTACAATTTGGATTAATTTAGACGCCAGGAAGAACGAGATAACTTTATCCACCAAACATTGAAGATACCCTGGCGCATCCTGAATTGTGTCACGGTGCAATTCAATCATTCTTTGCACAGCTGCGAGACGCTCGTCTAGGTCCGGAGATTTTTTTGGCTGACTTTTGCTGTTACTCATGGAGCTCTCAAGACAGTAATCTCCGACTTCCCGCCGCGCAGTGGCAGCAATAGTTTGGAGGCCCTCCGCTGAGCGAGAGTGAGTGCTACTCTTTCTCTGTATAGAATGCGATGGGTGTTTGACGAAGACTCGACGTTTTGACAGCCGCACAGCTTCCGATATCCCGGGAGGAGAGACCGGATTATCAAATCCTTCGTTTGGGCTGTAGAACCCGCCGCCGCCGCCGCCGCCGCCACTTCCCAGAAGGGGCAATGCATCGCGCGGTAGACCTGTCTATGTCCATGCCAGTTTTGGCGAGCCTGTCGACCACAATCCCGTGTTGGTGAGTCTAGAAAAACGGTTCTACTAGATGAGGATGACGCATATAAATGGGAATGAACTAGTTCTGTTCCTAGGAAGGTCGAGTACTGGGCTGCATCCGCGATGATGCGCACGCACGCAGGCTTCCGACAACTGGATCGGAAGCAGTGGGTCAGAAATGCTTTCAGAGGGCCGTGACCTCATCCACATACCCGAAAACCGAAGGCCAATGTGATCATCCAAGCACTGGGACAGGGTTCGATCAGACGCTGATGCGCTTTTGTTGCTATCTCCAAAGCAGGCCCCAAAGCTCCGTTCGTGAAACATCCCACAAGAGCTTGAAATAGCTTCAATACAAGGACACGAGGATTGAGCAGAGTTTCAGATGTGGATTTCCATCCAGCCGGTGGACACCAGCTTAGCGCCAAATCCCAGGTAGAAGTTCACCTGACTAAGAATCTCAATCAAACCATGATTGCGATGAATCTACACCCTGTTGTTGGTAAGACTGCCTGAACAAGGCCCTATGAACCCTACTGAATCATTCTATCCAAGACTCGTCGGATCCCAGGCCAGCAGCGCATATCACGGATAGCTTTTCCGGTTGCGCCATGGTATCTGTCAATGAGACCCTCCTCTCTTTCGCACGTGAAGTAACCTGGAGATGAAACAATTGAGATCGTCACTGCACGTCAAGAGAGCAGTGACACTTCTACGCAGAGAACAGACTCTTCCAGTGCCACGTTAACCGGGTTCGGGTCCGGCTCCAACGAGTCCGATGGCCAGGGTGAAGTCAAGAGCGCCACTACTGAGCCCGATAGCTCAACGTGGCCTGCTCTTGCAAAGGACGAAAAAGTTGACTGGATCTAGCAGGATGAGTTGGAGATTGTCATGGCCGTAGTACGCTGCTATATTCTACGGTTCTAAGAGCTGCAGGTACTGGCAGGCCAGTGCTTATCGCAGGTGAATCAAACGAAGACCACACTGTGTGAGTATGTATGACAGATACGAGCAAACAAAGAGCAAACAAAAAACATACAACAGAAGGGATTCGCTGGTGGTCACCCACCCAACTACTAACCTCCCGGCGTGTGGCTTGAGTACGGCTGAGCGGACGGGAAGCCCTATTTTCCACACCCTGTGGTCGTATGTGCTTGATATTGCGGATCACCACAATATATTCTTTAACCTCTTTTGATCAACAAGAAGGAAATGTCAATCCAATCGATACACAGAGTCGCAGCAGCGGGAACCCTCACCTAGAACACAAACAGGACTTGTACGCGAAGTAACCGACACCCCAATTCTGATCCGGACCAGGCTCTGGCCCTACTTGTTGCGTGGTCCGCACAAGCTAGCAACATAGAAACAAAGATTGGGCGCCATTACTCCGGTCTTCATTCACTCGGGCTTCTCCTCAAAGTTGACTAGAAATATGATGCGCGACTGTAAGACAGAAATCTCTCTTGCCGCGCGATCTCCGACCTATCCTACGAGCAACCACCGAAACAGCACATCCTCCTGCAGCCGTGCCATGGCCGCCTTCTCCAGCACAAACCGGAGCTCTTACGGCTGTGACGCGAGATCACCCCCGTGATCCTTCGCCGGAAGCACCCAGCACACGCCCTTGACCTTACTTTCCAGAATATCCTAGTGCTGGACCACCTCAAGGCGTCCGAAATCCAGATAAAAATCCATCCATCGCAGAGTAGACACGATGATACTGCTTCCGTATGCCAGGAAGAGGGTCGGCCGGTCGTCGTGTCGGTGATAGACCGGAAGATGCCCTTGATGTAGGATTCGGAGAACTTCTTGATCTCCCCGCGCAGCGAGACGGCAATGGCCAGTAACTGTGCGAGGGAATCCTTGTCCAAGGAAGCTGGAAGCCCTGTTGGTGCCGCCTGGCCTCCATTTGGGATTGTCTTGTTGGTCGCGTCGTACGTTGCCTCGACGGCGGAAAGAGCGTTGTCCCTATAGGTGGACTTGCGCACATGAGCCGCGATAATGACCTTGGGGGTCCGAAGTAAGAGGTGAGGTGGGTCAGGTATGTGAATTCGCAGCATTGCCGCAGAGACCGACGAGAGCTGTGATGATGTCGCTGGAGCTGAGGAACAAGGGCTTGTCGGTTGTGCGGAGCGCTTGATTGCACGCGTTTCTCAACGCTGTAATTCGCTCTGCACTGAGTGTGAACAGGCGACTGATCGGAATCTGGTCGTTCGATGGCGCGGTGAGGTCAAATGTTAGGGCCACTGTTGATTTCAAAACCAGCAACCCCTCTTTATCACTTCCCCGAATTGGTTCTCCAGAGACAGGATCAAAGCAGCATGATATTGAGCCCGAAAAATGGCAAAGTGACGCTGCCAGGCTTGGTAGGTGTGATTCCAGCCAGAGGGGTGAAGGCTTGGCAACCTGTTTCTATTTGAAAATACGTCTAATATCCCTCTCCGGTTAGTGACTGATTGTTGCTCTGCATGTATCGCGCAACTAGGGTCCGGAAAGAACAAGAAGACTAACATTGAGCACATGCACTTGCTGGCCAAGTATGTCGTAGCACCACTATCAGACATTGGCGGCCAAAGGCTCACGACGCGCAAACGCTCAACGTCGTGGTTGGGTGCGGCCGGGTTGCCCTTTTTCATCACTCAGAGCAGTGGGCGCAGTATAAATATGAGTCACTTGGGTCCGCGCGAGATAGCGATCAGAGGTTGGGAAGGAAGGCGTGCCATCGAAGATGACGGTGGTAAGACCTAAGGCCAGCGGGGCGTAGACGAGGTAGCTATGTCCGCTGATCCAGCCTACGTTACCGGCGCAGAACATGGTGTCCGAGACATGCAGATCCAGTGCATATTTTCTAGAGACCGCACAGCCTAGAAGGTAGCCAGCAGTGGCGTGCAAGAGATACTTGGGCTTGCTGGTCGACCTGGAGGTATTCAGTAGGTACAGTGGATCCTCTGCACCCATGGACTCGGGCTCATAGTAGCCGGGCCATCTGGCACATTTCCTCATGCCACCAGGCATCCTGCGTCTGCTGGAACCACAGAATGTCCCTGTTTCGGGTCTTCTAGACTAGGAGGCAATTGTCAGGATGGCGGGCCCCCTGGTAGTCAGCAACAGCATCTTCGATGATCCGCTTCATGGGGATGATCTGGCCGCCGCGCACGCCTCTGTCCACGGTGAGAATCACCCTCGACCAGGCATCCTCAAACCGGCCCCGGAGCGATGGCGCAGAGAACCCGGCAAAGACAACAGATTACACGGCTGCGACGCGAGCACAGGCCATCATTGCCCTGACAGCCTCGGGTATGTTAGGCATGTAGATCGTGACTATTTCTCCTCTGCGCACGCCCATATTCTTCAGCACCAATGCGCGATGGGATACATTCTTGAGCAGCTCCGCATAGGTGATCTGATGGGGCTCGCCTCCGGGTAAGTCACCCTCGCCGAGGATCGCGGCCTTGTCCGGGGTTTGAAACGCATGGCGGTCAATACAGTTGTAGCTGGCGTTGAGCCTGCCTCCACGGAACCAGGCGTGGTCCCCGGCCTTCAGAGACCCGTGGCGGGTCCTATGGAAAGACTTGTCCCATTGCAATGAGGAGATCGCAATCTCGGACCAGAAAGCGTCATGGGGTTCCAGTGTGGCTTCTGCGTGGTGCATGATTGGGCGCCAGTATATCAAGACTGCCGCCTCCGTCTCAGCTACTGTCCCCCCGGCATGTACATCTGCAACACATCCTGTGATGCTGGAAAGTCAATTGCAGACTTCACGAATGAGCATCAAATCAGAAGAGCTGCATGGCGCAGTGGAGGGTAGGGACTGGGCACAGAAGCAATCTTAATTCCGATATCCTGAGTAAACCGATTGAAAGCTGCAGGTTGAAGGCTACTCGAACAAGGTAAACAGTGCTGTGTAATGCTTGTTTCTCCATAGCGATGGGGTAAACTATACGGCAGAAATCTTGCACGGTCAAAGCCCGTCCCTAAGAGCGTCACTCTGGTCTGCAAGAACCAACTGAGCATATCAACGACAGCGGACGGTGCGGCGGCTGAGGACTTCGCGAAGGGGGTTGTGTATCGACGATATACGGCGGCTAAATGAAGAGCGTTCACGTGGAGGGGCAGGGGCTGAGACGTGCAGTACAAGCTCTGTTCCAGGAGCAGAGAAGTCATACGTAGGGGTTATAGTTATCTTGTATGTTGCAGTAACCTGTCCGTGCCTAGCTTGTGGAGAGTGGTGAAGTGAAGGAACAAGAGGTGATGACCGGGCCGAGGAACGTTGCCAGTCCGAAGACGACTGATAATAGCTTCCAGGGGTCAAATCGAGTAGACTAAGATGGACCTAAAGCATGAGGACGTATGGGGTGTACTAAGACTGGCTCATAGCACAAGCTGATTTGGGATTCCCGGGGAGTCGGGAAGTGAGCCCGACGTGACATATCAATCTCACAACGGCATGGCAAACACTGCAAGTGGTCTGTTTTAACGAATACAATGAGGCTTGGACTAAGATGTGTATATATCGGCATTGCATCTATTACCGCTGTTCACAAAGTATGTCGGCAATCTCCAGTGTGCGTTAGCCGCTTGATCGTTCTCCCACTAGGTAGTATGCAAAGGTGTCCAGCAGCCATCGACTCGGCAATTGAAAACGATGAAGCTTGAGATTTCTTCACTACCATAGACAATGGATCTAGACCAGCTATTGCACAAAATACAACAGTAGAATCAAAGCAAATCTTAAATTGAAGGCAGAGCAGAAAAGGATTGACCAGGTCGGACAAAGGCAAAAGCACAACGCAGCACACAATAAGCAAAAACGCCCTAATCCAAATCCCAAACAAGAGAAAGACAAAAAAGAAGCCCCGAAGCATCCAGCATCAACAATCTGATCTGGACAACAGGTCAGTTGTAGTTTGCCAACGAAGACAGTATCACGCACCAAAGTCTAAAAGGCCTCCATCCAACAAAACCGTCCGTGGCATGACCGCGAACCGGTGGTATAGACGTCGAAGTCCAGACTATCGGCGAGGCGATATTAGCTTCAAGTTGGCAACAAATATGGTATCACGTACTCGAGCTTTAAAAAGGCTTGATCCAACACACGGTTGCCTTGCGGTGGATTCATCGTCGGTTATCCAAGCTGCAGCACAAGTTAACTGTGTACTAACGAGAAAATTATCATCACTGATCAGAGCTTGAAAGCAATCACTTCACCATAGGTGTCCGGTGACACGATCACCTCGGATCGGGATCAACGAGGTTACCAAGCTGTAGCAACAAGGTTAGCTACTTTCGTTGCCAGGAACGATGCCACATACCATGTTTGGAGGAAAATCTATCCAACACAACACAATTCAAGTGTCCGGTGACACGATCACCTCGGATCGGGATCAACGAGGTTACCAAGCTGTAGCAACAAGGTTAGCTGCATTCGGTGCCAGGAAACAATGCCACCTACCATGTTTGGGGGAAAATCTATCCAACACAACACAAGTCAAGTGTCCGGTGACACGATCAACCTCGGATAGGGATCAACGCGAGCCGTTCGATCTGCTGCACAGTAAGCGATACCTGCTCTGGTTCCGGTACAACCAGGCACAAAAGAGTGTGGGTACAAAAGAAACACAGAGTGGCAAGGAGTGACCAGGTCTGACAAAGTGAGCCACATATAAACAAGAAAGATGAAACTGGCAGCAAGGAGTGACCAGGTCGGACAGAATAAGCTGCCTATGAAGAAAGTGGCAGCACAGACACGAAGGAGTGACCAGGTCGGACAGAGAAGAAAAGGCAGTCTCAAAAGAATGACTTGACAAAGACTGTCAGGAGGGGAGACATGCCCAGATAAAGCAGAGCAAAAGCCCCCAATATATGAGGGTTAAAAGAGCGGACAGGGGTACTCTGAGGAGTACACCCCACATCAAATTCATGAATGGACGGATCTGTAAGATCCTCGTCGCTCCAGACGTTAACGCCTGGAACGAGCCAACGATCGACGGTAAGGACTGTGTTTGTCTCCACCCATGAGACCTTCTTCTTTGGCTTGTCCTTGCGGACATCGCCCTTCACCAAAATTGAACGAGGGGACGCGCCTTCGAGAGAGCGCACAGGCTTAAAGAAAGACAAAACAGAAGACAAAACACGAGTGACTGGCTGCACAAGAGAAGTCAAAGGAGTGGCTGCTTCAGAAGGGCGTACCGGACCCTTCTTCGGCGAAGAAGAAGAAGAAAAAAGAGAAGAAAACATGGGGACAGAGGAGAACGCACGAGAGAACATCTTGACGAACGTAGAGCGCATGGAAACGATACTAGCATCAAGGAACCAAGTGGTATGAGGAGGAAAAGAAGAGAGGAAGAGAGGAAGAGGAAGAGGAAGAAGAGAAGAGGAAGCGGGAGAGGGAGAGGAGGGTAGGTAAACAGCCGGCGAGGGTTGCTGGGCACTGGGGGGGGGAAAGAGCACAACACTGAGGAAGGAACTCCTCCCTCAGGCAATGGCCCCTCACCAGGCAATCACTTCACCATGTATAGAGCTCGGGCTACACATCGACCCTGCCATTTCCACTGCTCTTTTGTCCTTTGCCTTCGCCCAGGGGCACTCCGGTTCAGCGTCTTGCAGTATCAAACTAACGTGCAGCATTTTCACCTCACAATTCTCGAGCCTCGTGTGTTGACTGACAGGAAAACAGATCAAGGTGCGAGATACAATTCGCCGGCTCTGCTCCCCTCGCATGGGACAAATTCAGCTCCAATGCTTCTCTCCTATTCTGCCCCCCGAGTAGCGTCAGCATCGATCAACCGGCACCTTTCCTCGCATCTATTCGCGCAAATCCCCCCCCGCCTCTCGAGCCTTGCTCGACCACGCCTAATCCTCCAACACGGAATGAGTGAAGCCTCTCGTGTCCATGTTCATGCAGACATTGCGATTGGTGTGACAATTCTTATGCCTCTGCTAGGCACGAGTCAGTGTCTGAGCAACGCAGAGAAAAGGAAGAGCACGGGAGAACAATTTGGCACCACGAGCACAACCATCAAATTGACCTATCAGTTCCCCAATCCCGTACGATATCACTAGTCCCAGTCATTTTCAATACAAACTTTTCCCAGATTCTTTCCCAACGCCACATACTCGTAGGCATCTTTCAGCTGGCTAAGCTTGAAAACCTTGCGATCGAGAACAGGCCGGAAGTTAGGGTTGGCGTTGATCCAGCGGCACATCTCCTCCATCTGTACCCGACTACCAACCCAAACACCACGCGCAGTATATAGATTAAGCCAGGCCTCTAGTAGACTGGGCATCTCCTGTCCTTCTGAGTTGCCACCAGCGATACCGATCACTGCGATTGTCCCGTCAAGCTTCACGCTAGCTGCACTTTCCCGCAAAGTGGCCGGGCCCGCGGTGTCGACGACGAGATCCACTCCGCATCCACCTGTCAGTTCTTTAGCGACGGCTCCCCACTTTGGGGATTCCCGATAGTTGATGACATGGTCGGCGCCGAGCTGGCGGAGAAAGCCGACTTTGTCGGGCGAGCTGGTCGTGGCGATAATTTTGGCGCCAATGGATCGCGCAAACTGGAGCGCAAAGAGGCTAACGCTCCCTATCTCTCGTGTTAGCAGGTGGCAAGATGAGAAGATACGATTGAAAGTAGCTCAACCTGTGCCCTGGACCAGAATCCATTGCCCTGCAGTGAGTTGCTTCCCGCGTAGCCCAAACAGCGCATTCCAAGCCGTAAGCCCGGCACAGCTCAGCGTAGCGGCTTGAACAAAAGTTAATCCATCGGGCATTGCTACCAATGCGTGCTCGTCAAACACTCCTGCAGAACAAAAGGTACCGTTGACCGAGGCACCAGTTCCAACCTGCGCGATTTCGGCGTTCAGAGAACCGGCGATGTGCTTTTGGTTCAGCATAGTAACTACTTTATCTCCAGGCCGGAACCGAGTAACGCTCTGACCGACTGATACTACAACACCAGCGCCGTCAGAGCCGGGCACCACGCCCAGCTTGACAGTCCAGGGGTATTGACCGCGAGTAATCATCAGGTCACGGGGCTATCAATTTCAGCCAGTTGCGCGCAACTCTGCATGCTATTGAACGTACATTCAAAGAGGCACCTCGGACTATGATCTGAATCAATCAAAATGAGACAAGGAGCAAGAGCTCACTGACGTACTCTGAACAAGAACCTCATTGTCCCCAAGCGTTGGCCATGGCACTTGGCTGTATACCAGGGATTCGATCCCGTTCTGGCCCATCACAGACCATTGTTGAGCCATTGCTGGGGCGTTCGTGGACATAGTCAAGGAGTTTGAGATGGCGTAGTGACTGAATTCTGATTCGATTTCTCCCTGCATTAGAAACGCTGAGCTTTATACTATGCGAGGCTGTCAGACCGTCCAGCTCTTGGTTAGTCTTAGTAATGATTTGTCAGCTACACAGTACTACCTTGTAAAGTTACGCTTGCGCAGCAAGGCTGGAGTACCTACTGGTCGCCTGGGTTATGGCACTTATATTGCTAAATGGTCAATCGATTGACCTCACCTGTTGTGAATTTGCAATAATTTTCGGGCGACCTCGGCCACAGTGTCAATTTACGTGGGATGGGAGGAAACAACAGCCAGTCGTTGGTTGTTGATGTCACAGCACATCCACGGAAGCTGTTCATCAAGCAATGTGAACGAGCCACGTAACTTTTTTTAACTCAATCTGATACCCTTGTCTCTATTCTTCTGCTTTCTCCCCTCCTCCTCCTTTCCCTTGCCGGAATTCATCGTCAGCCAAGTTTCGACAATGGCAGCAGTCGGAATCGCATTGATATTTTCATCGAGCGAATGAGAGTAGGGGCTGCTGCGGATCGAAAGCGAGGTAAGTCCTTGAGGACAACTTTCCCAGAGGGCGCTTTATAAGTCCTTCTGCAATATGTCTTTGCTTTCAGCTGTCCGAATCTATGAGGTCGAGAGGTAGACATCCTTTCAGCTCCGACGTGCGGCGATATCTTCGGGAGTTGAAACAGCAGTCGTCCACATAAAAATTCATACATTCCGTAACTCATATACATATACTAAGAGATGCGAATAACGATTCTTTCAGACTGTGCAACCCTCACTCTTCAATACCTTTCAGTTCTCACCGGTCGATTGTCCCACCGTGCTGCAATGACACATTCTGATTCTGCGCCAAGCACTTTTCAGCTTTGATCAGTAGAGAGGTGATATGTAGCTTCGACTGTGTTATAGCACGGACTCCGTATTGCGTTCGAGAAGCATGGAGGTGGATAATGCACTAAGCCGCTTTCGGGCGCGACGTCGATAGATATCCGGGGTGGGGTCGGCCTCCCGGCCCGGGATGAGTCCCCCGCCCTGGCCGGGGCCCTGAACCGCTGCTGCTAGAGTTGGGGGCACCCTCTGGCACTCTTTAAGTACAGTACCGCAAGTATTCTTGGTAAGGAGGTAGTCTCTTACTACAACGGTCGTAGGAGGATGAGGCTGTGGTACATACGTCGCTACCAATTATCTTCCTGAGTTTCAGTGGGTTGATCGAAATAGGGACATAGTAGTAGTGTCAACTATCTCTTGGCAGTTACGGAGCAGCCCTATAACACCGGTATCACCCCGCTTTTAGTAGAGAATTATCAAGCAGTCACTACTCCTATCATTGCGCATTGACCAGTCCATCGATTGAGCTTCATTCCTAGTATCTGATTTTTAAGTACATCGTAAAGCACGTTGAGGTAAATCCTCCTTTTAATTCTTTTATCTGGTAATCATTAACGCATGCAAAGGCACGCTTTGTAACATCGTGACGAAATTCATCGAGCGGGTTGAACACAAGTATAGCCTCAAGACTGTACTACCACAACCAACTCATCCGTTTACTCTGACTTGGGCGTAGGCGAGAACGCCTTCTTCCACCGCCCACTCAGGAGATCGCCGACAACCTCCTTGGTCTGAGCGAGATTTTCCTTCACAATCTCCGAAGTGGGCCGCGAGAAGAGCTCGTCGATTTCCTCGAGGGACTTGTTCTTGGTCTCAGGCATGAAGACGATCTGATAGATCCAGCCAATGAAGGCAATGCCTCCGTAGAAGCCGAGGGTGAGACCTGTCCGGGTCATCGCTTCCATCATGCGCGTGAAGTTGTAAGTGACAATGAACGAGCACAAGAAGAGATTGGCATCCGCCACGGTCATTCCGTAGTGACGGAGGTAGGTGGGGAAGACCTCGGAGGGAATGACCCAGGTAAGACAGGCGTACGAGCCGAAGAAGCCCATGTACAAGATAATGCCGGTGAGGTAGATACCCTCGGCGGCAGCCGGGTGAGTGTTGTAGTTGAATTGATAGCCCACGCCGACAAGCACGAGACCAATGAAGAAGCCCGGCAGCATCACGTTGGCCCAGTAACGCCGGCCGAATCGCTCCATATAGATCACCGCTGGAATCGTGCCCAAAAGAAGCGAACCGCCACCAACAAGGGACATAAAGACGCTGTCACGCGAATCGAAACCAATGTTTGTCATGAGTGTGCTCATGTAGTACATCACGGCGTTCACACCCGTTAGCTGGCCAAGAACAATCATAATATTGGCGTAGACAAGCGCGCGACGAGCACGGGGCTTGGTGAAGAAGTCCAACCAGGCGTACTTCTTGGTGTTTTCTTGCTCCCGGTTCTCGGCGAAGACGGCCTGGCGCATACCCAAGAACTCATCCTTAGCCTCGAAGTCGTTGAAGCCGCGGATGCGTTTCCACACACCGTAAGCTTCCACAGGCCGACCCTTGTGCATCAAGTAACGGGGACTTTCGGGCAGGAAGAACATACCCACCAAGAGAATGGTGGAGAAGACCAAGGAGGAACCGAGGATGTAGCGCCAGTTGCCGTCGACGTCGAGAAACATGGCAGCGACAGCATAGCCCAGCACCTCACCCAAGGCGATGTTCAGCTGGTATAGGGAGACGAGGTTACCACGAATGCGACTGGGGACTGGATGAGGTCAGTAATGGCCGAACAATACAGGATTTTACAGAAGAACGTACCACTCTCAGCGACATAGACGGGAACTGTACCGCCCTCCAGACCGACACCGGCTCCGAGGATGAATCGGCCGGCGAAGATCATGCCAAAGTTCACGGCACCAGCCTCCAGGGCGGCACCAACCGTGTAGAGAATGCAAGAGACAATGATGGACATACGACGACCCAAGTACTCGTTGGACGGGGACAGAAGGATAGCACCGGCCACCGCACCCAAGGGCATACCAGAGTCGACCAAACTACTTTGGTTGGAGGTCAGGTTGAGTGCATCGGGCAGATAAAGGTTGGCACCACTGATCAGGGACTGGTCCAGACCGGACAGAAGACCTCCCATCGAGGCGAAGGCGACTAGCATGAAAGTGTAGATACGAGGGCTGGAGAAGGCAATCTCGAAGCGCGATTTCTTCATTTCCTGCAGTTGTACCTCCAGCTCCTGTAATTCGGCGTCCATGGCAGCCTCGGTGAGCTCCTCCATGGCCTTGGGGTCCTTGTGAATGTCGTCCATCTCGACGGCGGTGCCATCCTTGTAGTCATCATGGGCGGTGTCCAGATCGTGTATAGTACCCATGATTGGTCAGTGGGGTGGCTGTATGCCAGCTGCAAGTATTTAGGAGATAAGATTTTCGATGTGCAGCAATGGACAATTATATTCCGAATGTCTTTCTGCACGAGGAGGGTTGACCACAGCCCCAAGACAGAGAGAGGACAGGGAGAGGAAAGAGGGATGGGCTACCACGAGGAGAGGAATGAGAAGCGGGGAAGTGTGCAGATCGAGTGCAACCATTCCGGGGAGGTGGGAGGAGGGGAATGCACGAGGCTTTTAAAGGCAAGGCGCATCAGGCCAGAAAGACCCCAGAGTCCCAGACACCCCAGAATTCATGACTGACTGACACCATCGTCATGGTTGAAATTTTTCTATCCACTTCAGTTGGGTTGAAATTTCATTCATTTCCTGGTCGTCGGCAGGCACCACCGCGTCATCGGGCCGTCTGACCAGTCTGGGAAGCCGAAACGACCAGGGAGTGCCAGCAGGACAGAGAGAGGCGGGATAGAGAATGACCGAATGGAAAGAGGGAGAAAGACCGGGGAGTGGGGCTAACCATGGCCATAGAGTGACTAGAGGGTGAAAGACACGAGAAGAGGTCGGGATGGGGAGAGATAAACGAGCGAGTGGATGGGTAGTTGAGTTGAGTTGAGTTGGGAGTGGAGCCATCAAGTTGGTAGGAATTGCGGAGAAATACTGGCGAAGAAAAAGTTCCCCGTGGGCAATTCAAACGTGAGGTAAGCCGAACCGAGCAAGAAAGTCGGACCGGGACAATTTCGGAGACTCTCCGGCACCATTCCTACTCTGGGGCGCGCGTGACTCCATTTCCGAGCCTTTTTTCCCCATAATATGGAGAAATATACTTGGAGTTGTGCCATTTCATCCCCCACGAAATCCAAGAAATGCCCATCTTGGGCACTAGTTGGCAGTTCGACCAGTCAGCGGCAATACTCTTTCCCATCCCTTCTCTCTTCTGAGTCGCTGGAAAGAAAATTAAGTGGGAAAAAAAAATGAAGAACAAAAGCTTCCCCGTCCTTCAACCACGGCTGAGACTGGTCCTGATCCAAAACTAAAACCCGCCTAGAACAGGTTGCACCCCCACACATTCGGCATCATTCGACCATGGGGGAATGTTTGCGCTGTTCCAGTCCCAGTCCCAGTCCCATGAGTCCCAGACCGCCGTCCTCCCAAGGGTATACTGACTTTGTGGCTTGGAAGAGATCACGAGCAATGAGAAAGACGGTGCAATTTATTATCATGACCTTCAAATACTTGTAACAAGCTAGCTGCAACAACAGACTAAACTGAACCGCATCGCTGAAAGAAAACACCCCAACAACGACAAGAGAAATATTACACCCACACTCACTGAGACAGGGAAGGAATTATGTAACCGCAAGCCATCCATCCCACCTCAGACCTTCAAGGTTACTAAGGCCTTAATTTCTCACTTCCACCCACCTTCTCCAGCGGAACTACCCGATTGTGGGAAAAAAGCGAGGACTAGAACCAGCAAGTCTCCAATTTTTCTTCCCTGCACACCAGATGCCCACTAAACTAGGAGCTTTCTTCTCCGTCTCTTCTAGTCTCTTCTTGACTCCGGATATTCCCTTTCATCTTTCATCTGGACTGGACTGCTCCGGTGGTCCGACGTAATCATTGGCTCCTTCCATTATCGTCGACCCGGCATCCCTACCGGTTTTCGTGCGCTAGGGTCCGCCACATAGGGTGAACCCGGCCGACTGCTCGGACTCTGGCCGGGGCTGGGTGACCGCCCCCCATGCAAGCGTGCCCGGAGTCGTTCCTGGGCCGACGCTGCGCGCTCCAGCGGCTGCGTCGAGCCGCCTGTGACGGGGCCCGAGATCGTCTGGTAGGATCCGGCTCGCTGACTGGGCAGGGGACGGCCCCCGGCTGGATGGTGAGGGTGCTGCTGCATTGCCGACGGGCTCGGGGACAGACTGTTGTGGGCGACCGGCCCTCCGGGGGCACTGGCCGTCGCCGAGAGGGGCGCCCCTAGGCTGCTGGTGCTGTTGTTGCTGTTGGCGCCGCCGCCGGTCATGCGACCCCGGCGCAGACTGGATGTCTGGGATGTGGGAGGCGTGGCCGCGCCTGCATCTCCCCACAGATCGCCCAGCCCGCCGCCACGTCCGTATGCTGATGACGCTGGGGCGCCCCCTGGAGCGCCGGGCTGGATCTGGGAGGTTGCGATGACCCGTGATGGCGCCGGCGCGGGGGCCTTCGGGTCGGGGGGCAGCCAAGAGGGATACGGTCGCCCCTTTTCCGTGTAGTAGGCGCGTAACACATTCGAGATGTGCGAGCAGTCCTCGTTGTCCGGGTCGTCGCGCTCGTCGCCAGACGTGATGGCCCGTTTCAGGGAATTGAGCCTGGTGCCCAGGTTCGAGATGGCCGACGAGGACGTCAGCGACGAGAAGTATGAAGTCATTTCACTTGCGGTTACCAGGCTTTGGCCGGGTGAGACTATTGTGAGGAAGGGGAAAATCACAAGGTTCGAGGATCAGCCAATGGTGGGGTATGGAGCGTAAAGACGAGGGGTAGAGGAAGGATGCGGAGAGGGCGGAACAAGAGGCAGGGCGCCTTGCAAGGCAAGCAACTAGGGTGGTAAAGTAGCTGTCCAAGACGAATTGGAGGGGGTTTAAGACACGGTATGCCGAAGATATCAGACACAAAGCGTAGCAGAAACTATTGATAGGGATTTGCGCGCACTCCTGAGGAAGTTTGGCATTGATTGGGATTGACTGAGACCATGTTGGGGATCCACTCTCCGTGTTTCACTCCGCGGCAACAGCACGTGAGGGGGCCTGGTTCACCGCCAAGCACCAACTGGTGGCCTGCCTACAGGAAGGACAAAACACCGGGCCACTTATTCGTGTGACTACTTGTGGGAAGCGACTAGCATCAGCGACAACAACATTCAACAAGCTATATGCAATGGCTGGGTATGAGATGCCCGATCGCAGCATAAGACAACAAGAAAATGAGGCAGTAAGTACATGAAACGAAAGAGCAACCAGACAACGCCATACGAAAGACGATCAACACCGAGCTTTTTGTAGTCCACGTTTCCTTCGAGCATAGAAATCTCCAACAAGGCTTTAGGCCAAGACCTTGCCGGGACCCTCAGTTTCATACTCGATCTCAATGCGAGGACCCTTCTTGCGGGGCTTAGCCTGGGGAGCAGGACGCTTCCGCTTGAAGCCCGGCGCGGGCTTCTTCTTGGCGCCCTCATCCTCACTATGCTGCGAGTCATCCTCCTCACTGTCATCCTCCTCACTGTCTTCATCCTCGTCCTCATCATCCTCACTGTAATCCTCACTATCATCGCCAGAGTTCCCACCAATCCAATCCTCCAGATCCTCCAAGTCACTCTCCTCAACATCACTAACATACTCCACCTGCCCCACGCCCTCCTCTTCCTCTTCCTCCTCCTCATCCTCAATCCTCTCTCCGTCATCCATATCCTCATCCCTCTCACCCTCACCAGTCCTCTCCAACCCGCGCAGCACCTTCTTCCAAATCCCCTCCTCAACGTTAAGCGGCCGATCACCATACGCCCCACTGCGCAGCCGCTCAATCAGCTCACGCTCAATCGCCCGCTCAATCTTCGCCGCAGACTCAGCCTTGCGCTCGCGCGTCGCCTCGCGCCGCCGCACCTTAGGCGCCAACCGCGGCACGACCGTCTCGCCCAACCGCTCTTCCTCCTTGGCCAGCCGTCGCATGCGCAGCGACACCTGCGTCAGCCGCGTCAGTCGCTGCTTGCACTTGTGCACCAGGAATTTGGGCCAGTAGATCAGCCGCTCGTCCAGCTGCTCGAGCGCCTTGGCGTAGTTGCTCGACAGCCGGATCCGCTCCCACCACTTGCTCGGCATGTGCGCCCGCTCGATCGTCTTCATGTACAGGTACATCACCCCCGTCTCCGGGTCCGAGCGCACCGTCGCATATCGGGAGTTCGCCAGCGGGCAGGATTGCCGGTTGCAGAGGCCCGAGACGTTGTATTCATTGCGGCAGAAGTTTTGGCCTTTGGTTGTTCTGTTTGTGGATATGGTTAGTGGGAATGAATTTAATGCTTGGGGGCAGTCTTAAAGAAATTCACGATAAGAGGATAGAGAAGTATGTGGGATAAAATGTAGTGTAGAGGTCGCGTAAAGCATCTGATGGGGGGATTTTTTTGGTTGCACCGGAACGGAAGAGAAAAAAAAAACTCACTTCAATTTGTAGGAACAAAACTGCTGGTTAATCACCTGCCAGACAATCTCGTCGGAGGACATCTTAAATGATAGTGGGTGACTTGCGATGTCCGCAAGTTCGTCCTCCGTCCCAGGTTCTCGGTGGTATAGGAAGAAGAGGGGGGTGGGAGATAGATCTTTTCTCTGGGGTCCGGACCACCAAAACTTTGCGATGGGCGAAAGTGAGCAGGAGTGAAAAAAAGTTGCCGCAGTGATCGGTCACGTGGGGTGTGGAGTTTCCCATCCGGTTTCTTATCGATAAGACCGTCGCCGTCTTCTCAGCCAAACACAGTCCTTGGAATTGTACCTTACTGCTTCTTGATGCTGGCATATTTCAGCAGTTTATTATGCTATTACTGATCAATTTCAACTACTATGCAGTCAGATCTCCGCTAGTATGGTATGCTTGAGCACAACATAGCTCTATACTGGGTGGGTACTAGGTAAGTGTAGTAGTATCGTAGTATCGTTACCACCCACTTTCCATCTGCAGCGGAGCTCCATCCCACTCCGTCCCGTTCACCATTGGCCCACCGCCTGCTGCTGCTGCCGCCGCCGCCGCTGCCAACTCGGCTTCCTCGCTACTGCCATGGAAACTCTCCTCGCCAGCCATCCCCCATCCCATCGCCTCGAGCTCTCTGGTGAAAAAGTCCCGCTCTTCCTCCATGAGAGACGCGCCCTCATCCCCGCCCATCACGTCTTTGTACCGTCGGAGATGCCACCAGTGAGTGAGGCCGCGCAGTGCCTGCTCTAGCGGCAACGCCTCTTCGACTTCTGAGTCGATGTCTGCTCCCGAGAGCCAGTCATCGCGTAGCTCCGGGCGACAATACAAGTAGATGGCGGTGATGACGCGCATATTGCTCTGCCGCCACTTGCGCCCGCAGAACGGGACCTGCGACTTGAAGAGCTTGAGCGTGTAGAAGCGCAGATGCGGATCCGGGATCTTGAGCCCCTTCCGAAGGATAGTACTCGACTTGTACTGCACCAGCAGGAGGCAGCGGTGGGCCTTGTCGCGCGTGATCTTCTGCATGATGTGGAGGTAGTTGATGGCGGAGAAGAAGTTGCGGAAGGAGAACTCGGTGATGGGCTCCTTAGGGGGCGGTGCGATCGGGTATCCGAGCTCGTCCACTTCGGGTCGGTGTGGTCCTTCTACAAACTCTGGCAGCAGGGATTCGGGAGACGGGCCTCGGACTGAAGAGTGGCCGGTTGTGTCCTGGCGTTGGCGCGTGATGGGCGGAGGGATGGCTTCGTCCTCGCTGGGTAAAGATTCGTCGTCTAGTTCGGCTGGCGGATGGTCGGACTTGAGGTGGCAGAAATGAAAGAAGCTGCGTCGGTTAGCATAGTGCAAGATTCAGATCCAAAAGCACATTGACATACCCCAGCTCCTCGCGGTCATTCTTCTGCGCAACGGCCTGATCGACGTCTTGATGAGCGAACATCTTGAGGATCAGCGGTAGATAATTGGAGTCAAGAAGTAATTGCGTCATGTACTCAAACTTGAGTATATCTGAGCTTCGTTAGTCTGATTCGCATGCAACAAGAAGAAACTTACGTGACCGCTTGAACCACTTGAGCAGGAGCAAAAAAGAGCCCGATATCGCTTTGGACGTTATTTCTCGGAGTCGTACATTGTCCAACTCGTCAATGGCTGCTTCAATGCTCCTCTCTCCAGGGCCATGACCCAAGGCGGATGGATATCCATTCGCTGGACCGTAGTTGTCCCTTAAAGAACACAATCATCAGCTTCGATGTCCGGCACAGTAGATGACGAGGAACTACTTACCCCATCCCTTGCCCATTTTGTCCGTTGGCCTGGTTGACCATAGCACTGACGTTCGTTAAAATGACCTTGAGAAAGACGATTGTGATCGACTGCAAATGCACCAGTGCTTGTCTCTGCGGCGGTTGTCAGCTTGGGAATCAATTCTCGGCCCGTAGGCCACTCACATAAAATGATTCAACGGCATCCAAGCGTTGTTGAATGTCTTGGTTCTCTGTTTCTTTCTCCAGAGGCTGGTCAATGCTCGACCTCTCTCTTGCATCTATTCCCAGTTTCCGCATCTCGTCTGCTAATTCGCCCGTCTCGAACTCCATAGCTGTCAGAAAAGTCTCATTTGAGCTCCAGCCGCGGTCGTATTTCATGAAACGCTCTCTCTCTTCCCACAGTTGCTGCATTGCCCTGGTCATCTTGACGTGGGTTGAAAACAACTTCCCAGCCTCGATGATAGATGCAGGGACATCACTCCCCTCCCACTTCTTGCCAACAAGAAAGTCTTGCAGCTCCGTTGTCCCCTTTCCACCGAGGTCGTTACTTGCATTGTCAAGAGGTGGGTACATGAAGGGGAAATTCTGATTCGTCTGGTAATTCTGCTTTTTTCCTGCTTTACCACCAGGCCCGATCGGAGAAGGCGGCGGAGAAGGTGCCGGCGTTGCAATGTGAACAGACTGATGGATGATGGAGCCACTACCACCCGCTACAGAGGGTCCCACACCCGAAAATGGACCGTTTGACGTGTTGATTCGGCTCGGATGTTGAGGGAGCGGTGGCAAAATCGAGTTGTTTTCCAGCTCCAGGGGCACCGCGGGTGGAGGCGGGTTGTAAGCAGGATATTTTGAGGTGATCTCTTGTCTGAAGTTGTGATAATCGAGGGGCGAGGCAGTCAGGAAAGGAGTTCTGCGTGGTGAAGCGTTCTCTCTTGCCTCGAAGGCGGGCTCTAATACTCTCTTCGCCTCCTTCAACTTGCTGCTGCCCCCGAAGAAGAGGAGTAATGTCTTCCAGAACAGAAGGATGATCCTAGTCAGAGGAATATTGGCCGACTCGTCCCAGCGCAACCTCGCGATAATTTCCACCAAGAATACCAGCAGATTCGGCTCCAGCCGCATGAGAGTCTCCCGCAGCGATGCATTTTCCGGGTCCAAAACTTCCTGTCTCCGTCCGACTTCTACAATGAAGTATAATGGCGTCAGTAGCAGGTTGGCCTCGCGTTCCATGTACGCGGAATTGGCGGCGTCCGGACCGGCACCCTCCTGTCCTTGGGAAGACGAGCTTCGGTGTCTCTCAAAAACCCGACACAAGCAGTTCAGTAGAGCCTGAAGGCCGTTGCATTCGTGGAATAGGTGAACACTATGCTCGATCCATTTGACCTGTAGAGATTTGTCCTGAGGGATTTCGGCTCCTGGGTGGGAGACACCTCGCGGGTAGTCAGGCACAGCCTCGCCAGCGGTGGCGCCCCAGAGCCCTGTGATAATATAGCAAAGAGCTTCGGATGCCTCAAAGCGAACCAGGCCCGTGCTTTCACTTAAGCCCTCGATGATATGGCCCAAGAACGCTTTCTGCAGGTCTCGAGGGGCGTCAAGCCAATTCTGCTGCGAAGCATCTACCGATCGATCCTCGCAGAAAGTGTGCCATTTATGCTCAAAGGACCACTTCATCCCCACCAGCATGGCCCGGTCGTATTCACTGTACTGGAACCACTCTTCAATCTCGTCTACAAATGGCTGAGAGTCGGCATACTCAAAGGCGTAGGCAGGTTGCTCAATCTTGGGCATTTCCTGAACCAGCTGTCTCAGTTGGGCCAGACTCAGCGAGTCGGGCGGTGGAGCATCCTGATTCTGCTGGACGGGAGCAGGCGGCGGAGGCTGGCGAGGAGGCGGCGGGGCGGAAGAGTCCCGGCGCAGCTCTGGGCGTCGCGGCCCCTTCTCCGCGGCAGTCACCCTCGGAGCTTTGTCAATACCAGCAGTCGTGGGGCCAGTTGCTTCCTGCTGCTGCTGCTGCTGCTGCTGCTGCTGCTCCTGCTGTTCCTGTCGCAGCCCTTCAGCAACCTCTTCCAAGAGCTGGTCATCCGAAACAGTGCTGATGTCCGTTCCCGTCTGATCGACCTCGTCCGCTTTGACAATGTGCTGCTCTTCCAGGCCGGCATCCAAGGAGGCTGGAGGTTTATCCATTGTGAGGGATAATGTAACAGTTTCCCTAGACATATTTTGATGGACTGAATTGGGCACAATCGATTTAAGCAGTCAGAACATCAATGCCCCCAACAGGGATTAATGCTGAGGTGAACCGGGACTTGGTGAAACCGAACGGAACTAGTCGTTTGGCCTAGACTAGTGGCTACTGCGTGAATAGATTAGAATCGAGTCGTCCCACATGACGTTCAATTAGAATAGGAATATAGTGTGTCTGCCAGCTAGAAGTCGATAAGAACAAGCGGCGGTCCGCAACATTCTTGATTAATTCGACGGGCCACGCGATGTGTCTGAGGGAAGCCGTCGATCCGCGGCGGCGGCCACTGGTCACGTGCAACTGCGGCCGGTTCGGCCAATGAGTCGGCTTGTTGTCTGCTACTGGATTGCATGTGGAATTCAAGTTATTTCTTTGATGTGATACTTGTGTCCCTTGTTTGTAGTTGATTTTCCTGTCTCTTTTCTTTTCTTTTCTTCATGACTCGAATCTGAGCTGAATTTCCATGCCTACACAAGTTACGATCGCAAATACTCTAGAACGTATGTTATTTGCCGAAGAATCGATTGGATATATATTCCCTGTGACCTTTAACTCCGCGGCTAGCATTTGCTACAGTTAGCGGGGACCCACTGAGCTTCCCCTCCACCCACCACTACTACTAGTACTACTTAAACCTCGGTACAACTCAAGGACAAAGGGATTATGAGGCGTGTAGGATTAAGCTTCTACTGTGCCAGTGAGTGTAAGGGTAATGATATTATTCTATGCACTCAATTGAGCCATTGAGATGGAAACTCTCGCCTTCAAGGTTCCAAACGGCGTAGGGTGGGAGTGTCGAGGCTCAGAGATTAGCCACAGACGCGTTCTAGGTCAAGGCTAAGATTGCGGCATCGCCGGTATGTTACTCAAACAGAGTATCTCTCGGGAGCCCTAGTCCCTGATTAGCAGCTCAGGGACATAGCCATTTCAATGAATTTTCTTTGAGCGACGCTCACTGTTTCCCTTCCGCTTCGACTGTCGCTTCGCTTCTGAATGTTGCCATCCGGCCTCAACCAGATCCTCGCTTACCACCAAATCCCTCAAACGGAAGAACTTGGATACTTGCAAGTCTAACATCCAGTCAATCCAACCGAAAATACGAACCTGTCGCGTAATGAAAAACCACGCGAAAGCGCAAGATACACCTGCAGCACAGCCCGCGAGAACCTGCTTCGGAGTGTGATAGTTCAGGTAAACGCGGCTAACTGCTACTGCAGCAGCACCGACGCACAGCACTAGAGAGATGAATATCCGCACCCCCAAGTGAATGGTGGACGCTGGACGTTTCAAGCCAGGGGAATGTCGGACAATTAAGAACAACCCAGCATACACAGCAAAAAAAGTCATGAACTGAGCATGCGACGACGGCATGCCGTAACCCTTGCCATACATCTCTGCGTCCATTATTAGTCTGGACGAGATGGCTTTTTTTTGTCTTGCTTGTCAGTCTACTTACGTTTCGGTCTTTCCTCCTTGATGATGCGCTTCAGGACAAAATTCAAGGCCTCACAGCCCATCTGACCCGCAAACATCAGTGCTATTTCGACTTCTCTTGTTGCCCAGGCAAGGGTGACATAGGAGATCACCAGGGCCTGTGGCACTAGAGCGAGCCAAGCAGACACGAAAGACAGCGGATCTTCGGGATTCTACGGGTTGGTAGCATCAGCATAAATAGTCCTCGAGCGTATATACCTCCATACGCCTGAATGAAACTCACATAATGGACATGGGTCAGTGATAAGGATGCTAAGGGTACGTCGGCCATTGTGTTGTGGGTGACGTAGTCTCGTGTTGCTGCGAGAGCAGGGAAGATTTCTCTGTTATCCGGGCGGCCTCCAATTTGGGCCAGATTAACTGAGATTCTAGAAGCAACAAACGATAAGAATGCACCGGTCGCGACAGTCCAGCCGAGTCACAGATAATCGAAGACTATTGAACAAACATATCGTGCGAACCAAGATTGATGAATCCAGAGGGCAGATTGCTGGAGTTATTATACGGAAGAGTCTTCCCTCCAAGCAGGTGTAGAGATGATATAATTTAGCTAGACCGCAGAGCAAGCATCCAAATTCCAAGGAGAGGAAAAGTGAGTGGGTCTGCAAGGGGAGACACCAAGACACACATTAAGGCCAAGTCACGGGGCTTTAAAGCGGCATGGAAAATGAGGGGGAGGGGAAGGAATTTCTCGCCGCCTCGTCGCCTCAGGCCGAAAAGAATCAGTCGACTTGATTCAACCTCCAGTGGAAACTATTTATCCTGGCGAGGACTGGGCAGCAAAATCCAGCTCAGCTCTCTATGCCTGACTCCCTATGCCTGCCCTTCTGTGCCATAAATATCCTTGTTTCTACTCGTGTTCTGCGAGTACTTAACCCTCCTGGTTTGCCTCCCATTGCTGCTCCTACCGCTCGCTGCTGCTCATCCTTACTCTCTCAATCCACCACCGATTACTCTTATCTCCAGCCAAACCATGACGCACTTCTCCTCACTTCCTCACTTCGATTCCTCTCTTTACATATTATCTAGACTGCGCATAATACTAGAATCTCATCGTTCCATTCATTCTATCTCTGCCTTCAACTCTTTTGACTTCGCGACGGTTCTGCCGCCCCCATAGTATTAATTGTCTAGACCGCACACACGCCTGCAGTACCTGAGAGGTCGGACCACCGCCACCACCTTGGATAATCGCGCTGTCTAGTTGACTAATCCGTGGTTTAGCTACAGAAATACTCCCTCTCTGTCGCCTTGCCGCTCAATCTGCTGTCACCCTACCTTCATAGATAATGCAATTCGCTGTCGGCGGGCGCTGTCGAGTTTATCGTCTCTGAATCGGACATTGCGCAGGTCTGCCAACTCGACGAGCGTCGCCACCCATCGTTTCGCCGCTCCAAATCCAACCCGCGGTCAGAACTCTTCGGGAAAGTTGTCTATTGCCTTCGAAAAACCTTCTGGCACCAATATCGGATGCAACATGACGGAGCCCGACTCAATTTCGGACGATGACCGCTCGGTCGAGCTATCGTCTATCGCCGCTATTTTCCCGGAAATCAAGATCGATCCCATTACGCCATACAAGGCATCGCTAGATATAGTTGTCAAACCGTCCACACCTGTACGCGTGTGCTTCCAACAGCAGCCGCACCTGGCCGAGAATAATTTCCCTGCTATTTTAACTCCTCCCACGTCCGTCGATGCTAGCGAAACCGGCTTCCCATTCAAGAATGAAGAGCGAATCGCTCCACTCGAACCTGATAATGACTTTCACATATTATCGCACTTCCCGCCTCTTTGTCTTGAGATCGAGTTACCCGAAGGCTATCCGGCCGACAAAGCACCGTCGTTTCATCTTGAGACGGATCCTGCATGGTTACCTCCCTCGAAATTGTCCCAACTCTTAGATGATGGCAAGCGTCTTTGGGAGGAATGCGGGCGGGACCTGGTGGTGTACACCTACATCGACCACCTTCAACAATTATGTGATACAGGCTTTGGATACAGCGATAGTCTTAACGGCGAGATGCTGCTCTCTCGAGATTTGAAGATAGCATTGTTGGATTTCAACAACAAAGCTGAACAGGAAAGGTTCGATCAGGAGACCTTTGAATGTGGTGTGTGCTTGGAGCCCAAGAAAGGTATAAACTGCCACCGTCTTCTTCGGTGCTCGCACGTCTTTTGCATTTCCTGTCTGCGAGACTTTTACAATAGCTGCATCACAGAAGGCGATATCGAGAGTGTGAAATGCTTGTCTCCCGGCTGTGGTAAAGAAACCGCCAATAAGGTCTCTGCGGATGACGTACCGAAGAAAAGAAAGAAGGTCGACCGAACACTCAGTCCTAGTGAGTTGCTACAGATTCCACTGGAGCAGGAGACAGTGCAGCGCTTTGTTTCGCTTAAGCGCAAGAAAAGGCTCGAAGCGGACAAGTCAACTGTTTACTGTCCCCGCGAATGGTGCCAAGGTGCCGCTCGCTCAAAAAAGCACCCCAAACCCACGGATCCAATGTCCGACGATCTCGAAGCTTCTGACGATGATGAAGAAGAGGGCCCTGTGTTCGATCCCCTTGGTGATGAGGCTCAATTGCCACCAGTGGCCGAACGACTGGCGATTTGCGAGGATTGCAGCTACGCATTCTGTTGCGTCTGCAAGAAAGGCTGGCATGGGGAGCTCGTCCGTTGCTTCCCTCGCCGTGCAGCGGAGCTGACTGCCGAAGAAAAGGCGACGGAAGAATATCTGCGGCGGTATACATCCGCTTGTCCGACATGCAGTGCTCCTTGCCAGAAGAAAATGGGCTGCAATCATATGATATGTTTCAAATGCGACACGCACTTCTGCTATCTCTGCTCTTGTTGGCTGTTCGAGGAGAACCCTTACCGTCATTTCAACGACCCAGAGAGCCAATGCTACCAGAAGCTCTGGGATCTGGAAGGCGGCGATGGGATTGATCCTGATGGAGCTGAAGCCTTGCATCAATTACCCGCTCAGCTTATAGAGATTGACGATGGCAGCGACGAGGAAGATTTAGTAGCAATGGAACTGGGTCAAAATCCCCCTCCTCCAGCTCCAGTGCCTCCGAGAGTCAATCACGGCGCTGGGGGTAATGGTCAACGTGGTGACAATGATCCGGCGGCTCAAGCCGCAGCAGCTGAGAGACAAGCGCAAGCGCGAGCCATGGCCGAAGTCCGGCGTCGTCCGCAGGCAGCAGCAGGTAGGGAAGGCCAACCAGCTCAGCATGCGCGGCCCGGTCTTCAACGTTTTCTGGAACTGGTTCAGAATGACCGAGAAGACGAATGGGACAGTGACGAACTTGATGATGACTTCTAGAGACTTTTCTCGTTCTACCCCTGTGATCAATCGTACGCCATGTTGTAATACTACACGCGTGTTCGGGTCTATGGCATATCTCATACTTTTTTTTGCAAGAGTCTCAACTACGTTGTTTCCAGAGACCTGATGCCCCGCTTCATTTATGATTGTGATGACCCGTATTTATGTCGTGTTTGTACAGCGATCATGCAGCTTATTCGGCGCGTTTTATCTCAGATTGGACATACAAACACCTCAATTCTCTCTTATTGCAACTTCTGTCTTTTTCTTCTCAGCGGATTCGGGGCAGGCTTGCTACGACTGACAAGCGCATCAACTCAGCATTTGCAGGTACTTGCACAAGTGACTAAGCAGTGCATTTGTTGCATAAGACATCCTTATACCCTATGAGTTTTGTGTATGATGCATCGTAGCGAAAGAAACATCCAAGACCCTAGCCAACCCTCTATCTCCTTCCTAAAGATAGACACCTGTTCCACTCCAACACATATATCTACTCAGTGAATCCATCTATCGATACCTCTCGTTGCCACATTCATTTTTCAGCACGACCTCCGCTCAACCATCCCATCATCTCCTGATGAGCTCGACTGCTCGATTTGAATTCACATCAAAATGTCAAGAGCTGCTTCAGCAAACACGGCTTCTCGAGGTAGTCGTTCTCCTCTGTTGTCAGCGTGAGATGGCTGTCTGCGAGTATGTAGCCTGCTGTGCCATTCATCGGCCGGGTATAGTTAACTCAAGGTTAATTTTCTGGTCAGCATTTAGTGTCCAACGTGGGTCTCGCCGAGTCCCGACGACCTACTGGTATATAGACCTTCGATTAACTCTGATAGTGAGCAAGACTCAATCCAATTACCAGTACAGAGCTAATAACTTGATTAATTTACCCATCTCAGTGCCGGACTTCAATCTTGTTTTGAATCTAATTTGGATCCTCGAAGAAGCCTTGATTGCATGAACAAACCCTAGAATAATCGAGCTAGGTAGTTAAAACAACCAACAACCAAACCGAACATTCCGCTATCTAGCCCTGAAGTACCTGTTCACAACAAAGGCTCCTTATAACATATACATATGCAATGACGACAGCATGGGACTTTTTCGAGCTTCTACTATCAACGAAAGTCTTCCTCCATGGGCTATCTTCATCTCTAGGTATCGTACACTATACCCCAATCAAGAAAGGTGTACGACCTTCCGGGTTGTCAATTGTCGAGTATGGATCCAGCTGGTTCTTAGTCGCTCTTCAGCAACGTGGTGTGGTGTGGAGACTCCAGGATACGACGATAAGGGAACAATAACCGGATGTGGTGTAGTGTACGCAAACTGTCGATGTCTCAAGAGCTTGGAGTGGACAATTTCAGCTAGAAATCGAGGCACAAGATTCGCTATGCCAGGCTAGAAACTAGCTAAAGGATTACTAACTCAATACTCCATCTGAAAGATGTAGATACAGATCAGTGAACTCATACTCCGCATCACGTCAAGCTATTCATCTTCTGAAGTCTGTAATGGGCATAAGCGGACACCTCGAATCAAACGGTCATGCAGGTGGAATACTCAGCAAGAGCACCTATCAGACGATCCCTTCTCTCCTCAGCCGCCACCTCTCCTCAGACCCTCGCATACCCCGTCGGCCTCACCGCAATATCCTTATAAGCATCTCTCCCAGCCTCCAAGCTATCCGTGAGATCAGTCGCCCACCCAGCAGCCGCATCCTTGACATCCCCAGCAGGGATCCGCGCCACCACACTCCCGGTATAAGTCAACGCGGCCGTGTGCTCCTCCTGCAGCTGTGAGTAGATGTACCAGCCCTCATCCGCCACGGCGATCGCGTCGTGGATGGCGATGTAATCCTGCACAACTGTCGCAAACTGGCCCGCCAGATTCTCGAGCGATGGAAGGAGGGTGGCTGCTTCCGTGGCATTCAGGAAGTCAGACTGGATGGCTTTGGTCTCGGCGAGGAGAAGGGTGATTAAGGCGGCGGCGCCCGTGGTGATGTTGGAAATGTCGCCGCCTGGGTAACTCAGGATGCGGGCGTCCAGATCCTTGACGGAGGCGGTTATGGCGGCGAGGCCGGTGGTGAAGGGAGAGACGTCGCGCGTGGTGAGTGAGGCGGAGGGGATGGCGTGGGTGCTGCTAGTTATGCTGACTACGATGAGGAGGAGAAGAAGGTGGGGGCTGAGGGTTATGAGTTTCATGGTGAGCTTGGTGTGTTTTTGGTCGTAAGAGAGGTGATGTGTTCAATCGGCGAGTTTGAAGGAGATGATGGGCTGCTCATTCTCTTTTAAAACATAGCACGAATTGCTCCGTCATTCTTTTACCCCTCACAGGATGCGGGTGGAGGCTGAAGAACTGGCAACCCTGCGCACTTTCTGCACCGGCTTAGGCATTGTTAACGCGGGCTATCATTGACGGTGGAATTGAACGGGTCTAGACCATACGAGCTCGCCAATGGAATCTTCGTATGATGGCGAGACTATTGACAATGAGGCGGAAGTCGACGCTGAGGGTTCAGGGTTGGCCCCGCTAGCTACAGAAAGCCAACCCGCTTAGGGTTAGAGATGTCTTCACAGCTGCATTAGCCGCGGGGTTAGTATGCCTACTTTCTGACATATATCTAGCATATCATTACAGTTTATTCATCAGGATGTCTTAACCGAACTCCATAGAGAACAGCGGCAGATTGAGGAAGTCTCCAAAAGACGACCAAAGCAGCATGCCTGAGGCATCACGAGTAAAGATCACGAGACCTAGAGAGCCCTGGACATGGTCAACTACATAAACTCACGATAAGGTGTTGCCCTGCTAAAACAATTGACATCAGGATACAACGGTTGGGGAAGGTTGAGTTGAAATGAAATTAGCTAGGGCAGGTTTGACTTTCTCTGAGATTGTGATGCTGAATTCATACCGGGCTTGTAGCCCACACTGGTTTGTATGATGTCTAGCGAATAAAACAGTACTCCCATGCATTGCTGTCGACTTCTGTTGATCACTGGGAAATAAATTGTAAGAGGAGCACATCTTCCAAGGAAGCATGTGCTAAGCTCTAATAATGCCCGTGCCTATCGTGTAGATACTATCATGCTGCGACCTGGCCGATGGACTACTCTGTTATTCCTAATCTTCAGCTAGCCATAATGCACTTACTACGCATGATGGCCAACGTTGTCCAGGCTTGAAACTCAGGCAGCTCCCATCAGCTGAGCTCTGATCTATGATGGAATTGTCAATTTCAACTACAAGTCAGGATACTGCATCTGAATGACTGCGGACGTGTCTGCGAAGAACCAACCATATCAGCACAAACTACAAAAATAATTTAATAATAATACAAGTGCCTCAACTCATAGCCGAGAGAGCCACCTAGGCTCTGTCGCAAGTTGCCACGCAGATGCTGCAATTCCGGTTGTTGGACACTCCCCAGATATTTTCCGTATAGATGCAGAAATCCCCCGACAAGATAACTGCTACAGAAAGACCTCACTGCAAGCTCTAGACATGGAAGAGTCTCTCCAAACCTTTAAGTACTCCCACAGCCTCCAGGCTAGTTGACCATTCCATCCTCACCACCGCCATTGAGCAGCCATCATCATGGATACTCTTACTCTCGACGATCTTCCTGCCGAGATCTTCTTGCTCATCACCGAGCATATGGACTTTGAGGCTCTGTGCGCTCTGGGTAGGGTTTCCAAATCCATGCGCGAGAAGGCCTTTGCACCCTGGCTTGGCAGCCTCCTGCATCCTTTGTCCATCCACCTCGACGTCGACAATCCCAAGAGCGTGCACCTTCGCCCCAAGGAAACCAAGCTTGTGCGTCGCACCTTGCCAGAAGATTACGAGGCGCTTCAGAAAGCCCAACAGCTGGTCCTCGAGGTGCACAACCATCTTTGGAAAAACCACGACATCACCAGGGCCAGCCTTGTGGCGCTGACCCGGTTCCTGCTTTCCAACAAACCCTCAGCCCTCCAGCTCCAATCGCTCACTCTCTGCGCACCTCCAAACATATTCAAGGACTTCCCACACTATGATGAGGTGGTACCCGAGATTGATCTCTGGGATGGCGGCCGCAGACGCCGACTTTCCACTCTCTGGGTCAACCTCACCCAGTTGATCATCCACATTCCCGCAAGCGTCCACTCTGAGAAACTCCTCGACGGCATGGTCTGCATCATTCTCGATCACGCCCCCCGGCTCCAGGACTTCCGCTTCTTCTACGACCGGAGACTACGTCATCCTCAGACCTGGGTGAGTGGGCTGACCATCGAACACCTGGCTCATCTCGAACCCGCGCCGCACCTGAAGCGGTTGGAGATCAACGACCCTCGTGCTCTTCTCAGCGCGACCATTATCAATCTGTTCGGGAAGTACGGCCGCTCCCTGGAGCACATCGCCGTCATGACTCCGGGCTTCAATCCGAACCCTGACGCCGTTAATCGCAACCGGCTCCCTGGGCTGAAGGCCCAATGTCCCGTCCTGAAGCAGCTCGTCTACTTCGAGAACGGACGCGTGGCCCTGGGTGGACCGGAACTCTGGGTTCAGCGGCCCCTTGCGGACGATCCTGACGGTCCCCTTAGTTGGGTCAGGGCGGATGGGTCCAAGGAGTGGTTTTTCAAGGTGAGCGAGGTCGACTCCTTCTGATGGCTAAGTTCTGTACTGTTTATCGGTCCAGGCGGCTAATGGTAGACGCAGGAACATCAAGGCTGGCTTGATCTAGCTCTTTCAGTCCTGAGGATATCTTAAGCCGGAATTACTTTAATAGACAATGCTAATGCGTTGGCTCCGAACATCTCTAACCCCCAACTAACTGACAGTCCATCTCGAATCACCTGACTAACATCCCTGCCCTGCCTGGCGATTTGACTCACTTGAGAAAGCGCTAAGAGAGGTATCTCCAGGTACTGAAGGAACTCTTCCTGAGACAGAACTTGGACGTGTTCGACCTGAACGGCACTTCTCGGATATGACCATGTTAAGTTACACGTCGTACGCAACAGAGGGTGGGCTTGGGTATCAGAACGCAATATATGCTTTGCGGAGTGTAGCCCTCAAATTACACCTGTATTTTGATTGGATAAACTACACAGCTCTCTGCTAATTAGTCTCTTTGATGGCTTACACGTCTTCCTCGATGCTTAAGTTAATATCCACCTTGTCAATGCATTCGAAGCGGTATACACCCCCAACATCAGGTAAGCTTCCAATTCTCTACACCCCGGGGACTAGCACCAAGCATACTTCTCGTTGTACATCCACTCTAACCCACCCTCATCCTCGCCCCCTTGCTCAGAACCTTCCATCCACAAAATCCCTGGAACACCGCTCGCCTCGCGCATCACGAGCGGAACACCCTGCTCCTCCAACAGGTGAGGTGGTCCGTTGGTGGCGAGCGGGTGGGTGAGTAGGCGGGGACGGAGAGGGGGCCTTTTTTTTCTGCACTGTTGTATTCGGTGGCGGTGATGTGTTGGGAGGGGGTGACGGGGAGGAGGGTTAGATTCGGGGAGGTGGATGGGAAGAGTGCTGGAGGGTTGTGCTGCATCACTGGGAGTGAATTCTACAGGATCGAGAAGTAGGTACATATGAATAGACGGGGTAACCTTGTAACTTAGCGAGTACAAGTACATACAGAGGTAAGCGGGTGAAGGTGTTTATCTATTCATCTCTCCCCGTGCCGCCCCCACAGACTAGTAGTCAAGTATACGTGAGCGGACCAATCAACCCACCATACTGCGACTTTTGAGGCGTTAAAGATGGATATTATTCCCATTTAGGATGGTCTGAGTGGCTTGATCGGAGCTAGTGGATTAGGTAGCGGAAGGTATTTGACAGTATGGGAGATTCCGCTTGTAGGTCATATGAAGATTCTATACCCAAGTTCCGATACTGTGATTGAGCTATACATCATTTGGTTGTTGCAACGGCTGAGTCGGTCGTTTTTAGAGATAGCTGAGAGCAGACAGGTGGACGAGCTAGAGAGTACAAGAGGGGTGTTGAACAAGAAGTCAAGTCTAAGGGATGCAAAACACACGGCAGAAGAATCGACAAGCGGGTATAAAACATCATCCCCGAACCTTCCGGTAACTGGGCGGACTCCAGGACCGCATGATCAGTTTCCCGGCCCACACGGGGATGACAGCCACTGCGCTAACGGCAACAACGCGCCAAAGCCAATCAAGTGTGATAATATAGGCGAGATCGAAGTAATCCCCGAGGAAGGGGACGCTGGCGGCGTAGACGAGGGCAGTGCCAATGATGGAGAAAATCATGAACGGGTGCCAGGTGGTGATGGCGATGGCAACCATAAGGAGTTCGTTGATGACCAGCGCAGTGAAAGAGACGCTGATGAGCCGAGGGCCGGTGATTGTGTCGAGGAGGATCTGCGACAAGCCCTGGATAACCGCACCTTGAAACACCGAAACCAACACCCAGGTGAAGAAGGACCGGTAGCTAAGGCTGCGACCTGTTTTGAGCTCCTTGTACAGCTCCGGGTAGAGATTAGCGAGCTCCTCGTCGACATCCCGGTCAAATACGAGGGAGAAAACGGGACCGCTAGTGTAAATCGTCGCATAGCCGACCATAAGCCAATTGATGAAAAGGCCTTTGGGGTCGAAGTGGCTGGCAATACTGTACATGGTCTGGCAGGCGCTGATGATAATACCGCGGTGCATGATAAACTGCGCGAGTTTGGCAGATCGTTTGTAGGAGTTGCGCCCGTGCCAGACGAGGAGCTTAGTAAGGTGGTGAAACTGCGTGATGCTGAAATCCGCAGCAAGAGAGGCCTGTCGGCCTTCTTTGCCAACGATACCAATACCGACATCTGCAGCCTGTATCATAGACACATCGTTGCCGCCGTCGCCAATGCAGCAAACACGCTTCTTAGTGTGATGACGGATGAGGTCGGCCACTTCGGCCTTTTGAGTTGGCGAGCAGCGACAGGCGATGACGGCGGGGAGAAGCACGGCGACAGAGATGAAGGCTGACCGGAATTGACTGAGCATAAGAGCAAGGGATTCACCATCGATAAGGAGACAACAGTCGGTCTTGTTGCGCAGAAAATCCAGGGCTTCCTGGGCGGTAGACTTATCTTTGACCTTGGCAACAGTGTGGATGTATTGTCCACGAGCAACTAGCTTGGCTGAAATCGCGACACAACGTGCGGTTTCGACCTTGTCTCCTGTCAACATCCAGATCTTGACTCCGGCGTTGCGAAGAAGCTCTAATGAAGGTTTCACGTCGCGCTGGAGACGGTCCTCCACACCAGTCACGCCGAGAAGCTCCAGGTCCCGTTCCAGGTATTCACCGATCACCTTCGTCATACCTGCATCTCTGCCTTGTAAAGCCAGCGAAGCTTGTCTGTACCTTGTAGTGAATTCTGCATACTGTTGTTCGGATAACCTTCTTCTTCCAACAACTAGAGTCCGCAATCCCTCACGGGCCATGTTGGCAGTTTCTTCATCGAGCCAGTCGTTGGCAGCGACGATCGTAGTCATGACGGTATCTGCACCTTTCTGAAAGAACCAGATCTCGTTCTCGTTCTGGGACGAGTCCAGAATGCTTTCGTCTGTCTCAAATTGAACGATGATCCCCATCCGCTTGCTTTCAGACGTAAATGGGAACAATTCGAGGATCCGAGCACGCACAACGACATTACCAGTGTGAGTAGACTCCAGGACGATGGTTTGTCGGTCGCGATATGCCAGTTTCAGTCCAACATCCTCTGTGTATCGAACAATGGCAATCTCGTCAGGCGAAGAAGCCTGGTAGTTAGTGACCCGAACACCATCCTCTTCGTCGGTTGTGGGAGTGACATTGTGGCAGAGCGCCAGAGCCAAAACAATGTCTCGAACACGTGAGCCTATCTCCCTCCTAGTGCGTGGAGCCGTACCGGAGCCAGCTTGCATGCCAAATAGGGCTGACGGAGTAGTTAGGGAGTCCCCTGAAAAGCTTTGCTTTACATACGACGTCACTTCCTCCATCGCTTCGTTAGCGTACGAGACGGTTCCAACATGAATCTTCTTGAGCTCCATTTCTGGTTTGGGTCAGCAAGCTCTCTTTAGCCATAGCATCAAGCGGCTTACCATTTTGAGTCAGAGTGCCGGTTTTGTCGGAAAGGAGGTATTCGATTCTACCAAGGTCTTCAGGAATGGTGCTTGTCCGCACAACAGTCCCAGGTATATCCTTGTCTTTTTCAATAAATCGTCCGTACACCGATTTCGCCATATCCAGATTGACACGCAGACTCATCGGAATAATTGTCGAGAACAAGATCAAGTAGATCATAATGGCGACGTACCAAACTTTGTCGTTGGTAGGCTGAAAACCTTCCAGCGCGACTAGAACAATCGAAAGTGCCAGAGTCAGGATGCACAGTATCTTAGTCAGGTTGTTGATCTCATATTCTAGTAGTCCGACCTTCGACCGCGACGGGGACGTCGACAGCGCAGCGCGCGTTTGTGAACCAGTGTAAATGATAGCGGCATAAGTGATAGTATTAGATGCAAGAACAGTATTAGCCCATGCAGTATTGTCTATCGTCAAGGGAGCAGAATTCGGTTGTGACTCCTGATCATCCTGCTCGCGTTCGTGGGTGCTCTTGTCCACATGTGGGTCGTAGGAAGACGACCCCAGCTCGATAGTTCCGAGAAACTCATTGACCCGCCTATCTGGCGCGCTTGCAGTAATTTTGAGTCGAGTGAATTCGCGGAGTGAGAGGGTTTGAGATAACAGTGAAGGCAGTCTTAGCTTCCAATCAGTTTCTCCGTCTAATTGGTCCGTACGTATGAACGTGTCGCAAGCTGAGGGGTTACTTGCTTCATCGTTCACTTCACTCGTGCTGGGCTCATCGCCATGGTCGGCCGGTATAAGGTTCGAGGGTCTTTCCAGGGCCGAGCTTTGTCGGGCAGCGGTGTCATTTGAAAGACTCTTAAGGATCACTACATCTGCAGGCAGACGTTGATTCTTGCGAACCTTCAATATATCACCGACTTTCAAGTCCCTTGACCTCCTCGTCACCTCCAGAGCGCCAGTCGGTCTATCAAAGCTCAAGACAGTAAACTCTTCCGCATTTGCCTCAGCATCTCTGCGCCGGCGACCGATATCATCCAGAGCTTCCTTCCCGAGTGAAATCGAAACGACAAATGCCAGAGGTGCGATGTATGAGGACATGTAACCTATCCGGAGGACAGGAATGATTTGTGACAGAGCGACAAGTAGGAAGTAAATGTTGAAGAAGAATGAGAACTCGTTATACAGGGTGCGGGGTAGAAAGCTCCAAGGCGTGTATTTGGCGTTGGATACAATGTTTGGCGGGTATCTTAAGCGCTGCGCTTGCCCGACGAACACGTCGCGCGGAGGCTTTGTCTCGGTCGGATTGGGTTCCTCTATCACTGTAGAGTTAGAGGAACCAAACCAAGCTCTTGCAGCCTTGAGACCGGGAATCCTGAACCTAGAGCTCTTCTGCGACAGCCGTTCTGCATCCTTTAATGAACGAGCAGAGCTACGCCGGCGTTCGTTAAGCAGCGGGGCATCATCATCCGTGTATGTTCGCGAACTGGCGTGAGACCTTCGAATTCCTCCGTCGTCGCGATCCTGATCCTCGAGTAAACCGGCGGTATCCTCCTGCCCTCCTCCGAGTGTACCAGAGATGCTCCGCTTCCACCGGTTTCCCACTCCAACTCGGAGGTTTCGCAACGCTATGCCCGGGCTACGACTCCTTTGCTGAGTCTCTTCTTCTCTCGATCGACGATGTGTTCCATAAAGATGCGTTGTACTTGGGTCGAGCTCCTCCAGGTCGAGGTCGTCATCGGAGCCAGAATCGCCTGCGATGCTGGATCGGCCGTAAGGATGTGGATACTCGGATAATGAAGGCATGGCAGGCAGAAGAGAGATGAATTAAGATGGGCGTTCCATGCGAGAATGGCGTTCCGGAAGCTCCTTTATACTTAGTTGTGTTGTCATGTCACGGTGAACTGCAAGCAAACTGTCCCGAACATAGCACTGCTGTTGTTGGGGTATGGAGGGGGCGGGTGTATGTAGGTTTGACCGCGACTGCGACTGCGACTGCTGATGCGCGCAAGGGGATGAGCGAAGATAAGCAATGGTGAAAGCGAGATTGAGCAATCGAGCAGATGATCAGCACGATTTCAGCCACTCCTGAGGTCGACTCAGTTCACTATCGAGTGAGAAACGAGGCTTGGGGCATTAATTAATCATGGTGGCCTAAATGGTCGAGAGGCTGTGATGGCGGCAGGCAGAGGACGGCCCGATCACATGACGGCGTGTCGGAGCCGCTGCTTTTGTTTGCTTACGGAGTACAATATTGTCTAACTACATAGTATTTAGTTGTTGTGCCAGTTGCAGGTTGACCGGATATGATCTATACTGCAATCACCACCTTCCTAGCAATAAGAACTGCTTCTGCGGACAGCCTGAGTTTGTATGCTAGTACTGGTACTGGAGGATGTGACCTGGAGATTCACTTGATATATATCCTTGAGGGATTCAGTCTCACGAATGCCCGTCGGAGAATCAACTTCGAGTTGGCATGCCCACATCAGTCGCCACCTTGCTTAGCCACACGCTGATTCCTATGCTTAAATTGTCTTCATTATTGGCAAATTCTCTCTTCAGATGATTGTATGTCGGATCGTGTACAAGAGATGGGGAAGCTTTTAGTTGTTCCAATTGAGATGTTCTCGCATCAACAAAAGATGCGTATGATTGGCTTTCTCTTGTTGCATAGTAAAGTGGTAGGTATACACTAGCTTAATACCTGTTGTGTGAGCAATATTTCCTTTGCGCTCAAGAAAAAGTGGTTCTCAGTGATTGTCTCATCCTAAGGTTTCTCGTTCCCAGCTATCGACACACAGTAGCTACCTTAATCACTGTGAACTGGAACTACTACATCTGATACGCCACACCCGCGCGGCGGAGTAATGGTAGCACGTGACACTAGAGGAAACAGGTTAGGTGGCACTTCCGGTCGGCAGAACCATGATCCGCCCCGGATGACGGGCGCGTCCCAAGGACTGATGTTCATTAGTTTGTCGGAGCAGCATCATAACCAAGCCATCCTCAAACGGCTGCAGCTGTCCGAGACTCAAGAAAGGAGGACTACGGTACAGCCCCCCGAACATGCAGTCATGATTTTTTCATTGTCCCCTTATCTTTTGTAATGTCTACAGCTGCAAGGTGCTTTTTTTTTATTCCGTTTTAGCCCGATCAGCTATTCATGTTTCGTATCACATAATTTCGGACGACCCTTATCATACTAATTTCCTGGTCAGCCGTCGAGGCACAATTATCCCTTGGAAGTGGTGATTGAGTGAAGACAGGAATTTACCAACGTCTTTTGGCAGTCTCTGAGCATCACTAGCCCATCATGGCATATCCGAATGCAGCGGCCGTATGGAATCCGGCGCTGAGGTCGAATGATGAAGATGTCCCTCCCGTGACGACTCCCACCACTGAACTCGAGATCAACACCGCCATCGAAGCCACTACAATACCTCTCGGCTCACCAATGGAAACCCCTCATGATGTGTCATTCGGCGACGTACTTTCTTCGTCATCTGATTATGCCAACGGCACCCATGAAACGGCAGCGCCAGATGTGAACGTCCCTGAACCTTCCGCGAATCACGACCAAGAGCCAGCCGAGCCAATTTTCGTCGCAGAGCCACATGCTTCCGGTACACAAGATGAGCCGCTCATGACAAACGACGATGTTATCGAACCATTGGAAGAGTCGCTTCATACAACCGGAGACACAAGCAGAAAGCCTATTGGAGGCGATGTAGCGGACGCTCAGCAGGTATCGAATGGTGGAGATGAGACGCAAACGCCTGCGGAAAGCATTGAGCCCGCGGAGGAGTCAGGCAACATCACTCCCACCGGCCCCACCGGTACATTTCGTGGCGATGAGCTACCACAACCCAATGGAGAGATCCAAAGCAGCCACGATCTATGGGGAAGCCCCGCGCAAGAGGAGCCTGAGGGCGACGACTTCTTCCATCAGCTCAAAACGCAGACGAAGCCCATATACTTCTCGCCCGAAACGGAAACTAGGTTTGAGGAAGGCGTTCCCTTACTGAACAGGGGCATTGATTCTATGATTGAGCCTTCGGAGACTGTCGAAAGTCGCATCAACAACGTCTTCAAGGGCGACGAGGACGAAGATGACGGGTTTTTCAAGGCTGTGCAGGACTCAACCTCTCAGCAGAGCCCCGAACCTCATATCACTCGCAAGAGCACGTCTCAAGTGTTGGGTTCATTAGGTCTATCAGAAGACTCAACAGCCAACGCGGAAGAGCCGAGCAAGCGGGATTCGGACAGTGCTTTGGCTGCAGCAGGCTCACAAAACTCTCCAACTAACGCGTTTGATCAAAGCGAGCAGGATTCGGAGAGCGCTCTGGCAGCAACAGGCTCACATTTTCCGGTCGACACTGCCGACGTAGACGAACAGGAGTTTGAGAGCGCCCTGGCTGCAGCAGGCTCACAGTTCCCGGTCGATACTGCCGACGTAGACGAACAGGAGTTTGACAGCGCCCTGGCTGCAGCAGGCTCACGGGTCCCGGCCAATGATCCCGATTCCAGCGAGAAAGAGCTTCAGAGCGCTTCGGCTACAACACATTCCGAAATCCTGGTCGGTGCTGTTGATCCGAGTGAGCAGGAATTCGAGAGTGCTTTGGCTGCCGCAGGTGCACAGGACGGTATGAAGACAAGCTCCTCGGACGATGACCTGGCTGCGCGTTGGCAGGCTGAGCTCGACGATGATCACGCCGAGGGCCAGCCGGCCGAAGACGACCTCGCAGCCCGATGGCAAGCAGAACTCGATGACGATGATGATTTACTATTTGAAGATGAATCGGCCGGAGGATCGCAGGAACCCAGTTTTCAAGAATTACTTGGTAATTCTGCTCCTGCTGCTCAAACAAGCCTCTCAAGTCCCTTCGGTACACCAGATAATTCGGTCAGACCCAGAGCGCAGCAAAGGTCCTACGTGCCACACCAGCCATCTACGTCTGACTTGCTCCAGGGAATTCCCGCAATGACTCCCCGGGATGGCTACTTCGCGCAACAATCACGTCCGACTGAGGCAACCAAGAAAGCTGAGAGTTTCGCTGAGCGTGCCAAGGAAGGTTACAGATCACCTTATGATCTTCCAGAGGCTCTTACTCGCCCTCGTCGGCCTATTGTTACCAACAAAACTGTCATTTCTCAACCGGGAGTTCCGCCGCCGCCGCCGCGAAGCAATAGCCTTCCAGTCCCTCCACCGAAAGCGCCGGGTTCGACACCTTCGATTCCGACACCGTCAACCAACGCGGCATCCACCGCTATTCCACCTGCACCGAAGAATTTCTTTGAGGAACTGCCTCTACCACCGCCTCGCGCACCTCCTCGCCCGGCTAGCACGGGGCGATACACACCGGGCCCCAATTCAGTGCCAGCAACGGCATCTCCCTCAGCGCCTGCGCCGCCGGTCAATCCGTATGCTAGTGCTCCTCCCGTGCCTCAACCGGCGGTCGATTTTCAGCCTCAGTCTCTTTTACAACAACCCGAAAGAGTAGACCCGTATGCGAGCTTGTTGACCCCAAGTGCTCCTAGCGGCACAGCTGCAGCTCCTGCTACTTCGAGGTATTCGCCGAAGCCACCAAATCTACAAAATGGAATCAAGCCACCGGCCTCTCCCAGATACTCTCCGGCACCCCCTCCATCAAGTGCTCCCCCACCTCCTCGCAATCGTTATGCTTCTCAGGCTCCTATCAACCCTGGCCAATCTGTCACCCTTCCATTTCAACCCCGTACATCCAGCCCTCTGGCCCATCATGAGAAGGTCTCTTATCGTCCCCAGGAGGGGTTGGAAAAGCGCTCATCCTTGGACCAGTCGGCTTTTCCTCCTGCCATTGACGTTCAATCTGAACCTGAGTCTGCCGCCAACCCACTTTTCACACCGGGTGAAACCGCTATTGAAGCTACAATCACAGGCCTTGATGTAAGTGGCGAGAAAGTGAGCATGCAGCCAACGTCACCTCCCAGGAATCAATATGCTCCACCTGAGTATGTCAACCAATTCGCTCAGCGGATCGCTCCAGCTGCTCAGGACAATGCACCGCAAGTTCCTTCCGCCACGATTGAAGAGACTCCCTTGTTCCCTCCCCGTAGATCAATGACACAATCACCCGGTCAACAAGCGCTTGGCCCTCGATTGTCTGTACCCTCAGTTGACCCTCTCCAGAGGCCTGCATCAGTTCATGGTCCTGCCTCACCTACTAAAGCCGTGAACCCATACGCACCAGCGCAAACCTCTGCACACAATCGCGTCGCCTCTCAGCAGCTGGACTTTATTCCCCCGACCGATGATCAGCAGTATGATCCTCTCGAACGGTGGAAGGGAGCACCGATAGTCAAATTTGGATTTGGCGGTACAGTTCTGTCCTGTTTCCCAAAGCATGTACCCCGATATGCCGCTGGCCAAGCGGCCCCAAGGATCAAGCCAAGCCCTGGCGAGTTGAAAACAAGCCAATTCAATGATTGGATCCCGCCCACGGAGAGCATTGTTCGGCATCCTGGACCTCTCAAGTCCAAATCTAAGAAGAAGGACCTTCTTGCCTGGCTATCGAGCAAGATAGCCGCATTCGAGAATGAAGGTATTCCGGAGAGTGCCCGATCACTTCCCGACGGTCACAAGCGCTACGACGAGAAGGTACTACTGTGGAAGATCATTCGGATAATGGTCGAACATGACGGTTTGCTGGAGGGCTCAGCTGAGATTCAGAAGTCTTTGCGCGGTGTTATTCTTCCTCATTTACCAACTGGCGAGACAGACGAGAGCTTTGAACCAGGTTTCCAGTCTTTCAACGCTGCTCCACCCGCCGACATGCCATCTCGCCCAGATGCGGTCAATGGTCAAGCTATCGGGGCACTGCGCAACAATCTTCTCCTCGGCGAGCGCGAAAAAGCCGTCTGGGCTGCAGTAGATAGTCGTCTATGGGGTCACGCCATGTTATTAGCGTCAACTATGGACCGCTCAGTCTGGAAGCAGGTCGTGCAAGAATTTGTTCGACGTGAAGTTAGATCGACTTCCGGAGGTACTGAATCCCTTGCAGCTCTTTACGAGATCTTCGCCGGAAATATCGAGGAGAGCGTAGATGAACTGGTTCCCCCATCAGCACGAGCTGGCTTGCAAATGGTCAGTAAGGTTGACGGGCATGGGTCTTCCAGAAACGCTCTGGAAGGCTTGGAAAGCTGGCGAGAAACACTCGGACTCGTGCTATGCAACCGCAGTACAGAGGACCATCAAGCTCTTTTGGCCCTCGGGCGGCTACTTTCAAGCTATGGCCGGACAGAAGCTGCACAAATATGCTTTATATTTTCCCGAGCTGCAGTGTTTGGTGGTATTGACGATCCTCAAACGAGCATTGTTCTCTTGGGGGCTGACCATCAGCGGTCGTCTACCTCTCCGCTACATGACGAAGACTGCATTCTGCTTACCGAAGCCTATGACTACGCCAGCTCCGTTCTCTCGGCCTCCCCTAAGCCGCCGCTTCCCCATCTCCTGGCGTATAAATTGGTCCATGCCTGGTCTCTCGCCGACCGTGGCCGCAAGACAGAAGCTCAGCAGTACTGCGATGCCATCGCAGCAACTGTCAAAGCAACAACGAAGACTTCGCCATACCACAACCAGTATTTGTACAACGGTGTTGACGAGCTTTCCGCGCGCCTGAAGCAGTCGAGCAGCGATGCGGGATCGTCGTGGATTTCAAGACCCAGCATGGAGAAGGTTTCCGGGTCAATGTGGGCCAAGTTCAATAGTTTCGTTGCTGGCGAAGACAATGATACTGCATCCACGGATCCTGCAAAGTGTGGTGAGGCAGATATTGGTCCCTTTGCCAAGATTGCCGGCACGCCTACTGTGAGTCGCTCGCCTTCTATGTCGGACATCTACGGCGTGCAGCCAAGTCACGGCACTGCTCCTTCGCGTTATTTGCCAAATAATCAGTACGCTCCGACATCTTCACCTGAGCAATTCCGTGGCAGATCGTCTCTTGACTCCCAGCGATCGTCCTCTTACAATTTTGGTCTTGCGCAGCGACGGGGCTCGCAGGAGCCTTCGACGCCGGTTGATAACGGCCCGTATCAAGCGGGAATGTTTTATAATTCCCCTCCATCAAATGCAGGCTATCAGCAGACACCCCCTCAGACCTCGTATATTCCTCTGGCCCCTGTCGAGGAAGATCTAGTGTCTCAGCCCTCGGCTAAAGCTCCGTTTACTTCGGGTCCAGCTTCCCCTAATATGGTCTCTCCCTATCAACCTCCTGGGTATGGATCATTTGGCCAACCGCTCCACGAGACCCCTTCGGCTGTCTCTCAACCAGGTGAAGGTGGCTACATGCCTCCTGCTAGTGGCGGCGGCTATGAGCCTCCCGCGACAACCAATGTTGCTCCTGAATCGGAAAAGCCAGAAGAGGATGAACAGGACGAGCCGGCGAAGAAGAAGAAGTCATTCATGGACGAAGACGACGATGATGATATAGCTGCCCGGGCCGCTGCAATTCAGAAAGCGGAAAAGGCACGCAAAGATCGTGAAGCAGATGACGCCTTCCGAAAGGCAGCAGAGGCCGACGGTAAGTTAGCATAATGCTCTCCCCTAATTCATTGGACCGCTTGACTTATAAGTTTGCCCTAGCTAAACGGGCTGCTCCGGCTAAGAAAGGGTGGTTTGGAGGTTGGTTCGGTGGGAAGAAAGAGGGCGACAATGCCGGCGGCGGTGGTCCAATTCGAGCCAAGCTTGGCGAAGAGAGCTCCTTCTATTACGATACTGAGCTGAAGAAATGGGTCAACAAGAAAGATCCCAACAGCGCAACTGCAGCTCGTGCCACGCCGCCACCCCCGCGTGGATCCGCGCCTCCAAGCCGGGCGGCCAGTGGCAGCAGCGGTGCGCCTCCACCACCAGCGTCAAGTGCATCTCCGATGCTGTCCGGTGCTGACAGCCGGCCCCCATCTGTTGCCGGTGCTCCTCCGCCGCCACTTTCTGGTAGCCCAGCGCCACCGTCGGCTCTTGGTGCTGCGCCCCCGATTCCACGATCCATCTCCACGAGTGCTGCTCTCCCCACGCCGCCAAGCGCTGGCCTAGCTGCTCCTCCTAGGCCGGCGACATCGCTGAGCAATGCTAGCTCCATCGACGACCTGCTTGGTGCACCACAGGCACGCAAAGGCCCTGCCGCCAAGGGCAAGAAGAAGGGACGTTATGTTGATGTCATGGCAAAATGATTTCTTCTTTCACGGACATATTCCTATTTACCCCTCTAAACCTCCTGGATTCAAACCTCAGGCCTGAACATGGTTTATGTTTGTGTTATCCTAATATTTTTCTTCCTTTTTTCCTATATAATGTCTCACGATTTCTCTTTGTTGGACTCCTTTACCCATTTATACTACATTTCTATGACGAGTTCCTCAGGGCTTTGTCTAGCGAAGGTCGTCGGCTAGTTCGCTCCGAGGAACGCGTTACATGCCGTCTGCTCCGAGATTCCCGAGCGGCTTTTCTTTTTCTTTTTTTTTTTCTTTCAAGCTCGCCGAGCGTTCTGTCTTGCATGACTGGTTAAACCCGTGTATATTACATGTGTGCACATATGTCATGTTTTTTTGTGCCAAATCGTCATTTCCAGCATTTTATCTGACATGAGATTCGAGGATGAGACTTTTTCTCCGAGGACGTGTCTTGCATTACCTGGGGGATGTCTGCATGGTGTGATGCGTTTAGTAAAGTCTTGCAATTTATGCGATAAAAACCGCCGATCTATGTGCAGTGACAAATGACAGGCATTATATTATAGTACAGGTATAAAAGCGACTACTGTCTTTAGGTCTAAAGGAGATTCGTGAGCAGAAGATGTCGTGATATAAATGTGGTTCCCAGCGAGGATTCTCAAGCCGCATATGAGTTCATATAGTACTAAGAAAAGCTCAGCCAGCCATACGCCGCACTCGTGGGGTCACCGCAAACTTACCGTTAGACACGAGTCCTCCTCATTGAAAGTCCCGGGGAGATAGACGTAAAGGATCAGCGCCGTCTCGTGGACGAAACCTAGCCATCAAGAATAACATTAGCCCAAATCCTCAGCTCAGAGCCTGCTGCCACCCGCCCAAACCCTCCATATCTCATCTCAGGGAGCCCAACTCACAAGCAACAACCCTGGGACTCAACCTCCCCACACTCAACACCCTTCCCCAATCCCGCCCATCGATCCGCACCCGCGCCCACCCCGCCTCGTCATCGCTGGGCAGCGCCCGCATCCGCTCACTCGGCAACTGCTCCAACTCGCCCTGCGACAACTGCCCCGGATCCAGCGACGGGTTGACGAGATCGGTCCACACGCTGGAGATGCGCAGCGCGTCCGTCGCGATCGCCAGCCGCAGGGAACCGTGCATATTGGCGGACAGCTCGAGCTTTGGGGCGGTGTTTGCAATGTTCGCTGCGATGCTGGGGTTCTTGCCGTTCTGCTGGCCGGGGGCAGCGAGTTTCGTGAACCGCTCTGAGATGGCTTTCAACTGGCTGAGGTTGGGCAGGATGATGTGCACGTCTGGATCGCGACAGCGGGGTTCGTGGAGGCCCTCGACGGCGGATTCGTGGAACACCTTGACGGGGATCTCTTGCGTGATGACGGTTTCACGTTCGCGGCCGGGGCGGGTTGAGGAGGTGGCCGTCGCGGTGGTGGAGGCGGAGGTGGAAGTAGGGCCCGGCCCGCCGGCGGGACGGTCACTAGTAGTAGTACTGTTAGTATTATTTGCGGGATTGTTGGTGTTGCCCGGGTCAGCAGGCCCCGTGATGCCCAGTGCGTTGGAGCCGGGCGCCCATGACAGCGTGCGGATGGTCAGTGCCAGGAGCGGAATGCGGCCCTTCTGGGTGAGGCGGAGTTGGGCGGATTGGGCGTCGACGGCGGAGCGGAGGGCACGGTGGAGGGCGCCGATCGGGACTTCGAGGTTGATGATGCCGCCGGAGTTGGATTCGAGGACGTAGGTCGATTCGTCGAAGATGGCGTCCTTGAGTGGGGTTGATTAGTTTTAGTTTCGGGGATATGGCAAGTTAAGTTGTTGGATTGTGATGGTTGGTTGGTGTTGGTGTTGGTGATGGTGGTGGTGGTGGTGGTGGTGGTGGTGATGACTTGCTGCTTACAATAGGCAACTGCGCCCATACTTGGGTGCCTTGATCGGGGATGATGGTGAAGCGGATATTCCCTGGCTCTAATCGCATCCAGCAGGTCTTGCCCAGGGAAGAGAGCGAGGCGGTTAATTCTGTAGACGGTGTACGCCGTGTTAGCTATGTGGACTCGGGCCATTGCGAAGGCTGATGTGGTGATCTGGTCTAGGCCTTGAGAGCTTTAAGGCTATCGATCGATAGCCCGAAACGCCAGAACGCGGTTAGATGGACCACGCGACAGAGGCAGCAAACGTACTGGAGAAGGTCTCCGCGTTGGTGAGCTTGGTTCGGAAGCGCATGTTGTGCTAGATCATAGTTCTGTAAAGGCACAGGAGCAGTTGATGTTGAGCGCAGAGTGTAGTATGATGATGATAATGAAAAGGATGATGTTCTTTTGGTTGATGAAGCTTGGAGCTCGGCCGGTCGCGGTGGGGGATCCGCGAAGAGCAAACAACGCAAATCCATTCAAAATTCGTACCTCCCTCCGGCTTCGCTAATTATTTGACATCTCATCTTGCTCCTAGTAGAGGCCAACAGCATGTAACTATCGGTCAAACACACCTTTCAACCCTACACCACGGGCAGTGTACTGTACTGTACTGTACTGCCACTTATCTACTCCGGTCTTCTAGACAGCTTAGCCAGCTCAGCCACGGCTGTTGGTCGCCGACGTGCCTCGGCTCCTGGCCAATTCCCCAATGACACAGCATGATACATTCGTAAACCCCATAGGGATCCCGGCAGATATCACCCACGTGGCGCGCAACATAATGGCCCACCGATTGTCCATTGCTTTACATTGCAGTCCTTGCTACTCAGACACTTCCCTTACAGACTTCTGCCCCTCAGCTCCCAAATTACTCAAACTTTTCGTTAGGTCACCAGGGATAGATTATAGGCGTGGCCTAGTATCCCTCCTATGAAAGGATCGAATCCCTGTCTGGCCGTGAAGTGAAGGAAAATACCTAAGGCCATCCTTGTCACCACCAATCTCTGACTTTCATCGGGCCTGGGATTCTCAATTGCAACCAATCCAATGGGTTCCAATTCCGCGAGGGTCCTGTTTTTCATGACTCCTTTCGCAGCAATACCTTGCAGATTTGGAGTCAGCAATATCCTACTTGGGCTATCAAACCGTGGGCAGCCCATGGCCGCAAGCACGGTAGACTTTTGAGGGAGATGCAAAATTTGCCGATGTAATTTCCCACGCAATTACAGGCCTCTGATAACACCCAAAAGACCTCAATCGACGCAAGCATCGCGAAACGCAGAGGCCAAAGAGCTAGAACGGTTCCAGAAATGAGATATTATATGCAAGGGGGCGTCGATCACCGATCTACTCCCGAGGCATCTTCAGTGCCGAGTGGTTCGGGAGAACCGACAAGAGCAATCTGTTGACACTGGGACGCGCATGGCGGAAGAGTCGGTATACTTCGCACAAGCAATTTCTATTCTACTCCATGTTAGATTATGCACAGGCTTCCATGCACTAAGATGACTCCGAATAGGGGGCGACAAGACCCAGTCGCGTGTCCGTCAGGTTCCGCAGTTGGGTTTCTGCATGGCGATGGGGGGTCTCGTGTGTGTGTGTGTGTGTGTGTGTGTGTGTGTGTGTGGGAAAGACAGCAGTCATGTCAATTGTACGGGATATCTACAGAACACTGTATGTCGTACAAAATGATGTGCATCTGTTGTTGCCAGATGCCATCGGACATGGAAAAGAAAAAAAGGGGGGGGGGGGGGGAAGAAGGTTGACATAAATGGAGGAGGTTGGAGTGGAGGGAAAGTCACACAGTATGGAGAAAGTAGACCCTACGCACTAAACACACAATCTGTATGCGGTCTAGGGCTTGAGAATAAGATATTTTTATTACATTATTATTAATAGGATTGGTTTAAAATCGGAGTAAATCGAGGTGACTGGCATTAGTTAACTCAACTAACAATCTGGAGTTTCCCCCTATTAAATCCTGACGCGGCTCCACTCCAGCAACTCACCCGCGCAAATCCGTTCTCCGTTCCTCTCTTTACACACCAACAACTCACTCACTCACTCATTCTTACCACCAACTCACCTTTGCATAATTCGCCCCCCTCTTCCTTCAGTCTTCGAATCATCGTTGCCACTCCAGTCATTCTCTTGGGTCAAGAGCTGGTCTCCGAAGGTCGAAATCTGAAGCGTCATTCCACTCTCGTTATCATTGCGCTTGCTGCAGCCGCCCAACTCTCTCCCTAACTTCCCTCTAAGCCTGTTTTTGGCTCTTGCAGTGTGATCTATCATCACTACCACCTATCACTCAGTCAGCAGAGCATCATCCCACAGCCTCCCCCCCTCTCCCTCTCGTTCAGATCTCGCCCTCCCCCTCTTGTCCCTCCTCGTTAATTTCCGCCCGATCTCTACCTACCTTTGGTCCTCATACATTCTTTCCCCCCCCCCTCCCATCATTGGGTGCATTATCCACGGTGTCGGCCTGATTCGGACTTTAATTCCTTCATTTTACCTCCGCATCCGTCCGTCCATTACGACATTCCGACTCATCTTCAACCAAACTTCAACCTCAAGGCCTCCTCTTCATAGACTTTTGGCGGGATCGCGTCAGCATGCTTGCTCTTCAGCTATATTCTCTCTCTTCGACCTTCGATATTGCGACCCGACCTCCATTGCTTCAACCTCACTACTGATCTTTCGCGACAAAAGTCCCATCTGGTCCTCTTCCGGCGACTGCCGTGCTCCTCCGAAATGGCCAGTAGTCGCGTCACTCCTCGTCCTACCCCAGTCCACCACACTCACCCGCCGCGGTCTCGATCTCCGGACCGACCAATTCCCGACTATGAGCATATTGATCCCCTACTCGGCAGCCTTTCCCCCGAATCGACACTTCGAGCGCTTACTTCGACCAACGCCGTCCCAAAGAACGAGAAAGTCGCGCATGACATTCTTTCCCAGAGCATCGCCCAGGTCTCTCCCGCCGAGAGAGCTCTCGCAATTCGCGCCGCAGTTGTCGCTCAAAAATTGAATCTGTGGTACAAGGAAATTCAGTCATGGAGTTGGCCGAAGCACACCGACGAGGAGAAAGGGCTGGGTTTTACTCCCCCATCCGATCCCACCAATGAAGAATACTATGGGAGCCTGCCTGCGGCTGTGGTGGAAGAACACGAGAAGCGCATTGAGGAGATTCGAGATGAAATGGACGTGATTGACATGGACGAGCTCAAAGAGCACGTTCTCAATGCCCACATTCCAGCCCGGTCTCGGCCATCGTCCGCTAACAGCAGCTTGTCCGTTCCTCCTACATTCTCCTACGTTCAATTGAGTGATTTCACGGCCGTCATTACTGCCACTATCCTTCGAGCTCTCCCTCTTCTATCGCGCCTGACGAATCTTCTTTCGATTTGGAACGTTCGTCTACTGGTCCTGCGTCAAATACCAGGTTTGCTTCACAGCCTGCGTCTCGCGCGCTCGGAATTGGAGGCTGCATTGGATCTCTTGAAGGCTTCCGAGCCCCCTAGCGAGAAGGACCCCCTGTTTTCCCGCGCAAACTACCATGCCACGCGCGCCCAACTAGAAGCCACGGTTGTCTCCGCTGGCCGCAGATTAGATTGCGTGCTCGATGCTTTGGATGACTGCGAAGATTCTATCCCGGACTGCTGGATCGATGACCTTGAAAGTATTGAGTCAGAATTTGGTACCTGGACCATGCAAGCAGAGCAACGTACCGTGGACAATGAGTGGCAGCGCGTGACGGCCATTGCCCAGAAGGACGTTTATCTCGACACAGGCAAGGACACCTCCGACCAGCTCTCTATAGATGATATCCGAGACGAAGATCGATCTCTCGCCTCGTCCGGCCCGGTAGTGCAGACAGGTCACTCATTCCCTATGGAGACCATTGACGAAGAAGAGACAAGCACTCCTGTCCAAGCCAAGCTTGACGATTCCGGACAGGATGAACTGAAAATTCCCGATTTACCGACTATCATGGACACGACTTCTGCCGACATCGATGATACTACTTCATCTGCAGTTTCGGACGTTACCAACATGCCTGCTGCGCTGACTTCCAGCAATGCGACAGCCACTATCTCTCAAACTTCCATTGACTCGATTTCCTGCCCTGTCACTGTTGCTTCCTCTACAACCAGTCTTGACCAGACAGAGGCTGTGCTTCCACTTGAAGCAAATCCATCTACTCCCCCTGTTGTGGTGAGCTTGGATAAGTCGCAAGGCTGTGAGAGTCAATCTGACGAAGAGAAGTCTCATGATGAAGTACTCCGCGCGCGGGAGACTCCAAATGGTTCCTGTGGACAGCCGATTAACTCTCAGATGGCTGAGCAGAAGGTTCCAGCTTGCGAGGACATCACATCGCCTCTCGAGATCTGCTCGGGCTTCAAGGATTCCGCACGCAGCTTGGAATGTCCGCAGGACAGTCGATCAATTGTTGATCATCGTGATATGCTCTCGAGCGTAGAAGAGGCAGAAGTTCCTCGTCACACTCAAAAGTCCACTTGTCTTTCGCCCCCGGAAGATAACCTGCAGCCTCCGAATAGCCCACAGACAGACACTGGCAGTGTCATTATACGGCGGCACAGCAGTGTATCCATGTCTCCCCAGACTCATGTCAAGCGTGGTTTCAAGCCTGAAGAAGTCCTTGTGCCTCACACAACAAACCCAAATGGCCTAGTTGAACTTGTTGGAAATCTACCGTCTTCGCTGACCCTGGATGAAGCAACCTCGCTAGCAAATGACGCGGGTCAGCATGAGCTGACCGAGGCTACTGGACGAAAGTCCTCTAGTCTGGCAAAATCAGTATCCGCTCTCAGCAATGGTTCCCTTGGAACATCAGCAGAGTCGGTCATTGCAACCAGTGATGAACATGTTCCTGTGCGAACTTTATCCGTCTCTCAGAGGGAAACGAATGACGAGCCTACCCCAAAGAAGCCTCTCGAGAGTCCGATAAAACTTTCCAAGGACAGACCTGGCTCCTTGATCTTCGATGCAGATCGCGCGGACGCTCGGCCTAGGCGCATGTCGATCGGTTCTTCTATCTCGGATTATCCGTCGCTTGTGTCAAGCCCGGAAATGCGCGAGCCACATGGGTCTTCATCCAATGGTACCCCTCTGCTACTTGAGACTCCCCCGCCATTCAAGGCTGATTACCAGAAGTCTGATCCTGTAGCACCTGGCAGTGATCACACGCTGAGAGAAGATCGCCTCTTCCGACTGGACAGTCAGAAATTGTCCCCGCGTACAGAGTTAACGCAGAACAGAAATCTCAGTCTTCCCCTGCAGCGTTTTATTAATGAGAGGTTAGAGCTAACCTTCGGAGACGCAATTGGCGGGAAGACTGAAAGTACTGCAACCACCCAAGGGCCTTCAGATGTGTTTTCCAATCTACACCCTGCCCTAAAGAACTGCTCTTTGCCGTCTCAGGCTGGTAGATTTTCAGCCTCAGGCAAGAACATACGGGATTCCCCCAGTCAGTCACCCGAGGTTACTCGTGAAGAGAGCCTCAAGCCGGGCACGGGTGGCATTGCGAAGACGCTGCGCGAAGCTTGGGAACACACTAAGAGCCCTGGCTCAACAGCCCCGATCCCCAAGGCCCCGGCAGCGCCACTAGAACAATTCAACGCAATGCGTTTGAAGAGGCAATTGACTTCGCATCGTAGTCTCGAGAGCATTGGAGCGTATCTTCCAGCAACTCGATCTAGCGATGAGACTTTATCCATTCCAGGTTTTGGTTTTCTTAAGGCTGCATCGGGGTCGTCCACCCCGACCACACAAATGAGGAAATCCAAGGATCATTTGGATGAGAAGATTTCCTCTATTTTGACTGCCCTCGATGCTCGAATTCATCTAGTGTCTGCGGACAGCGAGCACGATGGGCAATCAACTGCATCGCACCCAATGAAGCAAAGAGAGCGCTTTCGCTCTATCTCCCCTCAGGGTTCGCCAGCTCGTAGCAGCACACCAACTCCCTCGTTAACCATCACCCCCGCCGTATCCCGCCGGCGCTATTCCCATGCACATGCTCCAGAAGAAAGCTCCGTGAAGCTCTATCATCTGCACCGGGGCGGCAAGTCTGCCCCGACCAAGCTGTTTGTGCGGTCAGTCGGCGAGAACGGCGAGCGCGTCATGGTTCGGGTTGGTGGCGGATGGGCGGACTTGGCTGAATATCTGAGAGAATTTGCCGTTCATCACGGACGTCGACACGTTTCGGACACGCCTTTGGTTGAGGTTCAAGGACTCTCCCGTACCTCTCCCACGTCTCCGCCCAGAAGTAGATTAGCTCCTGCTGCCAGTGGACGAAGAACTCCTTCTCGACCGCCTTCTGTCCTCAGCAATCGACCAGCATCTTCTTTGGCTGTGCGCAAAACCCGGCGGACCTCCAACGTCTCAGATATGGCCGAGTTCCGCACTTCAACCATTTGCGAGGCGCTGAGTGCTTCATACTCACCTCTGTCGACTGTTTCGCGGCGTCGACTATCAACTTCGTCCAATGCCTCGATGGGTGCGTCCTCAGCAAGCGAGTTTCGGCATGGATCATCATATTCTCCCTCGAACACCGCCGCAGGAGCTGGTACCCACACAACGCCCTTGGGCCTCGCAGGGCCGCGTCCAAGGCACGTCTCGATCAGTGCCGAAAGTGAGGCCTGGGTAGAAGACGTACTTGGACAGGCCCGACGGAGCTCTTCTCTACGTCCTTATACCTATGGTCTGCCGCTTCAGGAGCAGGAGCCTGTTCCGGACAAGGCACCTGTGATCTCGAAGTCCCGGAGTATCAGCGACCTGGGGACTGCCGGCTCCAGCCGGCGGGTCGCTCTCCGTGGACTTGGGAAACGTTAATCGTTGCCCAGCTTTAACCTCTACCCCCATTTTGTTCCGACATCCTAAACATCTTTCTAACCTCTTCCCCCTGGATTATTTGCTCGTCTACTAGCACTGGCGTTGGCCGTTACCTGGATCTTTTACATGTTTGGTCGGTGTCTCGGACAAGAGACGGGTGCATAAAAAGTGTTCGTTCAAGCATTTTGTTTCTGAGTCCAGTCCCAGCATCTTGATTGCATTTGCGAGGCGAACGGGTCTTTCCTCTCTTCTTCCTCGCCCCTTTGACTATGCATCAGCAGGTCCATTCCACTTCAATTCGTGTGATCTACTTATTTGTTTAAACATTTACTCTACCCCGGTTCCGGGGTGATTCCTCTCTCACGCGGGTCCTGGTTGACTCGCCTACCGTTTTCAGTCAGATTTGATATTTGAATGAATGAAACAAAAGGCTTCTTACCTGTGGGTTTTGTCAGTTGTCGTTCCGTAATCGAGTCCAGATAAATACTTAAAAAGGTCAACAAGGATTCGTAATAACATGATATAGACACAGTATCCGTTGTCTAAGCTTCCACACAAAGCCCTCCCTAAATCCCCCCCCGGCAGCGAACCACAGAGCTTGAGATACCATTCGCAACCAGAAACAGAAAACCAGCTGATTCCATCTAGTAGACAAAAGCTCACTCACCACATCTCGCATCGCTGATACTAACTAACTCCGTTACGAAGCAAAGCAATAGTAACAAAAACCACTTGGTAGCAGGAGCTCAATCAATGAGAGAACCCAATAGTTCTGTGTAGATTTTTGTAGAGATGGAAAGCAAGAATCGATGCCAAATTTTGTTTTTGTATGTGACTTCGTAAGGAAGGTCGAAAATATTTCGATGGAGGGGACGATGATGTGTTAAATAGTTAGTCAGTTCCCACTGAGCCACTACAGTCAACGTAGGAATTCATTTTGATGTCAATCAATGTCACGTGATTCTAGATCCAACAATCATACACTCTATATCTATCACTATCCTTTTTATCAAAAGATACTAACGTTTGATCGTTCGGATTGGGGACAGGGACTTTGTGGATGGCAAGAACGAGTGGCAAATATCCCATCGAAGTTATCCTCTGGAGATGCGAAACACACATCTGATAAAGAAGCAACAATTGTACAGCACACGACTGCCAAGTCCCGTAAGTAAGTAGACAAAACATGAATGTTCGAATTGGTTGCGCCGGATCAGAGATCATAGGTTGTTAGGTTGCCTTTTACACCGAGTGGGAATGTTTAGAATAGTGGGTTAGGATTAGAGGGGGCTGGAGCAGCTTTTGATGGTTTCATCCTTCATATTCCAATCATCTTATGTGCCAGCCGACTCAATGTCTTCTTTGCTAATACATATAGTATCATGATCTTCGTTGAAACACATAATATCTCAACAAAAGAACACTGACCATAGACAAAAGGTGTATCCAATGCAATATCATACAACCAAACTCCACACCCAAGTCAAAATCGCAATCGAAAGCATAGGCCCAACATAAGGAAAGTAGCCCAGGTATATAGGTATGTATATAACACAAATTAAAGAAAGAGACCATTTTCAACGACTGTCTCCCAGGCTCGAAATCAACCTTCAATACGATGAAACAATAAACCGCCCAGAAGAATCAAACAGGGAATAGGGTTCCCTAAACCCACTCGAGAACATACATGAATGCCTCGCCCAAGTATCCCGTCAGCAAAAGACCCTGGGCATATTCGATCAGCTCGTGGCTGGGTAGATTCAACGCTTGGAACCGCTCCTTCTCGCCAGAACCGCCGCGCACTCGGATGCGCTTGTCAATGACGGAGCGGAGCATCTCCTTGCCTGGGGTAATGAGGACGTAGCGCGCTTCTTTCGGTTGCCTGAGATCGGGTTGACCTACGTCAGATGTCGAAGGTGGAATATAAATGATGGATTCTTGGCGCTCGGGCGAGATCCAGTTGACGCCTCCGGTAGCCTTGCTAGTCAAGGGGGCGGTATTGCCGGGATGCTGGTGGGCTGAAGCAGAGACGGCGTCCATGATGGTGTAGCGAATATCTGAGTCTAAGGAGAAGAGGATAATGGTGTTGGCTTTGGCGTTGAGTTTCATGCGAAAGGTGGTGAAGTTGCGCGGGTCTAGGTAAAAGGTGTAGCTTGCAGTTATGTTGACGGGCTTTGTGCTGTCGAGACTACGGATCTTTGCGAGAGCTTGATCGCGTGTTGAGACGGGACATTTGGGCTTCACGGCGAGGGATTTGGACTCGCGAAGTGAGACGGAGGGGATGCAGAAGGGGAGGTGGGTGTCGGCGCCGGCTTTGTGGCACGGGTCGCTGCAGAAGCGGAAGATCTTGCATGCTATGATAAAATGTTAGCTTTCTACTGCTGCCAACCCTATAAAAAGACACTCACTATTGCATAGTACAGTCGTGGAATCGCCGCAGTTTTCGCACGCTGCTGGTTCATGTAGACACCATTCCTTTCGTTCCGCCGCAAGAATCTCGCGTCGTCGGTTGAGCTCCGAAATCCGCTTCTCGGCATATGTTATGCGCTTCCGAGAGTGATGGTCTTCGGGTGTTCTGCTAGCCATGTGCACGAGCTGCTTATATGCCAGAATGGCTTTATCAACGGAGTCAAGGTGTTCCCAGGAAACACACAGCGCGCTGAGAGCATCAAACGTTTCTGGAGCTTCTGGTCCTTTCGCCGCAAGGAAGTCTTCGACCAAAGCCTCGAATAAATTTGCGGCATCCCGGTTCAGCCCGGCGTCCATGTATGACCGCCCCAGACGGTGAACGACTCTCAGTGCATCGGGATCGCGCGAGCGTTGATAGTGATCAAGGATCTCCCTGATCTCTGGAGGGAAGTCGAAGTTGTCGGAGCTTTGAAGATAGCGAACCACTGCCTCCCTGGTGATAGGACTGACAATGCCAAAGAACGACTTACAGTGAGGGATGGTTCGCCCGCAGATTGTCCGAGATTCCTTGTTCAGGCCAAGCTTCTGATACAAGTGCGACAATTGGTTCATCGCGTTGAGAGTGGTTGCGTTCTGAAGGCCGAAAACAGTATCGAGCGCCGGAACCGCCTTTTCCAGCAGTAGTAGAGCCGACTCGAGATCACCCAACAGAACTTTCAGCGAGGCAAGATCCTGCATGCTGCTCAGTGTGTCCGGGGCGTTGTGCCCGAGCGTCTTCAGCCGACCTGCGAATGACCGCTCGTAAAGAGCGGAGGCTTCCGTAGCATACCCGTCTTTCTCGCACAGAGCTCCCAGATCATGTAAAAGCGCGAAGTTCTTGGGATGGTCACGTCCGTACGTGCGCTTGTAAAGACCCAAAGCCTCCAGATAGCAGGCCTCAGACTCGCCAGTCATATCTAGCCCATGATATGCCTGTCCTAAGGCATGCAACATGGCTGCTCGCAATTGTTTATCAGTGTCCAGCGATGGATTATCCTCGAGAAGCTTCAAAGCATCGTGATATTCGACCACCGCTGCTCGACCGTTGCCTTGCTTTAGGGCGCTCTCGGCTCGCATCCTTGTGTTTAGCATACGAGACCAAGAGTTCGCGGAAGATAGTTCCTCCTTGATATGCAAGAAGACCTGGGCAACCTCGTCTATTTTGATGATCCGTTGGCGCCCAGAAGCGTCATGCACAACAGCTCCACCATTGATATACTGAGTATGGACGAAGACATTTTGACAGTTGCGCAGCAAAGCAATATACTCTGTGTCAGCAGCTGACTCGTGTTTCTGCTCTGAAGTATCCTGGGTTCGTGCATCTATTGAGTCTCGGTCACTTGTGCGTCCCGTTGCTCGACTTTCACTCCGGGTATATTTAGTAACAAAGGAAAATCGAATTGTATTTGCTCTCCTGATAAGCTTCTTGCCTCGGTTGCTTGCGGAGCGCGCCCTCGATATCCCTATCAAATATAAGTACTGATACTCAGCTGCAAGTCGTGCGTACGAACCTTTTGGTACTTTCCGACCAAATAACTTTTGCAGGAAGGATTGTCTTCGTGATGATGCAGGCTGCTCCTTTTGATCATCCTCGTCATCCATCGCTTCATCTTCATTGGCGGGATGCCGGTCTTCATCTTCACACATTATCTTCTGGGCTTCGTTCAACGAAGCGTCATTCAGCCCTGATCACGTAATTAGAGAGCAGTCCGACCAGAGACTTAAAACATGTGAGTGTACCATTGGCATCAAAACTTATCGTTGATTGGTTTAGTTGAGGTTCATTATCGTTTTCTATATGATGGTATATACCGTTCGGCGCGTGGACTGCTTCGTTAGTACTAGGTCAATCGATGGTAATCGCCAACCCTTACCTCGTTCTAAGTCATATAGACCAGCAAAACTGATGGCAATCAATTCATCCTCATCACTCTGTGACATTTCTGAACCCAATCAGCATAATAGTCCAGCGATACGAAGGTGGAGGTCAACAGACTTCGAAACGACCATGAGTCTCGTAACTTCCTCGCTTTTCTGGTAAAAGACTGCTGGTCCATGTTCGTCGCGGGCGGATTCGGAAACTTGGCGCCCATCGATGGCCTTTGAGCAATACTCGGACTTCTGCTGTGGCAGACATTCCCCAGCTCTCTCTGGATGTCGCGTGGGCTGATGTCATCGCGAGGATCGTTCAAGATAGGTTGATATCTGGTACTACCATAAGTAACCCACATGACGGAAACTGCGAAGACGAGACTTACGAAACATTGCACTTCTCCCCGCAATGTTTGCAGTTGACGTACACAGGCGCATCTTGAATGCCTTGTCAGCAGTCGCCCCGAACCGACAAAGGTGGGAGAGACCTACTGGGTTGGCGATCCGGCTTCTCGTCCTCCTCTCCAAATGTGAATACCTTGTCACAGTTATCACAGAAAAAGCGAATGGGCCGGCAGTTAACTGGAATCAAGCGTTTCTCCATGCGATAGCCTTTGGTGATCAATCTGCAACGCAAAGCCCAATTAGTATACCGGCATGCAGAAAGATAGGACGCGGAGCCAATACCGATCTCGTGTCATCACGTATACTGCGACTGTTGTCCCGGGACAGTATTTCGTCAAATAGTGCTGTTGGAGTTCGTCACTGTCTAACAGTCAAATCGCTTCCATCTGGCACTCAGGCAGGGGTACTCAGTCGTACGGCGAGGAAAACGTCGCATCACAATCAGGACATTTGATGTCCACAGCACCGAACGTGGGGCCATCATCGTCTCGAAAGGGTGGGAACAGACGCAGGACTTCTTGAAAGTTCTCCACCCCGCTTGGCACGTCCTCCGTCGCTCCTGCTGGGTTCATGGTTAGGTTAGTTACTGTTGCGATCCAGACCACCCGTCAGGCATTGTATGTAGCACAATGGATCAACGCACCGCTTGTGGATCTGCCAGCTAACGATAACAAGACATCAGACGCTCTGAGTATCCGTGTCTTAGTCTGAAATAGTCTGCTAGGGGCGCCGTGGGTTGAATTGCTGAGGATAATCTCGTTCTCGTATTGCTGCTTTGCATCCGTCGGTGACAGTTGCTGATCGATAACGCTGCTGACCAATCAGAGACGGACAATCAGCGAGCTGCAGTAGCGGACTGAAGTAATCCCACTCACCTATGCACCGTGGAAGTTGTGTAGGGAGCATACTCTACAGCCATGTTGAGCCGCAGAGGGAGGGAGGGGTGGTAGTACAGGAGAGACGGCGTGAGGAGTTAAGAATCAAAACAGAGACAGATAGCGTCGAGGAATGACGACTGTTTCGTGTCGGGCAGACAAGGTTTGAAAGAGTAAATCCAAGCGTCAGGGACGGTGTGGGTGAGGCGTCATTTTCAATGAACTGGAGGATGAAGGTTCTGGAGCGTGCATACATGCTCCATGCATACATATGCAGGTCAAACTCGGTGGATTCGTCCTTCCTTCCAGCAGTAAACGGCACGGCCGCATACTTGGGTAGTTTCAAGGAGGAACTGGGGAGAGGGTGGCCTCTAGCGTGGCCAGGACCCATTATCCCTCGCATGGGGAGTTTTGGTGTGGAAACGAAGTTTCAGGAGGGTTGAGGAAAGGTGGTGAGTTGTTGTTTGCTGGAGATGGTGGTGGTGGTAGAAGTGATGGGAGGTGGAGGTGGGAAGAGAAGCGGAAAAAGGAAGGGAGGGAGGGAGGCTTTGGTTTATTTTGGTGTTCGACTCTCCCCTCTATCGCCATCATCATTGTTACTACTTCGTTGTTGCTTTTTTTCCCCTTTACTTCCTCCATACAAAGTCCATCCCAGGGCTAAGCATCTGGACGGCGACAATGAGTTCCCCTCGTTTCGCTCCCTTTCAAGAACATAATGCCCCCCCCCCTTGCATTGAGCTTCTCCTCCAACAAGCCGAAAGATACTGGGGAATCACCTCACAATCCGACGACCTTTCCATCGTTCACCGCATAACCAAACCACGTATGTGATTGCATCCAGAGTGCCCGATAGATCACATCCTAGGATCGCGCGATCATCTGTCATATTGGGGTCGGTGGGGGAGAGAAAATACTCGAATACTTTTCTCCTCGTTCCGCGATCGACGCGTTCGAGTTGCGCGTTCGCTCCGAAAGGAAGAGTGATAGATCACATTTCGCCAATAATTGGCCGATTTATGGAATAGCTCCGGCAATAGTGGTGTCCTATGTCCAAGATTGGGAAGGAAACCATTCGCCGCAAAGCGTGGCATGAAGATGTCTTGAATGACTTTGTGACCAGCTCGATCGAAATTTCCAGACCACATTCCGTGGCTTTCTCTAGAGCCACAAGAAAAGGGAAAGCTGCAGGTACCTTAAGCTAGAGTCCCCGAAGAATGGGTGGCGAAGAGCAGCCAGAATCCTTACGCCGGCTCCCAAGAATCAATTCGAGGGAAGGTTGGCGCTGCAGACAATAGTCCCGGAGTTTGTTTCTTTCGCTAAGTCTTGTCAAAAAGAAAAGGAAAGGGACCGACGGGGCAGGCTGGTTTAAAGTTCCAGCCCTTATCGCGTGGAGACTGATCCATCATCCATCACTCAGTCTGCGACCCGCAATGGATCGCTGAGCCAAAGCCAAAGGCTGTTCTCGACTTTGAATCTACCCAGTTCCCTGCATACATTCGTCCGCACAACTGCTTGCGATCCACCGTGGAGGAATTACATGGGTGTGTGTGCCTACTGTACGCAACAATCCCGCTCATGTAAGGATAGGGGGCCATGCGGCACTGCAGCACAAAGATCAACACGCCCTGTCCACAATGATCTTCCGATCTATATCGGACCCTTTGTCCCGATATGATTTTTCAAGGAGAGAGAACGATTGTCAATATCTTCGTAGACACCGTCAACTGGGATGGATGACAATATAACATAACCCTTCAGTCCCTTGGAAGGAAGATAATCTTGTCCTCTCCAGGAACAAAGTGAATGATCGGCCACTCGACCAAGTATCCCTCGACCAGGGCCTATACAAATCGCTGTATTACGTCAAATCAAAGGACTACGTCAGTCCTCTTGAAGAGGATATCTGTAGGGAGTAATCTCACGTTACTCGAAACTCTAGTTTTTGAGCATCACACAACCATCTCCTTAGACTCTCTGCTCTTCCCCAAAGCGCAAGCGCGGAGAACAGCCCCCAACGCAACCACCAACCCCATCCCACTTAGTCCAATCCCAGTATACGCCGCGCCGCGATATCCCTGGAGGAGCTCATCATCCGCGACGTACGCCTCCACCGTCCCCGCAATCCCCAATCCGATGGATTGCGAATAGTAGACGGTTGTTGCAATCAGCGAAGCGGCGACACCCAGCTGGTTGCGAGGGACAAGCTCACTGATGAGGAGTGTTGCCGAAGGGAAGCTCAGATCGATTCCCAAGGGGGCTAGGACCTGGATCCAGAACACCTGCACCCAGAAACTTTGGTGGATTGGTAAGGTGGCCAGTAGAGCGGCACCCACAGTGAACCAGATACAGGAGAAGGCGAGAACGTTGACGGGGCTGGCGCCGCGGTGGAGGAGGAAGCTATTCAGATAAGATGCTATGCACCCCGCGATGGGCACGGGGATGAATTGGGCTGCGGCGTTGAGAGGAGTGGCGTGCCGTATGTCCGTGAGGAAGCGGGTGAGGTAGAAAGTGAGGATGCCGAAGCTGGACCATGAGAGAGCGATGACGATCAGAACGAAGCCGCTCTCTGTCGACAGACGAGAGATGGGGATGAGCGGCTGCTGGGCGCGACGCTCGATGAATGGGAATAGCAGAATGAGGACAAAGCCTAGAGTCGCAAGAGTGATGCACGTGGCGGAATTCCAGCCCACGGATGGGGCTTGATTCCATGCAACATTGAAGAGCAGGAGGCCTGATACCCCTACCAGAGTGCCAGTCCAGTCGAACGTTGGGCCTGTGACATCAGGCTGAGGGTCAGCGTCGGACGCTGCATGTGCTGCTGAAGGGACAGTCCCATAGGCGATGACAGACAGCCCTGCGCTGATCATAGCAGTAATCCAGAAGATCCAAGGCCACCAGGCCAGTTCAACCAACAGACCAGAAAAGATACCACCTAAAGTGAACCCAGTGGGCGAGCCGGCAGCGAAGAGTGAGAAGACGAGGTTCTTCCGCGGACCCTCCCTGTACACAGAGCCTAGGATTGCAAGCGCGCAGGGAAGTAACATGGCTGTCGCCATGCCTTGAAGACCCCGAGTGATGGCATAGAAGATGAATGAGTGAGAGTAGACGCTGATTCCAGCCAGCAGAGAAGCAATGGAGAGCCCGGTCCACGCCCCGATGTAGCACTGTCGGTGGCCGTAGATATCCCCAATGCGACCAGCAGGAAGCATAAACGCACCTGGTATACAGGTTGATTCAGACAACCACACTTCACGGTTATATGAGGCACAACTTACCTGACGTGAGCCCGTAAGCAGCAGGGCCCCAGTTTCCCTGCGAACAGCTAGTCGCAAAGTCCTGAGTGATCACGCCGCCTGCAAAAATGGCTTGCGCCAGACAGGCCATCACCAGGACTTGGGTGCATATTAGGGTTATGAGCATGGAAATCTCATGGAGCAGGCTGAGCGGCTGGATGTGAAAGGGACTGTTGCCTGAATTATCTCCTGATATCGAAAGTGCCATGCTTAAGGACTGTGGATGTATGGCGTAGTAGTATAGTGGTTTCACAATTGCCGGGAGCAATCGAAACCAGGTACAATTCGACTGGGGTGAAAGACATGATGTGTTAATATAGACTTCCTGTTTGCTATTATTAATCTGGCATCAATCCAGTGAGGTTTGATAAGCATGTCTTGTTGACGTTGATGAAGCAAGCAATACAGGCTCGCCTTCCTCGGTTCGGTCGCTTAACTCGCTTAACGAACAGGTCTGCTTAGAAATGCCAATGTCAAAACCACGCCCTTGATGCAGAAGACATGACGATAAGAAAGAAGATTGTGGATGAAACTGGCATAATCCCTCCAGCAGGAAGAAGCTTGATATGGATCTCAATCATAACCCGCCAACAACTACCGACATCTCCCGCCCCAATCCAGTTTTCCAATTACAGCGTACTTAGTACTGTACACATCCAGAAAACACCATCATGTCCCACCAACTCCCCAAAGTCACCCTCTTCTATTCCCCTGGCGCATGCTCTTACGTCCCTCACGTCGCCCTCATCCATGCCAGCATACCAACCAACCTCATCCTCGCCAAAGTTGGCGCCATGAGCCCAGAATTCCTCAAAATCAACCCCAAACGGCGCGTTCCAGTTGTGGTCGTCAACGACGAGATAGTCACCGAGATGGCCGCAGTCCTGACGGCAATCGCCTCGCTTGTGCCCGATCAAAAGCTGCTGGGCACCACCTCGCTCGAGACGATTCGCGTCTACGAGTGGTTGAACTACCTCTCCACAGTGGCGCACAACCAGGCCACGGCACAGATCTGGCGTACAGAGCGGTTCACTGATGATGTCGCGGCCTACCCGGCTATTCAGGCTAAAGGACGAAAAGTGATCCAGGAGGTGTATGCGTTGATCGAGGAAAAGCTGCGCGGAAGAGGGGAGGAGACGGGTTATGCGGTAGGGGATGCCTTCACCGTCGTGGATCCGTTCCTGGTTGTGGTATATCTGTGGTCTATACGATTGGGATTCGGGGATATGGAGAGCAGGTTTCCGCGGTTTGTCATGTATGCGGAGAGGCTGCTTGGATTGGAGGCGTTTGGCCTGGCAGCAAAATTGCATGGTTTTAGGTGACAGAACATTTGTTTCTAATGGTTTGGCATCACCTAGACAATTACCGCAATAGAATAGCGCATACTCAATGAAAAACCGCAGTTAATCTAGCACGAGAGTCGTACGAAGTGCTCTAGCACATAGCATAATCGCAGATATAGCAGGCATTGTGGGGAATCGTATAGTATACCGGTTCAAGCTTTTTGTAGTGAGAATCCAGAGTGAGAACCATAGGCATCTGTCGAGTGTCTTGAGATCAGCAAGCATCTCAGCGGCAGAGTGGAGCACAATTTCGCAGCCATCGCGACAAGGTGGTGTCGATATCACATCATGCTTATTGTGCTGGCGTATAATCGGTATCGAATCCAGGAAATCATGTCTTCATACCGCCTGATCACGTTGCATCAAACGCCCCCCTTCAATATGGTCTCTCAAGACCACCTCAGGATCGAACCCACCATCACCGGCCCAATCTATCCAATCCTTCACAACCTGCTGCTCTAGCACCCATTCCCAGTCGAACGTTTGAATTGTATCAAGGAACTCGATCTCTGGCTCATTAGTCGTCGTAGGCGCTGACCACCGTGCCACAGCGCAGGGAGTATGCCCTGAACCCGTGCGAGGACGGGCATACCACGCGACCCGACCACGGCCGGCATGGCAGGGCACCAGCACCTCAATGACCCGACTCCGAGGGGCTGGGAGCCATTCACGCCCTTGATCTTCGTGTGTCTGCATTGTCAACCATACTTCTAAGCTGGTCGCGAAGGCGGGTCCGTCAAATAGTCCGTGGCATCCGAGATCTTTCAACGCGGTGATGATCCAACGCACCCAGCTGCGGCAGGGACACAACGATCCGAGGAGATGAAGCATGGGCGCGAAGCCCACCCGCAAGCTCTCGCACATCAGGCTCATGATTTTGATCGAGGAGCGGTTGACGAGGACCGCAGCTAATAGGCGCATATGCTGGTATAGGTAGCGATAGGCAGTCAGCTCGCTCTGGGTTCTGTTTGTGTTATTGCGCAGGGCCAGTGCCCAGTGGAGCCTTGCTTGGTAGAAGGTATACAGCGCCAAATACAGGTACTCGTCTTCCTGGACTGTGGAGAGTGGGCGCGGGGGGATATCCAGGGAGTCAATCGTGCGTCTGGTGAATCTCTGAGGAGCAGCTTGTGTGTCATCGTTGAGCTTCGAGAGGGCAGTCTGATGAAAGTCTCTCCAATCCTCTAGTCTTCGCAGCACTCGTCCCACCGTCGTTGTCAACCAGGGGCGCAGATGGAGTGCAATTGGATTCCAGATGAGCTCCCGGACCTCCCCATCCTGATCAGACACAAGATCCAGCAATTCTTGCAGCATATCAGTTGAAGACGAACCACTCCCTCCCACACCGTCTATCCGGAGCCCCAAACCACCCCCCATCCCCAACGCCCCAAAAATGGGCAGATTGATGCGTACCACAAACTCCAGATCCGACAGAGCAGTCTGCAGTGCATCCTTGACTCTTCCATTCCTGCCATCCTGAGCCTCTCCCGGACCCCCTCTCAAAAAACCATTGTTGAAGTAATACCTCCCCAGCAACACATACCTCACCACCGCCGTCAAGTTGCTAGCAAGGCACTAGAATCCACATATCAATATCCTCAACACACACACGTACACAAAAGAGCAGGGAAAATCATACCTCAAACCATCCCAACCCCACCAAGCCCGCCACCAGAACCTCACCAGAGACCCACTCCCCCACCACCTGCAAAGCACCCACATACCGCTGAACAGCAATCACCCTGACATCCAACCCTCTAACCCGATCGTTCCCAGCAGCCCCTTTCCCCTCCCCACCATCCACTCCCTCCCACACTTCCGCCGCACCCATCAACAAAGTCGCCCGATGCACCCCGCCAATCGCAACAACAACATCCAACAATCCCTCGACCTCCCACGCGATCTCACACACCCAATCCCGCCAGAACCACCCGGCGTCTCGTGCCTGGAACAGCACAAACACCGTCCGGAAGATGTACTGGTGGTAGGCGAGGAGGTCGCGGGCGCGGGTGTGCGGCCGCTGGGTGGGAGTAGGGTTCGTGGGGAGGCCGATGAGGGGGAGGCCGTCAGGGCGGATGGTGGGGAAGGTTTTTAGTGATGCGTTGATGGTGGTGGTGGCGCTGTTGGCCTGGCTGCTGGTGCTGGTACTGGTACTGGTACTGGTTGACGACGCTGCGGGGGTGGTAATCTCATCTATCCTGGCCGAGTCAGAGGGTGAAGCAGGGGCCCAGCGTCTGCGGTGGGGAATCTCAATTCGCCGTCGGGCCTCGTAGCCGTGGCATTCCACGTTCGCGGATTCGCAGCGGAGGCAGCTGGGGCGGCGTTCGTCGCATTTGACGCGGCGGGCACGGCAGGTGAGGCAGCCGGTGCGGCGGCGGCGGTTTTTGGGTTGCATTTTATTGTGCAAGTTAAGTTATTTTTGTTTGTTCGTTCCTGGTACGTCTGGTGAGTAATTCAGATGTCAAGGGATGGTTTGCGACTCATTTGTAAGTGGTCAATTCGTTAACTAGTTAGTTAGTTACTTCGTTTCGTAGTATGTCAGCCCGGTCGAGTGGGGCCTGAGGTATTGGCGCATCAACACAGTACATAGTACTCAGACAATTCACAAGATCCCAGATAAAGGAGAATCGCATATGTATATTCTAATGAACCTACAGGACTATCAGCAAATTGTCTTTCGTGACCTGCCAATTATAGGTAATTCTCATATCATTATATAGGTCGATCATTTGTGGCTGCAAGAACAGATACAACCAAGTATAGACAGTGGTATACCCCTAAGAACGCTTCCAAGACTGATGAACGAACCCCACATGCAAAGCCAGACGACTAATTAACAGTCACCAGGTGTCTAAATCATAATTAAACATCTTGACAGGCATCACGATCTAGCCCATTTCCATCCCGAAGTCCTCGACTCGGGACTATTTATGACCGAGGAAAGCAGACTGCCACTGGGCGGAGTTGTACCTCCTCGGCCGTCTTGTCGATTGCGGTGCTCCCGCGTGAGCAACGAAACCGCCGCGCTGGCATTGATCCCCTCGCCGCTATCAGTGATCTTTAAGGCCCATTTGGCGTCTTCCTCCTTGAAGCCTAACTCCCGAACCAACAAATCCATGGCTTTGTCGGTAGGGTCACGGACCTGCGGTTGCTGCAAGCTGGGTGCAGCATTACGCTGGTGGAGACCCGGCACGGTGGAGCTACCCCGAGGAGGCGAGACCAAGCTCTCCGCGCGGGCGGGCCCGCGTGATTTGCCTTCCAGACGGCTGATGATCATTTCATAATTAGATATTGGTCGCTCTTCGGCGGGCTTGGGAGGTGGTAGGTTCATGGTTTGCTGTTTCCGGATCTTAAGCTGGGCTGAGTAGGCCGCTTGTCTGCGACGCTGCATCTCAAGAGTGGAATCACTTTTCCCCGCACTGCCGCCAACGGGGGAACAGTCGTGAACAATGGGGCTGGATGATCTGAATGACGCCTCGGACAGGCCTCCTCCCCGTGACCCATAGGCTTTCGATACAGCCTCCCGCAAGAACGACGATCGACTTGCAACGCTATCCGAGGACAGCCAATTTGTCAGGCCCATAGTTTTAGCTTTTCGGAAATTGGCTGCAACGGCGCTCTCGTCTGTGGTAATCGAACCGAGGTTCAAAACGGCCGAAAGACCGAGTGTGAGGATGTAATGGGTCCATTCCTCTGTTCACCGACCATGTTAGCTTGATTGAGCCTTTGCCAAATGTATCAGATAGTCAATGGATTCGTCCTCTTACCTAGTACTGCGTCCTCCTTAGCAGTGGCATTCTCCTTCACATTGTGACCGTCAAATATCCCCGCCTCTCGTGCCATTTTGGCTTTCCCGTGCATGGGCTGAAGCAGCACGCCGAGGCAATTCCAAATCTCAGTCATAGTGTGAAGCTGCTCCTGTGATAAACCTCCCGCGTTACCATACCCGAATCCAGGGGGTGGCTCAAACAACACACTACCCATATCGTAATGATCAGTGATGGAATGTGCCACGGAGACACGTTGGTCGGCCATCTTTGTCCCACCCTTGATCCAGTCCATTTGTCCCGCGATATCGCCTTCTCTGTTCTTCCCGCACCCAAATATGCGACAGAACGTCCAGACCCGCCAGAAGGCATCGTCCACCTCGGTCGCAAGCGCATCATCCAGGCCGGAAAGTCCACGTATCGTCTCTGGGCGGAGGAAGGACGAGCATCGGGATAAAATAACTGATTTCAGCTGGGCGACAGTACAGATGTCTTGCGCATAATGTTTCAGATACAAGGATGGTGTATACTCGGGAACGGGAGCGTCGGGGTCAAGGAGAACCTGCCAATCTGTACTCCAAGGGGGACTCCTTTCGCGCAGTTCCCACGCCGGGGGTGACATGGCAAACACTGCATCCTTGATTAACTCCAACTCATGATCTTTGAATGTGCGGAAGAAGGTTTTGCAAATCAAGGAAATACTAAAGAGGTCGTCAAGCGAGTCAACTTGTCGCAGAATCGTTAGAATAACACCCTCAGGCAAGGTAGTGTTCATCGCTTCTGGTAAAGTGGGAACGGTGGATGTGGTGTTGCTGTGCGATTCAATCTGTGAGGCAGCAGAGTTGGCATCGAGCTCGTAGATGGTAGGGGTTTGCGAGGCATCCTGGCGTCGCGACGTATTTGTAGCAAGGCCACCATACTTGCTGTGAGACACAAAGTATTTCTCCGAGGATCCCACAAGAACCGCGTCATTCAGCTTATTATATCTCGACTTGTGATTGGCAACCTCATTCGCCTTCTTTGCTATGGTCTGAGGTGGTGAGGAATCCTTGAAACCAGGATTGTCAACATCCTTTGTGTCAAGGGCTGAACGTGTCGAGTGTTTTGAACGTGCCTCCCGCGTACTATTACTGGATGCAGGGATGCCGTTCGAAACATTGACAGGGGAACCCGGTAGTTCGGCAACTTCATCTTTGTTCTCACTTTGAGTGAGATGGGATGACGGTGGAGTAGGTATCAATTTTGCTCCAGCAAAATGATTACCAGAATGATGAAGGTTGGGTGGGCTAGACCATTGGTTGAGGCCCGACAGACCGAAAGAAAACGATCCTTTGTTCTTGTGGTCTGGCATTGTTTGACCCATTCCTTCTCGGGATTGGGCCTTGATGGCTTGCTGCACGTCATGGATACTCATAGGAGAGATCGGTGCTGGCCGTGTCGCTATTGAACCCATGTTATCTCTACGTGACTGTGAATTTCTCTCAGAGAGACGCAGGTGGTTGTGGGGTGACCTTGTTTGAGTCTGCAGTGGGTCGGCGAAATTGGTCGGGTTCTGCACGGCTACCACGGCTGCCTGAGAAAGCGGAGGGCGATGATAATTCTCTTGTATGTCGGGTAACGAGGGAGAGTTCAGAGACCTATAGTTGTTATTCCCCGCCTCGCGGCCTCTAGGCAAGTGATGAGACTTGCGGCGAGCCAATAACGGCGGCAGTTGAAACGACGGGATTCTGGAGAGCGGTCTCTCTCGTGTCTCCTTGAATGACAAGTGCCTCGATAACTTCCGAGATGGGGAATCTTGTAACATTCCATCACCCGCAAAAGGTTTCGAGAGACTGGGAGAGGATGCATGTATTGGAAGTGAGGTGTCTCGCCGAGGAGACGAAACCAGGGACTCTGGTCTCATGATTGAGAATCTTAGGGTTGATCTGGACGATCGTTTGTCCGAGGCTTCGTCCGAAGATACAGACGGCGGTCGCTCTTCGCCTACCGTCGAGTCGGGTGATTTCAGGCTAGTCGGAGAGTTTAGGCAAGATGCCAGACCTGCGCTCGAAGGGGACCTAGGGGTACTGCTAGTGGGCGACGTCAGGGAGAAGTGAGAAGCCAATTCCGGGAAAAAGCGAGCCCAGCGCGTTCCCGACCACGATGGCGGCTTGTCAGAGATGGGCGAAATGAATTCGTCGTCACTCTCACTGTCCTCATCAATATCCGACCAAGATGCATCCTGGGACTTCAATTTGTCTAAACCGTGCAGATCGTGAATGTTCAGCGACTTTTGGATGCCGTGCTGGTGAGGGATATGACTGGGCAAATCTAGAGCGCTCATCTCGAAAAGCTGCAATGAGTGTGGTGACATGAAATCACCCGAACCCCGCTTGCGATACCTGGCTGGGATTTTGAATAGAACAGATAGTTTCGGAACGAACGCGACACTCGTGGAACAAGTTGCAGGTATCGATCCACGCCACACAACGTTGGACGGTACTCTATGCTAGATGCTCTTCGGGCATTGTTCATGCGACCGACCGAGGGGTTCCCTTCTCGCACCGCGCTGGTTCCGAATCGAGCCTTGGAGGAAGCTTTCAGACGCAGAGAGACAGAAGCTGATCCGCTATCTAAGAAAATGATCCGAGTAGAAAAATTGGCGATTGATGGACGAAGAGCAGAAATGACGGGCAGCGTCTTGCAAGTTGAGCGCACTCGAGTTAATGACCTTTTCCTCTTGATTAATCCAAATCAGCTTACTATTGCAGACGGATAGTTCGGGGTACTAATAAATCGCACCGGAACCGTGCACATAATCATTTGGGGGCGCCATCTTCCTGTGTATCACAGGAGACAGCAAATGAACTGACCTGGATGGGAGTAATTACTGCTGACGATTGTCAGTGTCTTGAGATGGACGAAGGAAGTGATCGATTGCGTGCGCGGCGATGGAGGACTTAAGAAGACTAAGAATGCATCGCAATTTAGTCTCCACGTGCTGCAAGACCACTCTGGTCCCCCCTTGCCCCAGAAGCGTAAGTAAGGAGTCTAGCAGTACGTAGTAAGTTAGGACTTTGTATGTAACTATAAGTAGGTGGAGGAGTGCCGACTGACAACATGACGCGGATGGAGATAACGAACGGGGCTGATAGGCGGGAGGGGAGGAAAGTGGAATGGGGAAGGAGGGACGGGATTCGTTCCTGTCACCTCGAACCGCGGGGGGCCAAAAAAACAACGCCAATGCAGTCAGACTGGTACAATACAGTACTACCAACCGTGGTAAGCAAGTTGGATCATCGAATCTTCCCCCTTGACTTCTACTCACATACTCCGTAAACAGCAGAATGTTATCTCTTCAAAGGTAGTATATCAAACAATGCTTAGACAGTATATTCGGAGCGCGACTGGTACAAAATGCACATGTTGGCTGCGCCATCTGCTCAGCCATCTAATCGCCAGCCTGCCAACAGTACCGTACCACGGGTATCTGTATGTCTTGTATCTCCGCATGGGATGTCGCACCCACTCATCGCTTGACTGAATCAAGAGGCAGTGCCGCTCATCTGCTCTGCTGCGTGTCTGGGAGACACTCACATATGATTTGTCCTAGGCCTTTGGTCTTACTCGCGATTCGAGTAGTAACATGCAGCTGGTTAATTATAGCAGAAGCCATGTATGTTGCATGATATCATCATCTACTCCGTACCGTGCTAAGCAAACATTCTTTCTGTCTCCCGGCGACACGCTTAAACTTCCGGCCACCGGCATGTAAGACCAAACCTGCACCAAGTCACTGGGGGATGAAACCAGCCCCGATTGCGAGATCGACCGACGTTAACCCAGCAGCCATGTCTTAAAGGGGGTTAGAGTATGCCTCTAAGCCTTAAGACCTCTCCCATGCAGGTCATATCCAAGTGTAAGCACCCACGATGAGTTCATGCATCCCTCTCCTGGCAGGTGATCAAAGAGCCACGACTGTTGAGCAATTGGGGACCCGCCGGCGCTGTTTCAGGATAGAGGACTTTCGTTGCTTCTGATTGTATGGCGGTCATTGACGGCAACTGAGAGCCTCGACCGCCTCGACCTCGAATTATGCAGCAAAAAATAGGTATGTTTTGGGCTGGCCAAACTCTAAAGGAGTACCTTATCTTCGGGGCATGGCATGGGCCCTGACAGTTTGAATTCCTCTTAATAGAGGATAGCTCTACTGCACCCAACCTGAATCGGTGACGATCCAGGGACCCCGGCCGGAGCCAGACATGGGCACCTTCTTGCATGGCAAGAGGAATATCTGCTTTGTCTTTCAAAGCAGCAGCAGGGCTGAATCATGCTGTCTCAGATGCTGCAGAGAGTCGATGGTACTGTACCTAAGAGGTACGGATAATGTACCTGAAAATGAAAAACAATGAGTTCCGCCCCAAAGACAATCCACTAGGATACCCTTTAGATGGGTCATAAGATGGGGGCCAGATAGGTCCACCCGGCTAAGTATTCTAGACTAATTCTTCGGCCGAACCACGGGAGTTGCACTGATATACGGTTTCATCTCCTGTTGCAATGTTGACACCGCAGTGAAATTGCTCCCGCTTAAAATGTGTAGATGTCGTGTCGCGCTTAAGGAACTCCCCCGCAAACGAATGAAACAGTCTTCCGCACGACCTTTCCAGAATGAACCCAGATTTGCAAGTTCCTTCTTTGTCGCGGACGTCAATACCTAAGAATCGGCAACAACGTTCCTAGGCTTCTTCTTGGTTCTCGATCAGATCTATAACTGGCAAGATATCCTATAAATACTCTGTTCGATGTCACAATTTGCCCCGCAAAGTTGCATACCCCAAGACATGCGTAGATCATCTCAGACCCACTATGCATCTAACCAGACATGAGACTAAGATACACTGCCCAGATGACACCAAACAGACTACCAACGAGCAGTCGCTTGTCCGTTGGTACAACTGTGAAGTTCAAAACCGACACGAACGGCCAAAGTTTGAATCCGGCAACCAGGATAGGCCAGAAATCCTAGTCAAAATGGCGTTAGCATGCCTCCACTGGACAGGGAATCATCGTCTGTGCACTGGGAGACGGGCGGAAAACATACAATCTGAATCTGCTGCGTGATCGTCTCCCAGTCTTGACCCCGTAGGAGTCCCATCGTCGCGATGAAGGCGACGGTGTTCCAGGCACCCCCAATGACTTGGTCAATAACGATCTTCAAGACGGTGTTGATCACATTCAATTTGGTCTGCGTCCCTGCCGCCGCGCCCTCCGTCTTGGACTTGGGTGCCTGTACCACTTTCTGGCCAGGAAATCTAGCCTCGAGTCCTTCTAGCCAGAGAAAGGTCAGAGGCGACAGGACGAAGGCGGACGTGGTGAACTGCAATAGTGCTTGGCTGTCAAGCTCAAACGGTCTCTGCAGCGTGAAAGGTGAGGCGGCAGCCAGGACGAGCAAACAAAAGAGCTCGTTCATGGCATTGCCGATATCACCGTGTCACCTTGTCAGTTTTAGGTCCAGTTCTAGGCTTCAGAACAAACTGGGGAACACTTTTGATGTATGCTTGCGAACGCCACTAAGCGCTGCGACCGTAACGCTACGTACCGCATCTTTGTAGGCGCCGATTGCTTGCGCTAGCACGTTGGACCCAGCATTGATTACCGCGGCTTGTAGGGTTGCTTTAGCTATGGGAGGAAGTGCCATTGCGAGGTGAAAGGCTGAAACGAGCAACGCGGATGGAAGTGGGCGCTTGTGGTTCAAGGCCACGTGGAATCGCCTCGGAAGGAATCCTAGTGCTTATGCTGATTGGGACTAAACGCGTAGTTAACAGTCTCTTCTCACGCAATGAATTGCTCAGCGGTTTCACAATAATAAGAGAGAGTAGAGTTACTATGGAAAGAGGAATCAAATGGACTTAAGACGGGCTTTAATACTTGGTAGCGATCAAGAGCTTGATTCAGGCTGGAGCTGCGGGGGTGGAAGAAAGAGGAAGGTTTACACGCCGCCGCGGTAGCCAGTGGATCCTCGAGCGAGTTCGTTGGCGGCAGTTGGTGGGATTCGAAATCGGCCCACAATATTAAGTAACTTACAGTACTAAGTCAGGGTCTCCGCCGAATTACCCGCCCAGCCGAAATTACTATACATATTGTTATCAACAATACTAATCGCTCACATTGGAAAGAGTCAAGTAAACCAAATCAGAAGTGAAACAGAGCATGACCGAGTATTTGACCAATCATGCAAAGGGTACCCCAAGCTAGATCTGGCTATCGATGTAACAAAATAAATCGGTCATGTAAATCGCACTCCTCACAGTTGGATTTGGTATTAGCTCAGACCGTTGTCGTGGCGTGGAGAATGGACAAGAATGCTTGCGTGTTCTCCATAATCGTAGCCAAACATTCTAGATTATAGGTTGAACATAGCATGAGTTTCAGTGACCTGAGAGCATCAAGTTACTGATGGAATGACAACAAAGCAAGCCTAATCAGAGTCCCAAGACGATCCACCTTTTTCTATTCCATGTCTTGGGCTAGCTACTTATTCCCCCCACGAATCACGAATTACCAGGAAACATCCTCGCCTCGAAGTCCACAATCCAATTTCTTGCAGACTTCAAGTGGGTTAGCAACTGTCTGTGTGATCAAGGGACACCCAGGACTTACGCTGCTCCGCCTGCTCAAACCTTGCATTGCGCCTCGGTTGTCTCATCGCGGGGTACACTTCGGTTCCTTGTTGCCTTTCAAACTTCATATGAGCTTTGAGGATGTGAAGCACAGCTTGTGGAAAATCTATGAGGTAGTTATCGTCAAACATAATTTTCGTAGTCTCTAACACTGATGTCTCATCGATCTGCTTACCTGCATCCTCTGCATCTGGCTGAGTCGCAGTCGCGCATGCAGAACTGCTTGTACTACACATGTCAGCTTTGATCATGATCATGACAATGTTCGCTGGGTAATACCTAGCATCTTCAATATATGGCCGATACTCCTCTTCCGCCGCGTCCACCGCCGTCTGCAGCTGATCAATCGCCTCCTGTAGTGTACTTTCCGAGTCTGTGCTATCGACGTTCACGCTGCCGTACAAATCGAGTCGAAACGACGTCCACTGCGCAGACACCGGAACGCAGACCAGCGTATACCAATAAAACGTCCCCTTGACCACATGCACTGTAGTGAATGGGAAGACGTCAATGCTCCCGCGGCCTTCTCGCGAGAGCCCAAGCGCATGCATCAGCCAGGACAGGAGATTCCTGCGCTGGGAGCCCCCGCGCCCTATCCTCTCACTATCCATCAAACGGCTCACCCTCCCTGCAAGCACTCTCAGCAAACCATCCTCAAAAACAACAGGGGACCTCATTTACCGCCCATCTTCCAATTAACCCGCCCCTCAACCACCCGCCCACCCAACCACCTCGACTTCCCCCCAAACCCATCCAACCCATCCCCCATCTCCGGCGGTATCCCCACCGCCTGCGCCTCCAAATTCACAAACACAAACCCCGTCCGACTGGTAAAAGTATGCACAGCGAACAACCCGTTCTGCGCGCGGTCGAACCCTACCACCCCATCGAAATGCGGCGCCTTGATCAGTCGTCCGAGACTATCGTAGCTCCAGCCGTGATACCGGCAGCCGAGCACGGTGGACGAGCCGCGGTCTTTCTGGCTGACGACCGGGTATGCGCGGTGACGGCACACGTTATGAAAGGCCCGGAGGGTACCGTCTTTACCTAGGATCAGGAAGATGGGAAAGCCAGCGATGGTGGTGGCGTGGTAGTCGCCTGGTTTGGTGAATTGGGTGCAGTGGGAGATGCAGAGCCAGTGCTGTGGGGAGGTGGGAGGTGGATTAGTTGGGTGTTTGGGTTGGGGGGTTTGGTTTTGAGGGTGTGGTTACTTTGCTGAAGAGTGCGCGGCGTTCGAGGTCGTATGTGCTTGTGCCGGTGTACCAGTCTTGGGGGTTGTCGGGTTCTTTGCTTATGGTGATGGTGTGGGACGGTTGCGAAGATGGAGGAGAGGGTTGGAAGAGCTTGGTTTGTTGATTGTTTGTGGATTTGAGGATGGTTTGGAGGGAAGGCCGGGTCCAGGTCTGGTAGAGTAGGGCTATGCCGACTAGTAGTCCGGTTGCTAGAGGCATGGTCAATGTCATTGAGGATGATGGGTCAGGTACATTCATCTTGACAAGAAGTTTAGTAGTTGGTAGGGTGGTTGATAGAGCACTGCTGCCTTCAGCGCGTCGAGGACCGCTTTTATAGATCATGCTCAACCGTATCAGGGAGGGTCAAAGCATACGGCTCCACCACCGTGCATGAACAAACCTCAATTGACCAGTAGGACAAGCGCCGCGGTGATACGATTGATTGAACCTTAACGACTCGGTCATACCCGTAACTCCAGGCTCTCTTTGACTTGCCGCATTTGGTGAGCCTATCCAGGGTATATACAGACAGCTACAAGTGCCGTAGTTCTAGTTTAGGCAGTGCTTTCAGAATCACTGGTCTTGGAATTTTGAGCTCCTTATTTCGCTTGCCAGTAGTATGAATGGTAATGTAACACTCGGCTGCCAATCTGGCGACTAGATAATTGCAAAACGCCCACCACTACATTGACGCGTGCACGAATTGATCAGAGAATTACGCAACATGTAATTACTTCATGCAGGAACAGTCATAGTTGTCTTATGTCCTTTCTCGCAAGTAATAGCTCCTTCTCTCTCTGCCTGCATCCTTGATCGGTAGCATACTGTTCACAAACAAGCTCGAACACGCGGCCCTGGTAAACTGCAATGATAAGTATCACAAAGTTTGGAATCACGAGTGGGCCTCGAGAACCTCTATTCTATGCCCCCTTTTGCCTGCAGAATGAAATTGCTGGGAGTACTTACAGGATACACCATTTTCCTTATCCGGGTTCAGAATACCTTCGCTGTAGATGCCTCTAACCAGGTTATCCTGAGCCTTCTCACACAGCTCGTAATCTTCCATGGCCACCTGCCGAACAAACTTGTAGTACTGCGTGAATTTCTCACCCGACTCCATATGGTAGTAGTCAAATTCCATCCTCGTCACATTTGGATCACTTGTCGGACAAACGCGGAAGGACGACATGCCCCCGCCATACACATTCAGGGTGCAATTCGGGAAGAAATACAGGAAGAGACCATCATCCGGCTTCTCGGGGTCGGTCATATGCTGCGAGAAATTCTGGTGATTGTGGACCGCGTACGAGGTTAAGGGATAAAAGACGGAAAAGGACGGGTGTGTGTATTGGCAATGCAGGCACTCCTGGTAGCCGTCCACCCTGATTTCGACACCGGTCAGTCAGTTGTCTGGCTTAGTTCTAGATGCTTGGGAGGGTCGGTTACATACATAGTCTTCCAGTTGAATCGGCCTTCATATTTGATGCTGTGTCGGTACGGAAGCTTGGTAAAATTCACTTTCTCGAGCAACGGTTCCAAGTCTGGGAAATATTCGTAGAAGTCCGGGGCTTCGTCCCCCAAGGCTGCGAAAACCAGACCGGTTGGGGTGACATGGTGTCTCAGAAATCGTTTCTTGGTCCTCGTCAGCTGCCTTTTCTCTGCAACCTGATCGGGGTCGAAGCCTACAGTTTCCGCACATTGTACCTGAATCTCCTCGGGGCCAGGGGAGGGATCATCTCCGGAGCATCGAAAGGCGACTAATGGGCGCTGAGCAATCTCGTATTCTACTTTTGCACCCACCTCCCGAAATCGCGTAATGGGGCCTAAGAGATACCATGACTGATGTTTCCGACCTGATTTAGTGGTAGGATCGATCACCAGAGAAGGGGAGGTCTTGCCTTTAGAAAGACGGCTCTCCGTTCAAGCTGATAAAGGCCTTGACTACGATACCAGGAGGCAGGCAAAGTACGGTGAAGTTCAGTCATTGTCGAGAATGCAGTGAGATTTAGCTTCCAAAAGATCCACCAGCTATTCCAATGCTCAGCTGGTCTGGACTCCTTTCTTATAGATGCGGATGCGCACCTGGGAAATGTATCCTGCAGCCACATTTGATCCAATTGGACAGGCGTATTGTTTCCTGTTGGAGTTATGCGATCCCGTGTTCTCTGAGAGTACTTGTACGGTAGGTACTTATGTAGCTTTCCATGGAGGCCCGAGTGCTAGGAGGCAGATGGCAGAGGTCCATCTAAAGTTATATCTGGTGCAAGATTTAGGTCCGTAAGCAAATTAGATAACCTCGTGGATTCAGGTTCTGGTCAGCACAGAAGCTGTTTATCGATAGGTATGATGAATAAGTCTGTATCCTCTGATGTTCTGGCATGATAATGACTGGATTGGTTGCTGCCTGGGGGCGGGGCATCATTCTCTCCGGTGGCAATGTCCTCCGCAGTGAGGTATTGCCTTTCTCACAACTTGTCTCATTGAGTAAGTTATAAGAAGTGTGTTCACTGTGTTCTGTGAAAAAAACATACTTCAAAAGGTGACAAAAGGTAAGGTTGGTGAATCACATGGGAATGACTGGTGGGTCACCGTCCGATTACGTCGTGACCTCCAACTCCGCCGTGACTTTCTCTCCCTCCAATTTCTCTCTTCCTCTCCGCAATTTCTCACTCATCCTTTGATTCCTGTTTGCTAATTCTCCTATCCTTATGGCTTAGTTCATTCTTTTGAGAGATTTTATTCCTTGCACAATATACGACACTTCATTGCTCAATCCACATCTGATGGTAAATACCGTCATGGCAGACAACCGAGTCAAATACACAACCCCGCCTTCGCCGCCTTCGCCGACGGCCTCGTACTACGATGTCAGCGACGACGAAGAGGACGACTATAACACCATCTCCCACTCGACTTCCCGTCGCGGCGTCAAACTGCTATTTTCCAAGAGCAAAGTCAGTCTCCCTTCCACCCTCAGCCGCCGCTGTCTTACTACCTATATTGCTAACCCCGCCCTCTGCCGCGCATCATAGGTCTATGTCCACCCCACCCCCTCCTCCAAAGACAATATCCCCGGCTTTATCGCCCTGGTCCAACAAAAGCCCCTCCCTCATGTCTCCGGAACCTCTACCGCCAGTTCCACGAAAGATATTTCTTCCTACCTCCTCGCCTGGGTACCGGAATCCTCCCTCGGCGACGCTTACAGCACCTATGTGAAGGTCGACTTATCCGACGACGCTTCGCCTCCGCGCCAGAAATACCTCGTGCCGGCCCTTCCCACCACAACTACCTACAAAGACCCAATCGGTCTCTATGCCTTCGCCGTACCGTTGTCCGAGATATACTCGCTTCTTGTGCGACCGCCGAGTCTGGGATGGTGGTTCGGGAGTCTCGTGATTAACTCCCGCGCCGGCGACAGCTTCCCCGCACTATTCTTCCACGACACTGAGTGCGAATCAACCATACTACAGAAGAAGAAAAGAACCAGAGAGAGCTTCGATCCATTTGGGGAGGATGGGAGTGTGTTCTGGGGTGGGGATGAGGTGCTACGGTGGCTCCGGAAGTACGTCGAGGTGCAGCGTTCCGCTCTGGACAGTAGCGTCTATCTGATAAACCCGTCTGAGGAGGATCGCGTCTCTTTCGGACAACAGCCAACATCAGACGCAGCGAGGGGCTCCCAAGATCAGGCCCTCGCTCCCGCGCAACCCGGAGGAAGCAGGCAACCAGATGCTGGCATGGACCCGTTTGTGAAAACGCTCAAGGAGGCACGCTGGAAGGTGCTTGAATCCCTTAGCAAGATCACAACCTTCACCAGGCGAACTGCGAACGAATTGGCAGACAATCCCAGAATACCTCCCCAGGTTCGTCGGTTGATGAGGACGCCCGAGATTCAGACTTTGCAGGATGAGTTCGACAGTGCACGGCTCTACCTCGCCCGGTGGGCCATGAGCATCTCTGAGCAGAGTGAGCGCGAAAGGAATCAACGTATCTGGACTGCGCGGGATGTGCTTGGTATGGAGAACAGCTCCGTGGGCGACTTTGAGATTTTAGAGCTGGAGACAGGAACCATGTCTATCCAAGAGCGCCGGAAGACAGTGACACTGAAAGAGTGGGAGGGCTTCTTCGACCCGCACACCGGCCGTTTGCAGGTGACTGTTGAAGAGGTGAAAGAGAGAGTCTTCCACGGAGGACTGGACCCCAACGATGGGGTTCGGAAAGAGGCCTGGCTCTTCCTCCTCGGAGTGTATCCCTGGGATAGTAGTCGCGACGAGCGTCAAGCCTTGATCAGTTCCAAGCGCGATGAGTACATCCGTTTGAAGGGGGCTTGGTGGGAGAAGATGGTTGAAGGCAGTTCTACAGCAGAAGAGTATGACTGGTGGAAGGAGCAGAGAAACAGAATAGGTTGGTACTTCGGATATTGCGGTTGATCCATACTGATACATGCACAGAGAAAGATGTTCATCGCACAGATCGCACGATACCCCTGTTTGCGGGCGAAGACATCCCCCATCCAGACCCCGATTCGCCTTTCGCTGAGACCGGAACGAACGTGCATCTAGAACAAATGAAGGACATGCTCCTGACATATAACGAGTACAGCCCTGATCTTGGATATGTCCAAGGTATGAGCGATCTGTTAGCTCCAATATATGCTGTCATGCAGGATGACGCCGTTGCATTCTGGGCTTTTGCCGGGTTCATGGACAGGATGGTATTGTCCTCTCTCTTGTACTCGCGACCATATATTAACTCGCCTAACCAGGAACAAAACTTCCTTCGTGATCAATCCGGCATGCGGGCGCAGCTGACTACGTTAGATCATCTTGTCCAGCTAATGGATCCTCAGCTCTACCTACATCTCCAGTCTGCCGATAGTACCAACTTTTTCTTCTTCTTCCGCATGCTTCTGGTCTGGTACAAGCGTGAATTTGAATGGGTGGACGTCCTCCGGCTGTGGGAAACTTTGTGGACAGACTACCTGTCCAGCAGCTTCCACTTATTTATTGCGTTGGCAATTCTTGAAAAACATCGGGATGTCATCATGGACCATCTGAAGCAGTTCGATGAGGTGTTGAAGTACAGTACGTACCCCACCCAGACGTCTCCGAGATATATTCTAACATCCCAACTAGTCAACGAGCTCTCCAACACCATGGAGCTCATTCCCATCCTAACCCGCGCCGAATCTCTGTTCCACCGGTTCGAACGTGCCGTTCAAGCCATCGACAAGAAAAACAACTTCCCATCCCCATCTCCAACCACCTATCAACGCAAACCCAACGCCAGTACCGCTGAGAACAACAATAAAGGCAAATCCCCCGAACGCCCTTCACAGTCCACCGGTTTCAGCACCGGCAGCAGCGCCACCCCCGGACCCAGCAATGGACCAGGCGACAAAGACGCGAAGGTTATATCCCCAGAACTGAGACAACTCTTCGCCAAGGACATCCCATGGGCTCGAAAGCCGCAACAGAAACTGAAACCCGCCCCACAACAACAGGAGGCAGCGGTGGAGGCCTCGGAGCAGCATTCGTAGATTCACAACTCGACTAGCAGTACTCAGCCAGCGACTCCCTCGTCAATGATAACTCATGATTTTATGATACCTGTAACTGTTTTTTTTTTCTTCTTGATTGCCTATAAATACATCCTTTTCAATTAATGTTCCTGCGGCTCATGGCTTGGAATATTCTCGCTTATACTCTCGCTCCCTATTGTTGTCGACTCACCTCAAGCGAGAAATCAACATAACTGCTGATGCAGTGGACTTTTGACTGTGTGATATGGGGTATTTGGCCTTTCTCTCTATTGATGATCATGCAATCTATGTCGTCAATTGCGTACTGCAGTATTTTGTCAATACCGTCTCTCTCCTATTCTCGATTGAATCTATTTATGATCTTCCGTCTCTGCCATCAAGAAGTCAAACCATTGAAAGGGGTTCCGCTAACCAACCTGAGATTTGTGCACAGTGTATCTATTCCGTGCAGTTGTTGCTGTAATTTAGACCTGACGCTGCACCCACCCATCCAACCAACCCACTACACAGCAGAATCCAAAAGTCCCCAGCCACCGCAGCACAAGGCAAGCAGATGCAATTCGTCCGGGATCAAGAAGAGGAATCTATCGACATACATTCATTCATTCTTTCTTCCTCCAGTCGCCTGGTAAAGAGGACAGAAGACCAAACAGCACACAAGAGAGAGAGAGAAAAAGGTTAACTCCATCTATGCATAAAAATAGATAATGCAAAAAGCAGAGCATCAACAGGAATGAAACCGCCGCTCTTGTTTTCTTAGAAATAACGAAACGAAAATGGGTAAACATTAAAAATAGACTCGTCTTCAACAAGCTTAATCAAGCAAAACAGCAGCTTCAAGATGGCTCGCGCTGGCTTTCCTCTATCAAAACCCAATTCAGAAACCGACAAAGCTGAACCAAAGCAAGCAGAGAACAAAAAGGTTGAAGAAAAAAGAAGAGTTTCGTATGTCAGTCATGAATCCGCTTTGAAAAAGTATATGTATGTATGGCTTTTCGTTTTCTGTTCTGTTCTTTTCTTAGTTCTGGTGCTATTCTCATGCGTGCAATTTCGTCACAAAAACAAAGAGAGATGAAATCTATCTATCCAGGACATCTATGACTCTAACCTAACGAGCAGGACGAGCTTCCTCGTCCTGGCTGCCGGGCTTGTATGGACCGCGTCCATCGTTGTCATCGGCGTCATCAACTTCATCTTCATCGTTCACATCCTCGTCCTCGTCCTCGTCACTCTCCCAGTCCTCCGCTTCGAGAGAACGGGCTCGGATGCCGAAACTAAGGACGAAGCCGACGAAGGAGACAGCCGAGAAGACGCCAAAGGGCATGACTTCGCCTTTGCTGGGTAGTCGCGAGGCGAGACTGAACAGACTGCCGGAGATGAGGGGGCCGACCGCGCGGCCGGCGGCGGAGAGGGTTTGAGCGAGGCCGTTCAAAGACCCGAGGACTGTGTGGTCAGGAGCCGAGTTGGTGATCTGATTTTATACTCGGTTAGAAACGCGTTCAGGGTTGCGTTGAAGAATCAGAGAGGGGGCAGAAGAATGGTGAGGTGAGCAGGAGACAGAGATACATACTAGTAGAAGTGCACTGGTTAATCCTCCCACAGAGGCCACAGTCTTGACCAGCAAGACAAAACACAATTCGGTGGCCATGAGAGCAGTCTTGCCGGTGACCCCGCCCTTATCCGTATCGTTGCCCTTGTACCCGATGAACGGCATAAGGAGGAACGAGACCACGAATCCCAGCAGTCCCGCACGGTACGACCAACGATTGCCCATCTTGTCACGCAGCTTGCCGAAGATGCAAATCTGGAAGATGATCGTGACGAGGCCAGTGAAGCCCTGGGCAAGACCGATCTCTGATGGAGTAAGAGCTCGACCTATGGGAGGTGTGGCTTGCGAGAAAATAGGGAAAAGCGAGTTGAACGAGACATTGCACAAGGCAAAGACGAGATACGTCAGGAGGAGCAGGATTGTGTCCCGGTTCCAGATCTGGCTTTGCAGCAACGACTCCTGGTGCGGGCGGGGTGATTCGGAGACCTCGGAAGCCGAGTCCAACTCGCTATCGTGATCCTGGCTGTCGGTTGAATGCGTTCGGAGATGGCGATACGAGGCACGGTGCGGCGGTTTCATCCAACCGGCGCGTTTGGCGGAGCTGGTCCATTCCCAAAGCCAGGCAAACAAAGCCCGAACGCGCCGGCCAAAATGGGGGAGGACATCCGCTTCCTCCAGGCTCTCATCAAGGAAGAAGATCGAGGCGACGAAGTCTACCACGAGGATTGCTGCGGCGATGAGATTGGGAGCGGCGTACGGGTATGGGTTGGGCTGGCTCTTGTCGAAAGGATTCTTGGGGAAGACCAGCAGCCCGCCAAGAATGGGGCCGGTGACGCCTCCGATGCCGTACAGGACGGGAAGATAGGCGAACGCCTTGGATTGGTTGCTTCGGTCGGTGATCTCACCGAGACATGTCGAAACGAGACCCTGATTGCCGTTGACCGCACCCATTAACGCCTGTACCGCGATAGCCTGATATAAATTCTTGCAAAACCCAAACGCGCAGAAGCATACTGCCGTAAGAATGGTGCCCAGGAGGATGATCGGTTTCCGACCCACACGATCCGACAACCAGCCCCAAAAGTAGTTGGTCACGAGCTGCGCAATCGCAAACGCCGTGGCGAGCGCTCCAACATACATGCCAACAGTATTCGGTCGAGCTTCGGGGAATGACGACACCATCTCGGGTAGGTAGGGACTGATCGAGTTGAAGGCTGTCTGTTCGCAGAGGGAGATGAAGGCTAGTATAGCCATCTGCCGCTTCGGAAGAGGTGACCCAGATCCGCGCTCAGAGCCATTGTCATTTTGTTGATTATGGGAGTCTCCGCCAGACGACCCAGACTGTCCAGAATTCGGTCTTCCACGAGATTTCGGCGGTGGTGTGTCGAAGGTTTGGTAATGCAGTGTGGAAGAGTGTCGCCGGTTGAACGGGCCCTGCTCGTCTGTCCTCATCTTTGCGGAAGATGATCTTGTAAAAGACTGTAGAAATATGATAGTAATCGCAGATCGTGTGGCTGACCTGAGTAATTCTCCCTGCGTTTTCAGCAGAGATGATGGAGCTCAAGAGTCACACGTCGTTCGCAATGCGGGGGGCGTTGGAGCCCCCAGGATATGATGGCTGAAAGCGATTGAGCGGGGGTCGACACAGGCGAAAAAGTGAGCACTGAGTCACGAGCAGTACGTATTTCAGGAGCAGAGGTAAGTGAGCGAGAAGAAAGGCAAAGATGATGATAAGCGCAGTCAGCAAAAACAGTGGTCGAAGATGTCTTGCGCGCGGAGTAACTCCACACCAGCAGCACAAGATCATCGGCGAAACCCTGCAGATGATGTAAGCCCTCGGCAGGCTTGCAGCTGAGTCATCCGCTACATCTGACGCCCACGCTGACCACGTGCAGAGTTACAACAAACAATTGCTTAGTATGATTGGGTCGATGCTTCGGTAGCACATCTGACCAGTACGATCAGATTCTGCATCGGAAGTCTTTCCAATTTGTCGTCTGTGTCGACTCAGCGATTGAACTGAAATGCTGAAAGACCTGCAAACACTGGCAGGAGGTTATGTCAGTCTAGTATACTGATATATATATCGATTACATACAGACAGCCTTACCCGTTTGGGCTACTAGTACGGTTCAACGACCATATTTTGTTGCGCAATTTGACATTGGACCCATGACTTGTTGACTTCAAGCTGTATTCACCGTGTCTAGCTTGAGTCAAATGTACAGCAGTTACTACTGAGATCTACTCTGGGAAAGAGCTTGCCAAATCATGAGTTGCATTGCATTGAGTCTAAATTTAGCTGCAGTCGTTCAACCAGCACCTATAGCATTATCATCCGACGTTCACCAAGATCGAAATGAGTAGAACAAATCACTTCATCAAGAGATTGACAGCCCAAGGGACACTCAACCCTCTCAAGTCACCATAGTGCTGACCAACACCCAGGAACACAATGGGGATACCCGTTGCATGCACCATGCTAACAAGGGTGCCCACCATGTCACCGACAGTGTCACATTTACTGATGATGAAGCCATCAAGGTTTCTTCCCGTGCCAAATGCCTGGTTAAAATTGCGGGCCTGCATCACGCTGTCTGTCCCAACGAGTGCTTCACCGACCATGAAAATCTTATCAGGCTTAGCAAACTTGGCGAACTTCTCCAGAGATGACATTAGACGCTGATCGTTGTGGCGACGGCCTGCAGTATCGATCAATACAACATCGAACTTGTTGGCTGCACCATATTCCACGGCGTCCTTGGCGACATTTGCCGCATCCTTGCCGTAACCTTTTTCATAGAGTTCCACTTCACCAGCGTTTTCACGCTGGCTGAGCTCCTTGAGATTGCGGGCATGAACACGGAGCTGTTCTACAGCCCCGGAACGGAAAGTGTCACAGGCCGCAATCAGAACCCTATAGTTGTTCTGCAACAAGAAATAACATATTTTCCCGAGATTAGTCGATTTTCCAACACCGTTCACCCCAACGATGGAAATGACGTATGGGCGGGGAGCCGCTTGCTTGGTCGTGGGAGATGTAACAGTGTCAATCTCACGAAGAAGATCAAGAGAGGAAGTTGGTGTCAGGATCTTCCGTAGAGAGGATTCCATGGCCAAACGCAGGGCTGCATCCACGCTCTGGAAGTTACCCGTCTTCTTCCCGACCAGCTCCCGCTTCACACCGTCGCAAAGCCGAACCGCCGCTTCCCGCGCAACATTCTTCTTCAGGAGATGATCTTCCATAGTCTTCAAAGGCTTTTCTAGATCGGCTTCCGTCAACACCTTTCCACCAACAATGTTCCGTAGGAGGCCCCCTATGGCATTGAAGCCCGAGCCAACAAGACCGGAAGAGGCAGCACTCTTGGATTTCTCGTTCTGTGCAGACTCGAGGATCGAGTGAACCTCGTCTCCAAGATCCTTGAGCACGAACTGGCCTTTACCTGTTCTTCGGCCCCAAGACTCTTCGGAGACGGCCTCCACCGCCGGCACCTGTGTCCCTTCAAGGTCCGCTGGCGCCGAGTAGTCCAGGATCTGGCCATCATCCTCGTCGGCGAAACCATCCGCATCCCAACGACGCATCTTCTTACCGCTCTTCGGTGTCTTTTCCTTCCGACTTCTTTCGTCACCGGATGAGGCATTAGCGCTGGAATTGGCGGCTTTGCGTCCGCGGCGCGACATACGGCCTCCAGGGCCTAGTTTAGCGGTAAGGAGGTGGCCGGCAACAGGCGTTGTCGACCTCGATGTATCTGGTGTGTGGGGTGGCGTGCCCTCATCTGAGGTAACCACGCCGAGCGCAGCTTGTCGCTGCGCTATACAACTGTCAGTGACTCTACCATTAGAGATGAGCAGTAGCACCTACCCTCGAGAAGACCAGGGACGGACGGTGGTGGTGGGCCCCCATTGTCAGACGAAACAAGCGGATCTTTCTTAGCGACCGCATTCGCCACCGAACTCTCCGATGCGACAGGTCCCGAGCTGCCCTCGAGCTCGCGCACTTGTTGGTCAAAGTATTTGTCGAAAGGGTACTCCAATATCCTCGCGCGGGAGCTTCTCAGTTGATCCTTGTAGAGATCGATATACAGGGTAGCGATGTTGTCGAGGAGCTTGTCGATCCACCCCAGTTGTAAGAGAGACTGGTAGACGGCCTGACTCACAGCATGTTGATTAGAGGCGAGAAACAGAAAACAAAGTGCATGTAGCACTTACCACAAAAATGAGGTTGAATTCTTTGACTCTCTTCCATTTTAGGGTGTACTTTTCCTTTCTGAAAGCTGGCGAGGTATTGTTGGGGCCTTCATGCAGTTGGGCTTTCTCTTCGATGAAAACATCATTGATAAGACTGTTGACCACGTGGGCGCCCACGGGGGCGTAAGACTTGGACCAGAGGACTACACCAGAGGTGTCAAATATTTCGAAGGCTTCCAACATTTTCGAAGTGAAAATTGGGGATATTCTTGGAGGTGATGTAATGGTCGAGTTAGAAGTTGATGATGAAGAGGTCCGCGCGGGTGGGGAATGTGTGGGCGTGGGCGGCAAGCTGAACTATCGGGGAGCGGAAGGCACGGCGGACCTTCAGCCACGTATAAACACCTCCATCTCTCCAACACCCATTGTGCAAAACTCACTAAGTAGCACTTTGCCGCTTCGGCGCCCCCCCGCGACCCCGAAATTATCGACGAAGCCTACCCCTGGCCAACCTACCCACGTTTATTGAAAGCTCCTCAAGAAAACATGTATCGCCAGTCTTTCGCTCCGCCTCCGGCGCAGTCGCCTCCGCTTCATCACCCAGTGCCTCAGCATGTCTCTACAGTTCCCATGATGCGCTCGCCGCCGCCCCCGACAACTCAGCAGTCTCAATCCGCGGGCTATGGCAACCCATACCAACCCGCACCTGCGCCAGGTGGCAGCGGGACCTATGGCCCTGGATTCGGCCAGTTCATCAATGATCCCACGGCGCAGATGAGTTTTCAGGTCGGAAAGACCGCGATGATGGCTGGCCAGGAGTATATGGAGCAGAACGTAAGTAGCGCTGGGTTCCTGGCTCTCATCGAGGAGATACATTGCTAATCACACTCTGCAGTTGAATCGCTATGTCTCTATTCCTGCCCTCAAGCATTACTTTAATGTCTCGAACTCCTACGTCCTGAACAAGCTTTCTCTGGTCCTCTTCCCATGGCGACACAAACCCTGGTCCCGTCAGCAGGCACGCCTCACGACGGCTGCAGCTGGCCCCAACGGCCAAATCTCCCAACAGCAGTACTCCTCCATGTTCCTACCCCCGCGGGATGATCTCAACTCCCCAGACATGTATATCCCCGTGATGGCACTCGTTACCTACATCCTACTCTCGGCCATGTTGGCAGGATTCCGAGGGAACTTCCATCCGGAGCTTCTAGGGTCGATCACCACGACAGCTATCGCGGTTATCTTGTTTGAGATTATGTGCTTGAAGCTGGCGATGTACATCCTCAGCATCAACAACGAGTCTCAGCTCCTCGATCTTGTTGCCTACTCCGGATATAAGTTCGTCGGCATCATCCTCACGCTTCTGACATCGGAGATCCTCACTCCGGGTAGAGGCACCGGTGGCTGGGTTGGCTGGGTGGTCTTTGTCTACACTTTCCTTGCAAACGCTTTCTTCCTCGTAAGTCACTTGAGCGATTCTCTTATTGCCTGACCGCCTAGCTAATTTCTCGGCGCAACGCAGCTCCGCTCCCTCAAATACGTTCTCCTCCCGGATTCTACTAGCGACACCTCGATGCGGTCTGGTTCTATGCACACCGTTGCTCGCTCGCAGCGTAACCGTCGCACTCAGTTCCTGTTCGTTTATGCGTACATTATCCAGTTCATCTTCATGTGGGTGTTGAGTCGCGAGGGCCCGACTGCGATTGCTGCGGGGGTGGGTGCGGGCTCGTCGTGATAGCTCTTGTCCGTACTCAATCAGCTTCAAGTAATGATATAGAAGGACCTCACGAAAAGAAAGCTTGGGTGTTGTGCAGGAGTCTCAAGCATATTCCCATGCAAAGCTTTACCACATGTTATGATCGCATATATTCTGATGTTCGAAGCGCATGACTTATTTCCTCCCTTGAATCATTTTCCTAAATGGGCAGGTATGCTGGACCTGCAAAGCATAGGCAAGAGTACTCCGTATATCAGACGCGATTATACTAGACTAAAAAAAAATTACGGGGTAGGATTTGAAATAAAAAGTGTATGCATTGTTTAGAGACTTAAAGCTAGAAATGCGAGACCTATTTTGCGAATTGTTAGAAACAAGTCAAAGCAAAGATGATGATGATCCAAGATTTGGATTGGAAGGTGTTCCTCAGAGATCTTGGTGATGAGGGAAATATCATTGCCAGAAGGCATCAATTACTATCTAGGCGTGATATCATGTTTGTAATCACCGGAACTGGGGAGGGCAAGGAAAACATGGGAAGTTGGAACATACCATTATGTGGTGAGAAAGAGGCGATGTTAGGATGTACTCTTAAAATCTGCTGCTAGAGTCTTCAAAAGTCAGCAGTGGAACACAGATGTGATATGAGCGTGAGCAACAAAGTGACAGAGAAAAGATATCAGAATATGTAAGAATTAAATATCAACCTGCAATGCTGTATAGAAAACCCCGGCGAGGGCTTCACAGACACTGCGTCAATCGCAAATTACCGCATCATGTAAACATTGCGCAAGAGAAAAGAAAAATGGAGTATGCGTACCAGTTTAAGATAGGATGCGCGCACACTGCCGGGTTAGTGTAGCGATCACAAGACTCGAGAGATTAAATGATCGTCATGTTCAGAACCACATTTGTCCTGGAGCTCTAGAGTCTGGAACACTTGCAGAGGAAGAGTACAGCGCAATGAGACAAAACGATGATGAACATGCAGCTTAAAAGGCGCGGTGTTCGGAACGGAAAATATCCGGCGCCCGATGGAGCGCGCTAAGCCGCGGAAGCAGCCCTAGGCCGCACGCAAACCCCGTGCCGCGACCTGCTACTGGCTGCTAAGCGAGACTCTTGTGGGCGAAGGGCCGCAACCACCGAAATTCGCTATCCAGTCAGCCCGGTTGAGTTGAGACGAGCGACTTGTGCGTTTAGGACGACCTTCGACAACCCCGACATTTCGACAACAAATCACCACCACCGTCCCACCCGGAGTCTGTCGACCGTGAGTTTCTTGTCGCCCCTGCCCCCAAATTATCGACCACCCTGTCACACTCACGCAACATCAACTAAATTCGTTCCTTTTTTGTCCAAAATACAGGAAGCCTTCGCCATGGCCGATATCGATGTCAAGATTGCTCAATGGAAGCTGGTTGAGGTTGGCCGCGTTGTGCTGATCCGCAGCGGTCCCTACACCGGCAAGCTCGCTGCCATCGTCGAGATTGTCGACCACAGACGTGTACGTTCATCATGAGATATTCGCGCGGAAAATCGAGGGGATCCCGGGGACTCGAGATTTTGAGGATTCGAAAGAGGCGGGACTATGGGATTTCTGCTTGGGTACGGGAACATGAGAATTGACATGCGAGTTGCAACACGATTAGGTTCTGGTTGATGGTCCCTCCACCGAGGAGAAGAAGATCGTCCCCCGCCACGTCCTCCCTCTCTCCCACGCCACCCTCACCCACTTCGTCATCCCCAAGCTGCCCCGTGCCGCCGGTACTGGCCCCGTCAAGAAGCTCTGGGAGAAGAACGAGATCGATGGCAAGTGGGCTCAGAGCGGTTTCGCCCAGAAGACCGAGCGCGCCGAGCGCAGGAAGAACCTGACCGACTTCGAGCGCTTCAAGGTCCTCAGACTCCGCAAGCAGGTACGTGCGACATGGAATGAATATGTGGTTTTGCGCAACACGAGGAGCGAGCGCGAAGGATGGGCTTGTGTGGAACTTTCCGCTCAGTGATTGAATACTCGGATGTTATGGGATGTGCGCAGGAACAATGCAGGCTGACATATTCGTCCTCTACAGGCTCGCTACGAGGTCCAGAAGGCTCACGCCAAGCTCAGAGCGGCTGCTCCCAAGGCATAGATGGTTATTGGGGCTCGGTGCAAAGTGTGACAGGGTGCCTTAGGACGGGGTTTATTTGCTGATGGTTTAATTTATATTCAGCAAAAAATACGCTGTATGCATTATTTGACAGCATAAAAATGATTCAAGAACCTTTGATATCCTGACATGGCTTGTTCTCGTACGTCATGGAAAAATGGAAGCTGGTCCAACGCCTGGAACGCCTTTCACTGAGTATATGACATATGATACAACTGGGTCTTCGACTTGACATCAGCGGGTCAACTCCTGAGAAGGAAATGGGCAATGAAAGCACGACTTAGACTTCAAAAAAAGAGCAAAAAGAAATCTTCATTGTAAAATTTAAACCAATTTAAGAAAAAGTTTAGATTTGTGAAATCAAGTCACTCACAAGATATAAGATATAGTTAGAAAGCGTGAACTGAAGAGCTTTGGTTGTATGTACTATGTAGACTGTTCTGTAGAGGAGCCGCTGCGTGTGTGTCCGGGGGGAGGGTCCCCAATAAGCTCGCTAACGATTTTCGGCGGGATGACATTCACACAGCTTCAAGTCTTTCCAACTCCAACCAAGGCAAAAAAATCCCCTCCATCCACCACAGCCCCCTGTTCTGTGTCCAGGTACGTTCAAATGGGAATTGTGACCGTTCAGATGCATTCTCCGCTCGATTTTGGCGATTCTCTGCAATTTTGTGGGAGATCCAGGGTCTCTTAGGCCCAATTCGAGCCTCGTCCCAAACCACCACCTCTGCAAGTCCCACCACCGTACGAATTGCTGACCTTTCAACCACCTTTCCAGCCCACTTTAGGCTTTACTCCAATTTACACACAAAATGGCCGATCCCCGTGTTGAAGAGCTTCCCGACGAGGAGGTCCCCAAGACCCAGGTTGAGGATGCCGGCAGCGACTCTGAGTCTGAGGCTGGCGATGAGCCCACCATCCCCGGTGGTGCTGCCGTCACCATCCACTCTCGCAACGAGAAGAAGGCTCGCAAGGCTATTGGCAAGCTCGGCCTGAAGCACGTCCCTGGCATCACCCGTGTCACTCTCCGCAGACCCAAGAACGTATGCATTGCGAACGAATCCTTTACCCCGCTATCCGTGATCGCTCAACAAAAGTCCTACTGTGAATCATCTCGGATGCTTGCATGGCGATTGGATGGATATCTTGAAGAGCAATGGCTAATACACCTCGAAAACAGATCCTCTTCGTCATCAACCAGCCCGATGTCTACCGCTCCCCCACCAGCAACACCTGGATGTACGTGGTCTTTATGAGTTTACACTAACATTGGACGACCAAGCTTACGCATTACCCCACAGCATCTTCGGTGAGGCCAAGATCGAGGACCTGAACTCCCAGGCCCAGGCTTCCGCTGCTCAGCAGCTCGCCGAGGCCGCTGCCAACGAGCACGCCGGTCACGACCACGACCACGACCACGACCACGCCAAGGGCAAGGCCCCCGAGGCTGAGGCCAAGAAGGAGGAGGAGGAGGATGACGGCGAGGAGGTTGACGAGTCTGGCCTTGAGGCGAAGGACATCGAACTGGTTATGGCCCAGGCTAATGTGTCTCGCAAGAAGGCCGTCAAGGCTCTTCGGGAGAACGACAACGACATTGTCAACTCCATCATGGCCCTCAGCATATAAGCTTTGTCAACTTAATCGCACGCGTCAGTGGGTGAGCTGTGTTGACCTGCTGACAGGCTGGATTGTGGGTGCAAGGTCCGAATGAAATCCTCTATGGCGGATGATTTGGCTAGTCCCATTGTGTAAATCAATTAGCCGAAAAGCAAAATTGAATGATCCAGAAGATGATAAATATGTGTTCTTGTAGCTGGTAAAGAAGTATATTATGCTTTTCTACTCAATGCATCAGATTGTGGATGGGACACAGTGGTCATGGCTACTGCATACTCTTGGCCTTTGCTGCATCCTGCGTTGTGCTGTGGCCGTTCGGAAAACGGGAAGTAAAGTCACGTGATTTCTATCCCCATTCCAAATCTTGCCGAGTCAACCCTCAACCTCCCGGACTCTCCAGCTTTGCACGTTTGACCTCCCCCTCCCTCCCACTCTCCCCATAACATAATTCAAAATGGCCGCCGTATGTTTTCATTATCTCTGCCGATTTTTTGGTTTGGTCTTGCGGCGATCTAGCCCACTAACTGCCTGAAATACAGCGTAGCGCCGCTCTCAAGATCGACTGGACCAAGTTGACCAGCTCGCTCGGTCTCCGCGGTCAGACCGCTGCCTCCCTCCAGGCCTTCAAGAAGCGTAACGACGACGCGCGCCGCAAGGTTCAGCTGCTGTCCGAGCAGCCCCAGACTGTCGACTTCGCCCACTACCGCAAGGTGCTCAAGAACCAGGCCATCGTCGACCAGCTCGAGAGCCACTTCAAGAGCTTCAAGCCTGCCACCTACGATGTCAACCGCCAGCTGAAGGCCATTGATGCCTTTGAGGCTCAGGCCGTCCAGAGCGCCGAGGAGACCAAGGGCAAGGTCGAGGTTGAACTCCGCAACCTCCAGAAGACCCTCGAGAACATCGAGACCGCCCGTCCCTTCGAGGACCTCACTGTCGTACGTAGCGTTGCATCTGCTCTACTTCCGACCCCCTCTAACCCAGTTCTCTACTCTAGGACGAGGTTGCTGCTGCCCAGCCCGAGATCGACGAGAAGACCGCCTCCCTTGTCCAGAAGGGTCGCTGGATGCCGGCCGGCTACAAGGTTTGTCATCCCTTGATACGGTGTGATGTCAAGAGTACGGGTGTCGAGGAATTGGCTAACCACTTTTGCGACATGCAGGAGCGCTTCGGCGAGATGTCCGTTGTCTAAACTGGCTGAAACCCTTGTATGCCCATTTCCATCCACTTTTGTCCGTCAACTCGAGATATAGTCACGCCAACAAAGAAGTGATCCATTCTATTCTCTGTCAAGCTTGGTGGTCAGCTAGGATCCCCTGTCTTCTGTCTGGTCGTGATCTTGGTTGTTGGGCGCTGTATAGAAAGAACTTGTTCATTTTATGTTTCTCATCCTTCCGAGTCGTAGGCTGTCGGGGTCTGACTCAGCATAAGACCTGCATTTGCATGCTGTATGAGGTATAAAGTAGCATGTTTTCTTGAGTGTAAGCGGACAAGCCAGTCGGTACAGTACAGTACCTGGAGGGAGCCAGTTTATTGCAGATGCATCACACAGTCCTGGATTCAACTGCCTATACACAATCGTTCCACGGTTTAATATACCCGAGGAATCCCCGATCGCCTGAACCTTGACCAAGGTGGAATTGTTATCCTGAAGTATATCAAAACAAAAATACCGCAGGCTACAGCAGGGAAGAAATCACAGATCTCGTCCTGTCGCAGTGAGCTTTAGTGTCGCACTACCGAGGCGGACCAAGTTAAATCAAGTTGTCAACTCCACAGCTTTAATATGCCACATGATCCATCATATTTATGTGTCCTACACTGCTTTGCTTTTGTGAGTATACGCTTGATGAAATATGTATAAACTGGCCATACCGATTTGAACACTACTACTTATCTGTCCGTATACCTACACTGAGAGACACCACCCACACCTGCTGCCGAGTAGTATACAGTGACGTCTATCGCTCTATCGATAGCAGAGCACAATGAACTCAATACCTCCCTCCAACCAGGCAACAGTCGTATCACGCCTTGAATCTCTTCCGGTCGAGATCATCCAGACGATCTTCCTACACAGCCTGGAGATCAACCTCCCGCGCGCCTCTCCCCGGCTTGGAGAAGCGCTCTCCTCAGCCACGATATACATCTGGCTCATCCGGCTGGCCTTCAGCAGCACCAACGCGGGGGTCGACAGGGACTTTTTCACGAAAGAGTTCCTCCCCTACCCACTGGACTTGAAATTGGGTCTCTCGCCCGTCCAGCGTCGCGACCTGCAGACGACTCTGCTCGCGTGCCGATGGTGTACGCTCCCGCTGATGCGACGATGCCAGCGCGAGTACCTATTGCACACGCTGCGCCAGAAATGCCGGCCGGGAGTGGATTTTGTGTACTACAGACCGGAGGACGAAGCCACCCTGCACTCGCTCTTGAATGAGGAGGACAGCAGCAGCAGCAGCCTACTCTCGAGCATCACCACTGGCCAGACCATCGCCACCAACCCAGGAAAAGGCGACCTCATCCTCCTCGCCCACCCCGCAACCTCCACCACCACTAAAACACACCCCCACAAACTCGCCCTCTACCCCCAAAACGGCGCCCTCCAAATCCGCTCCCCCAACGACATCTACACCTCCACCCACCCCTTCTCCCCCACCTCCTCCGCGCACCCCACCACCTACCGCCTCCCCAGCTGCGTCACCCCGAGCGGAACCGGGCCCCTCCACGCGCGCATCCCCGACAAACTCCTCCACCCGCCGTTCACCCCATCGAAACTCGAATTTCTGCAGTTGTTGTGCAGCGCAGACGCCTACATCGACGAGACCCCGGCGCACGACCGCTCGCGGCGCGCGCTGCGGCAGACGATTCGGGACCGGGAGTTTGGGGCGTTCTGTACCCTGTTGCAGATGCAGGTACGGGTGCCGTGGTATGGGTTTCCCGTGCCGTGGCCGGTCTCGGGCAACCATCTGTGCGCGGCGGTGAAGTATGCAGACCCGACGGGGGTGGGGGAGGATGGGTTCGTGAGGGTGTTGGTTAGGGAGAGGTGGGGGGATTTGTGGGGGGAGGAGGAGAAGGGAAAGGCCAGGGAGTTACTTCTTCAGATGGGGTTTGTGGGGGAGGAGGAGGGTTGATGTGTGTTCGTGTGTGGGGGGGGGTGTGTGTGTGTGTGTGTGTGTGTGTGTGTGTGTGTGTGTGTGTGTGGTTGATGGACTTATCATTACAAGGTACGGATACATACATTCTACTTTGTCTACTTAGTTCCGACGGTGTGTATATAGGTTCCAAGAACAAGTGAATAAGAAGAGTCATATTTAAATTCGTCAACAGAATCAATCCGAGGATATCAAACAACGCGCAGTCAAAACAGGCAGACAGAAAACTCCCAGCGCAAACCATAAGTCGTAAGTCGTAGATGAGGTATAGGGGTGACCACCCATCAGTCGATAGACGAGACAGTCAGCCCATCAGTCGAAATGTCGATAGTGAAATAGAAGTATCCACCAAACGGTATCTTGCAAGCAGATCAAATCAAAATCAAATCACATCAAACTCCGACTTTTAAACCCTCGACCTCCGGCCCCGCGTCCGGCGACGGTTCCCACAGTACCCGCAGGTCAAGCACGAGATGATCACATCGAAGAGGGTGACGATGCCGTCGATGATCGCCTTGCAGACGGAGCCGATGGTGTTGACGATGCCCATGAGACAGGCGCCGATGGCGTGGAAGACGCTTGTGATCTGTGTGTTTCATTAGTATCTCTATCAGAGAGGAACCTGGGGTGGGATGGGACGTACACAAGAGACGACAGCACCCATTTTGAGATGTGGTTATGTATGTATGTATGTGTGTGTTGGTTGTTAATGGATCGGTTGTGGGTTTGGGAAGTTGTAGTTGCAGTTGTAGGGTATCAGATGGTATCAAATGGTAATAGAGGAAGGCTTATTTAGCAGTCTTAGTCCCCTGGGATGAATAACTCGAAGAAGCAGTAGTGTGGACAGTGGTATCAGTAAAAGGACGCATTGTATGCTATTCGAAGACTGGGGAGGTGAGGAGATATAGAGAGTATAAATATCTCGAACAAGAGGTTTTTAGTCTTTGGGTATGTCTTCTCGTGGCCTCTGGAATGATGTATGATGTCTGAGTGTGTGTGTGTGTGAATGTTGTGTGTTGCAAAGAATAGAAGAAAATGCCCCAAGATCAGCAGAGACAGACAAAATGCAACACGGGACAGATGCCGTCATAACGACATATGGTTCCTCTTTTTCATGCCTTGGTTGATTGCGCCGTATGCGGAAATGGGAAAGGGTTGTGCGGATCGCTGACGAGAGTACCAGTTACTGTACTGTATCTACCCTCCTAAGTATGTCTACAAAGTATACAGTACGAAGCAGTGAATTGAGGGTCGCGCCACTGATAAGGCTGGCAGGTTCGAGAACCCACATCATGCATCCTGTACAACTCCATAGTTTTACTTTTCTTACTACTTACTGAGAGTTAACTAAGCTACTAACTTACTCAGACAAAATGACGTCATCTGCCAGTCCACACGCAATCGAAGCACGGATCGCATTCTAATTCAGTCTGCCTGTCCCCCTACAAAAATGCTAGGTACTTCATCCCTTCAAGCCAATGACATACGCCGGAGTACACCGTGACTACATCATGGATACCTGACTTTTGGGTACGAAGGGAGCACACAGGGACATCTCCACTCCCTGTCTGGGGTAGAAAAGTCAACCTCAGTGGTGGGTACACCGTAAAGTGAGTATGACAATAGTACGGCGTACACACCCACGAGAGTATACCCGCTTCAAATTGCAGGGTCTAATTCAGGGTCTGTCTGGGCCTGTCAGGGGTACAGTACATACAGCACCCAGGAAATTAATTTATTTCCCTTTCGCATTAGTACCCCGTAGGATTTTGTTCGCGGTAAGTGTGGTCCGAGATGATGATGTTGGTGGTGGTTGGAGGCGGGCGGAAATGCCGATCTGCGCACACCAAATAATTCCAATGATGTCAACGCATCCAATCGAGGCCTGCCACTCAGCCTTATTCTCAAGACTTGTCGCTTGGCTGATGTCCCTGCAGAGGTTCGGAGGATGATCCTGCAGTTCGTTGGGAAGGGAGGTGATGGATGGTGGATAGTGCTGTTGTAGACAGCTATGTCACTCTTCTTGGCCGAAGCAAGGACCAAAGTCAATATACAAATGAGTTCTCTGTTCTTTGATTAATGTACTCAGTATGATACCCTATAATACAGTCCCTACTCCTCAATTATACACATACCACCAGTAGTTACAACTACATATTCCCCAACAAGCGCAGAATCCCCCTCACCCTGCCCGCTAACGTAAGCTGATACCCCGTCTCCACCACCCCCTTACACACCTCCCACGCTCCCGTGCCATTCTCCCGCACGCCCTCGCCCTTGTTAATCGGATAGTCCACCCGTGGCGGGATTCTTGTCGCCATCACCTTCGGGAACCGATCCACGCACACCGCCTTGATGTTGCTCACGCCGCGGAGGCCCTCCTCGCCCGCGAACCGTCCATATCCTGACCCCTTGACGCCACCAAATGGCAACTGCACCGCGTAGAAGGTCCCAAAGTCGTTGACCGAGACCATGCCCGACCGGATCGCCTTGATGCACCGGGCAATGTCCTGCTGGTTGTAGCCGAAGACGCTGGCCCCAAGCCCGTACTCGGTCGAGTTGGCGATCTCGATAGCATGGGGCACGGAGGTGGCACGCATGAGTACAAAAACCGGCGCAAAGAGCTCCTCCTGCGCGATGCGCATCTCCGGTGTGACGTCTGCGAGCAAAGTGGGCGCGAAATAGTGGCCGAGCGGGTGAGCGGGATGGGGGAATCGTTTCCCCCCGCAAATCAGGCGCGCGCCCTGCTGAACGGCATCGTTGATCAGGGATTCCAAGCGGTCGAACGAAGCTGGGGAGATCAGAGCGCCCACGTCAGGTGCGCCCTGTTTGGACAGCAGGACGGAGCCCAGGTGAAGCTTGGCGATGCGCGCGGAGACGATGTCCAGAAGTCGGTCGTAGGCGCCAGGGAGGGCGATAACACGTTCGATGCCGATGCAGTTCTGGCCTGCAGACTGGAAGACACCCCGCATGAGAATCGAGGCGATGGCGGGCAGTTCTTGGACAGTGCGCGCGTCGTCCAGGATCAGTGAGGGGTCCTTCCCGCCCAGCTCGACAGTGACGGGAGTCAGGGCTTTGGCGGCGGAGGCACAGACCTTGTGTGCTACGGGGCGGGAGCCAATGAAGGTGAGCTGGGAGATGCCTGGGTGCGAGGTGAGGTAGTCGCCGACATGAGGTAGGCAGACGACGCTTTGAACCAGGTCGCGGGGGTGCCCGCAGCTGGCCAGAGCGCCGCGAATGACCTCCAGGAAGTAGGTCGTGCACCAGGCCGTCTGCTCGGAGGGCTTGACCACGATACCGTTTCCTGCGAAAAGGGCGCTGATCACGGGCGAGATGAAGTTGTGGAAGGGGTAGTTCCAGGACACACAAGCCGAGACCACCCCCAGCGGCTCGTAGATCACCGTGTTCTTCTTGTACATCATCAGGAAGTTTGTTGGGCGCGACTCCGGCGTCAGGGCTTTTTCACCGTGGTCAAGGGTCCATTTGAGCTTCTCCGTGGTGACCAGGATTTCTCCGAAGGCGGCGTCCACTTTGGTCTTTCCAGAATCCAGGCAGCAGGCGGTCACGAGGTCGTCTTGGTGGTCGAGGACGTATCTATTTCGAGCAACATCCGTTAGTGACTGACCCTAATAGAGACATTGGGTCAGGGCCGTACTTCAGCAGAGTCCGCAGAACCTTCCTCCTCTCAGCAAAGGTGGTCTTGGCCCATTCTTCCTGCGCTTTTGCCGCAACCTTGATAGCCTGGTCGACATCTTCCGGGGTGGCAGGCTTGATTCCGGAGCCGAGGACTCTTCCATCCGCCGGACAGTAGCTCATAATCAGCTTGTCGTTCCATTGCTACGCGACGAATTGTGAATCAGTTCTCAAGGTTCTCGCTTTAGGGAGCACAGCACCATCAACTTACCCCTCGAACCTGCCCCTCGATCACCTTCCTCTCGTTTCCCTCAAGCTGATCCCACGTCTTCCCCTCCCAATTGGCCCTAACCTCCGCCGGAATGGGAACATTGAATGTGACAGCAGCCTCCCTCTGGCTCAGGACGTAGACGTAACCCAGATACACCGCCCCGAGCGAAAGCAAGGCAACCCCCAGCAGTGGACCTTGAGACTGGAGGTGGGGGATAACGGGCTGGAAAGCCGGCGGGATAAGTTGGGCCAGCGAGTCCATGTTTGGCGTGAAGATTGGGAGGATTAAATTGCCAGGCGCTGTCGGGGACAAGTCCAGGAGGGGGAGAAGGAGCGGGAGGAAAGAAAGAGTGGTTCGATTGTTTATCGCAACCTCCGATACGCGGTGCACGGACCACATCCGGTGGGTTCAACTGCTCTTTACGGGTTCAAGCAATGGGGATTAATCATGGTGGTATATCACTGTAAACTAAGCAGTTCAGTGCGATACAAGATGTTTGGTAGTAAAGGGGGGGACAGAAGAACGAATGAGCAAGATGCATTGTTCTGCGTATTAGTAGCAAGAGAAGGAGACAGTCGACTCTAGCAACCAGCAAAGTCAAGCGACCCCTGATGTATAAATCTATACCATGGCATCATACTACTCCGTATACTTGCTAAACACCAAAATCTCAACGACGTTATCGCCTACCAGCCCTTTATAAACCCCCTTTTCTCTTCCCCGTCCTCTTCACCAGATGATCGATCACACACCCCTCTTCCCACCGCGCCGAAGACTGCCCCGTGATCGCCCTGCACCTTGGACAAGACTTCCCATGCCGAATGAGCAATGTATGCAAGGAATACTTCAAATGATCCGGGATGCGGACCTCGAGATGGCCAAACGCCGTGACCTCCGTCACTTTAGTCGGCGGCACCCAGCCCAGCCACTTGCAGATGCGAAAAATATGTGTATCGACCGCGAAGCACGGCCGCTGCAGACAGAACAACAGCACGCAGCCGGCGGTCTTGGGCCCAATGCCAGGATACTTGACCAGCTCCGTCATGGCCTGCTCCGTGCTCAGCGCATGCAGATGATTCAGATTCAGGAAGTTCTGGTCTGCGCACGCAATCTCGTACTGCTTGTGGCCTTCCGATTCTCCCAATCCATCCGAGCCACTTCCCCCCGCCTCCCCTTCCGCCGCCGCCCCCTTTGATTTGGTGTTAACCAACAAATCCCTCCTCTCCATATTCTCCTTGTAAACCATATCCAAAATCATCTTAATCTTCTTACTCTTCACATCGGCCAGCCCGCCGCGCTTGATCGCCTCAAACACCTCCTGCACCGGCGCCCGCCGCACCGCATCCCAATCCACACTGCCCTTCCCAATCCCCTCCCGCAGGATCCCAAACCGCCGCACCAGGCCGTCGAACGCCATGGCCGAGTTGCGGCCCGTCGTGGCCCCGCTCAGCAAGGTCCGGATCAGTGCGTCCAGCACGGACGGCACCTCGCCGCAGCCCGTGACCGTCAGCGAGGGCTCCGGGATCGTGGTCGGCGCGGTGATCTGGCCGTGGATGGTGGAGAGGAGGCGGTTGACTTCCTCACATTCTTCGGGGGTGGGGTGCGGCCAGTCGGGGAAAGGCGTTTGGCCGGGGGTAAGGCCGTAGTGATTTGCTTTGGATTTGGATATGCTGGGGGGTTTGGTTGGGGTGGGTGGTGATGATGGTGGGGTCGTGGTGGCTTTGGTGACAGTGGTTTGGAGGTCCTGGGCGAGGGCGTCTGGTTTGATGGGCGAGGATAAGGGCGTTTCGGACTTGATGCGCGGGGGGCTGGTTGAAGATATAGCAGGGAGTGGTGCGCCGAGGTTGTGTGGGAGGTCGTCGAGGTTGTCGTTGATCTTCGGGGTGGTGGTAGTGGTGTTCCTCTTACGCCGTTTGGCGGCAGGCTCCGGGGGAATACTACTAATAGTATCCTCAGTCTTCGCGGGGAGGGAGGTGTTGCGTTGCGAATGGCGGACACTCGTTACTGAAGATGAGATAGCATTGCTGGACTGCGCTTGAGATGCAGCTAATGCTGCCTGGCGAGCAGATGAACGAGTTATGCGCACCATTATTGGAAGAAAGTGGATGAAGTGCAGTCAGTGCTCCTCCGAACAAGTGATATGAAGTCTAAGTGGAAGGAAGAAGTCTTTCGGAGAAAATCAGCGAGCGTACAGTCTTCCGACACGGAAGAAGATGCATTAGGCAAAATCTATCGATATGTACAAAATCAGATCATCAATGGAATGGACCATCGTCATCAGATGAGTCAAATAATTGTAGTTGAGTTGAGGTAATGGGGGAACAAATCCCCGGGTCACATGATGTGGCGGACCCTCCTTCCGTTCAGCCCCTTTAACAGTACGTCATCTCAGAAGAACGTGTCTTTTGGTGCATGATCGGGAAATGTAAAGGTACATATGTGACAACAATGGCAAAGGGTGTTCCAACTCCTCTCCTTCTTGTCATGCACCCAATGTAAACCAAGCAGATAGCCTCCTCCCAGTTCTTGCATTCACCCATCTACAATAACTCCAAGACTCCATTCAACTCAAATATGCCATCGACTGGTATCAAGTCAAGCCATAACCTCGTAGTAATCAATGATGGTCGCCCATGTTGTGAATGCTAATGTCCATGCGGTCCTTGACCTTGGGGTGCTCCTCCTGGGAGCGCTTGGAGGCAGTCATGATGCCCACCTTGGGCACCTCGGACTCGCCAGGGTTTGCCGCAGGAACGATGTTGCCGTTGGCATCCACCTTGACACCATTTGCGGCCATCTTGAAGTCACTTTCCGTGGCAAAGCCGTGCGTGACTGCCTCCTTGGCGCGGTCCAGGGCCTTGATCTTGCGGCCCTCGCCGCGGATCTCCTCCAGGTGGTCAAAGTAGCCATCGGAAACGGGAGTAACGTAGTTACCGCAGAACACACCGACCTCGAAATCATGAGGCTCGGCAAGACCATTCTCCTTGGCGATCTCGGCACAGGCGCCCTTCAAATCATCCAGGGTCTGGTAGATCACGTTATCGGCGCCAATGTGCTTGGCAATGGCTTCAGCGTCACGACCATGCGCAACCAGCTCAGTAGGGGACGCCAGGTCGATACCGTAGATATGAGCGTGACTGCCATAGTTCATTAGCAGATGTGTGGATGCAAAGCTCTGATTTTCAGAAAATACTTACGTGATCTCGGGCGCGCAGCTGGCAAAGTAGACCTTCTTGGCACCAGCTTCCCGGGCCATGGTGACGATCTCTCGACTCGTCGTACCACGCACAATACTGTCATCAACCAGAAGGACATTTCGGTCCTTGAATTCGGCTTGCATGGCGTTGAGTTTGCGGCGGACGCCCTTCTGTCTCGTCTTCTGTTCAGGCATGATGAAAGTACGGAAAACGTAACGGTTCTTGACGAAGCCCTGGCAGTACGGCTTATCGAGATACCGCGCGACAGCAGCAGCGGAGGTGGTGGATGTCTCGGGGATAGGAATGACAACATCGATGTCCTTGACCACTTCAGGTCCGAGAGTGTCGAGGATTCTGGCGGCAAGACGGTCACCCATGCGCTGGCGACTCCGGTACACGCTGATTCCATCAATGACAGAGTCGGGACGAGCGAAGTAGACGTATTCGAAGATGTCGGGAGCATATGCCTTCTTGGGGGCCACCTGGCGGAAGACAGGCTCGGCGCCCTTCTGGATGATGACCGCCTCACCGGGCTGAATGTCACGGATGTTGGTGAATCCAAGCTGGTGCAGAGCAACCGACTCAGAAGCCATCATGTAGTCCATGCCATCACAGTCTGCGGAGGGCCTGGAACCCAGAACAAGGGGACGGATACCGTAGGTGTCACGGAAACCAAGGATACCAAAGCCTAAAGACATTAGTCATGGTTCGGAATGCGTTCTGGGAGACGTGACGTACCGGCGAGCAAAGCTGTGCATGCGAAGCCACCCTGGCATCTCTCGTACATGCGACTCAGACTGGCAAAGACATCCTCGGCGTTGACGCGGGCCTTCTTGGTCTCGCTCAACTCATCGGCCCAGATGTTCAGCATTAATTCACTGTCACTGTCGGTGTTGATGTGACGGTGGGCCTCGATGTCCAGATATTTTTTCAGCTCGGGAGCATTGATGAGGTTGCCGTTGTGAGCCATGCAGATTCCATACGGACTGTTGACATAGAAGGGCTGAGCCTCCGCATTGGCGCTGCTCCCAGCGGTGGGATATCTCAAGTGTCCAATTCCCATGGAGCCGGGAAGGTCTGCCACCCTGGCGCCGTCATTGAAGACCTTGGCGGCCATACCGTTCGACTTGAGCTGATAGATACGGCCCCCGGTAGCGCACGTGGCAATACCCGCTGCATCTTGACCTCTGTCTGCATACGAAGATGTATTAGCGGCGAGAACGAGTTGGTGTCGCTGGGGTTGATAAGCGGAGTGACTCACGCTGAAGCAGGTAGAGTGCCTCATGGAGGTCGACGGCAGCGGAAGCCGACGGGTTCGCCTGAATCAGAGCGATGATACCACACATGTTGACGGTTGAAGGATTCTGGGTAATAGAATCAAGTCAGCTGTCAATTCTCCCAAATGAAATCCTGTTTAGACGGGTAAAGATTATGCAGCTTGAATCAGATCGGAAATTATCCGCAATGATGCTTAGGAAGTCTAACATCTATAAAAAAAAACCGAAATTCATCATAAAGCAGGGAAGAGGATGGCAGAACGCGGATATATCCACTCTGGGAATAGTTGAATCAGATCATGTACTCACATCTGCAACTAAGATTCAGGATAGTCCTGGATAACACACACAGTGTGGTGGTAGGGTGGGAGAGACCGGAACTTGGCGAGTTGCAAAAAGTGGGATGAATTCGGAAATGTCTACGAAGACATTCCAAGAATCATGTAAGAAAGGAGAGTGAAGGGAGAGAGAGAGGTGGCAAGATTGCCCAAAAATCACGTCCACGGAGGAAACAGTGAGCTGGATAACATGGTTAAAGAAGTTTTAGGAGGGAAAGAGGAGAGGAGGGGAAGAAAAATGGGGATCCCATCTTAATAGATTTGATTTTTTTTTTTTTTTTTTTTTTTTCTTCTTCTTCGCTGTTCCCAAAACTCATTGTTCCCCACTACCAACCGAAAGGAGCCACTAGGCCCAACGCAACAACCCAAGACCATTTTTACCGCCAGGGCCACTGGCTGGCGGGAGGGGCAATACGGTACCTTACCTAACTGCTTCCCACTTCCAGAGTCCGGAGAGTCCGGAGAAAAAGGATACTGCCCGATGCCGGAGCAAGGCGGTCAGCCATCGGGACTTCCTTCCCGGCTTCGGCTTTGGTCTGCAGCCCAGGGTGCCAGGGAGTCTAAGCTCAATGGGGATAAGCGGGTGAGAGATAGTGCTTCGCTTCTCATCCCGTTCCGTTAACTTTATACCACTTCGGGTAATCTATACACCTTCACGTACACTTCACGTTGTTGTTTATGCTATGTCTCACATCCAGGCCTTTTTGTGAAAGATGATCGAGTTACAGGTTGTTTGATTGAGATACATGCATTTAAGACTAATACCTGCATCATTCCATCTTCCAGTTTGTTCAGCCTTTTGCTATAATTCACTGCAGCAATGGCTCAAACCCGCCGACATAAGCAATCATGCTTGCTCACACAAGCCTCTCTCTGTCTTTGTCTTTTGGCTGCTGATGTTGGAAGGCTACTAGCAATCTGGCCACTTGTGTTACGAGAAATGCTCTCAGAGGCTTTGCTAGACATCACCCTCATTCACACAAGAAGTTCGATTTCTCCGGCATCCATCTCTGCACTCTCATAAACTCCGTTGCCTTCTCTTACCACGTGTTAAACCTCATAACTTCCTCTCTTTGACTTCCTCTTACCAGCTGCTTGTTCCTACAATTTCCTCTCACCAAACCTACACTTCTCATTCGAAGCTTGACCTTAACTTGCTCTCTAAAAAACTTGACTTCATCCTGTATATTTCGGGTTTGACAAGATGCCTACTCCGCAGGCCTCTCTGCAGGCGGCGGTGCCGGAGGTCATTGTTATTGATGGCTGCTACTCGGATGCAAGCAGCGTCACCCTTGGAATCGAGCCTGATGACTCAGAACGCCGAATCATTGATCTCACCCCGGATAAAGAGATCAATGACGGGGACTACTTGACAGACGAGGCCTATGAGAGATGGCTTCAGGGATTATACAACGAAGCACAGCAGGCTGTGGCAGTGCAGCCATCCCGGCCTGCAAGGCCGGAGAAGCGTTGCCTGCCGGAGGTGTACCTCAACGGAATTGTGTACAAGGCAGGACAGTCGATGGAGCTCACTGATGGGACCTTCTTGAGGGTCGAGAAGGTCCTAGCAGATCGCGAAGCTGAGATCTGGTTTCGGGGAAGACGCCTCCTGAGAACCCAGCACCACAAAGAGGTTTACATCCCGAAATGGACATTTGAGCTCGTCTGGATTGCGATGGAGAAAGTGGATATCGCGGTGCACAGAGTCAAGAAGTTTGTCTGCATACACTTCACAAACTACTGCCACATCGACCAGGACGACAAGAAGCGCAAACATCCGTGGGACCTTTTCTGTCGCATTAAAGAACACCACGGAGGCAAGAAGAATCCCTCATCCGTGGAGTACTTGACCTACGAAGAGGCAGACGAAGGATTCCGCTACGACCCGGCCATGCTACGTTTGAATTGGCGCGGCCAGACGAAGCCTTTTGGAGCATTCGAACGTAGCCCAGTCGTGGACCTGGTTGATGATGCGGCTCCTCCACGACACGACCCTGAAATCCAACAGATGAAGAGTAGCCGTCAATATACCTTTGGTGATGCATTTTGCGGTGCTGGTGGGATGTCATGCGGGGCGCGTGAGGCTGGTCTACGAATTGAATGGGCATGTGACAATACCCGGCATGCCGTGGACAGTTACAGGAGCAACTATGCTGATGCACTTGTCTGGCATTCCGACATTTACAACTTCCTACATGTCGATGATTCCCCGGTGGTGGATGTCCTTCATGCATCCCCGCCGTGCCAAACCTTCTCGCCAGCGCATACAATCGTGTCCAATAATGATGACGCCAACAGTGCATGCATCTTCTCGTGTTCGAATTTGCTGCAGAAGTCGAAGCCCAGAGTCATTACCATGGAAGAGACGAGTGGTTTATTCGAGCGTCACAAAGATACCTTCAATCGTTTGATCCTGGATTTCATCGATATTGGTTATGCGGTGCGCTGGGGGGTCTTGAACTGTGTCCAATACGGGGTGCCTCAGCTTAGACGGAGATTGGTTATCATTGCATCTGGGTAAGTGATCTTGAAACCTTTCGTCGACGAGGTGCTAATACATGGTAACCTCGAAGACCAGGAGATGCGCTGCCTCCATTCCCCAAGCCTACTCACGGGCTTCCTGGCTCCGGACTTCCGGGGTTCGTTACTATTCATCAGGCTATATCAGGGATCCCGCCTGGCGCATCTCACCACGATGTTGCGCGAGCGTTGGCTCGTGGACCGAGCCAGGCGCCCCTCGATGGCAATGGACAAATTGGAACCATTACCTGCGGTGGGGGTGAATTGAATACTCATCCTGATGGAAATCGCACGCTTACGAATAGGGAGTATGCCTGCTTGCAGACGTTCCCTGTTCTTTATCACTTTTGCCCACCGAGAGTAAGACAGCAGATTGGGAATGCAGTACCTCCGAAGATGGCGGAGGCGCTTTACAAAGAGATTATAAGGGTACTTCAACAGACCGACGAGAGGGAGTCGAGCAAAATCTCTGCGTAGCTGATGCTTTGCCATGGGACCGGCGGTGCTTTTGCTAGTTTTGTTTCCTGCTTTGGTTATTCGTTTGATGCATACCTTTCGAAATGGGCTCGAACTGTTAGATCGGTTTCGAGCTAAGGTCTTTCCTTGGGTGAGTGTCGATTGCAAGTCGCACGACGCTGGGGTTCGCTCGACGCCTGGTCCCCAATCATGTTCTTATTCTCAGGTCTCTGAATGGTGGCGGAAGATCGAGGAGGTCCGTGATTTTTATGGACTGCTTGTCAGAGTGTCCGTTTCTATATCGGTAGCTTATCTAGTATCATATTTTCAGGTTTCAGCAATCTTACTTGCCATTAGCAAAACTGGGTAAAAGTGTAGTATCCGTACGAAGTCACGTACCACAAGCCTATTACAAGCAAGATTGACAAGAGAAATTACTCCGTAAGCGCAACTGGGTCTCGGATCTAAGCCACATCGCTGCTCGATCTTGCAGAATAGCAAGATGCATCTGAAGTCCCAGAAAGAACTCCTGTGTCTCCGCGATCATTGGCTTTCGTGCGACGATCACCCTTCAAGAACCCCAGCATGCGAAGCTTGTTTTCCTACGCTCAGCAGCAAAACTTGCAGGGATCAGCTACTTGTCAAATGGATATGTGATGGACATGTGTTCTCTTGACGAACGCTACACTTAAGCACGATCTGCAGACTGAGAACGTGTGTGACTATCCTTGTTTCTTACAGACCGAGCAGGAAGGCGAGGCCATCCTTCCCAACACTGACTTACTGCAATAGGTCTACGTCTTCAACCGTCCGGTTGAGATCCACATTTCTCCGTCCAGCCCGCACTCGTTTCAGTGACTGTGTCTCGTGTTTTTGACCCGTGTCAGTGATAGATTCTGTCATCGACACATGCACATTCGCCGTTGCCTCTGGTCTTCTAACATCCCAACACCCACATTTCAACGCCTTTCTTCGAACACGTTTCTACTCAATTGATCATTACTTCAAGTCTATCAGACCGTTGAGAACGTCTTGTTCGTTTTCCTTGACATATTCTCAGTCGCCCCCGTCATCATGCCCCCTTCCACGCGGGTCGCTCGTCGGAAGATAACACACATCAAGGATGCTGCGGAGGTCTCCGACCCAATCATCGAAGACACCCCTGCCTTCAGAAGCCAGCTGGAGGATCTGCGTAAGGTCTGCCAGGAACACTGCGCTGCTTACCGTGCACCCAAGAATACCTGGGAGCTCGGGGACCCTCCACCCCCCAAACTCAAGTCACCCAAGGGTGAGGAAAAGGGCAAGCCCAAGGGAAGAGATCTGCTGGGACACTACCGTTCCGGCCCGCTCGTTTCTGGGATCTGGGACCCGAAAAGGCACGGATGGCCTCCCGCTGGAGTTCAATTGACAGACGCTTGGATCTACAACGCCTGCAAATACCTCTCTACGACTGAGCGTCATGACAGGTATCCCGCTGACTTTGACGGTAATGGCATGATACGACAGAGCAGGGTACCCTGTGGCCCTACGTTTGTGATTGCAGCACATGGATTGTATGCATATCCCATCTTCAAGGGTTATTACGTTCTATGCGGGGAGGAAGGGCGTAAGTACTGCACTTGGCTGCTGCAACGCCAACGTGATGCAATAAGCAACCAGTTCCACTTTAGAAGATGTATTATTGGGCCAGTGTTGCCATCCCCCAGCCTTCGCCCGTCTAACGGCTCTGTTATCAAACTCCAAAGCCACTGCCCGGGGGTTGATGTGGCCTCTGGTCCTAAGACCCGGCTTCCCAGACCGGAGACGGACATCTGGACCGTGTTTTTGAATGATATGGTTCTGCAGTACAAGAAACCGGATACCTACGAGATTGTGAAACTCGCGTCCTTAAAGCCGCGTCTCACCTGCACAGAGTCTCCGCAGTCAGACAAGCTTGTGAATCGCCAAGTAGCCGCAGCTACGGCGAGCAACACACCGAACTCAAAAGGCACTACCAACCCAGTGAAGCAGGAGCGCTCCGATCCTGATACGATTTCCACTGCCCCGAAGAAGTCTACAGCGGCGAGTAGCCCTACTGACTTCGTCAGAGAGTGTCGCTCATCTAGTTCATCCACTAGACAGACCACGACGACGCCCAGCACCGAACCATCATCTGCCACAGGAAAGGGGAAAGTCAAGCGTGGTTATCCCGAAGACCAGCCAACACCGGCCCGTACGCCTAGCAACCGTGCCTCTGACACTACTCATTCCCCTGAAGCTGAATATGGCGAGGATCGTAACCGCAAGCGTCGTCGAACTAGTCAGGATGGACAACTCCTGTCAGGCCTATACGAGTCCGTCATGCGGACCAAATTTCATTTCGACACTTTTCTCGCGTCTTCCCGGGAGGCGGAAAAACGGCATGAGGCATATCGGAAGGCGATGGAGCAGAGACAGAAGCATCATAACGCCTGTGTGGAGGCGGCCATTGGGACATTCAACCACATCCAGAATTGTGTAGCATACCTCCAGGAAGGACTAGGCGGCAGCGATGCGGAAGGCGAACAAATTCCTGGTAAGGTTGATTCCAATGGCGGAGGATTGCAGTCTCAAAGGGTGGTAGGTGATACTGATGGAGATGATACTTCTGAAGTGGATTCCGGGGAGGAGGAGGAGGAGGAGGCTGGGGCCAAATGATAAGATGGGGACAAGTGGATCCAAGAGTGAGGGGGAAAGGGCATCACATGATGCTCAACAGAAACCGTTTGCACTATTTTCCCAGTTGTGTTCCATGTCAACAGGTCAAAAGGAGAACAGAATATCGCCATACTCAACTAGCTGAATGCAATTGAGGGAACGATCCAAAAATGGTTCCATTGATTCAGAATTGAGAAAGGTATAGTCTTCAACTTGTAGCATACAGTAGACATAGTATGGATCAACCAGCCGAGGTGAAGGGTTGCCGGCAATAGCCGCCCCCCATACACAAAGCGGCCTCGGTCCGAAGCCCCGGCGGTAAGCTTTCCGTCCTTATACAGTACTGTCTGTCTCCGGGCTCTCCAACCGTAAGGCCCAGGAAGGACACCCTCAACTTGCTCCCTTTCTTCGCAATTCCCCCTTCTCTCCCTCTTATATCTCAGCGATCCTCCTCCTTGTCAAGTACACACTCATTGCTGGCTTCGTTGGGTATATCCTGCACTGGTTCACCTTCCTCTTTCTCCCTCCCTCATCCCCATTATGTCTGCCTCTTGTTCAGCGTTGAGACGGCTGACCCACAGGTCTCCTCCCCGCACTTGGCTCTCCTCTTCCCGCATCGTCTCCCGCAACAGACCTGCCTCCTCCAGTGTTTCCCATATCACCGCCAGAACGCATCCGTCGACGATTCCTCGTGTCTCCCAGTTCTCAACCATGGCATCTCTACAGCAAGCTCCCCCGACGATTCCCACCGACCGGCCTTATGACCCTGAAATTCAGGAGTTGAGTGACTATATCCACAACTACAAGGTGGACTCGGATTTGGCGGTACGGGGGCTCCTAATTTCACTCTCCATCAAGCTCAAACTCACACCACTGACTGAATGACTTCATCGTAGTATGACACCGCCCGTCTCGTCTTCCTCGATACTCTGGGATGTGGTCTGGAAGCTTTGAAGTTCAAGGAATGTACCAAGTTGCTGGGTCCCGTGGTCGAGGGGACCATCGTGCCCAACGGGACCCGCGTCCCCGGCACTCCTTACCAGCTTGACCCGGTCAACGGTGCCTTCAACATCGGTGCGATCATCCGCTGGCTCGACTACAATGATTGCTGGCTGGCTGCGGAATGGGGCCACCCCTCCGACAACCTGGGCGGTATCCTGGCGGTCGCAGACTGGATCTCCCGCACGAACCGGGCCGGCGGCAACCTTGCCAATGGCAAGATCCTCAAGGTCAAGGATGTGTTGGAGGCGATGATCAAGGCCCACGAGATCCAGGGTGTGCTGGCACTGGAGAACTCTTTCAACAAAGTCGGCCTGGATCACGTTGTGCTGGTCAAGGTTGCGACCACGGCTGTTGTTGCCAAGATGCTGGGCTTGAACGAACAGAAGACTGCCGACGCCATCACTCAGGCCTTTGTAGACGGCCAGTCGCTTCGCACGTACAGACATTCGCCCAACACCATGTCGCGCAAGTCCTGGGCGGCGGGTGATGCCTGCCAGCGGGCGGTGAACTTGGTGCTCAAGGTGCAGAAGGGTGAGGGTGGCTTGAAGACCGTGCTGTCTGCCCCTGTGTGGGGTTTCTATGACGTCTTGTTCAAGAGCAAGAAATTCCAGTTCCAGCGTCCTTACGGCAGCTATGTCATGGAGAATGTTCTGTTTAAGGTGTCCTATCCCGGTAAGTTGCGCCCTGCATCGACGGAGAGGGATGGGGTCTGACAGTCTCCTAGCCGAGTTTCACTCGCAGACCGCGATCGAGGCTGCGGAGATTGTGAACGCGAAGCTCAAGGCTTTGGGCAAGAGCGCCAAGGACATCAAGGAGATTGTTAACCGCACGCATGAGGCTTGTGTGCGCATTATCGACAAGCAGTTCAAGGCGATGGACAACTTCGCCGACCGCGATCACTGTGTTCAGGTAAGATGATCGAGTGGTTGCTTCTGACTGGATGCTGACTGAGGTAGTACATGGTTTCGACCATGTTGGTCTTCAACCGCCTGACGGCCAACGACTATGCGGACGGGTCCGAGGCCGCTACTTCGCCGCTGGTGGAGGATCTGCGCAAGCGCATTCGCTGTGTCGAGGACCCGCAGTTCACCACGGACTACCATGACCCGTCCAAGCGGACCATCCCCAACGCCCTGACTGTCACCTTGCACGACGGGACCGTCTTGGACGAGGTCGTGGTCGAGGCGCCCCTGGGCCACCGCCTGCGTCGTGAAGAGGCCAAGCCGGAGATTTTGGCCAAGTACAAGCGCCACTTGCAGGCCCACTTTGACCAGGCTCGCATCGACGAGCTTATCAAGGTCGGCCTGGACCAGGCTGCCCTGGAGAACTACGATGTGGACAAGTACGTCGATCTGTATGTCAAAGATCAGATGGTGGCTGCGCACTAGATAGCATGATGTAGCGGTAGCCTCGATTTCAATGAAACAAGTTTACTTGAACCCGTCGATACCACGTAGGGTGAGATACCGCATCGTCTGCGATTTGAGCTGTACTAGAGCCACCTGCCAAGAGCACAACAACGCTCCAAGACCTCCGAGATAATCCGCATCGAGCTGATGGGTCAAGCAGTATACCCTCCACCATGATCATAACCCAGATAGCACAGGCATCAAATCCCCTATACTTAGTCCTATGATTGGCGAGCCCCAATCTCTCCGTGCCAGACGATAGGATTTCGGCGATAAGTAGAAAGGAAACATCAATGCCCCACCTGATAACCCCCCTCCCCCGCCCCAACTTCCCAAGAGAACCTGGGGAAACCCGAGCCGAGAAGAATCTAGGCGAGGGATGAGGGGGACAGAACTGTTCTGTTTGGCCGTTATCTCGGCATGGCAACTTGAACGTATAGTACGTACGGCTAGTAGCGTTGCCGACGCAGCCAATTGTAGCGGGACGCTTATCCTACGCTTGGACGATACCTACTGCCTGGTTTCTTGGATTTGGCAGTGATTATCACGGGGTCTATCTGGGCGGTTGATACTAGGATACGCAGACGTGAGTAGTGTTCGGGTTCTCATGTTTGGAGAGGGGGGGGAGGTCTGGGAGTATAATTAGTCCACATGTTGTGTTCGCATTAGGGGTCGGAGGTTTTACTTCTATGCTCGACAGCTGCCTTCCATTCTGCTTCTTGCAAAGGTACCACAGTTCTTGATTGACCGGATTGGATCGTGTAAAGCATGCATACTCCCGCCGACGAGAAGAAAACCCAGTATGAGGCCGGCAGGGAGGTCGAGGACCGCGAGAGCGTGGCGAATGGCTCGTCGACAGAGTTCTCAGCTGAGACGGAGAGGAAGCTGGTGCGGAAGATTGATCTGATGTGTGTGTATCTCCTCCACGTTTTACGTTTTTTGTGATCATGGAGAGATGGGGTGGGGTGGGGTGTATGCTGCTGACGACGATGCGCACAACAGGATCCTCCCCATCATGCTCGTGGCATATATGATGTCCTTCATGGACAAGCAGATGCTGAGCTATGCGGCCATCATGGGGATCATGCAGGATCTGGGTCTGACGGGGTCAGAGTATAGTTGGAGCTCGGCGATTTTCTACTTTGGTTATCTGGCTTTCAGGTTGGTTTGTTGGTTGCTTGGGTTTGGGCTGTCGAGGATGGTGGCTGATGTGCATTTGTCTAGCTATCCCGCCTCGTTGCTGATGGTTCGGTTTCCCTTGGGGAAGTATCTGGCGTGTACTTAGTATGTGAAGACAACACCCCATGCATGCATGTCCTGGGAAATGGGATCGCTGACACCGCCAGCATCATCTGGGCGATTGTCCTCGCCTGCCACGCCGCAACAACCACCTTCACCGGGTTGATGATCGCTCGCTTCGTCCTGGGCTGTACCGAAGCCAGCGTCTCCCCGGGGTTCAGTCTCCTGACCTCGCTGTGGTACCGCACCTCCGAGCAGCCCCTGCGCCATGGGATTTGGTTCTGTGGCAACTCGCTGTCGTTGATTATCGGGGGCGCGATTGCTGTGGGGATTTGGCAGATCGAGACGAGCTTGCCAGCCTGGAAGGTGAGCATGTCGCTTCCCGCTCCCTTGAATTCAATCCATTGACGGGGTCATAACCAGTGGCTATACATCATCTTCGGCCTCGTCACCTTGACCTGGGGGGTGGTGATGCTGTTCCGCCTGCCCGACTCGCCCACCAACGCGACCTTCCTCACCCCGGAGGAAAAGGCCATCGCGATTGCGCGACTGAAGGCGAACCGGGCCGGGTACAAGACCAACCGGATCGACCGGGGCCAGATGGGGGAGGCGTTGCGGGATCCCAAGACGTGGTTCTTGGGGGTGTTGATTTTGGGCTGCAATATTCCGAATGGAGGGTACACTACGGTAGACTCCCGACGCTTGATACAGTACTCTGCTGCATCCACCGCTGACGATGACACGGTGGGTAGTTTTCGGGACTGATCCTCCAGGGATTCGGGTATAACACTCTCTACACCCTCCTCCTCGGTATACCGGGGGGGTTTATCTCATTTCTGGTGGTCTTGGTCTCGTAAGTTCTGCCTACCACTGTTTCTGTTTCTGTTTCTGTTTCTGTTTATGCTGCTTAAAAACAAAACACCACCACCCTCCACACCCAGTGGGACCCCGAACTAACCAACCACTGCACAGATGCTACACCTCTTCCCGAATCCCCAACAGCCGCTGCACCATCTCCATCATTCTGACTTGCCTCAGGTTGGTCCAGATACCTATACCTACATCTCTCCCATACTCCTACTCACTCACACAATCAAAGCATCCTAGGCACAGCCCTCGTCTCCGCCACCCACCACAACGCCTCCCGCTACATCGGCCTCATCCTCATGAGCTTCTACGCGGTCACCATGCCGCTCTCCATGGCGCTGATCAGCGCCAATGTCGGCGGCGTCACCAAGCGCAGCACCGTCAGCGCCATCTATTTTATCCTGTATTGTGTGGGGAATATCGTCGGACCGCAACTATTCTTTGCGGATGAGGCGCCGCGGTATCCGGTAGGTTTCTTGTTTTCTGACTGGGCTGAATGGGGACAAGCTAATCGGTGATTGTTTGCCAGAGCGGGTTTGTGGCGGTTTTCGTGTGTTTGGCTGTTGTGGTGGGTGTGCTGGCGGGGTTGGTGGTGTATCTGCGGCGGGAGAATCGCAAACGAGATGCGAGGGCTGAGGCGAGGGCTGAGGCGGAGGGGGGCGGTGTTGATGATCGAGAGCAAGCGCATGACTCTGAGTTGGTAGATGTGACGGATCGGAGGAATGAGCGGTTCAGGTATGTTTATTAAAACCCTGCCTGACGGGAGGTTGATTACTGCTTGGATGGGTACGAGTTGGAGGTTGAGCTTATGATCCCGTTGCAACAATGAGCAACAATGATGGATGATCTCTAGAATACTGTATTCCTGAGTAAAGTCACAGAGTGGTGAACTCAACCATGCACAAATCTATATAATTCTATCTCCAGCCCTAACTCCCCTAACCCTCCCCATCCCAAAAATCTAAACCATTGAAACCTCCTTCTGCACCACCATTCCCCCCTCCTCCCGACTCATCGTCGTATACCGACTAAAATCCCTCTTCTCCTCCTTCTCCCTCCCCCCCGCCCGTCCGGGGGTTCGATGCCGGAAATACACCCTCTTGCCCCACTTCCACGCCTCCACCCCGACAAAGAACAACCCCGCCTCCACAAACACCACCCCCCACTCCCACGAGATCCCGCTATGCTTGAACACCACGTCATTGATCACCGGAATATACAGGATCGGGAAGGTCGTCACGAACCCGACCATGATGCCCGCGAAGAGGAAGCGGTTGCGGCGGAGGGAGGCGAGCCAGCTGCGGAGTCGCTGGAGGAGGGGGCGGGGTGTGGTTGTGCTGGATGCTGGTTCTGGAGCGGCGTGATTGTCGGGGCTGGCGGCAGGGAGACGGAAGAAGCTCCGACGCAGATCGACCAATTCCCACGCCAGGAAGAGGGCGAACCAGGTCATACACACAAAGGTGGTGGCGCGCGCGCGGTAGACCGTGTCGCAGGCGGCGGTGTAGTCGCTGTTGCAGCCCGTAGCCAGATTGCCGTCCCCCCAGGCGAAGAGGACGAGGGAGAAGGCGGCGAGCGAGAGGGCGGCCATCCAGAGGCCGTAGACGAGGGTGTCGAGGATGACTTCCCAGGCGAAGATGCCTTGTTTCTGTTCCGGGGTCGTTAGTTTGAATGTGCTGGAAGCAAGAAGAGGAGGAAGGAGGTTAAGGGGCTTAACGGCTTGAGGGCTCACTTACACTTTGAGGCGGTCGGTCCATGATATCAGGCGCAGCCACTTCCATCCCCAGTCCCATGTCTGGGAGCCCCGAGGTGACCATGATGATCCACAGGATCTCCACCGGGGCAATGGGGAAGACCGACTGCCCGTTCTCGTCCTTGAAGGCCAGCCCGAGCAGGAGTGTCAGGGCGAGACCGACGTTCTCGGCCAGGAGATGCAGGACGAACTTCTGGATGTTGTCGAAGATGCGCCGGCCTTCTTCGATGCCGTGGATGATGGAGGCGAAGTTGTCGTCGGTCAGCACCAGCTCCGAGGCCTCCTTGGCCACGTCGGAGCCCGACTGGCCCATGGCGATGCCCACGTCCGCTCGTTTGAGGGAGGGCGAGTCGTTGACCCCGTCGCCGGTCATGGCGGCGTAGCGGCCCCGCCGGTGCAGGGCCTCGATCATGCGCACCTTGGTGGTCGGCGCGCAGCGGGCGATCACCAGCGGGAGGGTGGGCAGCGCGTCGATCTGCTCCTCGCTGAGTCGATCGAACTGACTGGCCGTCATGACCATCGCCTCGGCCACGTCCTGCGCGACCCCGGCCATGTCGCGGGGGATGATGCCCACTTGGGCGGCGATGGCGCGCGCAGTGCCGGGGTGGTCGCCTGTGACCATGTGGACGGTGATGCCCGCCCGACGACACTCTTCGATGGCGCCAGCGGTTTCGGGGCGAGGAGGGTCATACAGCCCGATCAATCCGGCGAAGGTGAGCTCCTTCTCAACCTCGTCGCGCGCAGGCACCGCCTCGCTTGGGGCGAGGATCGGCTTCCATGCCAGCGCTAGCACGCGCAGACCTTCCTGGGCCAACTCTTCCATCTTGTGGAGGATCTTCTGCTTCTTCTCCTCATCTAAAGGAATAGCCTCCTGACCGGCTGTCCAGACAGCCTGCGTGCACGAGTCCAGCACCCGCTCCACCGCCCCCTTGGTGAAGACCATGGCGGCCGCGGTCTCGCTGTTCTCAAAGATGACCGACATCTTCTTGACCGTCGAGTCGAAGGGATACTCGGCCTTCTGCGTCCACACCGGGTTGCGACCAGCCGTCCATCGCTCTCGTCCCCAGTGGAAGCGCATGGCGAAGACCTGGATGGCGATATCGGTGGGCTCGCCGCGCGCCTGCCACTCGTGGGATTCGTCCGAGTAATGCACATGGGCCAGATTGGCCATGGCGGCGACATTGAGATATTGTTGCAGGAGGGGCCCGGAGTGGTCCGCCTGGAGCAGGGCCTCCCTGCGGGACTCCCATGGCTGAGTGCGGTCTGTATCGGCGGTGGCCAGATTGACCCCCTCCCCACCCTCCGGGTTCAGGACATCGCCCCCTTCGCCCAACACCGCCAACTGCCCCAGTCCCGCCACCCACGCGCGCTTCACCACCATCTTGCCCTGCGTCAACGTCCCCGTCTTGTCCGAGCACACGTCCTGCACCGCCCCCAGCATCTCCAGACTCTCCAAGCGTCGCACCACCACATTCCGACGGACCATCGACCGCGTCCCCGCCGCCATGGTGATTGTCAACACCACCACCAAGCACGCCGGGATCATCGCCAGCCCCGTCGCCACCGCATAGATGATCACCTCGCGGTCATTGCGCATCCCGTTCGCCCCCATCACCACCAGCGCAAACACCACGGCGATGTCGAACAGCACCAGCGCCAGCGCCGACAGCTTTCGCTGCAGGGGGGTCCCTGTGTTCAGCCCCAGGAAGGTGAGGATGTAGGCGGTGGTTGATCCGCCCCAATTGGCGAGCGGGGTCAGCACCTTCTCGCGCTTTTTCGGAGGGTCGTCTGGGTCGGTGCGCGGCCGGCGGCGCGTGTAGCGGGCGGCGGACTGGTTGGAGGCGTGGAGCGCTGCCGCGATGAGGCCGATCTCGGTGGCCATCCCGGTGCTGGTGATGATGCCGCGGCCGCGGCCCCGCGTGATGGTCGTCGAGCTGTAGGCGATGTTGAGGCGGTCCCCCGGTCCGGTTTCGGGCTCGTAGGTCTGGTGGGGGGTTTTGGGGATGGGGAGGGATTCGCCAGTCAGTAAAGCTTCGTCGGTTTCGAGGTTCATGGTTTCGATGAGTCTAGATTGCTGTCAGTGATGAGTGTACTGCTTCACCTCAAGGATACTCAAGGATATCAAGGGCAATCAATACTCCTGATCCGAGGTACGGTACGGTACTTGCACCGCTGGGGACAACCTCACAGACAAAAATAATGAAATCAAAATCACTGCACTCACCGAACATCCGCCGGCACGGTATCCCCCACCTTCAACTCCACCACATCGCCCACCACCAACTCCTTGGCCGGCACCGTCTGGGTCTTCCCGTCGCGGGTGACGGTGCCCGTGGGGGAGCTCAGCGAGCGCAACGAGCCCATCGTCTTCTCGGCGGCGAAGTCCTGATACACGCCCACGACGATGTTCAGCCCGATCACCGCACCAATCACGCCGCCCTCGATCCAGGACTGGATGCCGAAGCTGACGGCCATGGCGATGATGAGCACCTGGGGGGAAATTGTGAGTCATGTTTGTCATAAGGGTCAAACCCTCGAAGCGAAAGAAGAAGGAGAAGAAGGGTGATACCCACCAGCATCATCGCATTGGCCACCTGCCGGATGACAATCCCCACTAAGGAAACCCCCTCCTCATCCTCCAGCTCATTGGGTCCATCCTGCTGCAACCGTTTGGCCGCTTCGACGCTGGAGAGCCCGTGGTCTGGGTTGACGGCGAGCTCGTGCAGGATCGTCTCCCAGGATAATGCGTGCGCGGGTTGGGAGAGACGCGGGTGCGGGGCGTGGTTGTCGTTGGATCTCGATTTCATCGTCAGGTAGAGGTCATGTGTCTATTTCCGGAAAGTAAAGAAAGGGCGAATTGATCTATGTGAAGGGTGTTGTCATAGATGCTGCTGCTGCTGCTGCTCTAATCTGTACAACAGCGGATTCCAAATCCAAAAGTCTAGATTCCGGCGCTTTGTTCCAAAGATCTGGAGTCCTAGATCTGATCACTTGTGAATCTCGGCTGAACCAACAACCCAAAAGAGGCAGGGTCATGGCTGTGCCTTATATCTCTCTATCTCCGAACCCCTCCCGTCCTGCTTTCTCGGCATAAGTCGCATGGATGGCCGACAGTGAATCGTTGAATTGGGGTAAATGTCGTGCCCAGACCGTGCCAAGCGAAGCACAGCTCCAGTCAGACGATTTGCCGCCCGCCAACGCCATGACGCAGACCAGGAATGGGCTATCCATGGGTACAAAAGGAATGGGGGGGCGAATGATACGTTTAGCCCTAGAAAGTCTCCCGCTGGTACGCTCTGCCAAGTCCGGTTCCGCAAGGACGCGGAGAAGAAAACGGCAGCCCCCGGGCCCCAGCTGGGCGGGAAGATGCATCAATCCCTCGCCTCGTGTTTGTTCCGTCCTTTTTTACGGATGGTTGTTGCATGCCGTGACGGCCGAGAACTGAAAGCACAAAGCCGTACAGCCCCATACCGCCGAATCGTATTCCCGCAAATGAAAATAGGGGAGGGGTGGACTTTAAAGCTCAGTGTCCCACCCCCGGTCGGCTAGCCCGGTTTTTACCTCTTCTTTTGACTCTGCTTTTCTCTCGCTGCAGAAGTCTGTTGCGACGGATCTGATCTTATGCTTGCTCCTACTGCTGCTTGTGCTGGTGCTCGTGCTTGTGCTTGATGCGGTACTGCGTGTCGGTTCACACAGGAATCAGTCTACGCAGGACCAGTCTACCTCTCACGCAGTTGCATACTCCTTTCGGTCCTGTTTTCTCCTCTCCGTGACTTGAAGTCTCCTTTACATTTCCATCCATCCTGCAGTCGCCGATGACGGACAATAACCCACCCCCGAGTGGCGAAATCGTCGGCGTGATCGTCGGAGCCGTGGCTTTGTTCATCGCCATTAGTTTTCTGCCAATGTACGTTCTGCTGGTGTTTTCTCCGCGGAACCACGTATCATCTTCTCCAGCTGCCCGACCCCGAAGGATGGCACTGCCAAGACCGTTATCTCGTTTTCCGGGCGAGCATCTCCTGGCGCCAAGAGCTTGGGTCTTGTCTTGTCTTGTCTTTCCCCCTCTCCTCTTTCTTTCCTGGTCACCTCCCTACGGTCAACCCCTCAATGCTAATATGGAACGAAAGTGTAATCACATGGCACCGCCGTCGTCGTCGCGCCCGCCGCGTCGCCGCCGCAGCCGCAGACGGCACCACCCCCCACCATCGGCGGGACAGCGCCCTCGATCCCCTAACCGGCAGACCCTCGATGCAACAGATCCCCAGGTCCACCACCTCGACCGTCCGACTACCCGTGCCCAAGGTCAACGTGGAGCGCTGGCTGGAAGAACAAACCCGTTCGGGCACCAACGAGCCCTGGCATTTCGCCCAGGAATCCTGGTACGTTTTTCTTGTCCGTGTGTTCTCGGAGGGTTGTTTGAACTTTCCTGGGGTCTTGGCTCTTGGCTTTTCTTGGGAAGGGGGGGTGTTTGGGTTCTGGTGATGTCATCTCCCCCTCCCTGAAAACCCGCGTAGCTCGGAGGGTTTCTGGTTGGCCAAGAGGGCCCTGGTCTTGGCGGGGAGGGTCGCTTGGCGGGATTCCTTGGCATCTTCCATTCCTCCGGGTTGTCTTTGACTAGGGAGTGGGACTCGTATGCATATCCGAGGGGCGGGGGGTGTTTGGGATTCGCCACTTTCCCCCGGAGTGAGTATGCTAATTTATGTCTGATTTAGTGCCATCTGTCTCGAACGTCTCAAGGTGGAGGATGAGAAGATGCCGACTACGTCCACCACCGCAACGGCAACCGCTCCCAACGATGACATGAATCATCCGCCCACAGCCCCCCAACCCGCTTGGATCCCCCCCCGTTCTGGTGGTCACGGCAGTCACCCGGACCTAGAAACAGGGTTGAGCGATTGGCGCCGCGGTTCGCTATCCTCTGCTTCCTCAGACCTCGACACCGCTCCTGCGCCAGGCCAGGCAAATGATGTCTTGGTGCTCAAGAGATGTAACCATGTCTTCCATGCGGCGTGTCTGGTCCTGTGGGTCGAGCAGCATCGGTATAGGTGTCCGGTCTGTCAGGCTTCGTTGAAGCATAGTTCTTGTTCTTGATGGTCCCGGGTGCTCTGCAGTGACTTGGTGATGTCTGCTGGTTTCCGTTCGTGACGGGCCCCGGCTCTCTGTAGTACGAGTAGTGATGATGTCTGTGCCGGTTTTTCCGTTCCTGGTTGCCGAGATATATTCGCCAAGAGCGAGAGCAGCGTCACCTGGTTTTCTGTGTGGTGAGGTGTCTGGGTATGTAACGATAAGATGATCGGCGTCTTGGGGTTTGCTGCCGCTTTTCTTGCTCTTCTTCTAGTTTGGTGTCTGTGTTGGACGTTGGTGATGGCGTGACTCACCCCCCTCTGTGTAATGTTAACTTCTCGCCGCGCTGGTTGCGCCTCTCCAATGACTTTAGCTCTGCGTCGAGCTTGTTATGCATCCTCCTTGGCACGCCCAGCGTCCAGCTCAATACCAAGAATAGGATGCATCATGACCAGCTAGAGTGGCTACAACGAACCAACACATACCACTATCCATCAACCAATCTGCACCTCCATCTCCATTCCTGCCCCCTCCCACCCACCATCCTCCCCCTCCTCCCCCTCCACCGCCGCAACATTCCCCATCCCCATCCCCAGCCCCAACCCCAACCCGAAAGGATCACACCCCTGAATCACAATTTCATCAAACCTTTGACTCACGCGACGATAATTCAACCCATACCGGCCCAGCTCCTGCAGCCGCATCGAGACCCAATCCTGGTAGATGCGATCGGGGGTGGCGATGCCCGCGATAAACAACGGCCAGACGATCCGGACCATCAAGTGCGGGCGGCTGCGGTGGAGGTTCAGGCTGAGGGCGAGGACCTGATCGACGGCGTCCGTGAGGGAGGGGAGATCGGATGGCTGGTGGTGGTAGGGGAATTGGGATTGGGGGATGGTGTCTTTGAAACACAGATGGAAGTAGACGATTGTGCCGTAGAAGGTGATGGTGGCCCAGAAGATGGTTTCGAGGATCCGGCGGTGTGGGAGGTGGGTGTTGGTGTTGCTGCGGTCGCCGGTCGGGGCGGTTTGGGCGGTGGTTAGGAGGGTGTTGTTTTCCTGGGTGGGTTTTAGTATGATGAGGGAAGGGGGATTGGGAGGGGGATTTAGGTAATTTAGGATGACTGACGTCGAGGATCGTGGTGAGCTCGTCGACGAGACGACGATACGAGGGCTCAGAGGTCCGCTGTCCCTGGCGCCACAGTTCGGTGATCTTGAACTGCATCACATGGCTGCGGTGGTAGAGGGTCAAGGCGGGCAGATTCTCGATATCGTCCAGCTGCGCCGCGGTCGGGTACGCCTCCCCCCAGAAGCGACGCGGCGACTGCCGGCCAATGCGGTACAGCTCCGCCAGGCTCAGCCCGGCGTGCTCGGCCTCGTCCTGGATGAAGAAGCGAAACAGATCGGCGTCCAGCCGGGCGGCCCCCGGTCCGCAGAAGAGCGCCCCGGGCGTGAAGAAGTACAGCGTCCACAGCAGGAAGAGTGGCACTGCGGTGTGTCGGAGTTGGCTGGTCGCCCTGGTGAGCTCCCGGGGGGGAGGAGTCGGGGCCGGCGTCGGGCGCGGTGGGCTGCTGCCCGCAGAGGCAACCATCGCCTCCCTCCATGAGGTCCGACCCCCACTGCGATCCGCGATCGCCGCGGCCGCCTCCGAACCCGGCTTCAACAGCGGCACGACATGGTTGAAGAGCAAGCTCTCGATGCCCCGGATGTGCACGTTGATGGCGGCCGTGCCGCTCCCGAACCGATTCTCATAGTCGATCATCAGCCACAAGGTGATGAAAATGGCCTCCAGCTGCTCGGCCGAGGTGGCGCCCTCCGGCCGCAACGCCTCGCGCAGCCCGGCCAGCGCCCGTCCGTAATGCATGCGACCCCCGAGATCCGCCAGCGCCTCGACCGCGCCCGGCTGGTGGTGGTCATGATCATAAAACTGCGAGCGACGGATCTCGCTGGCCGTGCTCGCCAGCAGCATACTCATCACCATGGGCTCCTTGACGGCGATCTTGTGGTAGGCGTACGACATGGCGGACCAGGGCCAATGCTTGCCCAGCAGCACGACCAGCGCGGAGTCTTGGAGGTAGGCGATGCACGCGCGGTCGAAGTCGGTCAGCACCAGCGAGTTGGCCGCTTGGACGGCCCGGTTCTTGCCTCCGGGCGAATGCAAGGTGCGGAGGCTTGGAGATCGAGCGGGCGTCGACGTCCGCAGGGGGCTGTTTCGTGGGACCGTCATGGTGGTACTATGGACGGATTCACCCGCGTGCGCCGGTGTCTGTGCTTCCTTGGTCGCAGCTGCGGAGGCAGCACTGCGTCGCGCAGGGGTCCGCGGAATGGGAGCGCCCGTCCACTCGCACGCGATGCGGGCGGCGGTGCAACGCCTGCATTGCGGTTCCGGCTGGCCGGGGACGGTCAATTTCTCCTCGTCGCACTTGACCTTGCGGATGCGACACGTGCGACAGCCTGCGTTGCATTTAGTTGCCGTGGGGTGTAGATTGTGTTCATGTCCAAACCAGTGGGTCCTTACCGGTCCTGGAGCGAGTCTTCTTGCCGAGCTTGTGCATCGCGATACTTAGTGCTGCTGGGCTTCGGCAGCGCTCCACCTGGTCGGTTGCTCGCTGGAGTAGTTGTGTGGGGGGGGGCTGTCAGGTCATGTATATTGTGTCAGGTGTTAAGAGAGGGTGTAAGCGATGTCTCTCCCGTACGAAAGAGGAGTCGGACAGCAAGATGAGGGGCTGGCGATAACCTCAGGCTCGTTACTCGATGCTCTACAAAAGCGAGGCGAGGCGGAAGAACTGCCGGGCCGGCAGAAGTGCCGAGGCAGGCAATGCGATTGGCTCCGTCGGCAGCAGTCAGGTGATCAGCCTGTGTGTATAGCCAATCGAAACACATTATGTGATCCACTCTCGCTACGTTCGGCAATACAGCCGATGTGCAGTGATTGATGCCTGATAATCTGGGCATCCTTCAATGACTGTCCAGGTTGTACCGAACATACAGCACATATCTACACAATATATATATAATATGATGGCCATCATGTCTCAATTCCCGCCAAAGATCATGATCATACCACTGAGGTACACACTCCCCCAAAATGACCGACCAAAACACCCAAGAACGCTTCATCGAAAGCGTGCAAGCAGCCCTGCGCAACTATGACACCCAGCTCCAAGCCATCAATCACGAAGTAGGCCCCCGTTCCTACAGATTCGTGTGCACGAGCTAATCATCGTGACAGATCTGGTCCCACCCCGAGCTAGCGTATGAAGAACATCGCGCCCACGACGCCATCTGCACCCTCTTCGAGACCCTCTCCACCACCACTGACTTCACCTTCACCATCGAGCGCTCCGCCTACGGCCTCCCCACCGCCTTCGAAGTCCTCTACACGCTCGGAGACCCCCAGCAGGGCCGTACTGTCGCCTTCAACGCCGAATACGATGCCCTCCCCGGCATTGGCCATGCCTGCGGCCACAACCTCATCGCGACGAGCTCCATCGCCGCCTTCCTGGCCACCTGCCACGCGATGCGCGCCACCGCCGCCGCCGGGGGCGGGGAACCGACCGCCAACTTCACCGTCAAACTGCTCGGCACCCCCGCCGAAGAATCCGGGGGCGGGAAGATCCAGCTCCTCTCGCGCGGGGCGTACGAGAACGTCCACGCCAGCCTCATGGTGCACCCGGTGCCCCTGGCGCCCGGCAAGCCCGAGCTCCTCACGCTCGCCACCGTGCTGCCGGGTGGGTACCTGGCGAACGACAAGCTGCGGGTGCGGTTCACGGGCAAGGCGGCTCACGCGGCGGCGGCGCCGTGGGAGGGGGTGAACGCGCTGGACGCGGTGGTGGCGGCCTACGTGAACGTCTCGCTGCTGCGCCAGCAGATCCTGCCCACGCAGCGGGTGCATGGGGTGATTGTCCACGGCGGCGAGCGGCCGAATGTCATCCCGCGCAGCGCCTCGGTGGATTACTATATACGTTCGCCGACGGTGAAGTCGTTGAAGGGGCTGTCGGAGCGCGTGGTGAGGTGTTTTGAGGCGGCGGCGGTGGCAACCGGGTGTGAGGTGGAGTTTGAGTGGTATTCCCCCCCCTTCAAACACTTGGTTGGAAGTTCTTGGTGATGCAGGGCTGATTGGTGATTGGTGTTAGGGGCCCTTCGTATGCGGATCTCAAGACTAACAACCCGATCTGTGAGAGCTATGTCGCGGTCATGCGGGCGATGGGACATCTGGCGCTGTTTGATAATACGGGTCTGAAGGGTTCGATCACCGGGGCGTCGACGGACCAGGGTGAGTGTGTGTTTGGGTGTCTGGTCGTTACTGCATGCTGATGGGTTAGGGAATGTCTCGTACGCGGTCCCCGGATTCCATGGCATCTTCACCATCCCCACGGATGGGGTCAATCATACCCCGGGATTCACCAAGGGCGCGGGCTCGCTCGAGGCGTACCAGCAGGGGATGGCCTGCGCGGCGGGGATGGCGGTGGTGGCGTGTCGGGTCTTGGTGGATGAGGAGTTCGCGGCGCGGGTGCAGAAGGACTTTGCGACAGAGAGGGAGTCGTTGACAGCAGATTCTACCTGATGGAAGGCATAGACCGATGAGAGTGAGGGCATAGAAGATAGGCTGGGTGTGGTGGACACTATGGGTCTAGCAGGACACTACAAGTAACAACCATTCAACCTTGACCGGACCCTGATCACAACCCTTGCATTTTGATCTCTAAACTGAACCACGCACAATCACCATCTTCACAAAGGGGCCGCGACCTGCGCCGACGTCTCTGAAGCCTTCTCCCCCGGGAGCGCAGTCTCCGGCTTCTCCCCCGGGGCGACAGCCTCCTCCAACCCCTCCCGCTCGAAGCTCTTCATAGGATAATAACCCCAGCGATCCATCATCTCGCGATCCTCATCCCAGCCATTGCAGTCGGTCGTCAACATCTTCTCCCCCGTAAACACCGCATTGGCACCCGCCTGGAAACACGCGACCTGCTGCTCCTCCGACAACGAGATGCGCCCCGCGGCCAACCGCACAATGGTCGCCGGCAGGACGACTCTGGCCGTCGCCACCGTGCGCAACAAACGATCGAAGGGAATCATCTTGCGATCCCCCAGGGGGGTGCCGGGAATGGGCACGAGGGCATTGACGGGGAAACTCTCGGGATGCTTGGGCAGATTGGCCACCGTATAGATCAATCCCACGCGATCCTCATCCTTCTCCCCCAACCCCAAGATCCCCCCACTGCAGACATTAATCCCCGCGTCACGCACATTAGCCAGGGTGCGCAGCCGCTCATCGTACGAGCGCGTCGTGATGATGCTGGGGTAGAACTCGCGCGAGGTGTCGAGGTTGTGGTTGTAAGCCGTCAGCCCGGCCTCCTTCAGCTCCTGGGCCTGGGCCTGGTCGATCATCCCCAACGTCACGCACACCTCCATCCCCATCGCGCGCACCCCGCTCACCATGCTCTTGATGTTCTTGAGCGAGGTCTTGCGGCCCCGCATGTCGCGCCACGCCGCCCCCATGCAGAACCGCGTGCTGCCGTTGTTCTTGGCCGTACGCGCCGCCGCCAGCACCTCGTCCACGGGCGACATCTTCGTGGCTTTCAGCCCGGTGTTGTGACGGGTGGATTGCGCGCAGTAGCTGCAGTCTTCACTGCACCCGCCCGTTTTGATGTTCATAAGGGTGCACATTTGGATGGCTGAGGGGTCGTGGAATTTGCGGTGGACCAGAGACTGTGGCCGAAAATTAGTGGGGGGGCGGTGGTGGCACGGGGGCGAATAAGTCCAAAGAAAACTTACCGCAGCATATGTCAACTGGTTCAATGGGGTATCGTAGATCTGCTGGATCTCCTCCTTGGTCCAGTTGGTGCGAGGCGTGGTGGCATCAATCGCCTCCCGCAGCACGACGGGTACTCGATAGGCAATGGCGGCGGCATTGGGCGAGGTCGACTGCACGGTGCCATAGCCTCTGCGGAAGGCCGTCCGGGGCAGGACTACTCGTAGAGACAGCATGTTTGGGTTGTGTGTGTGTGGGTGGGTGTGTGTGGATGTGTGTAAAGCGTAACGATGTCGTGAAGAAAGGAAAGGTGTAGTTGCAGGGAGAAGAGGGGAATAAGGTGGGATGGGATGGGATGATTGCAACAGACCGGGGTCGGAATTGGTAGTGAGTGGACTATCCTTCCACTGGAGTACTAACTAACTAACTACCTGAGTACATAAGTTACTCAGAAGCCAACACGGGGTCACGGACCGATCAATTCCACTTTCATAATAAACCAAGCTTCACACAGCCTCGGGTTTGAGAGGGGCAGAGGGGCAGAGGGGCAGAGGACAGAGGGGGGGTGACTTACCTGTACTTACTGTCTGTACGTTGACCCCAACCGCTGAGGGTTCAACCTGGCTGCCATTGCAGATCCATTGAGACCACCAGTGAGTTCACCAGGCCAGATTCCTCCGAACATGCGCCCCACTATCTTCTCCCTCGGACCAAAGGAGATGGTCGGATTGCCACCATCCCGATTGTCATTTCGATTAGTCTCTGTTTAGTCTCTGGTTTGGTGCCTGACCAACCACAATCCCACCAACTATGGGGAAAAACAGTGAATGATGTCAACAAACACCGCATTTACACACATTCTGATTGGTGGATCAGCGGATCTCCTCCCGGTCAACATTAGTGGATGACTCAGCTGCTGAGTCAGCACTCTGACCGTCTGGGAGCCTCTACTGGAGTAATTTTGGTGTCCCAATTGAATGAGCAATTCGTGATTCTAATAAATTGTAGAACAAGTCATGTAGTTAATGTAGTACAGTAACTCCCAATCGAAATTTCCAGTACTCAGATAAGGTCGACAATGGCTGGTATGGACCGAACTTGTGCAGCTGGTACTCCGCAGGATCGGCTGAATTCTCCCCCGGAATTTCTCCCTACCAGTTGGAAGCTTCGTTATAACAATTCCCCCCGCAATACTTCCTCAATCCCCCGAAGCGACCCCGGCTGGGACGTCAGACTCGACATTAAGTACAAGACATTTCCGAGCACCCGCGAATGCACCGCGAACTGCTCCGATCCCGCGGCTAAGCGCTGCTGCAGCCCCTGCGCCGCCGTCGACGTATAGCCGCCGCCCTGCTGATCCTTGAGCGCGATGCTCAGCACCGTCCCCAGCGCAAACACCCCCTCAACCGAGGCTGCATGCGACAGGTCCCGCACCAGCCCGTGGGACCAGACGCTCCACACTGAGGTTTCTGTGGTGGGGGTGGGAATTGTCCAATCGTTTTGGTACTCCTGCCATGACCCCTCGTGGTCCATCCGCATCATCGTCTGCAGCGAATCGACCGCCACCTGGCAGCCGACCGCGTGCGCCGTGTAACTGTGGCCATGCAGCAGCGCATCGCTTTTTTCTGCGCTCAAAAAAGCCCGGAAGATCTCCTCGCTGGCCAGCGTGGTGCACAGGGGCACCAGTCCACCGGTCAGAAGCTTGGCATGGACGGAGATGTCGGGGTGTACCTGCAGGAACGAGGCGGCCGATCGCCGGCCTAATCGGTACAGCCCGGTGAAGACCTCGTCAAAGATAATGGGTAATCCCGACCAGTCACGGTTGCCCTCGGTCTCTCCGGTGGGAGAGGATGGCTGGGGAGCGATTTGCTCCCCAAAAAGCTCCGGGTGTTGACGCACCACGTCCGCCAAGCAGCGCTGGAATAGAGGGTCGCTGCAGGGCACACACCAGTCAGCCACACGGGGTCAGATACACCAGGGAAGAAAAATCACGCACCAGAATAGCATGCCTCCCGCACCCAGAATGATTGGTTCCATGATTAGCGCGCCAAACTTGACCCCTTCCTGCTGCACCAGCCGTTGGATGGTCTGGTGGATGTAGGCCCGATATCGTCGCCCTGCCTCCGAATGCAATCTCGCCTCCAGGTCAAACACCTCCGACAAGGATCCGTACTGCAGCTCCGCCCCCAGCGCCGTCTCCGGCATGCTAATCGTCCACTTCCCCTCCTTCATACTCACCTGGGGGAAGTCGAACCAATGGCCGCGACCGCGATACCACTCCACCTTTTTGTTGTACGTCGACGGCTCCGAGCAGTCCATCACGCCGATCGTATCCCCATGGTAGCTGCCCTTCAACCCGAGAATGCGGATCGGCTCGGTGCTCGCATCCCATCCGTAGCGCGCGCACGCCGCCCGCAGGCCCATCTTGACCGCCACCTCCATCCCCGTGCTGCCATTATCCGTGTAGAAGACCCGCTGGAGCCGCGGGTTCCCCTGGCTTTGGAGGAGGGTCTCCGCCAGCGCCAGCGCCGGCTCGTGGATGTTCCCCGGGAACATGACATGGCCGTACCGTCCCGCCGCATACGCCGCCGAGAGCGCCAGGTCCGGGTTCCCATGGCCCAAGCCCTGCGTCCACCACGAGGCCGATCCGTCAAAGGTCGCCCGTAGCGCACTGGCACTGGCACTGGCACTGGCGGCCTCTCTGACCTCCAGGGTGTCCCTCTGATAGCTCTGAAAGTAATCCCCACACGCCGAATCAATCACGTTGATGTCCTGGGCCGCGACCCCCCGATGCTGCGTGAAGGGGTACCAGATCATCGCGTGCGCCTTCTCCGCCATGGCCTCCAACCGCTCCCACCGCTCGACATGCTTGCGCTCCAGCGCCTCCACCACAGACCCCAGCCGGCCCTCCCGGACCGTGTGCTCATAGTACCGCCGCATCGCCTCGACATCCCTGCGCGCCGCATCGGGATCCGTGGGGTCGGGCCGCGGGGGCGGGGGCGGCACCGCCACCAGCGGGATGGCCTTCTTCGCGAAGTAGGCGTGCAAATAGCCGTGGTTCTGGTAGTAGTCGTCGCGGAAGAGCAGCACGGAGTGGACGTCGTAGCCGCGCAGCTGCAACGACTCGTAGGCGGCGATGGAGGCGGAGATGCCGCCCAGCCGGGCGTCCGCGATCAGGATAATGGGCAGCCGCAGCGGGCGGTACAGGTCGGCCTGCGAGGTGCCGTTGGGGCCCGGCGAGTGCACCCCGCCCGCGGTCTCGACGAGCGCATGCGCGGGCTGGTGCGGGTGTGCCCAGCTGGTGAGGGTCTGGTGGATGGCGTCGAGGAGCTGGCGGTCGCTGGGGACGCTGGGGACGCTGGTGGTGCGCTGGCTGGGTTGGTGGGCGGCGATGTGCGGACTGACGGGCTCGTCGAATTGGTAGAGGCATTGGGTGCGGGTGTGCGGGGCGTAGCGTTGGATGTGTCTAGGAGGAGGGGGGGGAGTTAGATTGGTGGGTGTATGGTGTAGCGGATGGCAATTGAGGATGCATACCGGTCGTCTGCTTCGTCCAGAGGCCCCGTGGAGACGGGCTTGAGGAAAGAGACTGGCCCTTGGGGTTGGAGGGCTTTGCACAGCAGCGTCGAGACGATGGTCTTGCCGACGTCGGTGTTGGCGCCGTAGACCTGGTGAGCGCGCAGAGTGCGCCAGAGGGCGGCGGGGGGCATGTTGTAGACGACCAGAGTCAATTGGGATGACAGGGATGACCAGAAGCGCTCATTACTGATTGACACAATTGACTTGATTGACTCGATTGACTCGATTGCACAATTGCACTGCAGTGTACTTAATTATACTGTGTTGTGTTGGAGGAGGAGTTGCCGGTGAGGAAACAAAAGTGGGGAAGCGGGAATGAAAGACCGTCAGGAACAATAAAAATCGCCATGACGAAAAAGAAGCAGCTCCGAACCGAGGATCAAGTAGAGTGGATCCTCAACAGTCAACAGTTTTGCATATGCCGCCGTGAGCAGGCCTCGAGGTCAGCAAGATGTGAGTCTGGAGAGCCTATGCTGGCCGCCTGAGTGCCAACTGCCCGTGACATTTGTCTCACTACGCCGTAGTCACTAATTGAATGCTCCGTTGCTAACCCTACTTCTGTCAATCACGAACTCATTAATCACCGATTCGAAGATTGAGTGCCTGTACCCCACCCTGAATCCCGCTCAATCTAACCCCAACCCCGGGCTTAGCCTCGACCTAATCGCAAGGTACGGAGCACCGATGAGAAATCAAATTACACATGGAATTGGGTGAAGCCGCATACCACGACTCTGGATTCATATAGCACTAGTCACCCCCATAGCCCATACCCACATATATACACATAAACACCCATATATATACCCATACATACATAAATATATATACCCATATATATACACAAATACAAATACATCCACCATGACCACCAGCAGCAACAAACACACCCCCCTCCACCTCACCCTCCGTCAAACCCTCCAACAGCGCGCGCGCAACCAAACCCTACGCACACTCACCCTCCCGACCCCCAACAGCATCGACTTCTCCTCCAACGATTTTCTATCCCTATCTACCAACCCGCTCTACCGCGCCCGCTACCTCCGCCATCTCCAAGCCCTCCCCGCCACCCACCCACTCGCCAGCGGGGGCTCGCGCCTCCTGGACGGCAACTCGCAGTACACGGAGCAACTCGAGCACTTCCTGGCCGCCTTCCACCACAGCCCGGCCGCGCTGCTCTTCAACAGCGGCTTCGACGCCAACTGGGGCGTCCTCTCCACCCTCCCGCAACCCGACGACCTGGTCCTCTACGATGAAGCCATCCACGCCAGCGCCCACGAGGGCATGCGCCGGTCCCGCACGAGCCGACTCCTCGCCTTCCGCCACAGTTGTCCCGCGGCGCTGGAGGCGGTGCTGCGGCGCCAGGTCGAGCTGGACCCCCGGGTGAGGAATGGGGAGCGGAATGTGTTTGTGGTGGTCGAGTCGGTGTATAGTATGGACGGGGATGTCGCCCCCCTCCAGGCGTTTGTGGAGGTCGTGGAGCGGTGGTTGCCGGCGGGGAATGGGTATTGGATCGTGGATGAGGCGCATGCCACGGGGGTGGTGGGACCCCGGGGGGTGGGGGTGGTGCAGGAGTTGGGACTAGAGGGGAGGATGTTTGTTCGGGTGCATACTTTTGGGAAGGCTTTGGGGGGACATGGAGGTATGTCTCTTTTCTTTTCTTTTCTTTTTTTTTTTTTTTTTTTTTTCTTTTTTTTTTAAAGAAAATCGTGAAAGACG